AATGTGTGTGTAGAGGTGAGCGGTTGCGAGGCGGTTTATGGAGCGCGAGACGAGGCAGAGGGAGTGCAGAGTGGTCCGGTCTGGGGTAAGCTGGAACATCAGATCGAGGAGCTCGTTGGGGAGCGATTCGAGTTTGGAAGTCATAGTTGCGATCTAACAGATGCTACTGTGCGCGTAGATCACGATAGTAACAATGATGGTGACGATGAATGCTACGTAGGTGGCAAGAAGCTGATGACAGGAATCGCGCGTGAGCTATATAATAGTGTCTAGAGACGCAAGCAGAGAACACAAAAAAGAACGCGGAATGAACACGCGCGATATGTACATATCGATGAGCACTGGTGTGGGGCTTTAGATGTGTTTCATGTTATGGAGCATAAGCCAAGACAAGGGTCCATTCAGGTACAATGCACGGCAGTTGCGATGTCGCGATAATCCTCGGATGTATGAATCGTCCTTACCCCGCCCCCGCCATCACTAAGGCCTACATCGATTACAGCACAAGGCGCACGAAGAGACCAAAGAATCACGAAGAAAGCAGTATTGTTCGTGAAATCTATTTCGTCAAAACCGTAATCTATGTGACAGTTTCCGAGGATTGCTATATGCTATCACGTCTACTTGAACTCCTTCATGAACTCCTCATGGAACTTGACGATACGGCCAGTCCAGTCCGTTCCAGGAGCGAGGAAAGTTGTCCTGAAATGCAGTGTGCCTTCCTTCTGTCCGAACCCTGTACCGGCAACGACGCAGACACCAGTGGCGTCCAACATGCGGAAGCAGTAGAACTCATCCGGCGCGCGACCTTCCTTCTTGGCTTGTTGTACAGCCTTTTCTGGGAGGTGGATGGTAGGGAAAAGATACATCGAGCCCTGTTGATAAGATTAGCTGTGTTATGTGTGGCAGACCGTGGGATACGTACTTGTGGCTCGTTGCACTCAACGCCCTCCATCTGCTTGAATGCCTCATACAAGGCATAGGCGCGCTTCTTCAATCCATTGAAGATGCCATCGTACTCCTGCTTGTACAGCTCATAGCTTGGCTCGCCCTCCTTTGGTGGGTTGACCATCATCTCCACGATACATTGACCCAACACGGGTGGGCACAGCTGGATAGAGATGAACTTGTAGACTTCCTGCGCAACCTCCGGGTCGAAGCCGATAAGCTCAAAGTAACCACCTCGGTGACCGCACTCGCCAACCATGCCCTTGGATACGGAGTGCAGAGAAGCGAGCTCGAGGTGGTCATACTGGCCTGGAGATTCCTTTTGCAAGTCGCGAAGAGCCTTCTTGAAAGAGATGAACTCGCCGATGAAGACGTTGGTCTGGTAGACCTCGTCTGCGATTACGACGAGACCCTTCTCGGCGGCAAACTTGAGCACGGCCTTGATGTCTTCAGCGAGCAGTGATGCTCCAGTGGGGTTACCCGGGTTGATAACGCAGATGGCCTTGACATCTGTGCCCTCCTTAACAGCCTGCTCGTAAGCAGTCGCAATCGAGTCAAGTGATGTGCCCCATGCCTGGTCTTCGTTCAGATAGTATGGTACGCAGCGAGCGTCGAGGACGGAAAGGGTCGCGGTGTAGAGCGGGTACTGTGGGATTGGGACCATGATACCGGTCTCGGGCTTCGCGCAGATGGTGTGAAGAAGAGTGTTCACGCCTGATGAGGCGCCGTTGCTGAGGTAGATATCCTCGAACTTAGCAGGGTAGCCATCGCGTCCTGTTTTCGGTCAGCTGAATTCAGATATGAATACAGTAGGATGCGCACGCTCGATGTACTCTGCAACGCTCTGCCTGATGCCTGGCGCACCCTGACTCTGACTGTATGCGCCAACGCTCTTGACCTCCTTGAGCAGCTTCCTCGCGCGCTCAAGCACGTCCGACTTGTATCCAAGGCTCTTGAGCAGAACGTCCTCGTGCTCCAACAGGCCAGGGTTCTCGAGTATACTTGCGACCTGCCTGAAGAATGTGATGGGCTTTTGGTCTAGCTGCTGAGGGTTTCCAATGTTGGCCGCGATAACCGTGTCAAAAGGAAGGTCCTTGCCCTCGCCCTTTGCCAGCTGGGCGCGGTACTCCTCCGATTTGACGGCTAGTTCACCACGGACGGCATACTTGGCTGCCTTGACGTGTGGGTTGATGTTGCCAATTTGCAACACCTTCTGCGGTGCCTTGGACATGATGTTCCGACTCTGTGGAAGATGCGACGGCGGAATGTGAGTTTGGACCGGTAAGCGTCCAGCGAGGAAGGGTGATAGGGTTTGAGGGGTGGAAGAGGTGAATGGTCTATAGCGGACTAAAGTGGTGAGCACACGTCCAGACTATAACTTAGCTCAGGCGAAAAGTATATCTCTCAGCGCTACTCAATCCCGCGACGTACTCGAAACACGTAGAAGATGTGCGTCAATGGCTGGTCTATATTTTTTATGCTGCGTCGCGTGGTGCCCCACTACTTGTAGGGCAGAGCCACTACGAGGCTGCCCCTCCATAGCTCGGCGCGTTGCGGATGTGCCATTCTCTTACTCTACTCGTCGGGCATATAAAAAGAGCAGCGGGATTCAAGTACCTCTAGAGCCCACGCTGCTACCCATTCGGCCATTTGCCATGGTTTGAGGGCGAAGTGAACGGGCACACACCCGAGCCGATGACGGCGACATGTTGATGGACCCTGATAGATGCTTATCGGCGGCTGCTTGAGGCGATGACCCCACCCTAGCGGGCGCTCAACCGACTGCTTGGGTTGGAGCTTGTTACGAGCGATGTAATGTAAGCGTGGGTGCAGGAGTGGTATTCGAGGACCTGAAAAACCGCGTGGGCTTGTCGCGAGGTTAAGAGGAATATTGCTTTTGCGTTATCTCACCGCAGGTTCATGACACTCTGGTTGAGCCGCAACCCCCGGAGATATCGGAGCTAGCCCTGGAGAGCCGTATCGCGAATATGGCAATGCGACGCGGGGAAGCTGAAACAGGACAGGCGTGGACAAGTCATGGTATGCTTTTCATTCAGCGGTCTTTGCGCTGTTGTCTAAGTCTACAATACCCTCGAGATCATTACACATGCACTCGTCATGGCTGAATCTAGCCACGCTCACTGCCCCTCAGCCTGACGGCCTGGCCATATTTCTGTAGCTTGGTGATGAGCTGGTCGCCCTGCTTGACCACGTCGGCATACTGCTTGTTTTTGTCATCGGGTCGGTTTGTCTCGATGATGCCCTTGACGCGGTCGATGGTGCAGGGTATGCGGTCGGCAGCGATGAATCGGGCGAGGTCCCTGTTTGCTGTTAGTAAATGATACTAGGTTATAAGCGCGGGGATGCCACTTACTTATCGAGGAAGTCAACTGTGACACCAAAGTCCTTAGCCATGCTCTCGAGGCCGACAACTCGGTATGACTGGAGAAGCTGCTGGTATCCCCGCAGGCGCATCTCACGCACGTACCAGCCACGGTGCTCGTACATGTAACGGTCCTGGCTGAGGAAGTTGGTCTCTACTTCACCAAGAGCGCCGAAGAAGGTCTTGTAGTCGCCCTCGTACAGGCTCTTGACAAGCTTCGACAGTGGTGTGAAGTCGACAGGTACTTCCTTCTCCTGTTGTCCGCCGAGGGTGGTGAGATTGACAAGGGTGGGTACTGGTGTCGCTGTTGAGCCTGACGCATCGGCCATCTCTTCGTCACCAGCTGTTGGTCCTGCCGATGCCTGACCAGTGATTGCCGAGAGCTTCTCTTCTGAGGTTCCAACGATAGCCTTAATCTCAGGCGCATCCACGACCTTGGACTTGAAGTCGACACGCTTGAGCGATACGGAGCCGGCGAGGATAGCGTAAACGACGAGGTTTGAGTAGCTGCACAACTCGTAACTGGTGAATGTCGACAAGCTGTCAAGGAGCAACGGGGCGGCCTGTGAGTGTGATCGCACGGTGAGGTAGTGTAGACCAGTGTATGCCTTCAAGCGGTTGCGACGATCCCAGTCACCACCACTCTCTACCAATGCGCTTGCCCGGTCAATCGACTTCTTAGCCAGTATCCTGTCGCCGAAGAAGAGCGCAACGCGTATTATGGCAAGAACGAGGTCGATCTTGGTGCCTAGGATGCCCGTCTTCTCGAAGATGGCCTCGTAGCTGGCAATGGCTTTGTCCTGAATCTTGGTTAGATGTCATTCATGTGACCACGTCCACTTCTCTTCATACCTTGTCGCCTATGCGGTTGTAGAGCTCTGCGCGCTTGCCCCTCGCCGCTTGTACTTCGGTCTCGCCTGCCTTCTCTTCGGCCTCTTCCTCCTCCTTCTGTATCGCCTCCAGCTCCTTCTCGCTCTCTGCTTTGAGGCTCTCGTACAGCTTCTCATCCCAGGACAGCGGCACCTCTAATGAGGGATTCCGTGTGGCAAGCATAGTCGCTAAGCTTGCAGACGGTCTCCGGTTCTTGGTTGGCTGGTCTGAGCTGCCCTCGCCCTGTGCATTCAAGACACCCTCTACCGGGTGAGCCAAGTACCGGTAGAGCGGCGCCATCTTGTTCTCGGTGATGGCATCTTGGACCGACTTGAGGGCGGATTGCTTGGCTTGTTTGGAGGCGGCGGGATTGGTGAGCTGGAAGATGTGCTGCGACAGCTGGAGGTCAGGGTACTTGGCGAATTGCGGATCACCCATTTTGGAGGCTTCTTTGAGATGTGAGGGAGCGTTCGGTGGTGGGTGAAGGTGGGCAGGGCGTGTCGTGTGCGATGTTGATATGATGATGATGGAGGCTCTGTCCGCCGCTCAACTTCCGACGTAAAGCTCGCGCACGGCCCTTGGGCGGTCGACCAGCGGAAACTAGAACCACTGAAGCTACGCAGAGTCGCTCATTCCACCTTCTCACTCTCTTTCTACATCATACGAGGTTTCAAGATTCGATCTTGACACCAAATCGATTCCTGCACGCCCATCACATTACTACAAACACTGCCGACGTGCATCAAACGCGTCTCACTTTGAGGCTGGCCTTCAGACGCGTACTACAATAGTCTCCAGCATGGCGAGCAACGACCAAGGCAGAAAGCGCGCGCGCTCACCCTCGAGATCGCCCTCACGATCACCACCCCGCCAGCGAAAGCGCCCTGGGGCGGGTGCCCGAGTTTCAGCCGCCGACCGCGAAGCCGCCCGAAAGCGTGCGCAAGCGAGAGAAGAAGAAGCGGCTAGGAGGGCACAGCAGGAGGCCGCACAGAGAGGTGTCCACGACGTCGTCAAACAACATTACAACTCGGTCCCGGAGCGAGGTCGTGAATGGCGCAACACAGACAGCAAGATTAAGGGACTGCGCAGCTTCAACAACTGGGTCAAGTCGTCCATCATCCAGAAGTTTATTGGCGACGAGCGGAATCTCAAGATCCTCGATGTCGGGTGTGGAAAGGGTGGTGATCTGGGCAAGTGGGAGAAGTCGAGGAAGGTGGAGCTGTATGTTGGATGCGATCCTGCAGACGTTTCGATCAAACAGGCCAAAGACAGATTTGCCCAGATGCAGAAGAAGAACCGGCGACTGTTTCATGGCGAGTTCTATGCTAAGGACTGCTTCGGGGAGTGGTTGGGCGACATACCCATCATCAAGGAAGTCGGCATCGATCCGGGAGCTGGGCAGGGTAACGCCATGAGCCAGCGTTGGGGCGGTGGTGGCTGGGACATGGTCACAATGATGTTCTGCATGCACTACGCTTTCGAGAGCGAGGCCAAAGCAAGAGGCATGCTACGGAATGTCGCAGGCGCATTGAAGAAGGGAGGACGGTTCATTGGCTGCATACCCAACTCGGACGTGCTGTCGCAGAAGGTCATCGAGCATCACAAGGCCAAGGGCACAGCACCACCTGATGTAGATGGTGCCGATGACGACGATGATCGTCCGGCCTTTGCAAGCGACGACGACGACGACTGGGATCCTGAGAAGAGTCTCGATAGCCCCAAGCCTGCTGACACGGAGCATACGAACGACGACAAGTCTGGAGAGTCGAAGAACAAGGAGAAGGAGAAGGAGAAGGAAGAACAAGAAGACGGCGAGGTTGAAGATGAGGGCTTCAACTTTGGCAACAGTATCTACAGCGTCAAGTTTCCCGGCAAGACACCTCCTGATGGCGTGTTCCGTCCTCCGTATGGCTGGAAGTACTCGTACTGGCTCACTGAAGCTGTAGAGGCACCCGAGTACGTAGTTCCCTGGGAAGCTTTCCGAGCACTAGCAGAGGACTTTAATCTCGAGCTTCAGTACCGCAAGCCTTTCAGGGAGGTCTGGGAAGAGCAAAAGGATGACCCTATTCTGGGTCCCCTAAGTGAGGTCATGAAGGTCAGGGATCGCAACACTGGTCGACTACTGACTTCGGAAGAGGAGTTGGAGGCAGCAGACTTTTACCATGCATTCTGCTTCTACAAGGTTTAATCGGGCAGCATCATTGGCGTTTGGGATCTGGCAGATATGCCTAGGGTATCAAGGTGGAAAAGTCAGTTTCAACATGTACAATATTTTGTACTCTACTAGTCAGTCGTGACGAGTCGCGACAACAATGGAACATGTCCAAAAGGCCTTTCCCTGCAATAGCTAAAGACATGATGCATTACGACAGCCATAGCTCCACGCCAAGTGCTAGCCATGCTTTACCATAGTATATTCACATGCTACCAGACGCATGTGCAGACGGGAGAAATTACCAAGCCCAGTCACGTTGCTCGTGACGCAGATGGATCGAGTTGCCGAGGTCGGTCGCTCTTTCCCCGGCAAACGCGATCGAGCATCAAAGCCCGAACCTCCCTGCGCTTCCGCACTGCACCATCTCCGCATTCACACACCCCATACGTTCCTTCTTCACGTCCAACTACCCCTAAACCTCATCTCCAGACCAAGCGCATCCCAGTCGGACAAGAAGGAAACAGGAAACGACAACTTGAAGCTGGACTTCTCTCCCTCGCGATATATCCTCAGCTTGTTCGTTGGAAGCAGCAAAGCCGATAAGATGGTTGCGGATGCGCTTGTCTATCACCCGACGGTGTCGCATTACCTCAAGTTCGTTGCAACGACCGGTACGCCACTTTGCCCCCTGGTGTCATTCATGTCTCGACTCAACCCCGATAACCCAATATCTGCTGACAACAACCTCCAGTCGGACGCGACAAAGTCCTCCGTACCCTCCAATACTTTTCTCGCTTCCTAGCATGGTACTTGTACCGCACGAACAAGCCCGCCTCGTCCATCGCCCCGTATGAAGCGACCAAGAAGACTTTTGGCGCGACGCGCAAGTTGATGCGCGTGGGCAAGTTTGTCGAGCACTTCCGCGCTGCGGCTGTGGCCAGTGATGCGAAGACTATGGATCCCGTGTTGAGGTTTACCGCTGTGGGAAGGCAGCTAGGATATGCCTTCTACATGCTGTGTGATAATGCTTGTGTGGTATGTGATGCTCATACATGTTCGCGACGTCATTAGGAGATAAGGAAACTAACAAACATCCAGCTCGACGCAACATCCATCCGCAAATCCTCCTTCGCCCCACGTCTCCTCCGCGAAGGCTACCGTGCCTGGTTTGCCGGAATCTCCTTTTCCATTGCCTCCGGCCTGTACTCGTACTACAACCTGCTCCAGCACTCCAAGACTATTACTTCTTCGTCTGACCCGGAGAAGGTCGTTGAGACGAAGAAGCTGCAGAAGGAGCTTAACGCTGTGAAGGTGCAGTTGATTAGTGATCTCTGCGATATCACTATTCCTAGCTCAGCGCTGGGCTGGGTTGACTTGGATGATGGAATTGTGGGACTGGCGGGTACGACAAGTTCCCTACTGGGGGTTTGGAGTCAGTGGAGGAAGACTGCTTAGGTGGGATGGTGAGAGAGGAGGGGTGTGTAATTATGGACTTTGAGAGATTGGAAGAATGGGATGTATGGGATACCGAACGTTGTTCTTGTCACTCGATTTATCTTGTTCAATACTCCGATCATCTGTACATTGCTAACATTCGAAACATGTGCGTTCTTCTCACCATGTCTCTTTCCCTCCGTTCGCCGTTTATTGCTTGCGTGTCGTCGGCTTGAGACTCTTTTTCTGAGCATTCGTAAGCTTTAGGTCTAATCTGGCATATTCCTCTTCCAATATCAGACGCTAAATGCCTCATCATATCTGTTACAGATTTGGTGGGAGCGCTCTGTGGCGACTGAAATCTAGACAGCATGCATAGATGCGAGCAGTATGTACATCATAGACCTAAGCGGCAGTAGAGAACTTGCGTAAGAAGAGTGAATGAGTCAAGTTCCAGTGTCCTCATCATATCCGTATTTTGATACCTCAGCCGTAGAGACTCTGTACTCCTAGCAGTTCTGGCAGCCATGGCAGACCTATTTGTTATAGTCGTTATCATAGCCGTATTGAGAAAACTTGATACGATCGACACGTATGTACATAGTACTGCATTGAGAAGAGATGCATCAAAGTAAAGAGAGCTCGTTGGAGGAAAGCAGGAGTGAAAGTTTGATCCACGGTCTCTTTGGAAAAATATGCCTGATCATTCAGGACTTTGATAGTGGGATGAAGTGGAACCACATAAAATTGTGGAGAAGATGTTGAACGTGCATGTATATGTGATCAACACCGTCCTTGCACACCTCTCAGAACTGCAAAAACAGCTATCCGACGACATGATGGGCTCGTTCAGATGTCAAGAACAGCATTCGAAGAAGTTTTATCGCCCTATACTTGCTAGTTTAGCGCCTACAATTCCTAAATGTAATTGAATATACAGTATTCAAAGATTTTATTTCTTAACAATCGTGCCAGTATGTTGTTTTATATGTAGGAATAGTAGGAATCAAAACAGCAAGTAAAGGGTGATAGAAACCATTAGAATGGTACTGTGCTAGAAAAGTATTCAAGTCCGCAACGTGGCCAGCTAGCGGGAATAGAAACCAGTCCAACAGGCCATATACCAATTGTCCAAGCAATAGCCAATTACCCGATCATGACCCCACCTACGGTAACAACGGCTTATGTGCACATTCAGCTTCTTCCCCACAGACCCCGCCCGACAGACAGAATCAAACATGCTGCCACCGAGAACAACCTGAGATATACAAGGCCTTTGAATCGCTCATTAAGTAGTGCTCGTGCGATCAGACGTCATTTCCAACATACTTCTTCACTACGACTGGACCACAATGTATACCTTTCTGTAACTCCGCAGGTTTATTAGAGATACTCCGAGAAGGAATGCTTACCTCGAAAGACACATACTATTCGGAAACAGCATACTGCTTCTGCTGTATTTATCGTGACCAGAGTGTACAAGGTGACAGCCGCGGAAGATAGGCCATTCTTGGCGCTAGAAACCGAAGGATCAATCAACCCTGCAAATATGCGGTACAAACTGCAGTGCTGACATTTATGGGGAATCAACTGCAAGGATCGTTCATTGTTCCTTAAAACCCCGCATGGCCAGTATGTGTGAAGTAGCAATAACAAAATCTTTGGCCAGTAAGGAAGTGCAATAAGGCCAACATGGACATCGACAAAACGTTCCTGACCCAGACATCCATAGGACTGGTGTTGGTTTATACCATCGTTTCCATCATACGCTTCTCACTACGCTCCCTTCCGCCAAAATACTACCCTCCAGGACCGCCCTGCCTCCCTCTGATCGGAAACGTGCACCACTTCGCCTCCGACAAGCTTCACGTCAAATTTTCCGAATGGCGCCAAACCTATGGCGACATCGTCGGGCTCAAAGCCGGTCCCTTAAACCTCGTGGTTCTCAATAGTGCTGAGGTCGTTCGTGAGCTGCTCGAGAAGCGAGGCAACATTTACTCTGGCCGACCTACTGACTATATCTTCCGAGAACACATTGTTCAGGACACGCAACACATTCTTTTCTTGCAGAATGACGCTTATTTGAAAAGATATCGGTCGGCGGTAAGATCGTTGCTGGGTCCTGCAGGATGCGAGCAAGCCCTGCCATTGCAGAATGCAGCAGGAGCGTATTTCGCCTATAGGCTTATCATGTCACCTGAGAAGTGGGAAGACCATCTTCACAACTGGGCCATGGGCACACCGTTGACAGCAATCTGCGGCCATCGAGGAGCACAGAAGGACAAAGATCTCATCAAGCTGTTCTATGACAACCAGAAAAACTGGCTGGAGCTGCTGAACCCCGGATCCGCCCCTCCAATCAACATGTTCCCCATCCTCAAGTACGTACCGGCTTTCCTGGCTAAATGGAAGGGTCAAGCCGCAGAGCTGCGCAAGAATCAACAGTACTTCTATAAGATCATGCTGGACTCGGCTAAAGAGGAATTGAAGCTCCACGAGGCGGGTCAGAATCCTAAGCCAAAGGACTTTCTGTCTCTGATGGCGAGGCTGCTTCAGGAGCAGGACAGTAAGACCGGTTTCGACGACCACCAGCTCGCATATCTAGGCGGAGGCCTCTACGACGCAGCTGTCGATACCACGTATCTCACCTCCTTGCACTTCATCAAGGTCCTAGGCGCTTATCCCAAGATCTTGAAGCGTGCACAAGCCGAAGTAGATGATGTGTGCGAGGCAGGCAAGCCGCCCCGTACGCAAGATCTGGATAAGTTGCCATACTTAAAGGCGTGTTTCTCCGAGGTAGGGCCTCTGTTCTTCAAGCTGTTTGTACAACTACTAAACACAAGCAGGTTCTTCGCTGGCGCCCAGTGGCCACCGTCAACCTCCCTCATACCCTCGATGCAGACGATATATTCCGCGGCTACCATATTCCCAAGGGCACGACCATCCTCCAGAACATCTGGGTTGACTCGCACGACTCAAACCTCTTTTCCTCGCCCGACACTTTCAATCCCGACCGCTACCTCGCAAACCCCTACGGCACCGATCTTTCGGTCGAGGAATGCCAGGCAGAAGGTCGGAAACTGGTCTATGCATTTGGTAGTGGCCGTCGCCAGTGTCCTGGTAATCTGTTTGCACAGAATGGGTTCTTGGCTATGGCGGCTAAGCTTGTCTGGGCTTTTGATGTGAGAGCGAAAGGGGAGCTGGATATGAGTGTCGAGACGGGGTTTCATGGTGGACTGTTGTTGGGTAGCGAGCCTTTTGCGGTGGAGTTTGTTCCGAGGAGCGAGATGCATCGTCAGGCTATTATTGAAGACTGTGAAAAGACACGGTCGTGGCTTGATTGAGGCTATCAGAATGGAGAACAATGTCTCGAGCGAGCAGAGAGCGTTAACAAAGATGGATCATCATCTTGATGGGGCGTGGTGTTCATTCATCAGCTACTTGCGCCATGAAAGTCGACCCACTAGCTGTAAACCCTTTACGCACATACGGATACACGCTTGCTCACACCGCCAACGCTTATAGCTCCTTACCGGCAGCTCACGACGCTATGTTTCGTGATTCCATTGTGCCATCACCTTCTCCTCCCATCTCTCGTATGCCTCCTTGATCAAGCCATTACACACGATCTGCGCAAGGCGCGGGCGCAAGTGCCGTTCCTAAGTCTCTGCCGCCACGAGTGCATCGACAGCTGCTGGTGTGGCTCCATTACGGGCATTCAGACAGTTGATGGCGCTGGTGTCGATACTCTGACTATTTTATCAGAGCTTCTGGTATGATGCTGCCGAGAGGAAAGACGTCACTGAGGAGTCTGACTTATACAACATATAGAAGTGGAACGGTGTTTAGTGCTTGGACGTGCGCCCCCATCTTTTGATAACAAAATCACACTCTTTTCGATCTAACCTCCGGGTAGGTTGCATCTATGATGAGACGAGTTTACCGGCATCCCATCGAGTCGCGATACGGTGTTCAGCTCAGTATCCAGAATCGTATGTGTAGCCATTCTGAGATCGCATGTGAGTTGCCTGTATGAATGTTGATTGCGATGTGTATATCCGACAACATGAGAGCAGGACTGTTAATAACATTATGGCCAGGCCTACTAGACATTGAAGTTCCGTGATTAGACCAGGCTTCGTCGCTGCTTTGGAGCTGCGAATTATTTAGACGTCGTGTTTTTAATATCTCTCGGATACTTGGCGGCTCTACTACAAGGGATGAGGTGAGAAACGCCCTTTCAGCACAAGCTGATGACGCAGAAACCGACGTCCTGCCGTAATTGCTCCGGTTTTGCTCTAGATCTTGGGGTAAAAGATAAGATCGACTTAGGTGACGATGATAAGCCCGAATGTGGAAAGGCCAAGGTCAAAAGCCCAGCGCGAACCTTGGCTTCATTTACTCATATGTTCTCTAAGCAGCCGCATGTGGGATCTTACCACTGAAACGTCTATTGTCCGACTGAACGGGGGCATTGGCAGCGCCCACGAGTCGCGTGTTTCTACTAGTTTCGTCGTCACGCAGGGTGAACTTGCTCTTGGGTTGTACAGTGGATATTCAGGAGGGGCTCCATGGGTTCGAGAACAGTGTCGGAGAACCATCTGTTCAAGGTAACGGTTTGACGGCCCGAGTCCTAGTGGAAACCATCTGGCAAAAGGCTACTCATCATGATGCAGAATCAATATGGAGACCTTTTGAATGGGTATGTCCAGTATAGTATGTTATAGATGTATGTGGAAGCGATTCCACAGAGAAGCAACATATTCGAGCTCGCCTGAGCCTGGCAATCTCGGTTCGCCGTTGGACGTATCGATAATATCCATGAAGTGGGCAGCCAGCGGGAACGGGAACCGCCTGGAGAGCCTTGTTGGGTTTCTAACCGTTGAGGATAGCCACCGGATCATTTTGGGAACCAGGGTCCGGGTCATTGTGGATCAAACGGTCAACTAATGACTGGAATGACTGGGGCGCTTGACTGCATTTGCAATCAAGTCTACAGATCTTCCCTCCGATAAAGGTAGATTGGCCGTCGCACAACGCTCGATTTGAATTCCTGATGCACCCAAAACGTAACCGTGTTGTTTAGTGACGAAACCAAGCCTTTCGTATGATGTACGCGAAGTGGTCAAGGCGTGCGCAAACGAGTTGGTCCCCACGAGTGGTGGGAGTTGTAGATGCAGTAGGTTTTCCGTCCTTCCCCTACCAGACTCTCACCCTAAAAACGACCCCGGTAATGTGAGCATGTGCAGTAGTGAGAGTGATCCTGCGTTTGTGGTATGGCCTCGAACGATGGCGCGCGTGATTCCACGCTTACTGTGTACGCCCTGTTGTGATTGAAGCGTTAATTTTCTTCCTCATCTTTGTAGCGATAAGAAAGCAATTATGCCGAGATGTAAGCTATACAGTCAGGATAGCTGGGAAAGAGCAATATAGCTCCAGAGTCCAGACACCGTATTGTGCCTTGGGTAGTCGGAGCCGAAGGGTGTGTTGCTACGCGACGACGTTGGGCAACTGCCCTGTTGATCTCGGATGCTTTTTGCAGACCCTTGACGGTCATTCATGACCCATGCATCTTCGTCGACGCTCCCCCTACACCCTTTCGTTTCATCGCTCACCATCTGACCTCATCATGGATACAGACTGCCGGGTGGGTTATGTGAGCAGCGTTGCGTTGATACGAGCCAGCAAGATTGGGGCGACAACAAGGCACGGTGACTGGTAATTGCTGCGGCGTTGGCTCTTCTTATGATCTCTGACCCATTGCGCAGCACGCACTTACCACGACTCCCTTATCACAACAAGTACACCGTATTGAGGAGTCGTAATATTCCTAGAAGCATGAGTCGCTGCAAGAGGCCCAGCGGCCTCCACCAAATCCAGTGGGGTTGCGCTACAGGCTTCCCTTGCCGATATGTCCCCGAGGCGTAGTCCTCAATGGTTTGCAACCCCGAGGGCCCCAGGCTGAAATAGCCATTCCGGATAGGAGGTCAAAAAAGAAATGGGACAGAACGGGATGCTACCTTGACTATCGCTGCGCCGCTACAGAACCGTCGTCGCGTCATGCCCGGCAAAGCCCCGTCGAACCCGCGCGCGTTCGACTAGTCGTCCCCGATAACCTTCGCGAAACTGTAGTTCGCATCCAACTAAGACGAGATTGCCATTGGTTAACGTCTTACAAATGCCATACGAACTATTTGTTAGCCATACGGCGCGGCCGAGATCACCATCGCCGCTGTGGTCATCATAGCAATGAGACGTTGCAAGCAGGGGTACTGGCTATAGTTGCTCGCTTCGAGTGGTGGGCCCCGGAGGGGAGTGAAACCGAGTCATCTACCCTTGCGGACCGTCGGTGTTCCAACGACCATTCATTCCACATCATGCTCCTTCCCATGTTGCCATTCTTATGAGCGACGCCGCGCCACCAACGGGAGCTTCCTTCTTAAAGGATTGGATCTTCAAAGGGATCCCCTGTGTAAGACATATTCGAGTCTCCTGTATACATCATCCGCTTTATTGGCTGCCCAGATTCGAGCCGGCTTTCTTTCCTTCAGGAACAAGCGGCATCGCGGCGCACCTGTCGCGGGATTGGAGCAAGGCTAGAAGAAGAAAAATCAAGAAATGGAGTGCATATTGAGCACCTAAAGCAAACCTAAGCAACAAAGTTCTAGGCTATCTTGTTTCAGCCATCCGCGATGCAAGGCTGTTTTGCGGGGTACCAATCAAACTCGACTGTCGGCAGCGTGCCCGTTTGCCACCACACCATGTTCTTCTCGTCGACCAGTTCCTCATTCTGTTCAGCTAGAATGTAGCTGAACGACCATCGATCGAACAAAGTTCATGACTTGCTCGTGCCCCCTTTGATGTGGATCCATGCGGCCCCCCGCGTTGTAGTTCGGAGTCAAGTGTGTAAACGATAGGTTACTGTCTTAGTCTAACACTGTCAATTAGAAAAAGAGGCGTCGTCAGGGACGCAAGTACCAGTGTCTCATGGGGACCGAGGGGAAGTAACCCTTACGCATCAATCATCACACCTATCACAGCAGGGATCTGGATATGTACAGGCTTACCTGCCGCTAGTTGCACGACCCCATTTTTGATCCTCCATGCGGGACAGCAGGGGTTACACCATGTGTCGTAGGGAGGGTAACGCACGCATGTCATGACTTGAACGTTCGGCACGAAAGACCCACCGTTCAACGTATTAGACCGCTATACCTCCTCGTCTGATGCAGCCTCGTTCCCGGCCACGATTCGGGTCGATTGTAACACTGTCTCTTGCAGGTCCAACCACATTCTTTCCATATTGGCGGGACCATGTGATGGACTTTTATCGCAATTAGCTACACTACCTTCATCGATCTGAAATCGCTAACCGATACAACCTCCGTTGCGCCTTATCGTAATATCTTCTGGTCGATTGCGCAATCATGAGCACCAGCACTGCTCTTTTACCAGATCCAAAACAACATCCAGACAATGCCAACTTACCAAATGTCAACGAACCTGAGACAATCCTTGGTCTCACAATTGCTTTCCTGGTATGTGCGATGATCGAGCAACTATACACTCTAGACATCTTTGTACTGACTTCCTCAGTCAGTCGCCATCTTTACATTGAGCTTGCGGTTATGGTTCCGTATCAAGGACCGTCTTTGGGGCTGGGATGACTTGTTCGTGGTCCTCGCCGCCGCTGCGAGCTTTGTCGGAGACATCATGGTTTGCATGAGTATGCATAGCGATATCCCACAAATCAAGGCGTGACTAATCATTCACAGTGCCAGACGATGGTCTTGGTCTGCACTTGTGGACACTTGATGCTGAGCATCTTACGTCGTATTTCAAGGTACTAGATCAAAGTTACATGGTTATTCGGACTCAGGCTAACATCAGTTCCAGCACATATACTCGACAAATGCCGCCTACACTGCGAGTACAGCACTAATCAAGCTTTCTATCCTCATACAGTATCTTCGTCTCTTTGCCGAAGCCGCGCCTTCAGCGACTCATGCTCAGTATCGCCTTGCACGATGCGTTACCTGGGTCATGATTGTCATATGCTCATTGTGGGGACTGACTTTCTTCTTTCTCGCACTTTTCCCCTGCAATCCCATCGCCAAAAACTGGAATCCAACATTGGATGGCACATGCATCGGGTGGGGCAGCAAGAACCCTCAAGACTTTTTTCATATGTTCTTGGGACATGCTGTCAGTAACTGCTTGCTGGATATTCTGGTCCTTCTTCTACCTGTTCCTTTCGTAACCACATTGAGGATTGCGGGTAAAAGTCGAGCAGGCTTGGTCGGTCTATTCAGCTTAGGCTGTGTGTAAGTGGACAGCGTGCCTTCAGAACGGAACCGTACTGACAACGCACTAGCGTGGTCATCGTGGCTATCGGCCGCATGATCGCCATGTCTGTCAACAAAGCGGGTACCGAACCCGTTCTTGACATGTCTTTCCATACCCCCATAGTGTACATCTTCGCCGTCCTCGAAGTCAACTTCGCCATCATCACGGCTTCCATACCCATCTTCTGGCCTGCCATAGCAACATTGGCATCCAACAAAATTTTCGTCGTCAACGAAGTGCAGATACATGTTGAACATGTTACAAGAAACGACAGCTTCGACTCCAATGCCGGTGGCATTAGCCTTAGTGACAGAAAGATAACATCATCTGGAGGGGATAGTAAGATGGGTGTCATCACAACGATATCTGATCAAATGCCACGGAAGTCGGGGGAAAAGTCATCCCCTATAAACCATTATCATAAATCGAGCAATGCTTCCTCTATTGGTCCGACTCTTGGGGGCTTTGGAGGTCGGAAAGCAAGCACTGCCTCATCTGTAGGCCGAACAATGGGCATGGATCTCGCCGGCCGCCCCAGTCAAGATTCACTACGACACCTATACCGTATTCCCAGCAACGAGAACCGGAGTTCAAAAAGCCTGACGCAGAGCGAGGGCGACGACTGGTTCATGGAGATGGACAGGGCGAATTCACGAGGACAGGTGACGACCACGGTCCAAAAAACATCGGTTCCGTTTGACCACATCAAGACGTATGACAACAAGTAAAAGACATCTTGTTTTTGGGAGGAGGGATCGGTACATGTCTTTGCTAATGTCTTTCGCGTGATACCCTGCAGCAATGCAATATGCAACATGTCTTTTCTTGTACGCAGCACATACACAGATGAGTATGTAGTAATGTAGTCATATAATCAACAAAAGCATAAGTTGGGCATTATTTCAACTTGCTCACGTGGATCCTTCGGTCTTGTTACACGTTTCCAAGGCTCCTCGGCCCGCAACCACAGGTATCGGTCCGATGTGGTCGCAAGATGGAGTCGATAGTTGCTGATTCAATCACCGATAGTTCTCCCGTAGAGATGCCGTACGGATTGGATCTCAACGCAATCGCGCACGGTGCTGTTGTTCGTGTTCCTTAGTCTCCTTCCGCTTGCCGCAACCTATACCTGCATGAGCATGGATGTTATCAGCTCGATCTGAAAGTTTATCCGAGAATCTGTTGCTCGTTGCTATCGTTTCTTGAGCGAGACTAGAAGGCACGCGTTAAGGCCATCTGCGTGGCTCGGTTGGTGTGAAATCTTGCCTGCGCTGTTAACAACCCGGGTACTCGTAGCCCCAAAGCTGGATCAGCATATAGTATTATGCCTACCCCTTCAAACTACACAGTGAAGTATTACGGAATCGATTTCGATGTTCGGATGCAGTATGGGTCTGCTGTCTTGAGCATCGAATGCCATGCTGATGATCGCGTGCTCACATGCCAATTCGATCCAGCAGCTGCAGGACAAGCTCCGTGTGGCGTCGGCAATGTCAGTACAACTAACCTCTTTAGGTGACGCGCAGGTGCTTCGGTCGCCTGAGATAAAGCATGGCAAAGCTTGAAGCTGAACACGATTCCCGCCTTTCAGAATGGTTTCGAAGGTTTTCAAGTGATGAATACCGATCGCGCTGTTCTTCACCTGAGAGCGGCTGCGATGTTTTATTCCCGAGAGCCACAATACCCGAGCGGCGAAGGCCGCGCAATCATTGATAACTTTTTGTAGGCCCAACCTCTCATAATCGGTATTCCCGGCGGAGATTGTACCTGCTATATCGAGTAACAGCTCGTGGGCCTCCGGATCCTACGCCTCGGGTATTGGAAAAGCTTTCGCATGTTGTGAATGGTTCGTTGACCCCTCGGGTCTGCACCAAGCCCGATACGGCCCATAGCAAGGTGATCACAGGGTCTTTTGCGGTGAGTGGCACAAAGGTAGCAGACGGGTAGCGAGTAAGATCAAGTTTTGGTGTGAACCTTGGAACCCTTAAAGCTTGAGGGGTTCGCCTACGAAAGCTTGTCGCTGTTGCTACGAAGTTCTTACCATTTCACCGCGCTGGAAGATCGTGACGCAATACCCTCCTGCAGCGCATTCTGGTTAAGCCCCACGCGACATTATCATGGCTTCAGTCGCAGAAGTCCAGCCTGGCCTATACAATGCGACTGATGAGAAAGGCGACATTGAACGTAGAGGCAGCGTGGCAAGAACAGAGAAAGGAAGATGGGAAAGGTTATGGCCTGTGATCGCATGCGGCGCTGGACTTTTCAGCGATGGCTATCTCAACAATGTACGCAGAAACCGACCCAAAAAGCGACAAGATACCCTCCAACGCGACAACATCGATCCCCATCCCAAAGCAACACCGCTATATATGAGTAAAGACTGGAACTGTGAGAACAGAAATGCTGATAGAGGAATTGTAGATCATTGGACCGGTCAACACGATGCTGAAGACTATCTATCCAGATTCGTATGCGAACTCCTCTGCTCAAGCAAACGTCGCAAGTATAACTTTTGCTGGCACAGTCGTGGGGATGTTGTTCTTCGGGTACACATCTGATCATTTTTCAAGAAAATGGTCTTTATTCACTTCGACCATCATCATCATACTTTTCGCCATCCTGGGAACGGCGTCTTATGGGGCAGGTGGAAGCCCGAGTGGTCTATTGACGGCGCTCGTTGTATATCGATTCTTTCTCGGAATAGGCATGTGCTACACCAAACTGTGTTTACTTGGATTCGTTGAATTTGCTGACTTGTGGTAGGTATCGGTGGAGAGTACCCAGCGGGCAGTGTCGGTTGTGCAGAATCTACTGGCGAGCTCAAGCAAGGCACACGGAACAAATGGTTCATTCTCTTCACCAATGTGCAGATTGACCTGGCCTTTTTCATCAGCGCCATCGTCGCTACTGTCGTCGTCCTTGCTACAGGGGAGAATCATCTACGCGCCGCCTGGCGTATCTGTCTTGGTATCGGTGTCATCCCGCCTCTCTCGCTACTCTACCTCCGGTTGAAGCTACAAGAGCCAGAGGCATTCAAGCGGGAGTCTTTGGCCAAAGCAAAGACACCATGGTTGCTTATCATCAAGTACTACTGGTTCCGGCTCAGCATTGTCAGTATCATCTGGTTCATCTATGACTTCAGCGCCTACTCGTTCGGTATCTACGCAACGTCTATCTTGGCCAATCTATTGGGCGAATCGGCGCCGTTGTGGAAGAGTCTGGCGTGGAACATTCTGATCAATTTCTTTTACATGCCCGGCTGCCTTGCCGGTGCTTTCGTTGCAGATTTACCGTCCATGGGCCCTAAGAAGACGCTATTTATCGGCGTAACGCTGCAGGGTATCATCGGATTCATCATGGCTGGATGCTATCCTTGGCTGAACAAACCCGAGAACGTTGCCGGATTCGTCGTGGTATATGGGATTTTCCTTGCGCTAGGCGAATTTGGCCCTGGCGATAACATTGGTTTGGTTGCGTCGAAGACCTGTGCAACTGGAATTCGGTACGTCTTTTCATCGCCTTTCCATCCCTCCGCTTCTAACATGTAGACAGTGGTCAATACTACGGTATCGCAGCAGCTGTAGGCAAGATCGGTGCGTTCGCTGGTTCCTATGCTCTCGATGCGTTACAGAAGGCTGCGGGCGATGATGAAATAGCTGCAGGCCGCAATCCTTTCTTCGTCGCATCTACTCTAGCCTTCGTAGCGGCTGGTCTGGTGTTGCTGCTTCCGCATATCGGCCAGGATACAATCGACCAGGAGGATGTAAAGTTCAGAGAGTATCTCAACGCAAACGGATATGATACAAGCAAGATGGGCCTTCAGAGCGGAGATAAGACGGGTGTCGAGGGTGACGAGAATGGCGTTGTGCCCGTTGAGCAGGCATACGTGAAATAGGTGGGTTGATCTGGGTTGAGGATGATGTTCGATGATGACAAAGATCTCTATAGGTACATATGTGATTCAACACCCATAATAACACGCATCAATTGCGGCTACAGGCCTTATACCCTTAAGTCTGCCAAAGTTAGGGGCCGCATGCATAGCTTAGAACATCTCTAGAGTTCTCGACTGCTAGAGAAGCCCCTACCTATGTGTGATGTTTTAGGCTTAGTGTGCTTTCGCACTGCCGAGGCTATTTGTAAAGCCGGAGAACTTGGAAGCTATTCAACAACCCACGTCACTAGCAGCTCCCCACCATGCACGACAGACGACAGATATACCAGACCCCAGCCCACTTGATCCTCACTGTGCCGCCTTAAACTGGACTTACCGCGCGTAATGCTATTATACATCGAACACCCGGCAAAGCTTGCCTCACGTGCAATTGGGTACACATGTACCTAGGTACCTCGGATCTCCGTCCGCCAACGCAGGCTGGAATAGAGACACCAAGCCCCGTCGGCAATATGGAACTACATGGAATGACACTGGAACAAGCCATGTGATCCCCACACAAAGGATGAGATGGCGTCTTCATGTGGACCCTAGTATGCCTGGAAGCGTGTAGTTGCGCCCATCGTCCGGCTTCTAGGGAAGCAGTACTAAAAAGCGGCCATATACCCTCGCTTGACATGACTGACAAAGTAAATTAACTCAAAACTCTTATCTCATACACATAGATCCATTGTTACAAACTTCGAGTCCTCATCATCTACCATGTCTCCAGCAGCCGTAACCTCGACCCCTCCTCCCGCTACAACACCCCACACGAACGGAAAATCGTCTACCAAACCTGTCATAACACCTTCGTCGACAGTTACCTCGCAAATCCCCGCTTGGGTTAAACCCGACCTTTCCCGTCTCCTTCGCGTAGAACATAACCCAGGTGCTTTTACCTCACGCTCAGTTTCTCTTGTCAACCTTCCCCCAGGCGCAGTCTTTGCCCGCATCACAAACCCCACACCAGCCACCGTAGCGTACTCCTCTGTCCAAGCTTCGCGCGACCTCCACATAGAGCTCAACTGCGACCTCGTCTACATAAACCACAGCTGCAAGCCCAGTCTAGTGTTCGACATGCAGCGCTGGGAAGTAAGGGTTTCGGAGGATGGAGAGGGGCTGAAGGAGGGCGATGAGCTCACATTCTTCTACCCGAGTACGGAGTGGAGTATGGCTCAGCCGTTCAACTGCTTGTGTAAGACGGGAGAGTGTGCGGGAGAAATTAAGGGGGCGAAGGATATGAGTAGGGAGGTATTGGGAAGGTATTGGTTGAACAAGCATATTGAGGAGATGCTTGTCGAGAGGGATGGGCAGTAGAAGCCTTGTTGATGTATGTCTCACGAGATGTGGATGTAAAATCTGGACGCTTGGAGTGTCGACTAGAATACAATGTCAAAACACCTTACATTATACGAAGAGATGAGAGTTAGCATTAGCTTCCATGCCAATGTTCCTGGTATACTATAGCCTTCTTTTTTGTATAAAATCGGAGACATCCTGACTTTGTGATTACCTAGCTTATTATCCTAGGTATCCCTATTGTTTACATATTTTCTATGACAGCTCTCCACAAATACCTGCTAGACTATCACCACGTTCACCCATTCATCAACGCCCTGACCTTTTCAACAGTAACCTCCCCGAATCCCTCCCCAAAAATTCTCCCATTGCTCACCTTCCCCTGCCACAGTACCCCTTCCTCCCAACTAGCCTTAACATCAATAGCAGCCTTCTTCCCCTCTCCAAGGCATGCCTGAAAGCCGAAGTCATGGTCTGTATGAATGTACGTCTGGAGATTGAAACGTGTCTTTTGCGCGGCCTTTGCGCCTTCTGGGATGTAGAAAACAATACGATTACGAAGTTCAGCACCGAGGTGGGTCATGACTGCCTTAGTGGCGAGGAATGTGGTACACAGGGCAAAGGTTTTCTTAGTCCCGCCGGATCCGAAAGACGTTTGGATGATGACCCAAATATGGTGGGGGAGTGTGATGGAGGTGACTTCTGGTGTTGCAGATGATACTGGGTCATGGAGTGGAGGTCGAGGCCATAAGGGTGATGATGGTGGTAGTGGGAAGAGCGAGTTTGGTGTGAGCGAAGCCTTAGTCTCTACAGGAAAAGAAGTTGGATTTGGAGTGTCCTTGGGTGTTTCGTGGCGCTTCTGTAAAGAACGGAGTCGCCTTTCTTCCGACATCTCTCTTTGCTTGTCGAGCTTCGTCGTGCATATTTCCCCCTTGGCCGCTTCCTCCGCCTTCACCTTATCGGCTTTGCTCAGTTTGGGTACTCTTGCTAGCAGCGCTTTCAAGTCGTCGAATTGTTGTAGTTGCTCCGCGGTGAAGGGGCATTCGGTACGCATCCTCTCCTCGAATGCTTCCCTCAAGAGTCGCGTGCTCTCTTTCTCTTTTTGATACGGAAACATGACTTGATAGAGTCTGATGATATGAAGATGGACCTTTCTGGTAGTAGCACCTAGCCAGTACGAGATCTAAAAGCGAGATTCAGTCGCGGGGTCCGGAGTTGAGGTGGTGGTGAGATATTGTTTAGCCCAGGTGGTGAGTGATGGCTAGTGTATGATCCGAGACCGTGAAGAGTTTCTACACCTGCTTGCTAGCAAGCTAAGTACCGCGTTGATTGCGGTGGTCTCATGTCGAGCCGGATAGGGCGAGATCACTTGTACGCAGTCTCTGGATGTGGCACATCGACATCAACCTGACACTGGAGTTAGTCCCATCGTTTCATGATTTCCCCTCCATCTCATACTCCACATACCTGTCCGTACTGCTGTCCGTCTTTGTACGCAGTTGGCCGTCTATCATCCATCTCCACGCTCCAAATTCCACCTTCTGCTTCTTCCTCGTCTTCCAGCTTTCGGTACCTGCTTTTAGACCCAGGCATACGCATCTCGGCATTCACGATTGCCGCTTTGTTCTTTCGATCGCGTTTGTTCTTGCATATGACCAGACTGATGATGAGACAGAACATGCCGACAGTAGCGAGGACAGAGAGGATGATGACGACGATGAAACCGCGCTTTTGGGCATCGTTCTCGAAGATGGAGTTTCGGGGGGTAACATGATGAGTTTTGATGGGTAACGACATGGTAAAATGTTCCAGGCAACGATCCGATGTTGGAAAGTGTGAATTACGGTATCGCTAGATTGTATAGGAACGAACGATAGAAATGACGATCGCAAGGTATGAAGAAGACGCAGCACACCTACGATATAAACCTGTCTCGCCTTGTCTCAAGATACCCACACAGCCGCCTCCTTCTCGACACCGCTTTGCTCACTGTTCATGATCTCCCCCAGGGTGGTACGTCCCCAATGACTCCACTCGGTCCGCCTTAAAATAGCGACTTGCGTTGTGCGATGTCTCCTGCCAATCGTAATAACAACGTGTCGTGCGAGCATGACGTGGCGATGTCCGTGTATGTAATCCTAACACTTCGAAGCAGCCCTCAATGATAAACGTCGAGATCGTCACATTAGAAAGAAAGTTGAACGGTGCGTACTAGGAACTGTGAAAACATAAAAATAGAGAATTAGGCATTCAGGATTGGTGGCGCAGGTGTGGGCGGCCTTGTGCAAAGCTCAGATCTTAGTCGGTAAGATGAGATGTGGGGACCTTTGTTCGTGTTCATCAAGACATTCAGGCTCGCTGATTCAGCGGCTACCTCGGGATATGAGATATGTAAAAGAAGCTGACGACGTTTAAATCCTAAGCGATCATCTTCCGCAAAGGAGACCAACTCATCTTAATTCAAGTTACCCAGATTTTAGTTGCCACGAAGCTGTCACAATTGTTCTAGGGGCAAAAATCCAACCGATAATAAAGATGTGCGCGAAAAGATGTGTGCTGGATAGATGGATCCTGTATAACCAACGCCATGAAAAGCATGAGCACATGCTATATTCAACTTCGTAACGTCACCGACAATCATGCTTCATAACCTCCCTCATTCCCAAACACCCCTCATTACCGTATGCGAAAAAGGAACACGGGCCGAAGCCCGGACAACACAACATAACGATCATATACGACACCCCATTCGTCTCCACCTCCACTACATCCTCCTATAATTCTCCGCCAACCCCTCGAATTCGTCCAAGCTCTCCACGCCACCTCCAGGGCACTTCCAATCCCTCTCATACGCTTTATCCGGCAAGATGCCCGCCTCGCGCCCCCGCCTATAACTCCACTGTGTACTCTTCTCTGTCTCCCACGTCCAGTAGAACCAGCCCCAACCAGCTTCAAAAGCATCCATCTGGCCGATAGCAAACTGGTACAGCCACTTTTTGTATTCGTCAGAGTAATTGCTAGGGTCGGCGTTGGCTTGGTCGCAGGAGCACTGGGAGGATTCGAGCGGACATTGCGGGGCGAGTACTGCACCCGACTTGTCCGAGGCTTGCAGAGTGCCTTCCCAGCGTGTACCGGTATTGACATTGTTGATGTACTGCGTGCAGTCTGTGTCTGCTTGGGACCATTCTCCGCACATGGTGGGACCGAAACCGGTCTTCTTGTCCATGGAGCGCTTGGACTGCTGAGTCCATGCTTCGCAGGCAAAGTTCAGCTTGTCCCGGTGCTTAAGCTTGATTTGGTCCGTGTTGAAGATGACATATTGGTGCACGTCGAGGAGGAGGTCGTCGTTGCCTTGGAGCTTACCCTGCCAATTGTCGAGGCCCATGAAGCCATCGCCAAAGATAATGATGCCCTTTATGCCGTCGGCGCGAATTTGGTCAATGGCCTTTTGCGTCCAGGCGACGACTTTGTCGGTGTCGAGTTCCACGTTGCGTGGCTCGTTGACGAGACCGTACATGGTTACTACATTCTTGTAGCGGTCTTGCGCGAAGAAGACAGAGAGCTGGTGATGGACGTCTAGTGTGCGTTGGGCATTCTTGTCACCGTCTGTGCCATTCAGCCAGTTGATCTGGCCTTGACGGCCGGAGTGGTTCCAGCCATTCTGACTACCTGGTGCGCCGTGAAGATCAAGATTCACGCGTAGTCCGTTTTGGCGACAGTACTCGATACCACGCAAAAGGTAGCGCCATGATACCTGAGGTACGTAGACATCGTCGTCGTAGGTCCTCACCATCCAATAGCCGAAGGGGAAGCGAACATGGTCCATGCCAGCCTCCCTGATCTCAGCAAAGGTCTGCTTGGTGATGAAGGTGGAGTAGTGCTTTTCTAACGTGTCTTTGGCCTTCGCAGGTCCAAGTTTGCTGAGAAACGTCCATTCGTCCACTACATTGTCTTTGGATCCATACTGAGAGAAGTAGGAAGGAGTGATGAAGGGTTCGAGGTTGAGCCAGCCACCGACGTTTACGCCACGTATGGGCGTCTTGCCATATTCGAACGAGTCTGAGAGCTTCGGTACAGAAGGGTTTGCTTGGACGTCATCGTCCCAAGTGGAGTTCAGACCGATGATGGGTAAACCGCCGACGAGTTCGTTGGTGTAGGTAACGTTGAAGTCCTGGGTATCGTACCATGCCCATGGATCCAGGATGCCGCCTCGATCTGCTTCTGGTACGCTGTTTCGGTCCTTCCCAGCTAGGTTGTCTTTGTTTGGCCCCGGCGAGGTGGCCGCGGATGAGCTCCCTTCGCCTGTCTCGTCGTTCTTGCTTCCTTTGCTCGAATGCAGAACAGCTACAGGTATGATGATAGCGAGGAGTACCACAACGGCGACTATTGCGAATATTATACGCTTTTTGTTCTTCTTCCTCCGTGCCAGCTCCTCCTCTGTGTATACTGTTGGCGGACCGCTGCCCGCGCCTCCACGCTTCTCCATCATGTATCGGTACTCGGAGTCGTCATCGTCGATGCGGCCTTCTTCAGCCAAAGGACCGCTAATAACGCGACGCTTCTTCTGCTCTGTGCGGTATTGCTTCTCTTTCCGCCTCCGTTCTCTTCGCTCCTCAGCTTCCGACGGTGTGTATTTGGGCTCTTGCCTGCGTCTTCTTTCCTCTCGCTCGTCCTCTGTATATGTGCCTCTCGTTCTCTCGAGCTCATCATCGGTCTGACTTTGCTTCAGCGCAGCAGCCTTCCGCCTTTCTTCCCGCCGTTTCCTAGCCTTTTCTTCGAGCAGGGCGGCATCGCTCTCTGCAGCGCGTCGTCTAGCCTCCTGCTCTTTTTGTTCTCGCCTCTTCTCTTCTCGCTCCTCCTTCAATCTCTCCTTCTCCAAGTTCTTTTCTTTCCTTCTGACTTCCTTTAGGTATTCGTCGTCATAGTCGTAGCCTCCCCAACCTCCAGCCTTCTTCGCATTGCTCTTGTCGAGCTTCGCTATCGCATCAAGACTGAGAGGGGCTGAGCCTCGACTCCCACTTCCACTGCCCTTTGACCTAGAATTACGCCGCGAACCTCGTGCCTGACGTGGGGCCGGGGATTCCTGCTCTGTGTCGCTTTGGTGCCTCGAAGGTCTTCGTGGTTTTGGAAGTAGGTCGCCTGAGGAGTCTGTCGCCCTGTGTCCTTTTCTCCGCCTTCCCTCCTGGTCGTAAACTGTATGTTCACCTCGGGATTCTCTCCGTCTTCGTCGTTCAGGGTCCACGTCGCCGTGAGATTCTCTGCGTCGTCGTCGTTGGTCGCCTTGTGGTCGTCTGCGCGACGGGTCACGCTCGCGGTCGCTCATTGGAAAGAATGGTGGTGGTGGTTATAGCAGTGTAACGAAAGCGCGGTGTAGAAACGAGGGGCTAGCATGCACTTGATAGAACGCCTGAAAAAGCACGAAAGGAAGAATAACACGCTCAATCGTCTTCGCCAGCTCTCGGGCGCATGTGAATATCGGTAGCGAATATGTATAATCAGCGGCTGGGCACATGCACGAGGTTGGGCTTGCTGGGGTGTTGGTGTCGTTGCTGTGGAGACGTGGTGTTGATAGCGTGCCTGACGTGGCCGAGCACTGGGCGCCACAAGCCGCTTGGATAGCTATCTTGGAAAGCGCAACAAACTTGGACATAAGACGAGGAATCGGCCTTGTGTAAATGTTATTGATGTTTGACATGGCGGGTATCACGGTGACGATGCTCTCAGCTAATACTTGGAGTACTTGGTAGTAGAAAGGCTGCGTATGCTTCTGTGGCTATGCCAGAAACACAAACAAACTGCAGGAGACTTTCCTTCGGACACTAGAGCATGTTGCACACTGGATGGCATCTCATGAAAAAGGCCATAACGTCATCCGGGAATATCATATCTGGACAAAGCCTTGAAGACCCTGCCCCGAAGATTAGCAACGGCAGGGAAGATCTGCCCACGCAGCCGCGGCCTCGCTTCTGAATGACATCACTGTTCCTGTCATAGTTAGCAAGTCGCTGCGTGCACCTCTACGCTCCGTGGACATTGCAAATCAGGGTTGAAAAATTATCATCATGCATTGTTGAATATGTGTGTGGTATCATAGCTAGAAATGTACAAAAACAATGCGCCGTTGGTCATAAGGGTTTATGCAGCTCTTTACCCTTTTCAGCCAATCAAGCCTGTGGAGGCCCACCCGTGCCTCTCTAATAAGCCGGCATTTAGGTGATCGTGACGGTGTAATGAGAGTACCGTCTGTACAATGCCAATTCAGATTGCCACCCAAGCGTAATTATGGACTAGCGTTGACGGCACCACGCGGCGCGGCAGCCCTGTCGGAAGTGGTGGTACATGCGATTCTCAGTGCGCGAAGGGATCATCGCAGATCCGTAGTTGAAATCATTCAAGAAGCGGAAACGCTCTGCGAAGATCCAGGAGCGTCGGCAGATACTGTCTCTTTGCCCTTGTCTGCTGCCTTTTTCTCGTCGTCGCTGTAGAGACCGTGTTCGTAGATGTAGTCGACGACCTTATCCGGGATGTAGTAGCGGATGCTCTTACCCCTCTTACGGAAGAGACGGATCTTGGTGGAGGAAACGTCGTTCTGGATGAGTTGCGGAATCACGCGGATGTTCTCCCTCCACTGCTGGAGTTGTACGAGCGCGTCGTCTGTACATGTTAGTGGTTGTAGAGCACTATGCTTTAGATTCAACACACCAATATCGGTACCACTGCGCTCGAGAATGAAGGCGCCATAGTGTCCCAGAATCCTGCTCAAATCCTCGCGAGCCCACAGGCCGGGTGTGCTCATGGTCTGGATGAGGTCGGCGCCTGCGAGCAGCGCCACATGGATGGTCTTCTTCTGGCCGTCCTCGGTCGCGATGCCTCCCATAACCTCGTTTAGTTCATGGTCGAAGTGGTCAAGCACCTTGACGGTCGGGAGATACTCCTTGTGTAGCGGCTCCCATGGGTCAACTCCAATCCACTTCGAGCTGTCCTGTACAGCGATCCTCGTCATATTGATTCGGTGTTGTGCGGAAGCTAGCCCAGCTTTCTTGTATGCGTCGCCGACGGGGCTGAAGAATCCGCCTACAACCTCGTATTCGGTTTCGAATTCGCAGTAGTCGGCTGCCTCTTCAAACATGCGCAGGTGTAGGTTGGTTGGTGGTGAAAAGGAACCGCATGATACGAGTACAAGGGGTTGCTTCTTGGGATTTGAGAGGATCTTCTTCAATCGCTCCTTGGGGAATGTGTAGTTGTCGAGCGACATGGCTTCAACGTTGGGTATTCCGGCGTCGAGCAGGATGTCGCGGTTATCTGTCGAGGACATGGCGGCGACAGCGATTTTACTTGTTGCGATGCGCGGGCGGATAGCGAGGGGTGACCTCGGAGGGGTGAGTGGCCGGCTATGTAGTGGTGAACTGCGGAGGTAACGGCGGGGTGGGGTCGCGGTGACAGGTAGGATGTGCGTTATATTTCTAAAAGGCAAGGTCAGTTGCCGGCGGGAGGGGAGCATTTATGAGTGAAAGGCTTACGAATACCGCGATAAACGGGGTCACCGGGAGACTACTGAGAGACTAGGCAGTAGTAAGAAGTGAGTCGATAGGAGCCTTGTTATGACGCGGGGGCAGCGAGGCGACACCCGATGGAACTATGTTTTCAGGCAGTGGGCGCAACAAGACGGGCTAGATGAGACTGCAAAGGTGGGATATGCCTGGATCGGATAGAGGGAAATAGGTGCACAGCGCAATCCGGCCGTGGAGGAGGGGGCATCTTGTACCATTTTACGTTTGCTTCTAGGCGGCCGTCGAGACGCTGGAACGCGGGCGGCGGGGCTGCCCAGGGTTCCTCTTTTTGCCTGCAACCGCACTTCTCGCCGTCCCATAACTCCGGCGCTCCAGCCAACCTGAGCCGCAAACTTTGTGTGGCGCCCGCATATGAAACGCCTTTTGCATCCGAACATTCGCCAAATGGCAAGCCAAGTCTGCAAACTGCTCGAGGAGAAGTGGGAGAGCTCACGTGGGCGTGTCGGCATTTCCCCGACCCCACAGGTACCCGGTTGTGTCTTCGAATTAGTCTTCTTGGGCCTAGGATCCGTATGCTGAACAATCAGAATGCTTGGCCCTAAAGCGGACGCGATTGCTCGTCTTGGAACTGGGTTACGCCGACCCTGACTTGCAACTGTAGGCGCTAGAGATGACTGGAAATGGGCTGATTACTCACTAGGGAACCCTGAAGGGAAGTCGGAGGACAGAGTCGCTGTAGGCTAACAGGACCCGAAAGTGAATCAAGTTTACGGTGTACCTATGAAGCATGTTGAATGTTGGCGTGATGAATTGAACAATTTGGGAAGACTTCGTAGCCTAGAAGTCGTGACGACACTTCTCAGCCCCAATGCGTGCGGCCATACACGACTCGCCGGGAGGTGTTGATAACAACGTATCCAGCAGTGACGTGCGCACTGCTTCCTCGACACACACCCTCAAGCCTTGGAAGATGATTCAGCCCCAATGCTTTCGTCTCAACCCAGTCGGGCTGGATAACCAGAGATCAAAATGGAAGACCGCAATTGCCAGATAGACTGATGAAAGGCAATGCAAGAGTGTTCAGGAGCTCCATTATTCATCATCTATCCACCGCTGGAACTGCGACAATGCAACAACAAATGCGCGAGGTGAGTACTAATGGTGAGTACTGCACAGGCAGGCGCAGGTCATACTTGATACGGTGACTGCGACCCTCTATCGATAACAGCAAAGGCGCTAGTCAGGTCACGTAATTAGCTCCCTCTGGCATGCAGGTGGGTATCGACGTCTAGCATTCGCCAGCGTCACTACAGCATTACCATCTCTTTCTATTACCCATCACACTACCAGAGCAATACACTCGTTTGCTCTGTTTGATTCCACCCACCGCCCTGACCGCCACCAACGCCTTCCCTGTGTTTGCACCTACCGCACTCGCTTGAGCACGCCTAATGGCGCGTCCTTGATGGCATCCAGAGGACCTCGTGAAAGGTAAATACCTTCCTACTCGACCCTTGGCCGCTGCAGTTTTCTTCCACCCCACGGTTCAACACCATCAACTGCTGTGGTTCTCAACCAAGTCTCACGTTGCTTTGCCGAAACAGAAGTGCTGCACCCACCGGGGCCACAGTCTGCGCGCATCTCGATTTCACAAGCCTGTATTCACAATCTCATGTCGTCCAGAGTCACTCGCTCGCAAAGGCGCCAACCCGCCAACACCAACGACAATTCACCGCCCGCACCTCCCCCATCCGCAGCCCTCCCGCCGCCCGCACCAGCTTCTTCACGCAAGAGGAAGACTTCAGCGCGAGACCCCAGCCCAGACCAACTGGACAACGCAGAACCACAACCGAAACGTGGTGCTCGCAACAAGCGAACCAAAGTCGACGCTCAAGACCCGCCCGCTCCACCTGCAACCAAGGCTAAGAAAGCTAAAGGCAAAGCAGTCATGTCTTCATCTGGGTCTGTGCCAGCCGCTCCAACGCCAGAGTATGCGCTGACTAAAGACAGCCCACCATCAGATCCTATCGACGAGAAGTCGACGCCACAACCCTCGAAACGATCCAAGAGTGGCCGCAAGAGCAAACCCTCTAGCGCCGCGCAAGACGCCGATACTCCTTCCACATCTCGCCGAAGCTCACGAAAGTCGAACAAGGCCGAAGACGATACAAGCATGGACGACGCACCCGCAAACAACGCTGAGGAGGAGACGCGCCAGTCTGGCGAGGACCATACCAGCGACGACGAGAACGGTGACGAACACGGAGAGCGATACGATGACGATGACGACGACGATGACGATGATCCCTTCACCAGTGGCTTCCTTGGACGCAATTCACACAGCCTCTCTGCGCTCAGGCAGCTTACTGGCATGATGGCGGGCACAACACAGCGCCTGCGGGGCATCTTGGACCAACTACGGTCGCCAGACATGTCCATACAGCTAATTGCGTTGCAAGAGCTGTCCGAGGTACTTCTCATCTCTACCGAAGACAACCTGGCTGGCCATTTCTCCCCCGATGCCTATGTCAAGGAGCTGGTTAGGCTCATGCAGCCGAACGAGTTCACAATGGAAGAGAACCCAGAGCTCATGTTGCTCGCCTGCCGATGCTTGGCCAATTTGATGGAAGCTCTGCCTCAAGCGACCGCCAACGTCGTTTACGGTGGCGCCGTGCCTGTTCTCTGCTCAAAGTTGCTTGAGATTAACTTCATCGATCTTGCAGAGCAATGTCTGAGCACGTTGGAGAAGATCTCTGTCGAATTTCCGGGAGTTATTGTACGGGAAGGCGGTCTAACAGCGTGCCTGACGTTCCTCGATTTCTTCGCCACAAGCACTCAGCGAACAGCCGTCACAACAGCCGCCAACTGCTGTCGAAACATCCCAGAGGATTCCTTCCCAGTCGTGCGCGATGTCATGCCCATCCTCGAAAACATCCTGAACAACAACGATCAGAAAGTCGTGGAGCAAGGCTGCATCTGCGTATCAAGGATCGTTCAGAGCTTCAGACAGCAAGAGAGCAAGCTGGAGGAGCTGGTCAGCCCAGGACTTCTCAAGGCGATCCTACGACTTCTCCTCCCAGGGAGCACAAACCTCATTGGACCCAGCATTCACACTATGTTCCTTCAGGTGCTCGCTTATACGGCAAAGGCGAGCCCACGTCTATCAGCTGAGCTTTTGAAGACGAACGTGGTCGATACTCTATATCAGATCCTCACTGGTGTTTCGCCTCCTAGCGGCACTGAAGACGTCGCAGCGAAAATCGACTCGGTGGTCATCATGCAAGCTCTGATTCATCGGCCCAAGGACCAGGTATTCGAGACGTTGAATGTCATTTGTGAACTGCTCCCTGATGTCTCAACCGATGGTCTCACTTACCTTGACGATCTCTTCGATGCGGGTTACCCAGGCGACGATCTTCTTCCGCTCTCATCTACGAACAAGAAGACTGCGAACGAGAAGCGCGTTGAGCTGCTGGAAGATTGCAAAGCAGAGGTTAAGCGCTTCGCTGTGATTCTTCTGCCGACTTTGACAGATGCTTACTCGAGCACCGTCAACCTCAGTGTTCGGCAGAAGGTGCTCACCGCACATCTCAAAATGCTGTCAAATCTGGACACCGATATTCTAGAGGAAGCCCTACGGCCAGTTCCGTACGCTTCGCACTTGGCATCAATCTTTACCCAGCAAGATCATCCATCTTTGGTGACTTTTGCATTGCAGGCTGCTGAACTGCTACTTAAGCGACTGGAGCCCATTTATCGATACCAATTCTATCGTGAGGGCGTCATCTCCGAGATCTCACAACTGGCAAATCGCCCATCCAAGGCACTGGAAACCAAGCCTAAAGACTCGAAACCAGCAGTTGGGGTTGAAGCGGCAGCTGAATCAGGCGCTAGCACTGTTTCCTCTGGTGAGCACGAGGTCGAACCGCATTCGAGCGAAGGTGTGGATGTGGAAATGCAATCTGACGATGGAGAGGATGTGGATCCGGATGACGAGCAAAACGAGAGCAGCCACAACCGGGACGAGGATGACGACTCGGATTCTTCATCATCTTCTGACGAGCGGGAACCACCACCGATGCCCAACGTCGAAGACATCATCACGCTGCGTGCCAAGAAGTTCATTGAGGCTCACGAGAAGGACTCCGATAAGCCTATACGCGACAAAGCTTCGGCGGTCCTAGATGACCTAAAATCGCTCGCTGAGAAGATCAAGGAGTGCGTCGCTGATGGTAATGCAAGTGATTGCATGACCCTGTTCACTCGGCTGGCTTCTTATTTCGAAGGTGATGCTTTGGAGAGCATTACAAGCTACGAACTCAAGACCTCAAAAATTGTGGAAGTGTTGTTGGAGTTGTTTTCGACCCCTACAACGAACAAGAATGTTGACCCCAGGCCTATCTTCTTGGAAGCCTTTATGGGAGGTAGTAGCCAGAGCAAGATCAAGACCGCGAGCACTGCATCTCCAGCTACGCCTTTTAGTGTGTTGGTCCACAAGCTCCAAGATTTGCTCAGTAGGTCTGAACACTTCGATGTGATCACCGTTCACCAGAACATGTACGATAGTCGAGGAAGCGCGACTTCAATGCTCGCAAAGCAGCTCAGGCTCAAGCTTGTCGCCGATGACGAGTCGGGCATTCCAAAGACATACAGGAACATCATGGTTTCCATTCACGCCATTGCAACATTCAAAGCCTTGGACGACTACCTTCGACCTCGCATTAGCCTGGCGGATCGACCACGACCGTCCAAGTCTCGGGACCAGTTTCCCTCCAGGGATCAATTTGAGGCCATGTATGCTCAAGCTCTGTCTGAAGGACGTGCGCCTCCACCACCGCACACACCTTCTGGCACAGCAAATCGTGCTTCGAAGAAGTCTTCACGATCCAAGGGTGCTCCGACTGATTCACCCCAACCAGGACCGAGCTCAGCTACCCGAGAGAAGTCCCGGCGATCCAGTAGGCGTCAACAGAATCAGCTTCCTCCACCACCGCCACCACCTCCAGCCAAGGCACAATCGCAAAGCAGCCAAGATCCAGTCGAATGCGCTGATGAAGCGCAGCTCTCTGATGGAGATTCCATGGATGAGGACAGCGCCTTGAATGCTATTGTTGACGAATTGGACGATGAGCTGGACGAGGACATGGCAGATCCATCAGCTGTTAGTGTTGAAGTTGCATCAACAGGACAAGCCACTGCTCGGGAAGAGGATGGCACCAGGATCGCCACGCCAGTGCAAAACACGCCGTTGGCAAAACCACCTGCTGAGAACCGAACGCCATCATCCCGTTTGTCCGCGCTACTTCAAAGCTCGGCCGCTATGCGCCAACAATTGGGTGGTGCGGCAAGTGCGCTTTCATATGCTGCCGCTGTGCAGTCAACCCCTCAAGACTGGCACATCGAGTTTAGTGTGAACGACCAGCCACTTTCAAATGAGACGACAATCTACCGCGCTGTGCATTTCAGTCAAGCTCAACCACAGGATGGATCACATCGCTCCGTTTGGAATGGCATTCATACTATTAAGTTCAAGCGGGTCCAGGGCCCTCCACCAAGCGAGCCCAGCTCCTTGACACCACCTCCAGAGTCACGATCGGATGTCTCCGGTATGCCAGCCTCACTTGATCAACACCCTGTGACGTCTGGTATCCTGCGATTGCTAAGTATACTCCACGGGCTGAACTCGCACCTTGACGACATTCTGCTTGCGAACAAGGAACAAGTCAAGCTGAATGCCGAGCCACTCTCACAGTTTGTCAACACGAAGCTTACGGCGAAACTGAACCGTCAGCTGGAAGAGCCTCTCGTGGTAGCGAGTAACTGTCTCCCCAGCTGGAGCGAGGATCTGGCACGTTTCTACCCATTTCTGTTCCCATTCGAGACACGCCACCTCTTCCTACAGTCCACCTCGTTCGGCTACTCACGGTCGATGACACGATGGCAGAACTCGCAGCCCACGAGCGATTCACGTGATAGTCGACATAGGGACGAGCGCCCATTCTTGGGTCGCCTCCAACGCCAGAAAGTCCGCATCTCTAGATCACGCATCCTAGAATCTGCGATGAAAGTGATGCAGCTCTATGGGCATTCTGCCAGTGTCCTGGAAGTGGAGTACTTTGAGGAAGTTGGAACCGGTCTAGGACCAACACTGGAGTTTTATTCCACTGTGTCGCGTGAGTTCTCGAAGAAGAAATTGAAGCTCTGGCGAGAGAACGAGTCCAACGACAGTGACGAATACGCTTTCGGTAAGCGAGGTCTCTACCCGGCTCCTATGAGCGCCGAGGAAGCGAGCACCGAGAATGGCGAGAAGCGTCTTGAGCTTTTCAAAATCTTGGGTAAATTCGTTGCCCGCTCTATGCTGGACTCTCGCATTATCGACGTCTCTTTCAACCCGACCTTCTTCCGCATTAGCGATGGCACTAGCGCAGCGGTTGCACCCTCTCTTGGAGCCATTAAGGCCGTTGATGAAGATCTAGCCAAGTCTCTGCTACTCCTCAAGCAGTTTGCCGATGCGAAGAAGAAGGTCGACAACGACAACATGAGCGCAACAGCAAAGTCCGCAGCCCTGCAAGACATAGTCATCCAAGACTGCCGGGTAGAAGATCTAGCTCTGGACTTTACACTTCCAGGCTATGATTCAATCGAGCTTATCCCGAATGGTGCGGATACACCAGTCACAATCGAGAATGTCGACACATATGTGGAGAAGGTCATTGACTTTACGCTTGGCTCCGGTGTACAGCGACAAGCGGACGCTTTCCGCGCAGGCTTTACAGAGGTCTTCCCATACTCTGCTCTCAAGGCGTTCACCCCGGATGAGCTAGTCATGCTGTTCGGCCGGACAGATGAGGATTGGTCGCTAGAGAGTAAGTTTCCCAGCATCCAACTGTTGATCATTGTTACTAACCGCATCTCAGCTCTTATGGATTCCATCAAAGCGGATCATGGCTACAACCTCGACAGCAAGAGCGTGCGCAACCTACTCGCCACTATGAGCGAGTTTGATGCACAGGAGCGTAGAGACTTTTTGCAATTCATCACCGGTAGCCCCAAGCTCCCGATTGGAGGTAAGTTCATCCCCTACTTATTCCATGACGGAAACTCATCATACTAACACTTCCATAGGCTTCAAGGCTCTCACGCCAATGTTTACGGTTGTCTGCAAGCCCAGCGAACCACCCTTCACATCTGATGACTACCTGCCTTCTGTCATGACGTGCGTCAATTACCTGAAGATGCCGGATTATAGCACTGTTGAGATTCTGCGCGAGAAGCTTAGTGTGGCTATAAGGGAGGGCCAGGGGGCTTTCCACCTCTCTTAGACTGCTGGATGAGTGGGTGGTGGTAGAAGTGACGGTTACACTCGTGGGAAATGAGGAGGATGGAATTGTGGGAGCATAGTAGGAGTAGGGCAGGAAGAATATGGGATACCCTGGGGCTTTTTCCGTACGGGGCGCCAGGGGACATAGTTTTACGCTTTTTTCTTCTTTGCTAGGACATGTATAGATTTAACGCCTTTACCACGACGATGTTTGTGGGTTTCGAGTATGCATTGTAAAGTTAGGGGATGGATGGGATGGGGGCGTTTCTGAAGGTAGGTAGTTTAGTCTGTAGAATTCAGACTTTAGAACCGTAAAGGGATTTATGACTACCCTGTTTCAATGAGTTGATTGTCGCTGATGTAGATATTCTCTAGTCAGAGCGTTGTTTTCAGTGTGCATTCATCGCCAATCACATCGTGGCTGTACTGAGAGCATACTGGATTCTATCCGAGCTCTGCTTTCGATTGCGTTGTCAGAAGGCCAACTCTGGTAGCAAACTCTACTAGAAAGATGTGAGTTAATTTCGTAGATGCCTTTTTCCGGTACTGCTCATTCATGAGGTATCGGAGTGTATTTATACTATGCGTTGTGGAAGCTGTCAATAGATTCTCTGTTTTGCGTCACCAGAATACCACGGGATAAAGTCGATGATACCAAAGCATGCATTGCTCACACTAAGATCACTTCTACGCTATCATCTCCCTTAGCACAGCTCCCATCCATAATACCTTGCAAGTATGTTTCTCCTACCAGTCGGTGTTGTACTGGTGATTCAGACTGTCTCCGCAGTATGAACGGTACATTGGAACCGTGGATTACCCAGACTTCGTCTCCGACCTTGGTATTTGGGAATGATAGACCAATACGACCTGAAGATGTCACGTAAAATATCCTCCGGTCCAATGCATTTACACAGGCTGTTCTGTATCGCCTGGGTAAAGATTTATATGCCTTGCCCGTTGCCCAAAACTCGCTCCATTCGCTATCAGTGGGAAGATCGACGTCATTCTCCTCAAGCAGTTCTGAGCGGCCAGGTCCCCGGTGGATAACGCCGCCACACAAAACTCTGGCAAAAGCATCAACTGCTCCATCAGTTCTAACTGGGACTCCGTTTTCATCGCAAGTGCGTCGCCCGCTTTGAAGGGCTTCCGCAAGCTTATGCGACCCCCAGATATATGTTTCTATGGCCATGGCTTTTACTCGATCGATGAGAAGTCCATGTGTCAGTAAACGCTTTCGGTCCTTCACTTCGAGCTTCTCAGACAGACCTCCACAGGCTTTGAAGAGATGATAATCTTCATGGGCGCGCCTGATCTGAGATATTGGATCGAAGACTGCAGAGAAGTCACGCACCCAGGAAGGCAGGTTGAACCTTTCGCTATTGAATCCCTGGCCAAGTAGGCACCGGGGACTCATGTCGGCCTCTTCTAGCAGCTTACAAAATGCCTCCACATAGACCTCTGACACTTCCTTCGTGTAATCGGGGTATAGTTCGATTTTGGAAGAGCCAGATAGTCCCAGGAGACAGTATATCTTGTCTAGAGGGTTGGAGCATTGTCGATTGATGTAGGCAAAGCTGACATCGGAAAATGTCTTGAAGCCCCGTGCTACGCGACGTGATGCTTCTAAGGTATGAACATAGCTCCTTACATGGATCACGGACCTTATTTGTCTTCTGCTGATCTTCAGATGAGCGTCCTTACAACAACAGTCAGAATGATTAGAAACGCCATCCCGCAGGTTTTGCCGAAACAAATAAAAACTCTTCCAGGGGGTTCTCCATGTACCATATATGACGACAGCTTGGTTTGGTAGAATGACCTCCTGTACCGTCCAAGCCCTGTGCCACCATGAACTTTCAGCAAGAAGCCCAAATCCTTTCCAAATGGAAATGAAATCTGCGTTGTTGGTGTCCAATTTCCAGGTATCAGTGCCTTGTTTTTTATGATAGCCCGGTAGTTCGTAGAAATGCTTGTCGGCTGCGAAATGTTCCACGAGTGCGAAAGGGTTGCTTCGCACCAGATCGGAGTCGCCTGGAGAACCAAGCCAGATGTACACTTGTTCGCACAATTTATAAACCAAGTCCATGTGTGATACTTGATGGGACTTCTCGATGTTGTCCATTTGATCGATGCAAATGGCATCCACCCAAATAACGATCGATTCATCGGGAGAGCGGATATCCTGCAGTGCGTGAAACAAGTTTGCTCCAACTCCTATCTTCTCGTCGTTGACGTGGACATAGTCGACAATCGCAGCATCACCCCATGTATACGAGAGAGCAGTATATGGCGGTCGTTTTGGATCATTGAGATCTATCTTCGACAACGAAGCTTCAATTGTAGTACCTCTGACACCCGGTTGTATGCAGAGTACTCTGATACTCTTTTCGTCTGATGGAAGCGGAAATTGTTCGTGAAACGTGTGAGTGGTCGTGATACTCCGGCGGGTTTGGCTGCGTGTAACAGCCATGACTATGTTGGATCTAGGGAAGATGAATAGCTAGAACCATGAATGCAGCAAAGCAAGCGAACTTAGAGGTTGACCCAGCCAAGTTTCTGCACTGCCTCACTGGGATCAGGCTGCAGCCACAAGGCCGACCAATGACATCACTACACGCATATAAATTAAGCGAGTGTCATCCAAAAATGCTAATGGTCAAAACGTATGCAAGTCGTGTATATGCTGTTTGCAAGTACTTTTCTCTCAAGATCCCTGACGACAAAAGACTCCGCGTTAAATGTAAATAGCATTATCCGTTAAATGATCGTGAGCCTAAAACCATTCCAGTCTCTATCATTACATAGCCAAACCAAATACCTTGTTGCGGTACAATCGTCTTATTCCCTCACATCCTGCATTTCGAAGGTATGTGTGCCGATAAACTCCTCGCCATAGTATTGATCTAGTCTTCCTCCTGGGAGTCAGCGAGAGCGGAGTCGGCGTCACCAGCAGACTGGCTCTTGCTACCTGAGGTCTTTCCATTGCCAGAAACTGCGTTGGAAGCGCCGGTTGAAGCGCCAGTGTTGGAAGAAGCACCAGCAGCGCCAGTAACACCAGTGTTGGAAGTAGCGCCAGTGTTAGCACCAGTATTACCAGTAGCACCGTTGCCAGTGGCCGCACCAGTTCCAGTAGTGGAGCCAGTGGTAGACTGTCCAGCGCCAGTACCGGCCGAGCTACCCTGGGTAAGCTGACCTGTTCCCTGCTGAGTTCCAGTAGTAGAGCCAGTACCCGCAGCACCAGTTCCTTGCTGAACACCAGTAGCAGAGCCAGTTCCTGTTGAGCCAGTTCCTGCAGCACCGGTACCAGCAGCACCAGTACCAGTCTGCTGGCCAGGAACGGGAGGAGCAGCTCCACCAGCCGGGGGAGCAGGAGGGGCAGCACCGCTTGCAAGAGGGGCGGGAGGAGCTGGGGGAGCAGCACCACTTGCAAGAGGGGCGGGAGGAGCAGCACCGTTGGCAGGAGGGGCTGGGGGAGCCGCGTTACCAGCGAGACCAGCAGTGGCAGGAGTGGCAGCTCCGGCGGCCTGTTGGCCTTGACCAGCACCTATGATGTGTCAGTGTCTATGCTTGGGGTTATGAAATCTTAGAAAACTTACCGGCAGTGGGAAGGTTAGCCTGGCCGTTTCCAGCTTGACCATTGGCACCAGTGTTACCACCTGCTGCGGCTGTGCCGTTGTTGGCTGCGCCCTGGAGAAAGTTAGCATGTGTGGAAAGTTTGAAATGATAAGTACTCACGTTGGCACCAGCAGCCCCTGCGGCACCCTTGTTGCCTTTACCCTTACCCTTACCCTTGCCTGCACTGTTGCCGTTCGCAGCGCCGGCAGCAGCAGTGTTGGCAGTACCGGCAGTGTTAGCAGCACCGGCAGTGTTGGCAGCTCCAGCAGTAGCAGCGTTGCCACCAGCAGCGCCGCCGCCCGTCAGTCCACCAAGAAGGTCTCCAAGACCTCCAGCTCCACCTGCCGCTCCACCTGCCGCGTTGCCGCCAGCCGCACCGCCAGTAAGGCCGCCAAGGAGGTCACCAAGTCCTCCAGCGCCACCAGCACCGCCAGCACCTCCTGCTCCTCCAGTCAATCCACCGAGGAGTTGGTCAAGCTGACGCTTGGTCTTGAGCTTCTCGGTGGAAAGCTTGCGGACGGTGGAGACGAAGTGTGCAGGCATCTTCTGTCCACCAGTGGTGTCAACCCATCGCTTTCCAAGACCAGCGTTGGTGAAAGGAGCCGGAGCCGCAACAGCGGAGGCAGCCAAAGAGGCGATGAGAATGGAGGAGTCGAACTTCATTTTGATAGTTGAGAAAGATTGAGATGAACTGCCCGGCAGTGGATTGTATAGGGAGTGTGTGGAAAAATTAAAGCCGACTAGCAGCGATATGTACAAGGAAAGTTGATGAAGGGAAGTAGAGAACAAGGACTGAGATGTTCAACAAGTATCGAACTGAAGAATGGTTCCATGATTAGGCAAGACATTACCTCTATATATCATCCTCCATGGGGAAAGGCCCGATCGGGGAGAGGACGTCCGGTATCAAACAGCTGACGTGTTCTGGCCCTCCAGTAGATCGTTTTGTCGATCATGATGGTAAGTGTGAGGCTGTAGCAATGCGTGCAGGAAATATTGCATGCCCTGAGGCCATCATGCTGCTGCGCGAGCTTACTCTGCCGTAGTCTGCAACTTCGATGTGAGAAAGGCGAAACACTGGTCATGTAGCTGGGTCCCCGCATTACCCAAAACACGTGATTGCTTGTTCCATGTGCGACCTGTAGCTCAACCGTACGCTGGGTCTTGGCGTAGCATGAAATCTCTAGGAAACGACCGCACGCTGTGTTGACTCCTGATTTCAGACGAGAGCGCGATATCCTTCTCGCGCTCATTGCTATCGCGATAAATGTGATGATCTGGTATTCCTCTACATGCTCATCGTCAACCGTTGACGTTGCTTCCAAATAATGGTGTTGCTGTTTCTGTCGCAGCTCCCGTGAAACGACAGCTTGGCGCGTTATTTCTCCGGTTAAAAACGCGTGTTTTGGTTTTGAAACTAAGGCAGATCTAAGGTTCGGCCTTACAACTGTGACAGTCGATGTGCGAGAGCGTTTTTGACATGTTGTTGAACGTTTCGGGATCGATTTAGTTTGAGGGAGAAGTGACAAAGATGAGGACAGCGGGCGGCGAGTGGGGTTCAGCGAAGCTTGAATGTTTAGCGCGCCGCTAGCCTCAAGGGTAGGGAGACTGTAGCACTTCACCTGGCGCAATAAGCAAGACCTGAAGACTGAATTCCTCCAGAAAGACCTTCTATAATGTTCCAATTCGACTCCAGTCCAGCGCTCATAGTGATCGACATGCAGAACGGCTTCTGCCATAAGGACGGCAGCTTCGCAAGGCTAGGAATACCGACTGACCCAACAACGATTGTTCCTCGTATCAATGAGCTACTCTCCGAGTTTCGCGCTACCGGGCTCCCTGTCTACTTCCTGAAGACAGGGTACAAGGCCGACTACTCAGATAGACGCGGTCGCGATAGACATGACCGACTCGAACAATTCCAAGGCCTTTTACGGGGGTCTTGGGATGCCGATATTCTAGAGGAACTCACGCCTGAGCCTGACGACAATGTCATCAACAAGACAAGAAATTCATGCTTTTTTCGCACGTCGCTGGAGAACATACTGAGAGAGCGGGGAGTCGACCATGTGATTCTGACTGGGGTGGGAACCGATGTGTGTGTAGAGACGACGGCAAGAGATGCCTATCAACTGGATTTCGCCGTCACTACCATAAGTGATGCGACCGGGGCATGCAATGAGTCGGACCATCTAGCCGCTCTGCACGCCCTGCGAAATTTCGGTGGCACAGTGTCGACATCGGACGTGCTCGAAGCTTTGGAAAAGTTACGAGACTCAGACCATGTGTGACGGCAGGAGCTTGGACCTTTGGTGCACGTGCTTACGCGTTCGCCTGGCATAGGCCACACAGCTCAGTAGAGAGCTCGACAGTGATTACACAGACGTTTCACCACCTCTCGATCACCCTTTTTCATGGTCTCACACCATAGAAGAATGCTATTGGCGTGGGATGATACCATATATATTCTGACGCCGAATTGCGCCATCAGGAAGTATTTCCTTGGCCTAAGTTTGATTGACCTCTCTGAGTTGTAACCAAGGGCGTTAAGCCGATCACAATGCTTGCGCTATGGTAACCAAGCTATGTTCCATGACCAATTTGTTCGACATCACAAAAGTACGCACCGAACCAATCCTGCACCGACAGCGTTGGAAATTAGTTATACTTGTATGAAAGGAATGATGTGTGAGGCCTAGAGATCTTGTATTTGCATAGGTTCTTTTGATCCCTTAGTCGATCGCAATCAATTACAGTGCTTCGCTAAAACACTGCAGTACGCTAGTGGTATGGTGATATTATGGTGTGTACACCAAAAAGCGTCGAGCCCGATAGGTTGCTGAAATGCCCCAAGATCACGCCTAAACATGCAAACTACGTCATCTCCTTCTTGCCAGGCCTGTAACGTATAGCTCTCCAGGCTCCGCTTCTACCTTCCAGCCTTCATTGACCAATGCCTTGAGTACAGCAGGCCCTAGCTTTCCTCTTCCACCCTCGCTGTGTCTGCCTAAGCCAGTGATGATTCTGTATGCCTCACCCCCTCCTCTTCGACCAGCACCACTCCATTCTGGTATTCTTCGCTCGCCTAGATTATTCCACCAAGCTTGCGTTCGTTGCTTGGCAATTCTTGTTGCATCTGCCACAGTGACGCCATGCAGATCCAGATCAGTGGGACCGGATTGTTGCGAAACGAATGCGTCGGCTTCGGCTGCGTTCATCGCCTTCAGGTTCGCATTCAGGTCACGGCCTTCTTGTGCGTAGTACGCAGCTGCTTGTCTCATGAGGGGTGTGGATTTGCCTCTACGGTAGGCTCCAGATGCTTTTCCAAAAGCTTCGTTTCGAGCAGCGGCCGTGGACATTGCGTCACGGGGCCGGGCAGAGGGAGTCAAGGTAGGAAGTTTCGAAGATTCGGAAGGATCAGATAGATCGACAGGAGCGTATCGTATGTCGAGCTTGATGCCACCTTTGCCACCGATTTCGCTCGCAGGTTGTTGAGTAAGAGACTTTGCTAATTCCTGAGCTTTTATCGTTGATGGGGCAGTGAGGCGCACTATGGCAAGGGCATGCTCCAAGTCCATAGACGGAAAGGCTTCGTTCAATGTGATCGCATCTTGCACTAGCGCAGCGTCGGGCTGACTTTCCTTCTTGTGCGCTGCGATGTCCTTCCTTACGATCGCTAGTACAGTTGCCGAAAGTGAAGTTCCGTTTGCGTGGTAAAGTGACGACACAGCCTTCGCCGACAGCCCTGTGCGCGATGTTATAAAGTCCACGTCGCGACCTGTGCTTTGCCAACGATTTGCCGGCGCATCTGATTCGACAAAATGGCTAGTGCCTGCTTCCAGAGATAACCTCTGCTTCTTCTTGCTCTTCCCCTTCTTGCCTTTCTGTGGGACGTGGTGATCTTCTGAGAAGGCCTCAATGCCCTTTGCGATTGGACCTTCTTCAGTAGGGCTCTTCCTGCTATCGTCAAAGAAGACTTGGTTCAACAGTTCATCCGTCGCTTTGTCGTAGTCGTATCCGCATTTCTTCAACGTATACGTCACCTGTGCGAGCCGCAGACCTGGGAAGGTTTCGGCGAGCAACAGCTCCTTTGTCGGGACGTCGAATTGCTCAGTGTCCTTGTAGTATCCATCCTCCAACGACCCTTCCGAACTTCCTGACCGTCCGTTTACGCTAAGTGTGGAGAATTCGTTTGAGAGAGTCGAGCGGTCCGTGGCTACCGTTTGCGTGGTCCAGGATTCAGCGTTCGAGTCGGCATCGGTGCTGTGCTTGTCTGGGCTACCCTGAAAAGCGCCTCCACTGCTGCCCGAGGGGTCGAAATCGAGGGCTTCTGCCTCGGCTGTCAACTTCAAGGGTTCCAGCAACTGTCTAGTAAGGTCAACCGCGTTTGGCTCTCCCGCGAAATCCGAGTATATCGTATACAGTAGTGTGGGATCTATTGCTGGGCAGTATTCCTGCTGTGAATCGCATCAACGTTAGCAACCTCATGCAGCAGTACTTGGTAGTGTCCTTACCTCGAGCAGACGTAGATCCTCATCCATTTTGGTTCTTGTAGTATTGACGTCTTCTTATGTGTCTGTACAGCGAGTGCATACTCAAACTGGACTTTGAACTGATGGAGTTTGTCGCGCAGTCAATCTGTCTGAAGATTTGTACGTTTGATGCGACAAGACCAAGTATGGCTAATCAGTTATGCGATAGGTGGTCGCACAGGCAGAAGTGCGTGGGGTCTTGTGGAACTACGCCGGCGCGTAATCGCGAAAAACGTGGGAGGGGGAAAACGTAACCGAGCTTGGCGCATAGAGAGCAGTTCACCGTTGTTGCACCATGGCGACCGTAGATATAAGGAAACGAAGGGTGTGCGATTTTCTGTCTGTACGCTACTGGATTCTTCGCGCTGGTCAGATGTTAGACGTCATGTCGCCCTGGATCGAATCGCGCGTCATCCACCAATTTAGTATACGCTAATGCAAGCGGCTGAAGCATATCTACCACCGCATTCTCGACAACCTCACAAATCGTTGGCATAACAATCGCAAGCCCTGAATATCACCATCAGCGCTTACTGATATTGTAAAGATGGTCAAGAGCGGCACGTTGTATCATCAGAAGGTGATGTTTGGCTTGAACAGCATGAAGCATCCCACACCAGGATCCTGGCCGGGAACTGTTGGCAAGATACTCAAAAGGACATCACCAGAGCGTCCTGTGGAGAACTTTTTAATCGGATTCCATTCGCTTGTATCGCCACCATAGACTCCGTCAGTTCTGGTTGGGGTCGATGATCTGCCCAAGCACCTATGAATCAGCCTTGCGCCGCCATTTAGGCCCCCAAAGTACGCCCGACATCTCCATCACATCCATGCCAGTGCAAAGGATCTGTGCCGCAGCATGCGTGGGTTTCGGGTCTGTCCCACTCCAGTTGTATCCAGTTTAAGTACACCTCAGGCCCCCATTGCGTGGTGACAGTTCGCAACTTCGATCCTTTCGTGTTTTTTGTACTTCAGCCCGCCTTCACGATCTCGACCGAAGCGCAAAACACCATGGCACCCCTACAGCGTCGCAGCGCAAATCTCTCGCTCCAGGGCACTGTAGCAATCATCATTCTTGTTGTTTTGTTCCTTTCTGGCGTCTTCTGCACCGTCATCTTCTTCAAAATATGTAGCAAACAGCGGAGGCGCGAGAGGGCCATGCGCAGGATGCAAGAAGAGCGCACGCCATTTGTTGGCGCCCAGTATATCGCACCTGCAGGCGCTCCAAGCAATGGAGACGAATCGCCTTATGCAGGACAGGAATCTCTACGGACAGAGCTGCACAACAAACACCAATACGAATATACCGGCCCGTCAGAGCTACAAAACGATCAGCAGAATACTGGGCCATTAGAACTGCAAGGAGGCGAAAGACCTCAGCCTTTGCCAGCACAACAGCTGGACGGTTATGTGGCAGCGGTAGGTACTGTCATTGGAATATTTTTGATGAAGATGGAAAGTCTGACGAACTACAGCCAACCTTCGATGACAGCAAACCCATTGAACTACCCGCGAATGTAATGGTGAACGACGCAAACGGAAAAGCCCACACACAGAGTGGCAAAGCGAAACACGATATCTGAATGAAGATGTCGAGAGATCTCGCATTGTGATGGAGATCACCCTAACTATTTCAGCGCAAACCACAAACCTCGTACCAATGGAATGTAATCGCCACACCTGAAGTACCGTAGAGCAGATTTTTGTTTGCAGTATGGGTATGAACACGAAGAATCAGCAACTATACGGCAGTGACAGTAAGGAAAACCTTTGTCATCCGTCTTGAAGACATCGAGCACAGCATCCAGAAGATACGGAGTGGGGTCAACACCTGCCGCCTTGACAACCAAGCTCGAGGTCAAGGTCATGGATTTGGCAATTATCGTAGTCGTTGAGGCGATTGTGGAGACAGTGGTGGCAGTCAACGTGGCTTCAGGGGCCACTCGACCTTTGATGGGCAAAATCTTCTTGCATGAATGAAAGCCATCTAAATGATAGTGCACAGCTGAACTACAGGCGGTATATATAGGGCTGATGTACTTCACATCTTCGGCGGCTGTACATAAATATCTAAACATATAGTAAACACCTCCTGACCTTGTCATTGTGTCCTGTCATTTGAATGACAAACACGCATAGAAGACTACACATATACTGCGCTTTGCTAAAAGACTCCAATTTGCCAAACCCTTCGTATGACCGGACACATTAGTGCGCTCCACATTATGAATAGTACAACCACCACATTAGCGCGCATAGTAAGCTTACCAGTAACCCTTCTTACGTCTATTCCGAGGCCGAAGTTCTCTTACATACCCGCGGCACATGTCAAGCTGAAGGCGGACAACATTGTAACGGTGTTGATATGTATAGTGCGACAGACCTGGCTATATCTAGAGGGTTGGAGAGACAGCAGAAGACGAAGGAACAGGGACAATGAGAATAGGAAGGAAGGCGAACGAGCCAGGAAGCATATGAGGAAGCGGAAAGCGCTTGGGAAGGAGAGTGGAAAAGCAGGCAAAGGCAAAAAGGCGAAGATCATCGCGAAGGGTAGATACACGCTGGTATTGCATTAAAAATGCTAGTATGATTGCATTGTATAAACGGTATTGTTGCGTTGAGCAGCAAGCAGCGCTCTATTCGCTTTCTGATTCCGAGTCTTCCTCCATGTCTGCGTCTTCGTCCAATTCAGATTCATCGTCCATAGCCCCAATAATGTCTAACTTCAGCCCCGCCGTCTTGCAAGCATCTTTGATTTCCTTTGATACTCCCTCTTCGCCTTCAACCACCACCATAGTTTTCCAATTCCTTGCAACAATGTCTTTCTGCTCAATGGTGGCCAGTAGAAGGTCTGTGACTTCAGTATCGCTTCCCAGCTCGTTGAAAAACTCAAGCGTTTCCATCACCGGCGGAAGACCAACAGAGTGAAGACGCGGCTTCTTAGACGACTTTCCAAATAGCTGGTAATCCCAATTCAGACGTAATGTCTTGAGCGCCGCAAATTCTCTCATACGTAGGACCTTTCGCCCGGTAAGCGTGGGGTGATCGATAGTGATGCTCTTTAAGAATTCGGCTTGTGATTGCGCAGCCAATATGTAGTCTCCAACGTTATCGGAGCTTTCCTCCAGGTCTGGCTCTGGCACCTCCGCTTGCGTCATGACAAATTCTTCGAGCGCCTCAGGTAGCTCAAGTAAATCTCCAAGAGAATCGTCGTTGATGTCGCATTCAATCAGGTGCAGCTGCTTCAGTGCCGTCATGTGCGGCCGCTCGATGTGATCGAAACCCTTCTCGTCTAACTTGGCTCTGCGAATTGTCAAGGTTTCCAGCGTGGGGTGAGCAAAGATATGTATGTTTTCGCGCAGGTCCCAGTAAGCATCGTTAGCGCACTGATAGAATAGTGAGCAGGTCTTCAAGCAGGTAAGGTCGAAAGGTCCGTTGAACAAGGTACCGATACCGTGTAAGAGCACATCGGGAACCGATATCTCGAGCTTCTCCAAATTTGACATGATCGACAACGTCCGCGAGAGGGTGTCTGAGGTCTTGGGATCGAGATATGACCCATGGACAGGCGCGTCAAGCGCCAGTTGTGATAGCTCTGAAGAAGGATACGCGAGTTTGACTTCATAGATGGCTGACCCACGACGCGGTCGACGGCTTAACGACTCGCTGAACGTGAGGTGGAATTCAGGAGTCTCGAACAGAATGCTTTTATACAGAACGGCGTCACTGAGGCGGTGACATCTCTTGTTGACGCGCGATACGTTGCAAAGGTCGCGCCTGGATATGCAGCCGACCGCCTCGAAGATGCGGAGTAGCAGCTCATCTGGCAAGGTGCTCAGTCTGTCGCATGGTACTGCGCTCTTACTGTCCTCATCCATTGGCATATCTGATATCAAGGTATCGATACGGGATAGAGCGGACGAAGTATCCATGCGCGAGGTACTTCGCAACTTTCGCTGCGAACACGTGGAGATGGCCTGACTCGCTGGAATGCGGGGGAGCTTGTGGAGCTGCCGATCCTCAATCAGGGCACTGGAAAGGATACAAAGGAAATGTTGCCTGAAGGGTCGGACTTTGGATTTGCTCTAAACATGAGGATACAATATCTGTACGTGCAAGGTCGTGAGAATGAAGGAACGGCAGCGGGTGATACAACAGTCCAGGTCCAGGGGCGGACGCTGCAGAGCGCGCACGGCCCGCCACGCGTGGCTGGTCCCATGACATCACGCCAGAAATCTCCTTCCTCATGTGACGCTTGCATTTCCACAAATGACATCTCCGCGCGAGGCGTGTCGAGCTTCTATCTCATGGCGGCGTGGAGTTGCTGGGCAAAATTGCACCTCAGGATCTGATTCAGATGACCCATAGCAAACCACCGGCTGCTTTTCCTGCACCAAAACTGACGCACGCCAGCAAACCGCGCACAGCTATGTTGGCACTGTATCTCGCAGCATATACTCAACGAAGGCTTTACGACTGGTATTAGGCCCTCCGACGCCCACGTATACCATGTTTCGAGACTTGTTCTCAGGTTGTACGTTAGGCACATCTTCCGAGATGTTAGAAACATGGTTTCACACTGTGTCAGTCAGTGAGCACTACATGCATAGTGACAATGCGTTGTATCAAAGCACAGCACGATATGGGCTCACTACTTTGATCGCAGATATGCGAAACTTTGCGCAATACGCACTATCTCCCCCCCCCCTATGTACTAGTCAATAAATGCTCGAAGATACAGAAGAGCTGAGCGGATTGCAACTTACCCCTTAACACTTCAGAAGGAAAGTACATTCTAAACGCACAGGGCCTCAAGAAAGAACAGTATGGGCCAAATACCGTCTGCTCACGCGCTGGTTAAAGCAAGCGCGCTTCATGTTTTGCGTCCAAACGGACAGTGACTATTGGCCGACAAACGTACACTCTGATCGATGCTGTTCAGATGGTCATGCGCCCAAAGCTTCTGCTCGCAAAGGGAGGCATCGCATATATTGTAAACGTCGCGATACTTCGGAGCCCGAGTCTCATACCCGATTGGGGAAGAGAATGTTTTGTACACAGCGTGGAAGCCATAACCATCGGCGCCGCTGGTGTCGCTTGTCCCAGGCTTCGGTCCGTTGTTCGAGGTGCTTTCCTGCCAAAAGTTACGCGGCATCGTGTAATCATAAGGCGCGGGTTTGTCCATTCTGGAAAGTCTCCATCTCATGGTCATAGTCTCGCCTCGAACGAACAATGAAGAGATTCACCCGTTCTGCTACCTCATCAATACCATTTTGTTCATGTGACTGGATGCATTGATATATACACTATTGTTAAGTGAGCAAGCGCAGAACTTAGTCGCGTTGAAAAGATTGAATCTACCCCAGCATAGTGAGTTCGATCATGGTATAAAAGCTCTAAAGCCTGACCATGTGTGTGATATCAGCAGCTTACACCATTATGATGAGTATACCTAATCAACATTATCGCTTGGTTTGTGGAAGTTGCAAGTGGCCCGCTTCTCACAATGGATCGTGACTGTACCAGTGGACGGCTACCAGTGTATGACTTGCCAGAATTTCCATCTACAGAATGTGCTTTGGTAATTTCTTGGATTACTTTGGGGAGATAGATTCAACACACTACGAATTTGGGTCAGCTAGGCAGCCCTGTGAATTGAATTGGTCATGGGTAATCGGTCTAGGCATTCGACTCGCTGTACAGCACGACCCTTGTTCTTCACACTTGCCAATGTATATAACCCTTGTGGCCTTGGTCTGGTACTGTGCACCATGCCTGGAAGTAACAAATCAACCACAGTCGGAAGGAACAATTCGAGTACTGTACTTTAATAAACTCGACTCCCGTCAGTTCTTCCTTTCTACACCAAATCTCTCTTGAGTACTTCAGCACTCGTGCAACAACAACGACTTACAATAATACCTCTCTAAATTAGCAAGATGTCTACTCCGAACCTCTCTCGCTCTGTCAGCCCAGATCATGGCAGCACCCCATCTCTCTCTCCTCCACCTTCCGAGACCCAACAGCTCGCAGCAGCCCTAACCCTGAAGACCGGCCGCGAAGTCCTCTCCCACTGTCTCGGTCTCTCCACACTCGAAGGCGTACCCTCGGCTGCCGAAAACATGATCGTCGTAAGCTTCGACACCGAGAGTTGGGTTGCCGACCACAGCCGACTCACCGAGCTTGGTGTCTCGACCTTCGACTCTCGGCATACGCGTGGGCTGAAGGAGGCTGGTATGCATGGAGAGAACCTGCTTAGGCAGGTTTATTTCTACCATGCGCGGATCTTGGAGAACGCATATCTGCGTAATATCAAGTATTGTGTTGGCGATCCTGACAAGTAAGTCTCGACTACATCTCTTTCTTGTCCATGTAACATGAACTGACAGAAGATTAGGAACCACTATGGTCAGACTCGCTTCTTGACCAAGAGTCAGACCAAGGAGATGCTCGAGGAAACGTTCCAGTGGCCTGTCGATAAGCAAAATCCAGAATTGGGTTTCTGTCCCGTTGTGGTGTTGGGCCATGCTCTCCATGGTGATATGGCGATGCTGAAATCCACATTGGGCGTCGATGCCATGGCTTTGGGTACGGTGGTCAAGATCATCGATACTCAGAATTTGGCCAAGGAGTGCGAATACGCCCCTTCTGGCAACGGCAATCAGATCGGTCTGGGTAATCTCGTTGCCAAATGCAGTTTCGAATATCGAGATCCGCATACCGCTAGCAACGACGCGGCTATGACGCTCATCTCTGCTGTTCAGATGCTGCTTCCTTCGGAGTTGAAGCCAAATGACGGAGGGCTGCAGAAGGTTGTTGAAAACATCGAAGTGGATAGCCAGTGGCAAGAATGGGATTGGGGTAATGATCAGTGGTGTCTTCGGTGCGGCCAATACGGTCACACGAGGGACGACTATCGCGGCAAGCGTTGTTTCGCCAAGGTCAAGTGTAGCCACTGTACTGCTTCACAGGTTGCGAAACGTAGGCAGGCCGCGGGTAGTCATCGAACGGAGTGCTGCATCTCTTATGCGATGCGTGGGCCAGAGGTGGTTCCTACAGTCGAGACTACGGCTACTGCTCTTGCTGGCTTGGATCTCGCAAGCGACGACTGGTAGTTATCAGGCCGGCTTATGGGATTGTATAATACTGTATTACACTTAATATCACCTCGTTGAATGTTTCCTCCTTGTTGGTATGATAGTGGACATTGGACTTATCGCTTCGATCTGAGCAGTCTTGAAAATGGTCGACGTGTGTCCAGCCAGTTATAGTACCTAAAGGTGTACGACAAGAATTCATACCAATACTTATGACTTTCGAACCTGTGAGTCGCTGATGATATTGTGCCGGTGCAACGAGTGCGTAGTCAATGCTGAGGGGTATATCCTTAGTGCTGGGGAAGCAGTTGCAACGAACACTCGCTTACCATCCTACACTACATCGAACAACACACTTATGCAATCTTTGTCTTTTCAGACTTCATCTTGTATACTAGTAGCCAACACAGGCATCACCACACTCATTTAGCTTTCGAATACTATTGTACACCACCTGTATATCCTTCGCTCTTTGGCTGTGCTGAGGAGATGCATCGACATCCTCGTGATAGTGTCTTCATACACTCCAACACCCGTACGATATACGCTGCAACCCTAATTCTAGAAAAGTTCAATCCGTGCAGACTGACGGGGAGAATTGATACGTCGGTGTGGAGGGGGAATAGTGCATAGCAAGAAATTGCCCGCCTGCACACCGCCGTCTAACAGCCTATGGAAGACCATGACTTCTAAGTCGTCTCAACAACATCATAGCTGACATAGTGGTATCTTACTCCTTGTTCATACGACCCTCGACACTTCGTAGCTCCGTGGAAGCTGTACAGGCACCTAACCCTGTCGCATTCTTTTCTGACCTAATATGATCATATGATCGGATTTCCTCCTCTTTCACTCTCACCTTCGTCTCGCTATGACCATCGTGTTTGCCTGGCAGGGTTGATGGAGGCACATGATTACGCACGTTCACTGTTCATCGTCCATAAAACAACTGGTCATTTTGCTTTCTCATGAGCACCCACAGTCATACCTACTGCCTGTCTCTCAACCCAGTCCTTCTGTTTACCGCGATATCAATCGACGACTTCGACGATTTCGACCTCACCCCGAGCGACGCCGCCGAATTGACACCGCCACTTTATAATAGACACCACATGCTATAGTTGATTGCACCTGTCGCAACCGAATACCCACCGAGAACCACTCTATACACACCTAACATTCCTTTAGAACAACGTGATCATGTCCATCAGCGCTCAAGACACACCTGTACCTGTCGTTGCTACTCCATCCGCATCCACCATAACCACCATACCAGATACGCGAGATCCTGCCATTATCGCTCTAGAAGGCTGCTTCGAGAAAGCCACTGATCTAGAAGTGTGGCTGCATTGTATCGGAGGGCCGCGCGTGAAGAACATCCCTGACATCGCCGATGACCTCGCAGACCATATCAAGATCGTCTGTCTGGACTGCGAACACTGGTCGACGAACACCGATGAGACCACCGAGGTCGGTATTGCTACTTTTGCGCGACAAGATGTACTGCCCATCGTGGCGACGAAAGACTTTGGTGACCACGGAGAGCATTTGATGGAACAAATCCGCTTCTATCTCTTCCGCACGATTGAGACGTGCCATCTCCCCAATCAGAATCCAGACTCACGCGGGGTCGACGGAAATCGGTTTGGCAAAGGCCGCTTCGTTACCTTCGCTGAAGCTCGTCAGATCCTTACCAATCTCTTCGTCCAGCCTATCAAGGACCCTAAAGGACTCAAGGGTAACTACCCCATCGTAGTCCTCGGTCATGACGTTGGACACGACAAGAACAACCTCAAGTCCAAGGCGATTGCTTTCGACATGGATCCCATCGGCACAGTCGTCCGCTACATTGATACTCAAATCATGACGCGCGACAAAGGTTACTGGATGATGCCTCGAAACGAGCAGATCGGCCTCAGGCGCCTCGTAGAAGAGCTTGCTTTTGAACATAGTGATCCCCACACCGCCGCGAATGACGCGGGTCGCACGGTAATGTGTGCCTTCCAAATCGCGCTCGGCGGAGACCCATGGAAGAGAGGATGCCGTAAGAGCATGCTGCAGGTTGCCGATGATCTCGAGTACCATAGCGTGGTTACATTCGATGAGAGCCTCGGAGGTGTTGACAAGTATTGTTGGAAGTGCGGCACAGCTGGCCATATGAAGGCGGATTGCACGGCAATTGACCTTCATTGCGACGAATGTGTAGAGAACGGGTGCTACATCAAGCCTGGCGACGAACACATCACCCTTCATTGCATGTGCATCGCCAACGAAAAGGCTAAGGTGCGACGTGCAAAAGATGCTGTGGCTCGGGCTCTCAAGAAACCAAAGCCCAGGGACCTTTCTCGTGGAATGTCCAGCTCTCGGGCTCGGTTCATGGCACGTGGTGGCTTTCACCCTCCGTCTGGTCTCGTATCATACTTCGGAGGAACGTCGCACGACACACACTCACACTATGGTCCTCCTGGCGGACGCGGATACGTCCCACCTAGCCCTGGAGGAAACCCTTCCAGGGGCTTTGGGGGACGTGGTCAGGGCGGATATGAAAACGTGTCGTGGGGTCGGGGTCGAGGCGGATCCCACGTCCAACAGGGTGGACAAGGTGGCCTCACATGGGCTTCCCATCGAGCGTAGCAAGGAGGCCTCTAGATAGTTCAATGTTGTTGGTTTGCAGATGTCTTGCTTAGACCGAACAGTGTCATGGCGTTATCGGTGTTCAGACGGTGGCTAAGAACATCTTGTTGAAGATAGCCTGAGTCTAGGATAGATGCAAACAATATAAATTGGGAGTGTATCATGCCGGATACGGTGTTGCTTGCGAGAGAGGTGATGTGCGGCTGACTAAGGCGAGGTCGCATGCAACCGCGTCATCGGTGGCCGCTGTAAGCCGCAACCCTGCCGTGTAGCCGTCAACAACTCCCACCATGATAACGACAATACGACTGCGGTGCCTAGCGAGAGAATGCGGTTGACTTCGTAACACCTGCGATCACAGCACACCACCGCCATGATCGAAAACACAGTCCCGAAGTACTTGCTCATCAGGACGTGCATCTTAGGCTTTCGCGCAATCACGCCTTTTAGCATCTTCTGGGTTTCTTTCAGCATCGCAGAACCCCCGCATTCGGCCTTTCGACGTTTTCTGCTCACGTGGAGCGTAGTAGAAACTGCCTTTTGGCTGCTCGTCTACCTACCCCGCAAGCGCGCGCTCCAAGCCTCTGCGCAACACCCACCACCACTCGAGAAAGAGGAAAGGAAGGAACTGTTCTGGCGATGCTGGGATAAGATACCGCACCCGGAATATTACATCAGCCGATGGTTCCTGGGCGCGCGGCCGGGCGAGATACGGCGTGAGAATGTGCGCGAATTCTATGCGTGGGCTTTGCTGAACCGCGGCACTGAAAGCGACGAGGAGCGGAGGAAGCGGCGTCAAGCACACCCAGACGAGGCCAACGCTGAAGATGACGAGCTGAATGAGTATGCGGACGGCATAGAGACGATGCTTGGGAGGAAGCTGGAGCCTGGATGGGGTAGCGCAAAGAGCCTTCGGTTGACGACCGACCAAGTCAATATGGCACATCGGCCCTTCCTGTGGTACATGGTATGTTTGACCGTCTACTCAGATTATACACGCTGACAGCGATAGATTGTAATGCTTGTCGATACGCTCACTGCCGCTCGTCTGCGCTACTACGGCTTCATACTATTCCGCACCCAGCTCCGCTCCTCGCTGGCCATCTTCCCACCGCGGCTCGCCAGTCTCACCACGCGCAGCATCTCCTCTGCACCAGACATGAGTTACTGGTACCGACCACATACCTCGAAAACACGACTGCCCATTTTCTTCGTACATGGCATTGGCATCGGCCTGCACCCATATGTCGAGTTCTTGAACGAGATCAACAAGCACGATCCGCTTGCGGCAGAAGACGGTCAAGTCGGAATTATTGTGGTGGAAATCATGCCTGTCAGCTTCCGCATAACTGGGCCGATTCCTGACAAGGACAACATCTGCCGGCAGATTAATATCATCCTGGAACGACATGCTTTCGATAAAGTCGTCCTGGCCAGTCACTCTTACGGTTCTGTCATCTCCACCCACCTCCTCCGGGACCCCGTCACTGCTGCGAAGATCGGACCGATGGTCTTTGTCGACCCTGTTACATTCCTTCTACATCTGCCTGATGTAGCATACAACTTCACAGCACGTCGACCAAAAGGTGCGAACGAGCATCAGCTCTATTACTTCGCTTCGACCGACATGATGGTTGCGCAAACGTTAGCCCGTCAATTTTTCTGGGCACAAAACATCCTGTGGAAGGAAGACCTTAAAGACCGAGATGTCACTGTCAGCCTTGGTGGTAGGGACCTTATAGTCGATACTGAGACGATCGGTAAATATCTAAACAGCGCCGACCTCAAGGGTGAGGATCGAGCATGGAAGGACTCCGAGTGGAGAGGCCATGGTTTGGAGACGATATGGTGGCCGACCGTGGACCATGCACAAGTTTTTGAGAGGAGAGAGGGTAGGACAAGACTAGTGCATGTTCTCAGAGAGTACGTCAAGCGCAAAGCAGAGGACGAAGAAGTAGAAGAGCTTCCCTGAAAGTTATGCATATCCATGTACAAGAATTCAGGGTTCTGTGGCTCTGCCGCACCATTTAGCCGGACTTGTCTCAGCCTCATCGCAAGCTCAACGTTCAGGTATGAAGGAGCTGTAATTCATTTTGCGGGGGCCCGTCCGGACGGGTTTGAAACGGCGAGCCGGCCCCGCCGATCCCGAAATAGGTGGTATATACGAAGCACGAATGCGCGACGACAGCATGCATAGACTTGACAGCCTGCTTTGAGGATCTTATTGCATCTTGTTCTTCGAGCGATATATCCATATTCACATCATGCCTAATGGAAATTGGATTCTTGGCGACCTCTTCACAAAAGACTACGGACATCGCGGCAGCATCCAGAAATTGTGGGAACAACGTTGGAAGTTCCCATGCACCAAAGGTGTTTACCCGTTCCACGATGGAAAGTTCGAAGACTTTGAACCCATTTTCAAGCATCTCATCGATAACAATATCAATGATCCGTACGACGATGCATACACGAATGCTTTCTTGCCAACAGCGCAACGCCTAGCAAAGGAGGCTCAAGAGACGGAAAGCAAAGACAAAGAGGCAGCGAAAAAGCTGTACCTGAATGCAAACGCGGTGTACAGATTGGCGAGATTTCCATATATCGGCACCGAGCTCAAGAAGAAGGTCTTCGAGGAGCAGAAAGAGGTCTACTTCCGCGGCGCACAGCTGTGGGATATCCCACTAGAGGAAGTCGTAGTATCACATAAGCATGCCTCCAACGGCGATGGCGACAAAATTCCAATGTACATCCGCAAACCTACAGGGGACGGCCCATTCCCAACTGTCCTACTGATTACAGGTCTCGACGGCCACCGCCCAGATAACACAGAGCGCACACAGGAACATCTCGCCCGCGGTTGGGCGACAGTGATCTGCGACATTCCCGGCACCACAGTCGACTGTCCAGCTAACAAGCGCGACCCTCTCTCCCCAGACCGATTCTTCACCAGCATTCTAGACTTTATCAAAGAGACATCATATCTCGACGAGAAGAAAGTCATCGCATGGGGCCTCTCAGCCGGTGGCTACTACGCTATTCGCCTCGCGCACACGCATCGCAGCCAACTCATCGGTAGCGTAGGCCATGGCGCAGGAACACATCACTACATCGGCCGCGAGTGGCTTGAGCAGATCGACAAGCACGAATACCCTTTCGGCCTCGAACAAGCTTACACGCAAAAATACGGGTATTCTTCTTTCGAAGAGATGAAGCAGAAATGCCAGGATGAGTTCTCGCTCGTCTCTGGGAAAGGCGAGGGTGTGGCTGTTGTGGCGCAGGGGATGAAGAGTTGTAGGTTGTTGCTTGTGAACGGGGTGCTGGATGGGTGTATGCCAATCGAGGATAGTATGCTGCTAGCTGAGTATGGAAGCCCGAAGGAGATGCGGTTCATGCAGCAGAGGTTGCATATGGGATATCCTGAGGCGAATAGTACGGTGTATCCGTGGATGGAAGAGGTTATGGCTAGTAAGTAGTTAAGGTACCTGGTAGATAAACCTGCATTGAAACTATCAATACTCCTCTACTGTACCGATGAATGACTAGGAATGACGTCTCAAGTCTGTATGCAGCAAAGTTGACGCGCACTCCACATGCCATAGCAAACGTCGAGTTGTGGATTCTGCTTGTGCGACAAGCGTTGTTCATGTTGCCAACTCACATCGCATGCAGGTATCGCTGTGGCGGGTCCGAGCGGGAGCCGCCCCACGAACGTCCACGCCCCGCAGCATTGCGCACCACGTCCTCACCAACCTGAGGTCTTGCAGACATGATTGAGCTGCCCTGGCTATCAGAAAATCAATAACCTCATGAAAACGCTCTACTCGCCGAATCTCATAAGACACCTGGTTTCTCTAGTTGTGGCTCTAAAAAGACGCGATCTAGCTGCGTTCATTATCCACCACGATCACGCATCATCCGCACGGATGGTCAGCATTCAGTGCAGTGCCCCCTTCAGATTCTTCCTCCAAGCAAGCGGCCACTGAGTCGAGTCCATTATGGAGCAAGAACAACCCACATATGTCGTTCCGGTTAGTGAGTCCGAAGCTCCGACCATTTGCACGCCATCGGTAACCTCAGACAACACAACGAAGGACATTCAAAGATGCGAAGCTTCACAGTCTTCTGCTCCGTGGCCCGGACGTACCTTTATAATTCGATCTCACGAGAACGGACAAGTCATTACATTTCTAGACGGCAAAATCGTATTAGACAAACCGGGAGGTCTCGGCACATTCAGATGGCGGTGCGTTGAGAAGAAAGGATGGCTGGGGTTTCGAGACCCAGCTTCTGCTAGGTTTCTAGGCTACGACCAACATGGATATCTTCGCTGTCTTGTAGAGCACCATAAGGATTGGGAATACATTTGTCCGCGAAAACGACCAGAAGGTGGATATGTTCTGTTGGTGCTGGTTAAAGAGGAACTCCTCCCTTTAGGTGTACAAACACAAGAGACAGAGAACGGTGCGGAACAAAAGGTAAAGATTGTTAAATGGGATTCTGGAGGAATAGTCTGGGATTTCATTGAGGTATCATGTCCTTCGACGTAACGGGCGAAAGCGACAAGAGAGAATGACATTGCGACACTTTCCCTCGATTGTTCTATTATGCTATTGCGTATCCTGATGTCTTCAGATGGGATGTTACAATCTGGAGAGCATGAGAAGCATCCGACCCTCGGAACTCGACATGCTCATGGTATAGGCTAGAGACTCCAATCTCCCCCTCACACGTTGCCTTGAGCATCTCGGGTATATCCGAAAAATCTAGCAACGACCGACCCATGTGTTTAAGAGTCGAGAGTTTGAAATAACTCAAAGTAGGAAAGCCTTTTCCAATATATAACAAGAGCTTATTCCACGCCCACTCAGTGCCATGGTTCAAAAGGATAGATACTAGTTCCATCTCTTGCAGAGTGTGTCTGGAGTTGTAAAGAATCTCTTGGACAAAACTTGCCGGACAACTCCATCTTGACAGGCGTAATCTCTTGAGCTTCACTAAAGGTACTCCTCGCTTCAGGTATGTATCGAATGGAACGATTGCGCATCTCCCTCTTGCGTCTAGATTCGCTAGTCTTAGGTCTTCCAACACTGGCGCGTGGTAAAGGAGTTGATTCAGAAGATAAATTGACGCGGGACCATTGTCCATTTCCACATTCGCCTCTCTAAGTATGCTGAGACCCGCTCTCTGGTCCTGATTTTTCTGGTCGAAACGGAATGTTACCTTTGTGACCCACGCTCCGACATTCTCGATCCGAAGCGAAGTGATTCCAAGGTTTACAGTTGAGACAATCTCTAGAGCGAGTGCGATGGTAGCTTCTTTATCTGCACCAAAGCTTTCGTAGACGCCTCGAATGATCAGAGCGTCCAGAATAAATCGATTTTCCTGGAGTATGGTCTGTATCTTGCCAATGGCCATCATGTCTGAGTCCAGAATCGCCGTCTTCTCGCGAGGCCAACTGCGACATGCTCTTCTCATCTTCCGGATTTTTTGTTCACGAAGTTTCCATCCTTTCGGCATTCCCTCTTCTGGAGGCGGAATGGCGCGACGGAAATGCTCTCTGATATTCGCCCCGTCGTCTTTGATTTGGGTATTCTTAACATATCTTGCTAACCGGCCAGTTTGGGAAATCGTTTCTAGACGATCAATATCGGAATCGATAAGAGTAGTCCTCAACGTGGAGAAGAAGCGACAACCCACAGCGCGCAAAGTGTTCGAGTCGGCAAATCTGCAAGTCGAACGGAATTCGAGGAGATCTGGGTCGCACATGTATTGTACGACGGCCTCGACAAGCTCGGTAGGCATTTGAAGGATAGACATGCTGAGATTATGCTAATCTTTTCTGCCTTTAAGAAGAGGCTTGGTACGTGAAGAACTGTGTAGGGTATCTGGGTGTGTACCAGCCGGTAGTGCGACCAAAGTTGAGATGGGAGAGGTTCAGAATGCAGATTCGTTGCGAGAGCGAGAGTGAAAATTGTGTGGAAAAGTTGATCGAGATAGGGTCGAATAAATAATAATTTGATGAAATGCGAACGGCTCAAGAAAAGGTAAGATTAAACGCGTTCGCGAAGCGACGAACAGTGTGTTGCATGTCGTACCAAACAAAACCACCGACTACCTATTCGTAGTTTATTTCATTTGACAACCCGTCTTTCGCGTGATGCTCGTTTGGATTGAGAAAGCCATGAGTGGTTCGTTGTTCTTCGGTACATCTAGTTCAACTATGGTACAGCGATGCCCAACAATCGATGATAAGCCACTCACAGTCCCCCAAAATTTGCCTGTTACATATGCGAGAAAAGGTTCAGGAACGAAACAGGCATCTTGCGAATACAAGCGGCTCAGGTATCAGATGTATTCAAGCGATATCAGTCTTGCCTGCATCGTCGCAGTATCGGTGGACGGGGTGGCTCACACCTTGACCACATAACGCCTACAAACTCGTAAGAATGTAGTAAATCAAATGATCACGGCAATGAAAGACGCCGTGGTACCTTAGCCGTTGGCAGATACGTGCAAAGGGATGCCTTTATAGAACGTGGAACATGCTAAAGTTTTGATGTTTTGATTTGTTTTCTACTGTAACCAGAAACACTCCCCAGTACTGTGCGAGTACGCGTTTTTATCGTTATATCGCCTTGGATCCGTACTTGCGATGCAGTGGTCACATGGCGGCTTCCAATTCGAAGGCGGACTACTCGAGCGTTTAGAACCACCAGCCTTATAACCAGTACTACTCTGTGACCTCAAAAGCGCCGCCTCTTTGACAACCCTCAAGCATTTATCAGACCTATGCGTAAGTGCCGCATCTTTCGTGAGCGGATCCTTCATACAGTGCTCACAGCTAAAGACTCTCACACCACAAAACGAGGCCGTGTGGTGTTGTGAATCACACTTCTCGCAGAATTTTGTAGAACCGTAACATCGGTGATCGTAAACGGCCGTTTCTCCAGCTGCTCTTAGTCGTGTTTTGAGGTCCGCGTAGCAGAGTTTGTTAGTAAGAAGCTTGTTCTCAGGGGAAGAACAAACCATGAGGAATGCAGCGATCATCGTGCATACGATGCCATTGCCGGCGTTGTGAAGATACGGTTCCTCGATGTTGTATTTGGCAAGCAGATTTGAGAGGCGCATCTTGCGGGATGGTTCGATCAGTCCGTGCTCGACTGCAAGAACTTGCGTGTCGATTGTAGCGACAATAGTGCCGAGTTGTTGAAGATCGAGACCGAAGCGAGATTTGATGATCTCGTAATCATTGTCGATGGCGTGGCCTACGAATATGACTGGACGGAGATTGCTAAATTCGTCCCGACGGGTGAAGATGTCTTGAAGCATAGCCCTTGCTTCATCAACGTGGACGAAAGTTGTCCAGCCAAACTGGAAGGCCTCTGGGTATCCTTTGCAGAGGTCTTTGTTGATAAGGTGGGCATGCGGTTTGATGCGGACGTGGTGATTTTCCATGCTCGAGAGGATATCCCACGCCGAGGACGAAACGGGTTGTGAGATAAAACGCGGATCCAAAACAGAGGCGCCGAGTTCTGTGATGAAGTTGTCGTCATGCTCGTACCATTCGGCATCGAGAGACACAATAACAGCGTCTTGAAGTGCTGCGACTGCTGCAGCACTGCCAAGAGGGATCTCACTTCCTGGACGTTTCATCCAGTGTTGAAGGATGGCTGACTGGGTGAGACCTTGGTACAACTGGGTTTCAATGTGAGACTCCAGCCTTTTTGGGGAAATTTGCTGAGACATGGACGGGACGTTGTTCTTACCCTCCAAATATGATGTTTGATGTATGTCGTGAAGTTTTGGTGACCAGATAGAAGTTGAGATTGAAGCGCCAGAATCGATGGGACGGAGGGAGGGGAGAGGGGGGAAGTCTCTAAGAGAAGCAGAAGCCAACATTGTAGGTGGGCAGAGGTGATGTGAATGGTTGATGGTGTTGTAATGCTGGTTCGAGTCGAATCGGGACGACTGTTGGATCATCGTAAGGGCCATGATGTCGATATGTGATCTCGCTACTGTAGTAAAATTTGGATGTGTTTGTGGAATAAGAATTTGAAGAGAGGGAGGATTGAGGACGAAATATATATTCGAAGGGAACTACGTAGAATGAATGTTTGGAAGCGACGAATAATCGGTACCATGGATACATCTTTGAGCCGCGAATCGTAGGATACCTAGCTTAGTAGGATAGACCAATCTAACACCAATCCGAGAGGTTATACGTGGGAACCCTTCTCAGGACACCCCAAAATATCAGATAGGAGCGACCAGATACCCAGAAATATCACACCCAAAATTATATGATAAGAGCAATCCTCCAACCAGAACCTTTCAGAGTATTCACGTCTCCTAAAAAGGATTAGATAGAAACAATCACTTACTAAGAGCTTGCCTAACCAGGTAATAATATGTAATGGTGTCGATAACTTCGGTTACTCTGACTATATTGTAGCTATATTTTGGTGGCTCAGAGACCTTCTATCTTGTCTACCTAGGTAAGTTCCTTTTATATTATCTAATCTTTTAGGGTGCGCCGAATAGCGTTTGGGGTGCTCCGAAAAGGTTTTCCCTACCCGTTTCCTGGTCGAGGTAGAAGAAACAGGCATCCTGACTTTTCTCCGCGGCTTTCAATATCCTCATTACCTCCAGGGAGGTCTTTTGTCTAAAGCTGTTCATCACGTTCTGTTTCCCTGGAATCATCGATGTTATCGTCACTGGCCATGTCCCCGTTGTCTACGAACCCGTCGGGATTCTACTCTTCCATCGCGTTGTCTGGATTAGAATGCCCCATTTTGCTGTCTTCTTTGGGTCCTTCCATCTCGCTGTCTTCATTAAACTCAACTTCTTCCAGTATTACTTGTCTCATCCTGAAATATGTCTCCATATGACGATCCTTCGCTCAATAACAGAAAAAGGCAGTGTCTAGACCACAAATCAGCAAAAGCTACGGTTGGGAATTGGATGACGTGGAGGTTCGTTATAGGTTCTGAGACGATTCGTGTCCAGGCCCTCTTGGTGGCTTCAGTTCGAAGTTCGAGTGCTTCGTTCATATCTTGACTCATCGCCTTGGATGCAGCGAGAAGCGGCGTCAAAACTATAATATCGAAACTCAGCACAGCGGCGGTATTGCCCTCAAAGCCCCAACTCTCAAATTAGGATCGCTCCTGTCTTCCTCGAGCCATCCTGGTATGTTCAAGTGCTTATTGCTGGTACTAGACTGTCCAGACCCATCGGTATATTCCTGGATATAATCTTGGGGATGATCAGAATTGGCCCGATCATGATAATTCTATACATACCTGGTTGTGCATCAGGACCAGGCAAACCAGACTCCGAAGAGTATCTGGGTCGCGTATCCACTTGCCGGGGTCCCACTGAACCATGCAGAAATACTATCCCTACGTCAATCGAATATTCACAGATTGTGTCACGAAACTCGCGCGGTAAGTCGAACAAACGAAAGTCAGAGACTTTTAAGTTCAATAACAAGGTACTCGTTTCTGAAATCCTTTACACTTCTAAATGTGCTGCGGCTTTCTTACATGCGGTTAGCGATTGATCCGTCGGCATTTCGAGTGATGCGACCGGTTTGTATATGTTTGTAGTGCTCGAACGGAGATCACGCAGTAATATCGGGTGCTGTAGCATCAAGAGTTCGAAAGAGGCTGATGTAGGATTTACAAGAGGGGGCTGGCGTTATCGCGATGCGCCAGGACCCGCGTCAGCAGCGCCTGTGGGGCCGGGCCAATGACGCCAGAACCTAGCAGATTGCGACAACACCGAATTATTTACCAACGCCGATGCGAATATGCAGTGTAGTTTTGTTTCTATGCAGTTGATTGAAAATCACGAAAAAGCAATGAAACAATTAATTGAAGTGAATGTTTGGCATTAAAGTAGGTAAGTTAGGCATGACACGGTTGCCGACGCGTCCAGCGAGCGGCACCTGTGACCACGTAGCCTTACATACGCAATAACTAAGTTCCAGGGGTATATCGTTCAACAGTGATTCGTTAATCGAACCACAACATCATACATCAAGCGTCTGGACATCAGCCACTTAGATTTTCTCTTGAGTAAGGCTAGCACGCCTTTCCTGGTTGATGCTCTGACGCCTCTCGACATCAGCAGCCTGCTCCTCCGTACCGAGATGACCAGTAGGCAGCAGGTTGAGCGCATCTTCCTGCTTGTCCATCTTGCGGTAGGCGAAGTGGAAAGCGATACCGGTGACGAAAGAGATGATGGCCACACTGCCGTAGTTCCAGGTGATGTGGGGGTCGGCGGTAAGAGGAGTGAAAGCCTGGGCAAGGGCGGCGGAGAAGGCAGTGGTGAAGAGCTGCACAGACTGGACGAGCGACCTCATGTTCTTGGGCGCCTTGGTGAAAGCGTACTCGAGGGTAGTGACGGAAGCAAAGATCTCGGAAATGGCAATCAGGACATAGACGCCAGTGACAGCCCAGACGGAAATGTCAGTCTTGTAGTCAGGGTCGTGAGTCTGGTAGTAACCGGAGGTCTTGTAGATGTAGTGTTGGAGAACCGCAGCCCAGACCATAGCGAAGGCTCCGAGGATGAAACCAGCAGTGATCTTCTTGATGGGTGTGAAGCGGATACCACGCTTGCGAAGGAAGGGGTAGACGAGAGAGTCCATGATAGGCACCTAAAAACGATTAGTCAAATTTTCCTAGAGCTTTGTTTCCAGCAATACTCACAATAATGATAATGGCGATGGGGTCAAGGTTGGAGAGAATGTCGTTAGGAACACCGCCGAGGCGCATGGTCGCGCACATTTGGGTCAAGTTAGAGTCCATCTGACGGTATGCAAGCCAGAAGATAGGAACCCAGAAGAAGACTGAGCAGGCGCCGAAACCACGAGCAACTTCATCAACCCAGGCGTCATCGAAGTTGTACCATTTTGGCGCGGCGCTACCCAGAACGGAAGGCTTAACAGCGGTCCACATGCTGCCATCGTTCCAGTTCTTGTATGTCTTGACCGGATTGATGCTAAATCCACGTCCAAGCGCCTTGAAAAGAAGCTTGAAAGCTGGACCCATGACATTACCGCTCGGGGGACGGAGGATGTAGAACTTCTTGCAAAAGATGAGGACGGGAATAGCGATGACGAACATGACGGTAGGGATGAGGTAGGCGAGCCAGAAACCGACGTAACGCTCAGCGTAGACCATGGAGATTTGACCGACAAGAGCACCAATGTTGATGAAGAAGTAAAACCAGTTATAGATACGGGTGACAGTGACGGCGGGATCAACAATAACACGCTCGGTGCCGCGAGTCTCGACACGCATCTTCTCCTGGGGAACCTGCTCCGCAATGAGAGGGGCGATGTTAGGCTTGAAAGTTCCAGTTCCGAGACCCATGACGATGAGCCCGAGAATGAAAACACCAAGGGCAGTGTTCGAGTTGGCCAAAACAGAAGGAGCAGCGGAGGCGACGAGAATCAAGTGACCGATTTCAGCGACCAAGACAGAGTAGAGGATAGTCTTGAAGCGACCGAGGTAAGTGTCGGCAATCCAGGCTCCAAGGAGAGGGCAGACATAGACCCAGAAGGCGTTGAATGTTGTCAGAGAGAAGGCGACCTGCTTGCCCATGTCGAGAGCACCAGGCTGGGCCTCAGCATCATCAGGGTTGAGGGCCGCTCCGGAGGGGGTAGTGAGCGGCTTGGCAATGAAGTTGGAGTATACAGCAATGGTTCCGTAGTAACTCATACGCTCAACAAGCTCGACGAAAGCAATCTGAAAATGAAGTCAATGTCTGTCTCACGTATCTTCTGCATGACAATTGCGTACAGTGAAGATCTTCCATGGGATCCTTGCGGGCACACGACGGAGCGTGGCAAGTTCCTCATCAGTGGGGAAGTCATCAGCGCCGTCGATGTAGCTGTCCTGGAGAGTGGCCTTGCCCTCAGAGTGAAGGAAGGCTGGCGCAGCAGTAGTGTGGAGCTCGGGATGCTTGCGCGTGGGGTCGCCAGAGGCATCAACGAGAGAGGGGTCCAAGCCGACAGCTTGCTGCGGGGGGTGTTAGCAAGGATCGATTAGTATTTGGAGGCACTATCACTTACGACTTCACCAGCGTCACCGATAGGCATGGTGGGCGTGCGTTCACCTGTAAAGATTGACAGAAGAGGCGGACCGTGGTTGACTGACAGACACAGCAGCCGAGAGATGATTTATGGGATGCGGTGAGGAGAAGAGAGACCCTGGCGAGCAAAACAGAGTGGGTGGTGGTGCATTTAATTTGAGCACGCGAATCACGGGTCCAGCGTCGTGCTCTACAGCTTCAGGCCCGATAAGGAAGGCGCGCACACCTGCACAGGGATAGGCACCGTATCGACTCCTTCACGATAGTCGTCGCATCAGCAAACGCATCGCCACCGCGGCTGTTGTCCCCAGAAGGGCATTCGGGGCGTGCGCGATAGGTGCTGCACGATGCTCTTTTCGCACCGCACCGCCGAGGCGTCCTGGACTACTCAAGCCTCGCCAAGTTGCTAACCACCACTGGCAAGCAGCGACACAAGCAGAGCTTGCCTGTACCAAGATAACAATTCGCTGTGGCGCCCAGGTCGCATTTCATCGACTAACCTCCTGCCTAAAACGGTCGATTATCACTACCCCGCGACCACCCCCAAGGAATGCCCAGGCGCACTATTGTAGCGCCTCCAACGACAATTTGCCCTGCTAGGGACCCAGCCATTGATCTCCCATGGCGGTATCAGTGCCCTTGCTCTTTTCGCCCGCAAACGCGGTTATTTGCGGGTAATAGCGTCAACATGCGTGTTCTAGAAGACGATTGCAGCGAGTGATTCGAGAGAGACATCGCGAGAGACGTCGAGGGAGCATGCAGGCCAGACCGAGACGTTCACACCAACAACCATGCTGTGGGGCCGCCTGCAGACAGTCAAGATAAAGGCTGGAAGCTTAGGATACGGACAGGGCCCCAGCCAATCGCGCCATAGAGCCAAGACCTTTTCCGGACGCTACGATTCGTTCCTGCGACGGCCATCCCTCCAGGGCCCCTCCTCGAGGCGGGTCTCCGAATGTTCTCTGCGTCGCCCAAGACCTGGGCGACGGACCTTGATCGTATTTTTGTCCACGGTGATTGCGTGCTCAGGGGACTGCGACATCACGACACCGGCTACCGGCATCACGAAACCCAAGCGACCGACAAGACAGACAAGCCTCGGCCAACGGGCAAGAAGACGCCGTGGCAGCGGTTGAGGCTTCGTGCCCAGCCTCGATGGCATGACAGGGCTTACCCAACCCATCCTTCGAGATACGGTCGCTGTGGTGTGTGACAGCCATGCGGCGCGGCCTGGCGCTGTCGCGCTTATCCTCGATGGCTATGGTCAGATGCGCGGTCCTTTTTCGCAATATGAGCGTCACGACGGTGATGAGGTTGATAGGGTGGAAGACGAGGATTGGCGGAATCCAGGATCGGCATTTCGCTTACATTAAGCTTGATGAAGGCGTCCACTGCCTCGGCAGGCGCGATGCCGCACGTGAGCAGCTCCTCTACACGGTTACGGCTGGGGTTTATTGAAACGCCTAGTCCGTCCATATGCACGGCTGAACCGCAGCTGCATCTTGTCGTGGTGGTCCAAAGCTTGTCTGCCATCGCTCTCACCGCGCGACGCCGCCTGGGTATGCTTGTCCCTGACAAGCCCGCGGAACCATGTTGTATATCATCTTGCATCACCTTTACGTTGAGTTGTCGAGGCCTTTCATGCTATTTCCACGGCCCTCCAACCTTGCGTAGAGGCGGGTCTAACCGCAAAATGGTCAGCACCGTATAACGACTACAGTGGGACGCCTTACAATAGCAGAAAGCCCATTTACTGACCACGGCCGTTCACCGTCAGCTCGGGTAGTACGGGCGCATGTCAAAGCACTGAATATGGCCAAGGCCGTAGTGAGGTAACAGAAGTTCGCACCTTCCCAACGCTGTGGTAGCTACCGCCCAATCCCGCCCCATCTGACCCCGCTGCATGTCTCCCCATCTGTTCTCAAACTCGACAATCTCCGCCACCAGCACCGGTCCTTCGTATAACATGCACTGTCCTACAGCACACGGAACGCCTAATGACAGTTGGTAATTCACACGTAACGCCAAGTACATCGATAGACATGATCAGCCCAGGCACATGCCAATGAGCACATGGGCTACGACCATCTTTACGTCGCTGTATCGATGGTGTTAATCACTCAAGCCAGAGACACGCCACTCCAGTTTTGCCCGAGTAAATTCACAGGCTAATTGACCAGGCCAGACCCTTAAAATAGTAAACATCATTCTAGACAGTCAAAATACCTCATACAACCATTCCCTTCTCTTGCAATGCCCTCAACCTCTCGGGCGTAACGACACTCAACGCCATCGCCCCACCGATAACTACTCCTAGCAGCAACACTACAAATAAATACATCGGATCCACCCCGTTGCTGCTTCCCCTCACCCCCTTCTCCGCTCCCGGTGCATACGGCCCCACCATCTTCTTCAACGGCTTAACCCCGTGTTTCTGCGCATACTCATACCCCCGTCTCATACCAGGCAGCCCATCAATGCTCAGTTGACTCTTCCACGCCCAGTAGTAGTCTATGCTCTCCTTCTCATCTCCTTTCTTGGCCTTTTCTTCCTTCTTCCTAAAATGCTCGTTCAAGATGTCGCGATGGCCAACAAAGTCGTAGTACGGGACTGAGAATCCGCAGCTTGTGCCGCATTGATGCACGTCAACAATGATGATGCTACGGGAACCCGGGATAGTTTCGACTTTGTGGTCGGAGACAAAGGCCGAGTACTCTGCTGTGCCGTTTTCGAGAGGGCGCCCGGTGCCCCATATGCGGACGATCTTGGGGGGACCAGTAAAGGCCATGAACTGTGGGGGACTGTCAACACAAGTCTCTGGCATTCCCAGCTTATCTCGCATGGCGCTAAATCAGTCTCGAGGGTGGAGGTGACTTACCATGACGCAGATCCTCCCATTTCCTGGTTCGTGAAGATGCGCGTGTGTCTCCACCCCACTTCCTGTAAGATCCATATACCAGAACGTCCGCTCATCTAGGATGCCAAAGTTCTGACCTCCTTTAGGTGAGATGTTGATGTGGCCTTCGCCTGACAACGGTGCTGTGCCCACCCAGAGCATTTGCTGTTCTTTGATCCATGGCACTAGACTATTGGGAATGGTTTCATAGAAGACGCCCATTTTGGTGCGGTATGTTTGTTGTTTCCAGGTTGGAGGACTGAGACGACGGATGGAAGTTCTTTGCGGTGGAGGTTCGACGAGTTATCGGAGTGACCGGTATTGATATGGTTGTTGATGATACCGTTCGTGACAATGTAAAAGATAGCAAACGGACGCCAGAAGACGCAATTCCCAAGACAGAAAAAAAAAAATGCTTCAACAACAATCTTCCAGTCAAGTGTTTTGAGACCAGATGTAAATTTCTAACTCCCGTATGATTCACAGCTCGTCAAATGCTCAACCGTACGACGGTACCATCGGCTATGGGTCCGCGGCCGGGTACTGTCGTGCGTAAGCCTGCCTTATCCCTAAGCTTCACTTCCTTTGGCACTGACCAGCTTCTCGTTTGCTGAAACCTGTTGATTTTAACGGCGTATGTTCCGTAAGTAGTGATGTACAAAAACACAAGTTCCGAATGATCTGGCTAGTGGATAGCGGCAGCGGGGTATGCGATTGGGGTAAGCCGAGGATGTGGGTCAAGGGTCTGATATGCCGTGATTGGTTCAACAGAAGGTACTGATTGATGATTAATGTGTTGCAAAGGAGACGTGAGGGAAGGGTATGCACATGTGCTTCATATGTCACACGTGCAACACGTCCATCAAGAGTCGCAATCATTGTGTACTCATCAGGCAGTACATATATTTACACAAGATACTGGGCCAGACACCAGTATTCAAGCCTCGAGATAACCTACTGCTCCTCTGCTACGCATTGAAGTCTGGGCTCTCATTTCCTTGGAAGCTCTCGAAACACCTCCTTGAAGATCTTCTTGCTGTTATACAGATTCACTAGCCTTAGACGCTCATTGTCCAGATGCGCGCTATCACTTGCCTGACCGCACGGTAGATGCGCGGCTGGAGCGTTGAATTCCTTCTCCAAGAACCTGATACTGGGAATAGAACCACCCTCCCGAATATAGAGAGGCTTACGAGACACTCCTTCGCCCCGAGCGTTGTCAGGTGTCGAGGTGCCGGATGAGAGAACAGGTCCTGAGAGAGCTGGATCTGATGAGTTTGCCAGAGTATTCGATGTCGCAGGCGCAGGTTTGTCTTTAGTAGCAGGCGTTGGAAGTTCAGCATTCGCTTGCGACAGTGGCGAGAAATAGTCTGGCGACTTGACTGTGGATATACTCTCTCGCCTCTGTCCGAGTGTTGGACCCCATACTGACATAATGGCGCGCTCAAGCGTCTGGAAAATCTCGTTGTTGAAATCACCAAGCCACGGCTCAGCTTGGTGATCTATTGTTACCTTGAGTTGGTTCTTGGAATCTAGCTCTTCGAACTCTGATTGCAAAAAGGACTTCAAACTCTCTGCTACGTTGCCTGCTTCTTGATTTGGCACCAGCCGTATGGAGAGTGCGGCCTTGGCAAGACGCGGAATGATAGTTGAGTTATCAGGGCCAGAAGTTTGGAAGCGATGAATGGTGAGTGAAGCTTCTCGCCATCTCCTCATCAGTGACTGTGCTAGTTCTTCAGCATCGCCAAGGTCTGGGTTACTGCGTAGTAGCGTCCTGGTGATCTCTGTGTACAGCTCCTTCTCATTGTCTGTTAATGGTAGGGTGGGATCATAGAAGCCTGGTATTTGGACTTTGCCATGACGTGCAGTCAATCGCGAAAGCAGCATGACAAGATCTTTGAGGGGCTCGTCCAGCAGAGCACTTCCATCCACACCACTGTGCAAGTCGGGATGCTTGCTTTCAATCTGCACAGTGGCGTGTATGACTCCTCGAAGTCCATATGTCAGGCACGGTACGTGATCGTCGAGCCAGTAGCTGTTCGCCAGCAGGATCCAATCAACATCACCAATGAGATCCTTCCTGGATTGCACAGCCTTCTCGAACCCGCGAGAGCCACTTTCCTCCTCACCTTCAATCAGAAAGATGATGTCGGAGTCCAAGCTCTGCTCATTGGCGAGCTCATGGGCCGCGTAGATGGCAGCCATGATCGGTCCTTTGTTGTCAGAAGCGCCCCGACCATACAAGTAGCCTCCTTCTCCAGTCAGCGCGAAGGGGTCGTGTTTCCACTTGCGGTGCTCGTTTTCTGCAGGGATAACATCGTAGTGCCCATAAAACAGAATCTTTTTACGCGAGGCCGCTGTAGCCGGATTACCGCGAAACTTGGCAAATACAATTGGGTTGTACTCGCTTGTATTGATCATCTCGGTCACAGCGCCAAAATTGTGGAAAACGGAGCGCAAGTAAGACGCCCCTCTACGGCAGTCAGCGCGATATTTGGGCAGCGATGATACGGTCCGAAAAGAAACGAACTGGCTCAGGGACTCCACCATGAGATCTGCACTACGCATTAGTTGGGCTAATCAAAGTTTCGAACGTGTACACACCATTGTTACTTCTGCGTGAGACGGCATTGGGTTCCGCACAATCTCTGACTTCCCAGATAACCACTGTATTATCGTTGCCGCCCGTAACGAGAGTGGGTTTGTCATTGTAGCAGGTAAAGGCGGAAGCGAGAATCAAGCCGTCGTGTGCTTTGAAGGACGTGATGCTTTCGTAGTGCTCGTTGAATTTCTATCAATATTAGTCATATCCCTGACAAAATGGCCGCAAACACCCACCTGCATGACACCTGTTTTACCACCAGCGTAGAGAACACCGGCACCCAGCGTCAAAGTATGCACGTCGCCAGTAGTCGCTTTCAGACTTCTCACTAGTTGTCGGGTCTCTAGGTCCCATACGTTGACCTCGCCGTCGAAGCGTCCACTGTACAGGAAGGAACCTTCTCGGGCGAGGGAGAGTATAGATTCACCTTCTTCTCTCCCATCTTCCAGTGTATAGATGCTTGTTATAGCACCACGCTGCGCAGGGTCTATCCGCCATAGCAAGATACGTCCGTCTCCTCCACCAGAAACCAGAATCTCCTCAGATGGCGCCTCTGGTAGTATCCCCGTTCCTAAGACCATGCAGTGCACGTATCCATAGTGGGCGAATTGGCAAATATCATGGCTGTCAATTTGCAGTTCCTGCCCGCCCACTGCGTCCCGTGGCCGTGTGTCCGCCCCGCTAGGTTTTGGGGTCTGCGCGCCGCCAGGTCCAAGAGAGTCGAAGAACTTGTTCTTCCGTTCGGCAGGATGCGAAGAGAGACTCGGAGCCGGTCGAGTGTCTTTCTCTTTTAGATCGTACCACTGCCATTGTTAGCGCATGCGCCTTTCCAGCAGGCTTGTCTCATACTTGTATGCTTGTGTTCTGGGCTCCGAGGTAAACAGTGCGATGGTGGGACGAGTATGCGACGCAGAAAATGTCTCCAATGTCGTATGGTGACCAGAGAGCGTATAGGTGTCTGAACGTCGACGTGCACCAGACCTGCTGACTTAGCACATACCATGTCCAGCGCTCCTGACGCTCTTACATTGACGATTGGATCGGCTGCGCTCGAAAACAACCACTTGCGGTCATGCGACAAGCACAAGCCGAGCACACTGCCCTTGTGCGCATGTATGACGCTGCGTCGGTCGTAGGTATCGAGGCTATACACCTGCACGTCATAAGTCTGGAGCCTCGAGAGCTCGCTTAGACACGTACTAGGATCTCTCCGCCCTGAGTACCGGCGAAGATGTACTGTGACGATACTGCCAATGCGAGGATCGATTTGTCGTGCTTCATACGATGCGAGAGCGCAGGCGTTGGGTTCGCATCGGGGGCAGGTCTGTCTGCACCCCGCGTCTCCATGATGCTATCATACTGCGGAGGCGCTGCTGTTGGCATGGTCAGCCTGGCTCGCGTTGTGTATTTGGTGTGTCTGCATAGTCGCGTGTGAGGCTTTCGCGATTTGGTGTGGGAGCGAGCGATGACGGAAGAATCAGGGTCCAGTCACCCAAATGGCGCCGGCTGCGGGGCCAGGTGCATCGCCCAACTCGACGTACCTTTGACTTCTACGACACGCCTGTCTTCCTGTGATGTAAGCGTTCCAGACAAGTTGCACATGGTCCTTCGTTCTGCTGAGCTGCAGCCTGCGATGAGATGAAAAGGAAAGAACACACAAGACGAGAGACAAGTTGGATCGTGGTTTACCGTGTGCGAAAGAGAAAGCCGTTCATCCGCCTCGTCTACATTGTTCAGTGTAGAGTTCGAGGACGTCTCGTCGTCGCTCCATGATCTCTCAGGCGAGCTGGAGCCTTGGTGCTCGCACACAGGAACAAGCTCACCGCTTCTACATGGCGAGCGATGTCGCTGCAATGACGCCATTTCTGAGGGTGAGTATGTCTTACAGTAAGCTGAGATAGGGGGTTATCATCGCTGCTTTCTTTTTTCTCGATTGTTGCAGCAGTACAGTAAGTCAGAGCAAGCGCGTAAGGATGCCAACATGTGTGTGTGCACCAGCGTGCAGTGACTGCACAGTCGGTGTATGCACCTATCCTACCCTTGGCAGCGCGCTGTCAATCATGCAGTCGCTACTCCAGTCCGCGAGCATTGAATCAAGAGTCTAAGTTGACCGTTCGTGGACCCGAAGACGTGGTCGCGCTACAAAGAGCGACTTGCGACGTTGAAGCTACTCATTCACATGACGCTGTCTGCATGGCGTCGAATCGCTCTACGCCTAGGCTAAGGAGACTTAGGACAGCCTCACGGGAACTTGCATATTAGGGGGCGGGAGTGGGAGGCTCGTATCGCATGCAAGTAGAAGACTTTGAGACAAGATCGTCGGCGTGCATTCTGGAACACTCTCGCTGCCAACTTGAAAATTGCGAAGCGCGGCCGGGGATTGGATATGAGAGAGAGGGAATTCGGCGAGCAGCGATGTGTAATGCAGAACTCAACAGTTGCTTGGATCGACTGCCCCTAACTAGTTGTCGAAATCCCTCACCAGGGCGTACCTTACTGTCCGCGTGGGAAACGTGGGAAAAGTGGGTAGAGAAAAAGGAGCGTGGATGACGCTGGAAACCCAGACTATAGCCACACTGAAGGCGATGCAGTCGAGGCTGCTAAACCTCCGACAACCGAAAATGACGCGGCTTTGCGTGATGTTTGTCCAACCAAGATGTCATCTTGAGCAACTTCAGCTTGAGGTTGGCGGGCCTTTCGAGTCTCGATCACCTCCCCCCACGCTGAGGCGCACCGCCACAGGCACTCGCCACAGTACACACAGCCACGGCTCGCGCGGTAAGGGTAACATTCCCAGATGAAGCCTGTTCCTAGGGTCGATCATGCCAACTGGACAATGATTGACAATCTCGATTCTAGACACTTCAGAATGAGATTTGGGCAGCAATACTCGGGTTACCGCTGCCAGATGGCATGCATCGTTGCATCAGCACGCGTGAGAACTGAGGCTGCAGCAAATTAGTTGTCCACTCAGCAGCGACACGTTCACGATAGCTGCAGTAATAAAGCATGAATGTGATCCGCACCAATGATATGCAAAGCCGGGTGCTCTAAGAGGCAGCGTCTCGCTGCCCGCATAGCCGGCGCCATGGAAGCGCCTCCAGTTACATGGCGACACGCGCTTCAACTATACCAGGAGTGTACTGGTTGAGGCTTCACGACGCAGCCCACGAACCAGGGCAGGACGTCACAGAGGTTACTGGCGAAGTATGCGGGCAGTCTCGTGAATGGCTTTGCTGCAGGTCGCTTCGGCCACTCTGATCGCTCCCCGCGTCCCACCACCATGACGGCTGCGTGTCTCAGTCGGTAGAAATCGCCTCACTCCGCGCGTAGTGTTCCGACAATAACGCCGCCAGGACTGACTCTGAAATCCCTTATAGTCCAAGCCAGACCTGCGACGACTTTGATGATCTAGGTGGGACCTTGTGGAGTTGCGCCAGCTGCCGTTTCCGCGAGCACTGATACATGCTCACCGCCGCCTTTTAGGCCCAGGACACAAGTACCATTCTCACCGCAACCCCTACTCCCGTCACACAAAACCCCTCTTGCCGCGCGCTGTGCAGCTGCTGCAGGAACACAACGTCGCATACGTCAGAATGGCCGTCGGACTCGGAGAGACTATTACTGTGATTAACAAGAGTGGGAAGGTAGTGAGCAGTGTGAGTTGCCCGCCCACATGCCCGCCCGCCCGATAAGATGGCTAGCCCCCCGATAAGCCTCGTACTCGTTACTGACTACCCGCCCCCAGAGCAAGCACATTGTCAACGTCTTCAAGGAGGCCAAGGCCGCCTACCGCGAGCGCAAAGCCGAAATCAAGGCTGAGCGCGATGCCGTCGTGAAGGAGAGGGAGGTCGCCAAGAAGGCCCTCCGCGCTGCCGACGACGACGACGCCCGCTCCCAGGTCTCGCACCGCTCCAAGGCTTCCAAAGCCCACACCCACCGCAAGCATGACCGGCCAACCATGGAGCGCGGCTACAGCGACAGCTTCTATGCCAACGACAGCCCGCGGAGCAGCAAACACCGCCTCGAAAATGACCTCGGCGGACACGATGCGCACAACAAGGAGATTGCGAGGAGGAATTCCGACCAGGCCGTCCAGCGTTCGTCCCAAAGCAAGTCGCGATCCAAGTCAGTCGACATGGACCTTTGCTACGGCGACGTGCCCCCGCCCCTGCCCGAAAAGAAGTATGACGACCTCGAGCTCAAAGAGAAGGCTTCCAAGATCGAGATGCTCCTAGACGAGGCCAACTGTCTCCAACATACCGCCACCGCCATGATCGAGAACCTGCAAAAGAACCCTGAGGCCCTTGCCGCCGTATCCCTCACACTCGCCGAGATCAGTGCCATCGTGGGCAAGATGGGTCCCGGTGTGCTTACTGCGCTCAAGGGCAGCTTCCCCGCCGTAGCTGCTCTACTCCTCAGCCCACAGTTCATGATCGCTGGAGGTGTCGCTGTCGGTGTCACCATCGTCGCGCTCGGTGGATACAAGATCATCAAGAAGATGCAGGCACAGCCTGCGGTCGAGGAGCCAATGCCTGCCGCGCCTCAAATGCCTTTGCCTGTTCGTGCCGCCACCATGCCGCTGCCCATCGAAGATTCCAACAACGAGCTCGACGAGCTGGAACCCCAGGAACTAAGTCGTGTGGAGAAGTGGCGTCGTGGCATCGCAGACGTCGAGGCCAACAGCTCCGGCACCAGCGTCGACGGCGAGTTCATCACACCCGAGGCATCACGCACCCTTGTCGCAGCTGGCGTTCTTGATGAAGATGACCTCAAGTCCCGTCGCAGCACCAGATCCAAGAGGACCAGCGACTCGAAACACAGGGAGCACAAGTCGCATCGTGCACCAAAGTCTGACTTCAGCGTCAAGACTAGCAAGACCTCTGACAGCAAACGTCATTCTAGCAAGGAAAAGTCCAGCAAGGAAAAGGTCCCCTCCAGCAAAGTCGCTCCCAGCGTCTCAAGCAAATCCGGCAAAGAAAGCAGCAAGTCCAAGAAGAAGGAAAAAGAGCCTTCGGGTCTGAAGATGTTGTTCCGCGCTCACACCGTTGCCGTTTAGTTGCCCTTTACCGCTATATCTCCTTGTCATCATCATAGCGTTTGGCGTTTCCTTCATCATCGCACATCAGCATTTAGCGTTGCTTTACTCTCGTCACGTTTATACCATTTAGGCGACATTACATGGGCATATCAAGATCCCGTCGTTGGCCGCTTGCTGCTTTGGAGTCCTTTTGGGTCGTTTGGCGCATGGCGAAAGTTATGGGTCATGATTATCGCGCAGTACTACGAACCTTTTACGCTGTTTTATGTAACGCATACGTATCAATTACAAACTTACGGACTCACGAAAGAGAATTAATTCTTACCTTACCTTTACCACGATCACCATTACCACGATCGCCCTCTACACTCCTATCCCTCGTCCCTTCCACATCCCCACCCGTCGCACTATCAGTCTAGCATACCAGCATACGACTCCTCCACTGCTTTCCCCAGCCTCCTGAATAACCTGACCTTCTCCCTGACCGTAATTCGTTCTTTCCACGTATACTTACGATGTATGGTAATAGGGGAGCTATCCTAAAACAGCGGTGACTAATTGAGGAGGCTGGTCAAGGACGACGTAGCCTGCAAGAGTTAAAGAGGTGGTTGGGTACACGTACGACCAAGAGGCTAGGTACGCAATGGAGTGGCGATGCACAGAGTAGTAAGATGGAGAAGAAAAGGCGGTATGACGATGCTCATGTCTGCGAAGCTTTGACATTAAACGAGGTACGTGATGCCTACCCAATACGTATAGTTCCACTGACAATAGGATTCTCTTCACTGATGCGCTTGAGACATGGCAAGTCTATGCAGTCGACATGCTTATCTTAATGGATTCCGATTAGTGATCAATTGTACTATTTGCATGATCTCAATTTGGTGCCCCGCAGCCCACTCTTCTTGCGATTGCTATTCGAGGGCAGTCCATACGTGCGTAAGGCTATAGCTCACAATTGTACCTCCGTCTGCACATCGGAGCTCATTGCTTTGACAATCTTCTATCTCGCCATCTTTACATTGTATACTACCTACGTCTCTAACCATACGCGCAATGGAAGCTCGATACAAGCATGGCGGTGGCGACTTCATAGCTACACGCCACTCTACGAGCTACGACTACATATCGCCTTTGAAACTGAATCTGACAGGTAAACACGTCTTGGTCACCGGCGCGGCATGGGAAGACGGAGTTGGGTATGCCACAGCTACGGCGTTTGCGCGCGCAGGAGCAGCAGTAATCGCAGTGGCTGATCTCCATGGAGTAGCGGACGAGTTGGCTTCCAGATTGAAGGAAGTCGCTAAGCAAGCTGGACACGCTGAGCCTACGGTAGTGTGTTGCACGGTCGACATATCAAGACTAGACAGCGTGCAGGCCATGCACGAGACTGTCTCGAAGATTTTCGACGGGCGTCTAGACATCGTCGTAAACAACGCAGCCCACATGGAACCATACGTGTCGTTCCTTGAGACCGATCCAGACGTATACTGGCGATCCTATGAGGTCAACGTCCGCGGCCTCTTCAACATGTCCCGCGTCTTCCTTCCCTTACAACTCTCAACACAAACCAATCATAACGGCCTCTGCACAATAATCAATGTATCCTCCTCTGGCGCGCTGACTGCTCGTCCCGGAAGCGGAAGTTACCGCAGCTCCAAACTCGCCATCCTCCGCTGGACAGAAACCTTACAACTGGAATACGCTGATAGGGGTCTTCTGGCGATCTGTGTGAATCCAGGTGCGATCAAGACTAAGATCACAGAGACGGCGCCTGAGGAGGTGAGAAATCGGTTTCCGGATCGACCCGAGGTAGCGGGCGATACAATTGTTTGGTTGGGGGCGGAGAGGAGGGGGTGGTTGGCGGGGAGGTATGTGAGTTGTACGTGGGATATGGAGGAGCTTGTGAAGAAGAAGGATGAGATTGTTGAGGAAGACAAATTGAAGATGAGGATGGCCTTTTAACCGTACTGATGCATCGGGTCTCCTGCAATAAAGAGTAGAATTGGGTATGCTGTGTCTTCTTCCATCTCTTGCGCCCACGCAATATGCAGATTTTGTATGGTATCATCGCACGTACCCGGACATTGGTCCTCGTTCGATGGATGCATCTGTCAATCTTTCGACATGTATGATAGTAATACAGGAGGCTGGATGTATCGATAGTGTAATGATGACAAAATCATCCTGGGCCCCTTTTGGCTGAGTGTTGTATCTCAGTCTCGCCACGAACCAATACACCTATAAGACAACGTTGACAAGAACCTATATAAGCGTTTGTCCTTGTTCTACTCGCTTTTCATTCGGTCTGTCAGTACCATGATCTTTGACGACGTGCAGGTAGAATGCTCCTGCCAAGTGGCATCGATAATTCGTGTTCCTGGGGTAAAACTCAAAACAACCTGTTACCCAGCCTTCGCTTTCTCGTCAAACACCACCGTCGCTTCGCACTCTCCAGGCTCAGTGGCTTCGCGTTCTCCTGCCGCCGTTGTCTTCCTGTCAAGCTATACGGATCGTTAGCACAAGCTCTTTCCCTCATCAGCGACAATACTCACCCATCTGACCACGAACGCGAATCCGATAAACACGAATACCACCACGATCATGGTGATACTGCCCTTCTTCCAATATGGTACATCTGTTGCCGGGTACATAACAATACCCCACCACGTGTACAAAATCTGTCCACCGAGATTCATCGTATACAGCGTCACACTCCTGACAGCATCGTCACCGGCTCTCTGGCAGATTGTAGTCGCCCATCCATATAGAACAGGATTCACGATAAAACTCGTGCCGCTGATGTAGTGCGCTGTAAAAATGCCTGCATCTGGAAGGTCTCGCACTAGCAGAAGCGATGCCGTGACGAGTTGCATCGCTCCAGCGAGAACGACCATGGGCAAACGATGGCCAGTACGGTCGATGAATGTTCCAGCAACAATCTGAGAGACGATTGCAACAGCCTGGATACCAAGAGGGTAAGTGTTGATCGCAGACTGAGAGAAGCGAGCTTTGTTGTGCTTGAGCCAGAGGAGAAACATGCCCTGGAAGGCGAAGGCTTCCGTCATGGCGCAAATGACCGAGAAGGCCGTGAGGATATATCTGAAACAGAGTCAATTCTGTAAATTGGCGTGACCGTAGGGCTACTTACATAGTTGGTGTTAAGAGAAGACGCTTAGCAAGGCTCCTGATCTCGATACTGTGGGTATTTGCCGTTTTCGGTGGCAGGCGAGCAATGGCGAGCTGCCTTTCTTGCTGATTAATATAGGTAACTCTTGTCGACTCTGGAAGGTCGGGGAATGTGAACTGTGATCATTGTTAACCCCGAAACTCGACGTGGTCCATCAATACAACGTACGAAGCCGAAAAGACCGACTGGTATTCCCATCAGGCCATCTTTGCAGTATTTGTCAGTAACGCCTGCGATCATGGTATATTCACACACATACCGATAAGGAATACCCATTGCCAGCCTTTCAAGCCACCTCTACCTTCCATGGTCTTATGCATGGCTGTCATCATTATACCTGCGAACATGCTTCCAACCTGTCCAACCGCGGTGAAGATGGCGGTTCGTTTGGCGATCTCGGAAGGCTTGCTGTGGACTATCTTGAGCCTTACTTACAGGGGCGTGGGCTTCACTTAACTTACTACCATGAACCCAACACATATATTGTACCACTGTATAAACTGGCTTCCATCAAGCCCTGGAAGAAACGTACTGCGCAGAGCTGTTCGTATGTTTTGCATGCCGCCGAACACATAGTCAGGCCGGACCAGAGGAGGAGGGTGAGAGGGAGCCAGATGCTGGGGCGAACCTTCTGGATGATAAGCCCATGGGGAATTTGGCCAACAACCATGCTGAAAAGTTGTTAGTTAGGAGCAATATGGCGGACTAGTGTATTGGTACGGACCCTGCAGTGAATATCGACAGCAGAATGCTGTACTGATTGCCTTGCAGGTTGACATCTTCCCGCAAGCCAGCGACGTAGGCATTGGCGAAAGCTTGACGATCTGCTTCGCATCAGCATACGATATTCTCATTAAGAACTTGAAGTCAGATTTACCGAGGTAATTGAAGAAGTAGCATGCACAGCAATACACCTGGTTGAATTACTCAGATACTACAAATCATCGATCTTTCAAGAGGACTGACCATGATGAAGATGTCTAATCACATGGAAGTTAGCATGGAGGCGTTATGGTGGGGATGACTATGCTGGTACCAAGCTTCATAACGAGTTTCCTCTCCATCGCCTTCGTCGCATCACCGGTATCACCAGACTTGAGCCCTTCATATTGTCATTAGCAATGGAACAAATACGCGATTCATCGATTGCGGATCTCTCACATCCTAAAGCACCCATCTTTGCTTGGGTGTGTTAGCAGATTAGATAAAGGGACGATTATCAGATTGATTAGATTGTACCAATCGCCTACTCTTATTACATCTGATACTGGGTACGACACGCGAGGGGCCCAGGCCTAGCCTCGGAGCTGGCGCATTGACTACGAAGATTCTTCGCGCTTGGTGATCGACCGAGCATCGGCCCGTTGCTAAAGTGCCATAGAGCCTTGGCCTTACCATACAAATCGAGGACTTTAGCCAGAAGTCTACACTGGCGTTTCCAGTCTGCTGACTTTCTAGTCATAACCCATGTTTACCGCCTTTGCTTACTTGCGGTCTTGAGCGAAAGGGGGAATACCAAGAGGTTCGCCGGAGATTTCTTGACCAACTTATCGGTAAGCTGGTACGAAAGCAGTATGATGTACATGTTGTTGAAGTAAAACGGCCGCAGTATGCGCGACGGAGACGAGCATCGCTCTCTTAACACATTGGTGGATGTTTTGTAATACTGCTTACTCTTCAGCCGGAGGATTTGTCCTGTACAACAGCAACTCCGGTCACGCACAACGACATTCGATCACCTTCCAGAAATTCATGTGCCTTCAAAGGGGTGTTGAGGCTGGTATGATATGGTTACGAAGAGGCTGACCGAAACTCACCCGACTTAAGAAGTTATCTTCGTCACAAGTAATTTTTTATGACCTTGCCTGTATGTCTCATCTCAGGACCATGAGAGGCTCTCGGGCGAACACGTATTTGGAAGCAAACTGATTAGGTTTCCTGGGTTACTTTACCTGCTTGATACACGCATCAGAATTTGAACATCCGCAAACACGTCTTCAGCGTCTCCTCTGTGCGGACTCAGCCGTTACCTGACAGTGAGCATTGAGAGGCCGGCATCTACTCCCAAATCGGCCCCTCCCGTTTCTATCGCTTCCAATGTTCCACAATACCACGTCGCACTCAACCCTACTTCATCACTACTATCCATTACACCATGTCTCATCTCGCCATGGGTGATCGCAGACCTCCGAGCCAGATAACGCGGAGGTTGTTAGTACGGGGAATATCTTGAGCTATAGTCTGAGCTGTAGTCTGAGCTGTAGTGTGGGCTGTAGTATGAGCCATATGAATCTTCATCAGATGCGGAACGGCCGCGGCTGTACTCGTCGTCATAGCCATCGTCATGCCTTGAACCATAGTTATCATCGTAGCCGTCATCTTGCCTAGAACTATACCCATCACCATAGTTATCGCACCTGGAACCATGCCTTTCACCGTATTCACGGTCGCGCGTGGGGTTGTAATGACGCGGAGAACGTGGCCTCGATCCTACAGATCCATTTCGGTTGCCCGGAGTGATCCGAGCAGGCGAGCGGGATCGATGGTCTCTTGAACAAGCGTGGCCGCGTCTTTCGTCATAATCGGGTTCACGCCTGTCGCGATACCGATTCGGAGAATACGGCCTAGTTGCCACGAAGCTTCTCCGACTATGCGGAGCGAACCGATCAGGCGAGCGAGACCGATAGCTAGGCGGCGACGTCTGTCCAGATAGGCAAGCAGGTCTAGATTCGCGGCGATCTAAACCTTGAGGAGACGGCTCTTGGGAGCCTTTGTTTTGGAAACTCATTCTCCCTTTGACGTGTATATTCTGCTGTCCGCTTCCACTGTTCACGTTTTGATTGTAAACTGGCGCCATCGTTCGTAAATGCGTACGACCATGTGGGTCTTCCAAGGTCTGACTGTAACCATTAGGTCTGTCATCACCAGCCGTCTTGTTCTTGATGCCGTTCGAAACATTAGAGTTCTGCAGCCCGCTGCCTCGTTTCTGATTGTGCTCAGATTCGAAAGGGATCTCATGCTCAGGTGGTGCGGCAGTAGGAGTATAAGACGACTGAACCTCGAAATCGCCATTAACTTTGATGTTCTGCTGGCCGTCTCCGCTGTTCACATTCTGATTGTAGATTGGCGCGCTGTTTGTGAGAAAGTTGGTGGCGGAGGGGTTTTCGAGCGTCTGAGAACCATACTTTGCGCTTGTGGAATTCTGGATGCGGACGTTACCGGCTGTCACACGTTGAGCACCGTCCTTCTGGTCTACATGTGCAGAAGATACAGGTATAGGATTAATAGGCTGACGCCGTCGTCTTTCTGATGGATCGGACGCTGGCGATGAGCGAGGCGATAGCTTTCCGCCGCGCAGAACCAACTCTCTGCCTTCAACTTCATTATCCTCATCAAAACGCTTTAGCGGGACTTCACTTGAGGTACGCGTCGCAGTCGAAGTGCGCATCAGACTGATTACAGCTGGCGTATCTGTGTCGTGTTGGTTTAAGTTGAATGTTTAGTTTTGAGATGAGTTGATAAAGCGTGGTTGGGTAGCTCGCAGGAGCAGCTAGAAGAGTCTTTGTCCTCTATAGCTAGAGCTGTGAGTCTCACAAGAAGACTTTCACTGTCTTTCATTATTTCAATCGTTTGTTTACCAAACACCGACAGTTGAACATAGAAGAGAAGGGAAGGATGAAGGTAGGGATTTGGCGGAATCGCGTCGGAGATGACCCGTGGATCCGAGGTAACAGCATCCTGAACACGCGCTACTATAGTGCGTCCACATTACTATCTATACAGCGGTGCAGGTGGAAGCCGCGTTACCAGCTTGTGCGTCCGTCAAAGGCATTTCCTGTTGTGTCGAGAAATCAAGGATGCGTGCCTGGGGCCAAAAAACCCTGGTGTAACATCAATCGGCTTACCAAAAGCGTACAACCACTCAACCGAAAAACCGACGTCATCCACCTTTCTCCACCTCCGCACTGCAGATCACCCCATGTTATCCCCAGACGCGACATTCCTACCCGCCACCAATAGCTCGGCAAGGCTTCCTGTGCACCGTTGCATCTTGATCATTCGTCAACGTCTTGTAGCTAAGAGTGGCCCCCACAATTACTCCGTCAATTATACGGCTCACGGCCAATTCGCCGAGCAAGCATCGTGACGTTTGATCACTTCACTCTCGGATTACAAGTTCCGCTAGTGGATGTTATAGCATATGAGCATGGGTATACTAATGTAAAGGGTCGCCCACCGGGCGCGCTGGTCGCTTTGCTGTTTTGTTGCGCTCGTGTCTTGCGCGTCAGGTTGGAAGTTGAGACCAGCATCATGTTCCATACACCGCATTTCAACTGGTATGGACGAGGCTTCAAGCTTCGCGCCGCCATCACCATCGCTTGCCAGCTAGCGTTCGTGCTTTTCGGTTACGACCAAGGTGTCTTCAGCGGCATCGTCGGCAATGAGGACTTTTTGAATACTTTCGATCATCCTTCGCCTGGCCTCGAAGGAATCATCGTATCCATATACAACCTAGGATGCTTCACAGGATGTATTCTTAGCTTCATTTTCTGCGAGAAAACGGGACGGAGACTGGCTATGTGGATTGCTATGGTCTGGATCATTGTAAGACGTTCAAGTCGCTGGTGTCAGTATCGTGGCTGATAGTATCAGGTCGGCGGCGCTCTTCAAGCCAGCGCGTACTCAGTCCCACATATGATGGTAGCTCGGTTCCTGACTGGCATTGGAACCGGGATCGAAACTTCGACTGTGCCTATGTATCAATCCGAACTTTGCGAAGCGAACAAGCGCGGCCGCCTCGTCGCGTCAGAACCTCTCTTTGTTGGCGTAGGGATCGAAATAGCATACTGGTTCGACTACGGAATGTCATTCACGGCAGGATCTATCGCGTGGCGCCTACCCATTGCATGTCAAGTCATTTTTGCCATTATCGTCATCATCCTTGTTTTTGGTCTTCCTGAATCGCCAAGATATCTTTATGCACATGGTCGACACGAGGAAGCACTTCAGATCCTCTGCGATGTTTACGATGGCACGCCCGATGATCCAAAGATAGAGAAGGAGAACAGAGAGGTACTCGAGGCACTGCGGGTCGAGCGCGAACATGGAGAATACAGGTGGTCGCAATTACTGAAGAAAGACCATGTGCAGACTGGACGCCGTGTACTGCTCGCGTACGGCGCGCAGTTTATGAACCAGATGGGCGGTAAGAAACTCCTCTGCACGAACTGCATGTGAGACATACACTGACTTTTTACACGTATGTTCAGGTATAAACCTCGTTGTTTACTACATCACATCGGTGCTAGAGCAGAACGTTGGGCTCGACAGAAACCTATCACTGCTTCTCGGCGGCGTCATCAACCTCATGTTCTTCCTCGGCTCTTTGCTTCCAACCTTCACACTTGATCGCACCGGCCGCCGAAAGCCAATGATGTGGGGCTCTTTAGGCCTCGGCCTTTCCATGATGATGATTTCAATCCTCTTGAGCTTCAAAGGAGAAGACGGAAGAGTCTTAAAAAGTACCGCCTCTGCTAGTGTCGCATTCTTTTTCACGGTAAGTGGATCCCCCGCCCTGTCGTTTTCTGTGAAACGGAGCTAACAAAGACTAGTACATGCTGGCGTTTGGCATGACGATGAACTGCATTCCTTGGGTCTATGTACCCGAGATTTTACCATTACATGTACGAGCAAAGGGAACGGCTGTCGGTATCTCCGCAAATTGGATCTGGAGTAAGTATCCCACATAGACTGCGTATGAGACATACACTAATCTTGATATCCATGTATAGACTTCTTCGTTGTCATGATCACTCCCACTCTTCTTGATAGCTTAGCATGGAAGGGCTATCTGATCTTCATGGCACTCAACTTCGCGTTCATTCCCCTTATCGTAGGTCTCCGGATATGCACCCAAACTTCACTCCCTAACGCGCTTCAGTACTTCTGCTATCCCGAAACTGCTAATTTGACGCTCGAAGAAGTTGACTGGCTCTTCTACGAAGGCGACGTGGTGAAGCGGAGTCGGCGTGTTGCGAAGGAGGGCTGGGAACAAGCGATCGGTACCGATCCCGTTGCTATCATGGAGACCGGTAGTACTTCGAGTGGCAACAAAGCTGAACATACGACGGAGAAGGCAGAGCATGTGTCACCCTAAGAGCTGATGAAGGCACCCCCGTCATTGTTTAGATACCCTGTCTTATATTATTATATTATAATGCTTCCGAGACCTTTAGGTCTGCACGAACACCAGTGAGCTGATAATACGTTCCGTTAAGCTGACTCAACATCAACTGTATAGGTCCTCTCGGCATAAATCCTCTTATCGTTCATCGGCGCAGTACTCTTATCCGACGCGCCATCGTGTATCCTTTCCCAAGCATCCTGATCGCGCCCATGGTGCACAGTAGACAAACTGAAGCCAATGTCCGCGTGATAGCTGTCGCCTCTCCTTTTCCGTGAGGTGCCGCCTCCAGTGGTTGTTGCTATGTATCGCTTGCTGTTCGGATCTGTGCTGCCGTCGCGATCGTTGTTGAAGAAGTGGCGTAGTGCCGGTAGGGAGGATGCAAAGCACCCGATTCCGGTCTCGACGTTCGAGCAAAGGACGATATGGGCAACCCAAACTGTGTGCGGGTCAGTTTGCGTTTCTTGGGTTAAAAGAGACTACATGCTTACATGGGAGATTGGTCTGAGACTCAAATTTGTTGACAAATGGAATTCGTATCATAGTAATGATTGACGCCAGTGAGGCGAAGGACAGTAGGCCGAATGCTTGGATCTTGGCTTGTCTTTTCATCTGTGTATTCCACAAGATGATAGCCGGCACGATGACCAGGGCCATGTCGGTCAAGATTGTCGACACTGTCGCAGTGTGCGCGATGATGAGGAATGTCTCCGCAGAAGCGCACCTTCCTTCGCCGCTCATGATCAGCGTCGGAGTCCCTGTAGGTATCGATTAGTCTTGTCTGACCTGCAGTTTGCAAATCTGCCCTACTCACATAGAGACCGCACTGGCTGGCAGTAAGCCAATGTTCCGACAAAGGTGACGAGAAAAGATGCCCATGTTACGGCCAGTAGAACCCAGACAGTGATCCTCATGGGCTTTTTGATCGAAGCAATTCGCCTGATCGTGATGCACACTGAGGATTTGACGGTTGCAAGTGCAACAACGTATACCAAGATCCAGATCAGGTAATACTTGATAGCTTCAGACTGCTGCCATGCATTCAGATCCTCGTTCATTCTGCCTAGGCCGACAAGACATCCGTAGATTGCAAGACCTGTAACAGGAATGTATGCGATCTATGAGATGATGTTAGCATAACCCAAGCTACAGACTCTCAGCGATAGACATACCATGCCAATAACCATGAACGTGTCTTCCAGGCCAAATATGCGCTTCTTGATTCGAATGAAGGTACGCAACGCCACAGTAACAGCAGAAAGCATGAAGAAGATGGATGAGATGGCGATGATAGCAAGTGGCAGCCCATCCGGTGTGATCAGCCTCGCGGACGGATCTACATCACTCGCAGGTGTCGCCATTGCAGGTTCGAGTCGACTGTGAATAGCAAGGATGCAGACAGGGTGCAAGACCACATCTTGAGGACGGTATTGTTGTTTTATACATTTACGCCGATCTTGGCCGTACCCATAAACCTGGAAGTTGGATTGCAGGATACATGTAGCCGTTAATCCAAATCGCCCAGGAGCCAACTAGAAAAGATTGCTGGAAAGGAGAGCTAATGTCAGGCATTTTGCACCCATACAACGACGCCATTGCGACGGTAGCGAAAAACTAGTGGACCGATCTCCCGCGCCGGCTGATCCTGAGCCGCGATCTAGATGGTTACTAGTGTCATGCGTCATGCTCGAGACGAAGCCTGACTCTCCAAATCGTATCGTGAAACCACAGAGCAGGTGTTCCGAGCGAAAGACCCAGCATTCTCTGGTATTTACACGGTGGGCCAAATCGTAGGTCTGGCACTACGACATCGTTAATCTGTCATTCTGTATCGCCACAACGGATCTTTCCAGAGATCTAGATGCGAGAGTGCGAACCAATTCGCCTATCGGGAAGGCTGCCAGAGTTGTACTTATCTTGTATCGTGTCATGTAGCTGCGCAGTCGCCAACGGCTCGAATCCTTGTAACCTGCCTCTTATCATCTCCAACCTGAGGCCGTACAATATGGATTGCGAACATAATGGTCAATCAGAGGATTCCGATTGGGGAAAACCTCAACATTGTCACATTAGAAGCATTGGCGAGCATAGAAATTGAGCTTGCGATAAAGTATATATTATTATGATTCACATTATTGTCCACATACGACCATAGGACACTGAAAATTAGGCTTCCCGTCCGCTCAGCCATATACAAGCAGTGTACCGGCGGATTAGTAGTTAGGTGGGTGACCACTAGCGAATCCCCGCTGTTGTATGTTTTTGTCCTCCTTTTTGCTCATGGACAGAAAAGGAATGCGAGCCGGGCCAGATGAGATCGCTTTCTGGTACATCTGTGGCGGCAATCCAGAGTCCACCGAGATGTTCAGTATTCATGCGATCACAGTGAGCAAAAGTCTTTTCCAATGCTCCAGTCGTTCGTTCTTCAGCCTCCCACTTCACCACCACCGTGCCCGGTCCACCCAGACAGCCCCTGCCATGGCACGACCACTTACAGACGCGGAGAGAGCCCGTGTTCGGGCTCACATGGATTTTCTTGACAGGGCTATGGCCGTTATCAGAGAGTCAGAGTTCGATCCCGACAAGGTCAATGCTGCTCACAAGGCGGCTGCCAGGGCGTATCCCGTTAGCAAAGGAATGTTCCAGGCTTATAGCGCAGAGGTCCTGATAGAAGTGGCTGACCCCCTGAGGGTGTTGAAAAACTTGTGTAATATCCTCAAACCAGACGCGTCTTGGGGTCTGGCCATGTACCGTGCCTGGTACAACGACGATGCGGCTTGGCATCGTATACTTTCTGTGCTCCGCCGAGATATCGAGTCATCACTAGCAGTATAACAGGCTCAACCCGGCCTTGTCGCAAGATATGAGTTGGTCCTTATGAATGATCAGTCCAAGTTCGAAGGAGCAGGTCCCGAGAAGATCCGCGAGCATTTCCATAGCTGGGCTGTAGATGAGCTACAACGTAACTGGCGTGCCGATCGCGAGCCCGCGACCAAGGACGAAATAACTGGCGCAGCCGGCAGTCCGGATTATCTGCACTGTGCTGGATCTCGCTACAATTTCTTTCTTCTTGTTGACGACATCTGCCTCGAATCCATTGAGATGATGAACGAGCCCGTGTTCAAGCTCGTCAAGGGAAACTGGGCGCCCGACAGCAAAGGAGACGAAGCTGCGGAAGACGAGAAGTTTGACTGGGAGGGCAGAGGAATAAATAGCGTTCATGAAGACGTCGGTTGGATGTACGTCGACGCCAGTGACTACGTTGATGTTCAGGACCAGTTGCAGGAGGATGGTTTCTGGCCGGAATTGTATGTAAGGCCGTCGCTCATGCGCTGGTGGAAGGTTTCAACAGGGCGCCTGGTTTCTGACGACGGAACGCATATTCTGCATAGATAAGATAAGACTACTTATCGTAGCTTAGTTAGCTTGGTTGCTAGTGTATCACTACTTTGAATAAAAACCTCATTACGACATGAGCAAGATTGATCGACACTGGACAGTCTCGTATAACGAGGCCCAGATAGGGCATCTGCATCGTGCTCCGTGACATGTAGGTCTTTCAACCCCAACCCAGGTCTCACTAAACGGGCATGCTTCGTGTTGCTGATATCAAGCACACCTAGTGTAACTCCGGAGTCGGTAACGGGTATTGATTCGTCCGTTTTCGCCCAATCACCCAGACCCAGATTTTCGTGCGCCACTCGCTGCAGCTGAAGCGTCGAATTTGTTCGCCATTCCACCTGAGCATACGTCTGGGTTCGCGCCGAACGCCTTGTGAAGATATGGCGTCCGAATTCATTGATTCGCTCTACGAATGCAGATGATATCATGATGAGGCTACCCAGAAGCAGGATAGTAACAAGAGCCCATATGCTGAAGGACAAGTGACGTGTGGACCTGACTTTCTGGATTCAATGTCAGTGGCAACTTCAAGATGATATGGAGAACGAACCTGGTTCCTGCAGTTCTTCCAGCATTGCGTCCCATTGCTGCATGAATTAGATGTATCGAGCCAAAAACCTCTCGCGTAGTCAGTCATCGTAGACTGTATACTGACCAAACTTGCTCTGAATAAGTGTTCCCGCTCCGCTTGCCATCTATCACCAGGAAGAATATCCATCTGCATACCAGCCATGATCGTGTTTCGAGAGAGCAACGTCGGTACACTTCGTAAGTAGTACCATATATCCAAGTAGTTTGGACTCAAAGTCAACAAGATCGGGCGGATGATTGACAAATCCTGACTATCATTCCAAATCTGAGGCAATACCTCTAGAGCATCGCGGGCAAACCCATTTACGCAAGCTGCTCCTGCCGGGAGCGATGGGTTGCAATAGAAGCGACGCGTGATGCAACCGATGACACCAGGGGTCTTGGTAGAGAGGGAGTCTGATGAATGGTTCCTGTAAATCAACGGCGTTCCCTCAAACCAAGGATCGTCCGTTTCATTGAAGGTCAATACTTCAGAGGCGTCCAAGAAGACGAGCGATACATATCCGTTCGATGACCGAAGCTGGGGGATAAATGTGTCACTTTCTTCATCCCGTACAACGCTTTCCAAAATTAGCTTTTCGAATTGATCTCCACCGTGATTGATGTCTCTGAGGCCAGCTGGCGGAAACTTACCTGACTTTATAGTCTCCATTTGTGACACCAGGTATGGGCTTCTCATCATCCGGTTTTAGTCGATAAGTGAAGAAATCTTCAGGACCGAAACCGTATCTGTAGGTCAAGTGACGTTCTCCCGTTCGTGATTCAGTCATCTCGGTAAGATTCTGCGTGTCGAGAGGCGCGCAATGGCTCTGGTGCCGCATGATGAAACGCGGTCCGGTGTTCAGACCAAGATGGGAAAGAGAGTCTATGTCGCCAGAGTCAAGCAACAAGTTTCCTGTGCTCGATTTGCATATTTCTTCTGAAAAGGGGCACGAGGCGTTTTTGTCCGACGTAAAAGGCAAAGAAGATTTTACAAAAGCCCCACAACTCTCTGCTAATTTCTCAGTAGATCCGTGACCGCACTGTGTCACATGTGCGAAGGATTCGACTCCTTTCCGGTTATGATATGACGTTGTGTCAGAAACTGGAAAGTTCAAAGTAGTGTTGTTGCTGACAAGCTTGCCGCACAATCGACCAGATATCAAAGCTTCATTTGTAGTGGTCAAGAGAGCCTTGGATGAGGTGATACCTAGTGCAATCCACATCAGTTGTAGCTCAGTGAGTTCAAAGCAAAACGTACTCGCTGCTACAGATAGTGCGGAGATCGTGGCAGCTAGCAATGCGACAGGTAGCACCCTTTGTCGCACGCTATGCGTCCTTTGCTGCCAGACGAAGCTTGCTCGCAACAAATCAATGGCCGCATCGTGAGCCAAAGGTGTGTTTCGTAGTACGGCTTGTTGTTGGTGGTAAACAGCATCTCGAGGCACAGTAGTGGAGAGCGAGGTATGCAGAATGAATCGAATAATCGTCCATAAAGCACGCCCTGATGCACCGATAAATAAAGCAAGAAATGCGAGCAATAGGTTACCATATTGCTGGCTCAGAGTGAGTGTTGCACCAAGAAACGTGCCTGATGAGTAGTTTGTCCAAAATCCGATGTAAATATCATCATCGCTTGACCCCGTCGGCAATATGAACGACATAATAGCAGATTGTATCGCCGTGAGGGAGATGCCAGAAGTAATGAATTTGACTAGAGAGGACTGTAATAGTAATTAAGCGTGATGCAACAGGATAGACGTGTACCTATTCCTGCTAAGTAAAGAACGAAGGGTGAAGGGTGTCTTTTGCCAGCAGGAAGGCGGACGTCGGTGGCAGGTGATGAGCTTTCTAGAAGCCTTAAGTCAGGAACAAGAGTCTCTGTCCGTGTTGAGCGAATTAACGCTGGTTGGGTGCTCGTCCACCATTCGCTGCCTGCACCGATAACCGCTCGTTGGGTTGGGTTGCATCCTGTGGTTTCAGCCATTATGCCGTGCAGTCAAACTTAGAAGTAAAGAGAAAGACAGTTAACACGATGCGGAACGAAAAGCTTGGCGCAGCATACTCCGCTGTAGAAGCTTTTGGGGGCGGCTCTGGCGTCAGCCGATTGGTTCGGTACAGTGCTGGAACGCGAGGTGTGTATGTCAACACGAACCAAATGCGAGTAGGCATCTAAACTTAGCCTTGTTGCTTCCTTGCTCCTACAATAAGCGCTGGTGGCACAGAACGTGGGGGATGAGGCTGATCCTCGCGCCTTTACCAACTGAACCCCCTGAGCCAAGCAGCATGACCTATGAACTACTATTTGGGACGATTGACCTACGCGTAAATGTTTGGCTTCCCGAATTACGCAAGAGAGAACATGGGTAGAGACAATAAGGAACGGGTACGTGAAACTATGTCTTCTTCAAACCTACATATCGTACAGGGTGGTGATGTTTTCTGTACACCGTCTATGATACACGCTCTAATATGGAGCGATGGAGCGAACGTGAAGACTACGATGATTTCTCGGCAGCCTTGGCGGCTTCGAGTCGCGAACTAATGTGAGGGGTAGCGTGCGTTTTGGGAGCCTGTGGCTTCATGATCTGGCGAAGGATAGCGCGACGTGGCGCAGTTATCCTGTTGCACAAAACAACCGCACCAGTCAACAGAGCGAGAGCGCCGGCTTGGTGTGCGGAGGCCAGCCAGGTAGGGACCATGTAGATCAATGTGCTGATGCCGAGAGTAACCTGAAGGACAACGAGGTGAACCATTCCTTGGACACCCTTGTGCTGATCCTTGGAAAGCTTACTTCGCACGCCCTTTCCAAAGCGAGTGTATGCAAAGAGACTCATGATGGCAGTGAATGTAGTCGTTGCGAGGATGCGGTGGTCAAGCTGGACGAGAGAAGGGTTCTCGAGCATGTTGCGCCACCAAAGATCCGATTGATCTGGGACGTGGCTGTAAAAGGGATCGAAAAGTTCCTTCTTGGGTGGAGCGAGACCGAGACCCATCCATGGGAATTCGTTGTAGATCAAGCCAGCATCAAGACCAGCAACCAGGGCACCTGACATAGCAGTAGTGAAGACAAGAGCGGTAAGACCAAAGACGGAGCGTCTAAAGATGCGGAGAGCAGGATGTTGCAGAGCCTTGATAGTCTCAGCAGCCTTGGCCGGGTCTGCTAGCATGCGATGCTCCTTGAGAATCGAAAGACCAGTGTAGACCATTGAGCAGTAGACAGTGAATGCAGCACCCAGATGGGCAGTCAGGCGATACTGGCTGACACGGGGATGGCTTCCAGGTTCGAAGAGGTCGTCCTTAAGTCCACTTTTAACCATCCACCAGCCAATGGCACCCTGGCCACCGATCATACCGCAAATTCCGATAAGCTTCCAGGCCATTGAAGGCGCTACTCTACGACGTGCGATGAAATAGGCGGTTGGTACGAGCATGGTGATGCCGATGACACGACCCCATAGACGATGAGCCCATTCCATAAAGTAAATTTGCTTGAAGTCGGCCATGTCCATGCTCGAATTGAGCTGTTGGAACTCGGGTGACGCCTTGTATTTTGTGAACTCGCTGTCCCATTCGGCCTGGCTCATGGGCCAGAGGGAGCCTGTGACGGGACGCCATTCGGTGATGCTCAGCCTGTCCAACTTTAGCAGGTGTGACGGATGCAGTGACGTTGTGCCTACCCAGACTCTGTGAGACGAGTCAGGCCACCGAAAACGACTATGCCGAAAACGCTCGCAGCACTCCCCAGCAGCCAGTATGCAACGCTCTTGGAAGTTGTCTTGGGGAAGCTGCTCGACTGGCTTCCACTCTTGGTCGCAGCTTCCTCCAGTATCGCCCTCCCCGCATTCGATCCCTCAATGGTCGCGGTATTGCGGAGAGGCTGGGTCGATTTCCACCTGACCGATTGCAGGGCAGAGGGTCTCGATGAAGATCGTGAAGCGGAGACTGCGGATCGAATCGGCGAATTGAGGCATGGCGTAGATACGAAGAGTCGTCGTGAGAGGCGTGGAGCAGCAGTCCGCAGCTGCGGAAATGCCTTGTATATTGAAGCCATGACAGCGGCACGTAGAGAGGAAGAAGGAGGTTAGTCAGTCATCATGTCATCGACTTTGAGTCTTCGGTGGTTCGATGGGCCGGCGACGCGCCAAGAAAGAACCCTGCATATCCACCGCCGTTGACAGGCGGAAGCGACGACCCACTCCGCAGGTTCGCAACTGCATCACCGGACCCCTCAGAGTGGTGATCGCCATTTGGCGTTTTCCGCGCTGGCAGCGTGATGCGCCCAGCCTCCACCGCATTTTGCTAACGCTATCTTCCTATTCTCCTAGTACTTTCACCGTCTCTGCTTCGTGTGCGTGACCGCCCCGTGTTATTAGACCCGGCGTGCACTGCGTTACCCCACCCGCTCTGGTCGCATCTCCGTCGCTGTCAAACACCACGACCCATGCACTTCAAGAGCAGTGTATAGCATAGCATGGACCCCGCCCATCAGCCACCCACAGGTCACGGGAGCGCCAGCCTCGACCATGACGCCCAGCCGGAACTTGGTGGATTAAATCGCAACGAAACATGGCCGCTGGTTGAGGCAGAGAGTACAGAGGGCGGCGCAGGCTCAAGTAGCACCCCATACGTCAGCCTTTTCTCACCCAATGTACCCGCCATACCACCCTCTGCACCATCCGACCTCCCTAGCAGCCCCAGGAACCACGTGAGCCACTCTAGGTCTCTTAGCTACTCGCGCTCTATGCCATCACTGGCAGGCTACTCCAGCATGACATCGCGCGCTCCTAGGAACCACGTCTCGCCTGACCGATCACCCATAGTCCAGCTACAGACACAGATTGATCAAGCCCAAAAGAGCGCCGACGACCCAAACACACCTCTCGAAGAGCAGGGCAAAAGGCGCACTACCCTGGATCTTATGCGTGCCGAGCATTCTGTTCGCACCGACATCAGCAGGTTGTTCAGCGAGAGTGCGGCTATGCCAGGAACCAGAGCGCCTTCCTACAGCAACGCGACCGGTCCGCTGTATCTCCGTGGTGAGAACCCCTACGACATTGGATTGTGCACCCGCTAACATTGTCAGCCTCAGGCGAAGCCATACCGCTTCCAGATCACCTTTACACCCGCGGACTAGTCGAAGGACGACACTCAGATATCACGATCATCGCCTTCGGTAACCGATACCCCCTGCATCGTCTCATTCTCGACCGCGCACCATTTTTCACCACCGCTCTCTCAGAACCATGGCTCGAAAGTCAGTCCAAGGAAGTCAAGCTACGTCCAGAGGAGATCGATCCTAGCATAACGCAGGCATCGTTTGAGCTGGCCATAAGAAAGCTCTATGGAGTGGATATATCGAAAGAGTCAGATGCCGAGGCTATCGGTTTGTTCGCAACTGGCTGTTGGCTGGAGATGCAGGACCTCATTGATTCTGCAATCGAATCCATACTGCGGCAGATGGCACCAGAGACGCTTGCATACCTCATTCGTTTAGTCACCTCCAACTACTACGGTCGATCTGGAGACCGCATACTTGAATCAGCCAAAGCGATGTTAAGCAGGAATGGCTGGGAAATGCCACTCAAATACTGGGACGACATGCCAGGCGACATCATCCGCGAGCTCGTAGGATCGGACGGCTTCTTTGTCGACAGCGAGTGGGACCGATGGGTGCTCTCCAAGCGTCTTCTTGACCGCCGCCTACGACAAGCCGCCATCGAGGCTGGTCTCATACAGCGAGGACAGAAGCCCATTCCACAGGCGCCCAATTCCCTCCGTCTCATGGCCGTTCGCTTTGACGGTGTGTATCGACAGAACGCCTTGACGACAGCGCACTCGTCCTCCGATGCGCAGGCAGACTGGCTTGCTCTTTATACTCTGCCCGACATTGAGCGCCTACTCGTGTTGCTAGACGAAGGCATCCACTACATTCACATGGAATACGAGCAGCTCGAGTTCATCAGGAACGCCCGTGATGTCTTTGGCCTACCAGTGATGCCTGAAAGGGTCATCTCTAATGCACTATGGCAGCAGCTGGCTCTCCGCCAGAGAGTGCTCAACACTGATGAATCAGCCCAGGAACTGGGTCTATGCCAATCAACGCCTGACCCCGAAGTAGCGAATGTGGCAACCAAGTCCGGAAGCGAGCCGACTAGCAAAGGAAAACAGAAAGAAACTACGGTTCCTGTTGACGAAGGCGACATCGAGTCAGATAGCTGGGACGGTAATGGCAAACCACGGAAATTCTGGATTCCAAGCTCAGACTGCAACATCGTCCTTGGCAACGGGGCTGATCCTGTTGTTACGACCTCAAACTCTTTCCAACGCCATGCTTCGCGTCTCTCGGCCACGATCCAACCAGAGGACGCACAATGGGCTACTGACTTTGCATCTACTCCGTCGACTTTGACCAACCCAAACACTCGCATGGACTTCGCGCAACGTCCGATATCAGCTGGCGGTGGTAACGCTGGACAGCCGAAGCCAATCGCCTACACCGAATTCCCTCCATTCCGCTTTTCGGCCGAGTTCCCCAACCCGCGCTTCCTTAAAGAGAAAAAACGGGTGTATTCGAGAACAGTATCATATGCAGGCTCGTTGTGGAACATCTACATACAGAAAGTCCGCTCCGCAAAGAACATCCAGTTGGGCGTATACCTTCACCGTGCCAAAGAGCGAGAGGTAGACGAGACTGGACACATCAGTGGTCTTAGCCAGCAGAACAATGGATCCGTCGACGAGCGCATTGGTCAGCTAGAGCGCGAAATGCTCATGCGTAGCGATCGACGTGATCGCCGGCGTAGCACTCGAGTCCCGTTTATGGATCCTGGCGCAGAGGAAGACACCTCCGGTAGTGGCGGAGACGCTGACCCTTCTCTCGGCTCTCTAGGACTGCGCAATCCACTCTTCTCCAGCAACGGTCTCGGTCGCCATCGCAGTCGGCTACCGACCCGCGGCATCCCCCAATGGGGCTTCCACAATCTGGCCTCCTCCCCACCTCAAGACGGCGATGCCGTAGACTCTCCCTCTTTCCCCAACCTTTCATACACGCCCTCCGACCACGAATCTGATACCCCATCCACTGACGACGAGTCTGACGCAGCCGCATACATCAACCCTTCCCTTGCCTCCAAAGTCCAGCGCAAAACCCGCGCCATCGTCCCCGCACTCCCACCCTATGTCGACGGCCGACCAACCATAAAAACCTATTTCAAAATCTACAGTCCCTCCAAGGGCGGAAGGATGCTAAGCATCTACGAAAGCGCGCCTGACCGCTTCAACTTCAGTCAGAGCTGGGGATGGAAGAGCAGCACTTTGATGCTGGATGAGATTACGATTAGTGGTGGAGGTGATGATACCCTGGCTGGAACTAACCCGGCTGCGAGCAAGAAGACGGACGGCAAATTGAGGTTCATGGTTGTTATTGGGAATTTGTAAAAGGGCGTACATGGTGGCATGGTATGAAATTGCGTTCCATGGTATGCATGAGCGATGGGTGTTCTGGTGTTAAGATAGTCTTCATCTAAGATGAGCTAGGATGCTACAAACAATCTGTACACTCTCTTCCGAATTTTCCACGCATGTTCATGGAACACGCACCCAACCCTGTGACAGTCAAGTATAGATATTCTACCCATTCCTATCCGATTTGATCACAGCGCCATACAAACCATTCCCGCAAACCCACGCCGTAACGCCGAGACAACGCATTGCTAGTCTTGTCTAAAGACTGAGAAATCACCAACATGGGTTCTTTCCTCTCATCCGAAGACACGTCGCCACGTCCAGCTAAGAGGCACATGTTACTTGTCGTATCAGTATATGTGTATAGACTTGGTCAGGGGAAAAGAGGTAAAGCGAAAAGTTTAGATTTCCCCATTCTTCTATACGCTAGTAGCAACAGCACCATATGATGGAGACGAACTATAACTGAATACATAGATCCGTGCTGCAAACTAAGGTTGATTGATTATCAACCAAACTAAAAGCTACAGCTGACATATAGCACCCAAACCCATGATCTATGCGCTACTCCTGCTCGTTGTCGCTAGCCTCACTGTCGCTATGAATCATGCCGTGCAGTCCTTCCCTCTCAGCCCCAATCAGTGGAGCCCGCTCACCCTCCTTTCTTGCAAAATGGCCTCCAATGCTAACAGCCAGAGTACTGAAACCATGTATCATTGTACTTCCAAGCACAACAAAGCAAACAATCGGCCAAATCATCGTAACTGTTCGTTGTTTGTCTGCTGGGAGATCATTTGGTGGATCAGGAAGAGGTAGCGAAGTACCGGTTTCCAGTTGTGCGCGGGCTTCAATAGCAAGGAAGAGGGCGCCGACGCCCATTGGTCCGAAATGTCCGACAAAGAGGGCTTCAGTGGTGGTTTTGACAGATGGAAGGCAGTTCATCTTGAATAGAGTGAAAACAATCGGGATCCTGCGGAAAAGCAGAATGAGTGCGAGTAGAAGCAACAGTCGTGGAGGCGTGATTTCATCCATGGCGTTGAAACTTTGCCATGGGATCATCGCGCCAAAGAAGATGAAAAAAGCCGAGTTGATCAACAAGTCGATAATAACGGGTAGCTTAGTCTCCTCCGTTGGAGCATTTTGGTTGTGCGCGAAACCACGTCCTGCGAAGAAGGCCACCAGGAAGTCATCAACGCCAAGAAGTGATGCCAATCCGATGGAGAAGATGGCCAAGAGAAGGTAGAAGGCGAGGTATGAGGCTCTGCCCATCCACTCACGGCTGTGCGAGAACTTGAATATCGCGTTGAAAAGGTAGCCTAGTGCGATACCCAACAGAACACCTCCGACACACTGGTACAGTACTGTGATGAGGAACCACTTCTTCAGTACCCCACCAACAGTATTCTTCAGCAAAAGACTGAGACCCAGGTACAAGAACGGGAAGGACATGCCATCGTTGCACCCACTCTCTGCGCTTAGGTAATCCCTAATTCGCTTGGGTACTCGGGTGCTGAACTGACTGTTTGACAGGACTGAAGCTGCGAGGACGGGATCCGTTGGGGTGAGACACGCTGCTATGGTCAATCCAGTTTGGAAATCTGTCTGGAAGATGAACGTGACAAGCATGGCACATATCAGCCAGCCAAACGTCATGACAGGCCCCAGAAGAATAAGCAAGGCGCGCCATTTTCTTTGAAGGTAGCCTGCTGGAAGCTCCAGACCGACTGCAAAACATTGGATTCCGACGATGAGGCGCGTCGTCTCTTGAATCCAGTCATCCTGCGGCAGTTAGTATTGTCCGCTTGCATGACTGCAGTACACTCACAGAGAAGCCCCAATCGTAAGGCGTGAGAAGATTTAGAGCACGTGGTCCGACGATCTATTAAACACATAAGCAGAAGATTTATTCTTGGGCATGTCTGCTACTCACGATACCAAAAGCTGTAGCTAAAGGTGGTTCTGAAAGATGCAGGCGGTTCCGAATCATAAGCGAGAACAACGCGTATAAGATGAGGAAGAAGGTCAGGGTCACGTATGTAACGTGAGGCCCCGTAGGCTCAAACTGAGACCAAGCCATGATGCTTCAGCTGTCTGTTAGAAGATTGCGCGTCTGTTTGTTGTTGGGTGCGGTGAAGTCTCTGCGAAGCTTGGGCTTGGGAGAAGGTGCTATGTGATCGCCGTGACGTCGAGAGAATAGGCAAAGGCCGTACGGAAGCAGCACGCTGTATAAGACAGCGAGTGTTTGTGAACGAAGACACTCAGGTGGCAGATATCATAGCAACTACCTTGCGGGGTGGATGCGTGAATAGAATTAATGGCGCGTTGGATCAAGAGCTCCGACGTGAAGGATCACACTGCATGGATCCGCATCGATGACGAAGGTTGGCTAGATTTGGCAGTCACGCTCGGACCGCCCTGCCGGAAGAGGTGGCACCTTGCATATGAGAACCACACTATTGGGCGTTTGATGTGACATGGGTAGAAGAAGATCAGTAGAGACGAGTGTGAGTGAGTGAGTGCATGTTGGTCGAGCACTATGGCCCTATCATGTATGTGCACCGGGCGCAAAAGCGACATATGCGGCTAGAGCAGCCACAATCTCCACGTGAGCACGCGAGGTAATCAATTCCGCTACTTTTGTATCAAGCGCCTCCCTCGAATATGGATATGCCCAGACGCCGCTCCCACGCGGTGATGCTACTCAATCTGACCACGACCCATCGCGGCTGGTATTAAAAATACATGCAAATTACAGTGAAACCAAGGATTGTTATTAATGGCGGTTCTCGACTATGCGTCGTCCGGCGGGTTGTTGAAGAAAGCGAATCGTATCCTGTGAAGCTAGAGGAAAGTCAGAGAGATGCAGTCTGGAGGGAAAGGGTATGCATACCGAAGGCAGTTTCGGAATGACGACTGCGAGCGTCGCGAAACAGTTGATGAGGAAATACGTCAAGTCGTATTGCGTGTAATGCGTACTGACGAGAAACAGCACAATGGGTACGCTAAGAAGGAACTTCTTGGCTGGTGTGTATTGGTCTCCGTTGTCGATCTGTTCCCACATGTTGAGGTTGTCGTAGGCACCCGAGTTGAAGTCAAAGGGCACACCGCGCACGTAGTGGAACATGAGGTAGGATCCCGCCACGTACGAGAGGTTTACTAGGGTCCACGATGCTTCCTGCGACATGCCGGGGATGATATCGAACAAGATCTTGCCGAAGAAGATGAGGACAAAGTGGATGGCCCAGGCGCCTGCATGTGTTAGCCGGGGACAGGTAGAGAGGGCTCGTCGGTGTGGGCTCACCCTTTGCATTTACCCATTCGGCGTTCAGGTTGGGGAGGGCTGACTGGTCGCTCAGCTGCTCGAGCGACTCGGGGGGCTCTTTGTAGACAAGACTACTGCTACGTCGCCTCCTCGCGTCTTTTGCAGCATCCAGAGACATCTTGGAGTAGGAAGACGGCGGGTCTGATTGGCGGGAGCGCGGGTCGCCAGCAAAGCTTAGGCGGGAGGTGCGATTGAGGAGTATGGGTGACAGTTTGGCGGTATTGATAGGATTGTCGGGCGGCCGGGCGGTGAGAGGGGGGCAGAGATGGGCGGTGGTCGCGTGAGAGAGCTACTACTGGAGAGCTGCCACGGGCAATGGCATGTCAGTGAGGGCCAAAAGGAGCAAGGCGGCGAGGTGGGCCTTCAGGGTCTTACTGTGTACGCAATATGTACCTTCCGGGCCGTCCGAGCGTTGCAGCGTTGAGCGATTGTCGAGCAAGACTGTGAGGGTGCAGCGTTGAGTTGGTCTTGGTGTAGTTTGTCGTGGTAAAGGAGCAAGGGGAATGGTTTCCTCACTGGGCAGGCGTGAAGACGGAAGCGTGGCAGGTCGGTCCACATGATGCTCCAGAGACCGTGTTCCTAGCAATCACCGAGGCCGTGCCCAGAGCGCAACCAGACAACTCCAGACCACCACCAGCCAACACGAACGACACCATCTACACCTGATCCTCAACCCACCAGCACCACGCGCCATGGCTTCTGAAGCGCCGCCCCCAATGGACGCCCCGGCCCCAGCCAACGCACAGGATGCTCCCGATGCAGGCGATGCGACCATGAAGCCCGTCAAGCGGTCGTGGAGGTAATGACGCGCCGACCCCAACACTGCAGCCCCCAGCTAATTGTGCAAAAAGACGCAAGTACCGCAAGATGCGCATCAAGTTCGACGAGGCCATGACGGACAGCGACAACCTCATCAAGCAGGAATGGAAGGCCATGGGCACGGCGCGCCGCCTACAGGAGAACAACGACCAGATTCTCGACATCCTGCTCGAGCTCAATGAACAGACACGCGTCAACCCGCGCCTGCGCTACGATCTGCGCCACCTCTCCCAGGCCGACACCGCCGTGGATTCTCTCGAAGTCGGCCCTGGCCCGGAATTCGTCAAGCAGCAGCTGCAGGCGCTGAGGGATGACGTTGCCGCCAACAGAATCACCCCGGACGAGTACGCGACCAAAGCAGACCAGTTACACACTTCGCAGGCCATACAGCAGACGCTCAAGTCGCTCGCCAGTCTCCAAAGCAAAGTCCCCCACACGACGCGCGCCGACCTGCCAGACCACCCCATTGAGGGCATCGACCTCAGCGAACATGCGCCAGGCTACATGTCCCCTGCCCACGAAGACGAGTACCTCCTCGCGACCGACCAACTCCTCGAGCAACCTGGCTTCGACCAGACCCTCCAACAAGGCCGTCCCGTCCGTCTCGCCTCCGCCCAACCCCCGCTCAGCGAAAAGGACCTTACTGTGCGCAACCCCGACAGCGTCTACAACTGGCTGCGCAAGCACCAGCCACAGGTCTTCCTGCAAGACAAGGACGCCGCCCATCACGAGAATCTCTCGGAAAAGTCGGCCGCGCCAAAGACCACCAAGGCCAACGCAGCCAAAGTCAAACGGGAGTCCAACATCGTAGGAGGCACACCCGGTCCCCGCGACCACGACGACGAAGATTCCGCCGCCCCCGAGACCGGCAAAGGCCGACGGAAGACGGGCGGTGGCGGCGACGACGACACAGCCTACCGACCCAAGGGCGGCAGTTCTCGACCCGCAAAGCGCAAGCGGGAAGAGGGTGATACGCCCGTGGGCAAGGGAAGCAGGAAGAAGAATCGCGCCAGTACCGGGCAACCTGCTTGACCTACCTCCTAATAAGCCGCGCAGTAGATCAACCTTGTCACCTCCACAACGCCGCCCTAAATGCAAGATGCCCCTGTTGCATAAACTATGAAAACAGGATCGCCTCATCTGCAATCTACATCTGCTGCATAGAAGATTATATGACAGGAGTGCTCTGCAGTATCATGATTCCTCATGGCGGCGCTCAGACGTTGCCTTGGACTCGATATAAAGACCACGACTATGAATGTGTTCTCTCCCCGTCGCGCGTCAAAGCAACAGGAAAACCTGTCTTCGGTAGAAAATTCACTTAACTTCGAGTTGGAGTGGGAGCTGGCGTTTTTTTTCTTTCTTATGGGAACCATTGGCGTAAGAGAGCGGGTTTAGATATACCCTTGGGAAAACAATTACTTCCAGGAGATTGAACGCACAAGGAGTTTGGGGGCCAAACTGGATATTCGGTATTCTACAACCAGCATACGGAGATATAGCTGGTTCCAGCTTTGTACTTGTACAACCAACATTTCATATTCATACAGAACGTTTGATCAATGCAACTACCGCAATGGCTTTCCCCTCGCACCCCCAACCATGACCGTCTCAGGGGCTGGCTGGCTCTCACTCATAAAAGGCAAGCTCGTCTCAAGCACCTTCTTTCCATCCACTAGCAAACCGTTGCCCGCACGCTGATCCTCAAGGTAGGCGGTCTTCTGCCTCTTCTCCTCGAGATACTGTTTCCTTTCTTTCGTCAGCACCCATTCCTTGGGAAACTCGGCCCTCTTCTTAGGTGTGTGGTGGCGGAAGTCAAACGGCACGTCTTCAAAGCTATCTTTCCCTTCTTTGCACTCCTTGATGAGACTCGAGATGGTGTCGCCTAGGAACCTCTTGTTCTGGGATTGGGTATCAAACTTCTCGCACGAGAGCTTGATGATGGAGGTTGAGGGGTTGTACCGAGGTCCGGCTAGCTTGATCAGCTTGGAGACTTGGGTGGGGGTCAAGGAGTGTGTGTTTGAGAGGTCATCCGGTGAGAATTCAACGACGACTTTATTGGATGCGGGGTGCGATTCGCCAAGGTAAGATGTGTAGCGGAAACGGAAGGGCGTGGCTGCTGTTGGAGGTTCGAATGGACGGGCGAGGTCTAAGATAAGTTAGTATACGAATGCCACCTCATGTCTGTTCAGTATGAAGAGCACTTACGACTCAATAGTGGCAACTCCCACGCAATCAATCTGGCATACTCCCTCAACTCTCTATGTTGCTGCAACTCTCCGTGACCGTGACTCGTCAAGTCATCTCCATAGTAATCCTCGTCCGGCCCCATACTCTCTTCTCCCTCGGCCCAGAATCCCGCGAGCGTCTTCCTCTTGTCGTCTTCCTCGATCTCGAAATCTTCATCTGCTTCTAGACCAAAGTCATGGGTTTGAGGTAGTCCGCGTTTTCCCTTGCGGAGCGCATCGGCGACAACGTTGGGGTCGATTTCGGCGAGCGATGCGCGGAGGTTTTCCAGCATGGCGGTTTCTCGCTCAGGTGTATTCATCTCCCGGAATGCTTTCGACTTTGTGGTGTTGGAGAAGGCTGATTTGGGCAACTCTGGGGCCAATTCGTCCAAAGTCTCGGTTGGTGGTTTCGCATCTGCAGCAGTTGCAGAGCCCTCTTTGGTAGGCTCATTTGCGTATTGGACGGGCGTTGTGGAGAGCGGCCGTTGCCATTGTGCGGATGTGTGCTTTGGTGCTGCTCGAGTTCGTATCCGTGAGGGGCATGCCCGTGACTGCAGGAGCAGTCTTCGTTGTATTGACGCCATTGAGTGTGGTTGTCGAATGGCTGCTGTCGTCGACTTTTCGCGATGCAGCGACGCTTGGCGATGGAGGAGCAAAGTGCGACCGTGCGCCGGGCCAATAAGACGTCTCCGACCTCCGCTCTTACCCTGGGCGACTACCATGCCTTCCATCTGAACTACTTCCTTCATCTCGAATTTTGTAACTATGGCTCGAGCATGATTCTGCAATAGTCTAAATCACATTCACTGAGAACCAAGATCTCCATAAATCATTGTCGCATCCATAACACTCATCATGGCCGATACCTGGAAATGGACACCCAATTCGAAACTCTGCTTCGTTACCACTGGCGCTACTGCGCCATTCACTGAACTCATTAAATCAGTTTTAAATCCTGCATGTCTAGACGCTTTACGAGAATCTGGCTTTACCCATGTCTTGGTTCAGTACGGGTCCGCCAAGGACGTCTACCAGGACTCGTCCATGCTTGCTCAAGCATATATGCGAGATAGCAAATCTACCCCAGATCTCATCATAGACGGCATCGATTTCAATCCAGATGGCCTGCAATCCCAGTTCCAATTAGTTCAGCGGTCAAAAGGACTGGTCATCTCGCATGCTGGTACTATTAACCATACACCAAGTATATAGTCACCAACTAACAAAACCCAGGCTCGGGCTCCATCCTCGAAGCACTCCGTTACCATATCACACTCATTGTCGTGCCCAATACCGGACTTCTGGACAATCATCAAGAAGAGCTCGCAGTTGCAATGGAACGTAACAATTACCTTGTCCGCGGAGACGTCACGTATGCACATTCTCTAATATCGGTAGTGTTATCAGCTAACCAGCCTGTAGAAACCTTGCGCCTGCCATAAAGAAGTCTGATGATTTTCGATTGAAGATGTCGCAGTTTCCACCTGTGACAAGTGGGAAACATCGCGAGACCAAGAGCTTTGCAGCTATTATGGACGAGACAACAGGTTACATGGACTAAGCCACCTAGTGTTCACACGCGTCGCAACCTCCTGTTGTCGGATCGGTCGACTCAAAGGTGACTAGAGAAGTCAGTTTACTGCTTCGACGTGCTCGCAAGACCAGGCCACAACAGGTGGGTGCAACTGGAAAGCGCGCCACACGGTACTTGCGCTTGAGCGTGATGTTATATAGCCTTGGGGTGTCGGTGGCTCTGGTCACTTGTTGAGGCAATCGCTTCCCTTTGCTGTCCTTCTGAGCGACGTTGCAACTTCCGAATGCTTCACGGTTTACGTATGCCTCATGTTTGTATACAAGGTCACAGAGTTACACGCGGATTAACTCTCTAACTTTTCATTTCGACTTCACTTTGATAACTGTTTGTTTTCACACCACCAATTGGCTTTCTTGCTCTGAAAAATTTGGGCCCGTCGCATCCCAGTGTCCCGGAATATATACGGGTAGATTCTACAACCACATTACCACCGGTATGCGTACGCAGCTGTCCATCACAGCAGCGCTAGCTACTGCAGCTTCTCTCGCGGTTTCTGTACCAAGGTACACATTCTTTCATCCGTCTTCGTCCACGTAATCTAATCATTCACACAGCGCTCTTGACGATCGGCATGTCGCCTTCGATTGGGACACGGGCAAGGTTCGAGGTGTTAATATTGGTGGTTGGCTAGTCCTTGAGCCATTCATCACACCGTCGATCTTCGAACAACACAGTTCAGCCGATTGGCCAGTCCACGACGAATGGACACTTTGCGAGAAGTTGGGCCAGAGTAGTTGCGCTGATGTGTTGAAGCCGCATTGGGACAACTTCGTCTCGTGGGATGACTTTCGGAAGGTCAAAGATGCTGGCTTCAACGTTGTTCGCATACCAGTCGGTTATTGGAGGTAGAGTTTTGCCAAAGCTCTACACATAAGTCATATTGATGATTTCCTAGCTACGTGGAGCCCTGGGGCCCCTACACTGGAGGTGCAGCTCAGTATCTTGACGCTGCAGTTGACTGGGCGAGAGCGACTGGTCTGAAGATCATCATTGATCTCCACGGTGCACCCAAGTCCCAGAACGGCTTCGATCACAGCGGCCATGTAGCATATTGGCCAGCCTGGGGCGACTCCGACAGTCTGAGCCATACACATGCTGCACTGAAGCAGATTGAACAGAAATACGCTACACCTGAGATGCAAGACGTTGTGGTCGCGATTCAGTTCCTCAACGAACCGTTCCTGCTCAAGCTCGATCAGAATGTGGTCAAACAATTCTACCACGATGCATATTACAACTTACGGGATATCAGCGATACACCTGCTATACTACATGATGGCTTTGAGAACCCGTCTTGGCTAAATGGTTTTCTCACCAAGCAAGACAACGATGCGCGCAACGTTATTGTAGATCACCACGAGTATCAGATCTTCGACTCTGGGCTGAATGCCATGTCTGTCGACCAACACGTGACTCTTGCCTGTAACTCTGTACGTCGCAATCTTACCGCTACCGTTCCACCATGAAGTGCTTGCTAACCCACCCTTCAGGTCAGCAACTACGATAGCTCAGACAAATGGACAATCGTGGGTGAATGGTCCGGCGCCTTCACCGATTGCGCTCCCCACCTCAACGGCTTCAACTACGGCTCCCGCATGGAGGGTAGCTTCCCTGGGTCTTACTGGATCGGCTCTTGTGCCGGCAAATCCGGCCCTGTGTCTACATGGTCTCAGGACTGGAAGGATAGTGTGCGTCGCTATATTGAGGTTCAACTTGATGTGTATGAAGCCAGGACAAGGGGTTGGATCTTCTGGAACTTCAAGACTGAGGGTGGTGCAGGAGAGTGGGATTTGTTTCAGCTGTTGGACGGTGGAGTCTTTCCGCAGCCGTTGTGGGATAGACGGTTTGGAAAGGCTTGTGATAACCTTTGAGGCAGGGGCGTGATGGGTGTGGTGGAGTGGGATGAGAGACGGGCGTGTGATGTTACGGATGATTAGCAAGGTGGTATAAGGTGGTATAAGGTGGTACTCGTGGATGTGTATGTTGCATCTTATTGGATATATACTGACATTGTGTACCAATAAGAAGGGTCACCTGGACGTCGCTTCCCGTTTCTCCAAGTCATGTTGTTAAGTTTGTGCGTTGTTCATACTCGGATGGACTCTACCCTACCACCCGATCCGGTGGTGGAGACTATGATTGGATCTAAACACGTATCATAGGTAATAATCAAATCACGAGGGCGTATAGCTCAGTGGTAGAGCGCCTGCTTTGCATCTTAATTGGGCGAAATTGCAGGAGGTCTGGATTTCGATCATCCATCCGTCCACAGCTGAGTAACGAGTCTTCTGGCTCGCCCATCTTTTTTTTTTGTCAATTTATGCCCCACATAAATAATCTTACAAGCCTTGCTTGCGTATGCTTTAAACGCATCATAGGTGGAGAACGTACAAATGTGGTACTTTCCAGGAGCACACCACTCGCTTTGGCAGCACCTACCATACGTCAGTTTGGTCGTTGTAGCATGTAGTTTCGTCTGACCCTTCACGACCGGTATCTCATCTCTTCATCCCGTTTCTTTACTCGATACACTCTCACCAAAACAAAAAACCAGGGCTTCTTCTTCACCCGTTTATGATTTCTGGACTGCATTTCATCTACACGAAAATCTTTTTGTCCCTACATCTGTCCGCATCTGTCTGTCATATACACATACCACTAGCGTTCGAAGTACCGTGATTCAGTCGAGAGCAATGACTGTCTTTTTATTGGTGGATCGATACACGTAGCCAGGAACAGCAACGGATAGAATCCATCGCGCGACATTCTTGCAGTCTTGCCGTGATGCGATGACGATTGCTTGGTAGTCGACATCTAAGCACTCCTATGAAGTATCTGTTACGTGAGGCATTGCGGTGCAGGACACTAGTATAAGAGGAGACGCGCATCTACTTTTGTCAGGAGGTGGGAAAGTACGTATCCCGATTCGGAGGAGTTCTGAGCAGTACACTGCGTCCGCGCGAAAAGCGTGTTCCTAGCAGAAGGAGGATGTCTCGGCCGTATCACGGAGGCACAACCTTGCCTGGGGCGATGCGTGCAGAGAAGCGCGAACTCTGCGAGAAAGAAAAATCGTTCTGCAAGGAGAAATTTTGCTTAGAAAGCCTGAGAGGTTCAGAAGTCCAGAACCGCGTATCGTCATCTGCTGTTCTCCGCACATCCGTCAATTGCTGCTGTTACGCGTGCGCAACGGAATACGACGTGGGTCTCCCCGCTCGCTACGGCCAACAACTCCTGTCTCCTGTCTGTGTCACGCGCTCAGATCCTACTGTGTACAAAGTCTTATCGGAGCGAAGGTTGAGGGAGAACGCTCATATTCATGGGAAGTTCCAATTCCAACAGATTAAAGTGTGTATTCATACAGCCGTCATCGAATGAGGATCGCTCCCACTGCCGCCCTGATTGTCATGGAGTGCCGAGCCAATTGCCTTGGATTCCAAACGTCCGGTAGTGGTTTTCCTGGTCTCTTAGCGCAGATTGCCGGTGCCGCGCTCGCTAGCTTTTAGTGCTGGGAACTGCAGCAACGGTTTCGCGCCAAGTACCACGTACCAATTTTGGGCTGTCACTGAGCATTGGGAGGCCCTCAGTGCTTCATTTTCATCCAGAAGATAACAAACCTGCATGCCCCTGCTCTTCAACCGCACAGGCTCCGATCGTTACTTCATCTTTCATTTTCAAAGTGGTGGTCAGAGAGTGTTGAGATGTGTTCGCCCAGAAACACATCCAACCCTTCGGGCACGAACATCCCCAGGTAAGATCTAGCTCCTTATGGAAAGCTATCTTGGGCACTGGTCGGCTAGTGCTGCTGACATGTACCGAGCCACGGTCGAAAATTTCGAATTACGTTCATCGAAGTTCCTCAGCTTTTCGCGCTGGAGTTCAACAGACAGTTGGATGACAGATCGCGATCATTGCGTTGCTTCTCCCGAGCGATTGACCTACCCTGTGTTGCCTAGTGAACTACGAAAAGAAGACCGAAACTATGTCTTGTGAGATGGTTGAGTATGGCAAAAGCTCCTTTCACAAGACGTTTAGTCTACTTTCACGACCCGCATCGTTCATGCAGTGTCAAGACACTTCGTGGGGAGCTGCGTAATGCAGACGAAACGTGGAAGCACAGACGAAATGTGATGGGGAAAGTCAAGAATGCCGTCCAAGACCAACTGTCAAAAAGCTTTTGATGGATTTTAGAGTTCCGGACCGGTTTGCGACGCCCTGTTTTGGTAAGCTTCAATAGCCCCAAGGCGCCTCATTATCAACGGCTTTCACGCGAGCACTTTTGGAAATTGAGCACATTTGATCGATCGTGGTGGGTGTGTGGTCTGGACCTCGTCGCTAATGACCTGCTCCACCTTATTCTCCGAGCATCCCAGCGATCGTGTTTCGCATCACATGGGACGCCTCGATGCGACGATGAGCTTTGTCGTCAAGTGACAGGTATCGTGAGCTGTCTCTATGGAAACGTTGGAGCTTGTATAGAACTTACTGACATGTCCATTATGCAGCCCAACAGGATCTGAATGGTGGACATGGTTGCGTCTAATGTGTGCGCATGTTGCTAATGTAGGCGAAAAATGCACCCTGGTCCTCAAGTTCCACTGATGCCCCGATGACCTCAGCGGAAGAACGTCCGAACGACAGCGTCGCCCCGCTTCATGGAGCCCGACCTAGCCATAGCCCAATCAGCGCATTCACCGGCGGTCGCTGGACTATTGACCGAACGGCTCTGCATGGATCAACCGTTTTTCTGGCGTAATTCGAAGATCGCCCCGCCTTGCTTTGCGACTGTTAGCGGGGCCGGGGCGGACGCGCAGCTGTGTTTCCCAGTTTCAGTTGTATTTGTACCCGTCCCACCCGTCACAACATAACAACAACAAAAAGCAACCCAACATGCCCCTATCAACATAAACACCCACGAGACCCGCACCCTGAACGTTTGAACCATTCCAGGACCACTCCACCAGGACTCAACCCCAAGTCAATCAGGATGACAACCACCATCGGTATGTCATACGAGGACCTTCGGCCGCAGGCTGTGCGGCCGAAGAAGTCCTTCTTCCAGAGGCTGAACGACACTCACGATCAGCTCATCTCGCATATGCGATCGTTAAAGGAGGACCCAGTACTCTCAGTCAAGCAAGGGGAGCGCACGAGAGCATCATCGACGACTTCGCTCACATCAACACCCGAGTCAGACCGTGAAAACTCCCAGGATGCCACTCGCACTACCGAGATCGACAACGATGACCGGATCTCAAGTGGCTTCTTGTCCCCACCACTCTCACCAGTCGAGGGCAGCTTCTTCCCTATCCAGCAGTTCCTTCTGCCCAGGGATCGAAAGCCCAGCAAGGAGTTCATCCAAGGCATGCAAGGTTACGTGCACTGGAAACAGGCTACTTACGAGTCGACTCTCAGCCTTCCCATTTCTCCACCGGGAACGCCGCAAACCTCGTACTCTTGGAGCTCCTCCAGGAGCACAAAGAGCGAGATGTCTGACGAGCAGATGGACGACTGGCTCGACCGCCCCATGGACGCGGAAGTGCATCGCTATCGCAAGGTTTCAGCCTCATGGCTGGAGGGCTCGAATGAGTCGGAAGAGGATGAGAAGAGGATCCATGTGATCCAAGAGCATCCCGATGAGGATGACAGCGCAGCACGGGAAGAGCGCCAGCACATTTCCGCCATGTGGCGAGAGACCTGGTGCATGCAAGATTCGAGAGAGGGCAGCTTCATTGAAGATTCACACAGCGAAGTTGCCCCAGAAGCGACAGAGGACGTTTCAGCAAAACAGAACGAGGGGAGTAACATTCAGTCAAAGTTGCTTTCGCTACCAGACGAAATTCTGCGCAGCGTCGCCCTTCACGTACCTCAAGAGCACGCTCAGCCATTCCGTCTCAGCTGCATGAAGCTCAACCAGCTTGTAACAGCATCATAGAACGTCACCTGAACCAGAACAGAACATTTCATTTGTCTTTACATTACACTACACATCGCTTCCGACATTTGTCGAGATAGGTTAAACGATACCCATAGAGAGGCCAGAGAGAGCTCACGCTCGCGGACGATGGACCCGAATCAGCAGATTTTTTGGACAGAATAATAATAAGATGTCTCCATCGATGAGAGGAAGCCCATAAGGCGCACAGGGGAAGCGAGTCCTAGAAAATAGACTGCCAGTATGCCGAGTGCTACTATGCTCCAATAGTTGAGATCACTAAATAACAAAACCATAAAACATTATTCTCAAACACTGCATCCACTCTAGACCATTTCCTTTGCTTCTGGTCTCCAAAACGTCCTCCCTTCCGGATATAGTTCCTGCGAGTGCACCGATTCGCTCACATCTACCTTCGTCGTAACTGTAATATCACCCAATTTACCAGATGCTTGCGCTTTGTTATTGTTCAGCCTCGTAATGCTTTCGGTGCTGCCTCTTTCTACGACTGGAGAGCTGCTTCCAGATGAACTTCCGCTCGTCTCTCGAGCTTGCTTGGTTTTGGCGTCGATCGTCGTCAACATGTACGCTTTGCCAGCCGCGCCATAGCTTGCATATTCGCTGTCTAATGCCTTATTAGACGATAACTGACCATAATCTCTGGCTGCAGAGCGCTGCTTTGAGCCTGGTCCGTATGCGCTTGAGTGGTAGCGAAGCTGCGAGGTCTTGCGAGAACCACTGCCGTATGTGGAAACGAGTATAGAGCGGAAAAGCGGTTTGAGGCAGGGCAGATTGCCAGCGATGATACCAACGTTGCATTCAATGACAGTCCAGATGGTCATGTTGCGCGAGTCCCACAAAAGGTCGCCCTCGCGCCCGTAGGCGGGTAGGTAGGAGAGTTTGACGAAGGCAGCGGCCGTGGCGAACGTTCCGAGACCAAGGATACATATGAGAGAAGCTTTGTGACGGCGATTCATCTGCACGCCCCATAACATGGGAATCTAAATGGGTTCATTAGCAGAGTATGTAACCGCTTGGAGTAAGGTGGAGACCCACAGGTATGCCGACTGAAAAGGCAATGTCGGTAAGGATGTTCAGCACGATGTTGAGAAAGCCCAAGGCTTGTCTTGTTTTGACGGTCCAACATGTACCCTTGACGCGTTGGTCCCACATCAGACGGATATCCGTGCATTGCAGTAGAACTGTAAGGACACAGCCGACCGTATAGACGCCCATAAACGCTGCAAATAGTCAGCACCTCCATAGTTGTAGTCTGAGAAATGGCGCTTTTACCCATGATACCGCTGATTAGGCGTTTGTAGAATTTCCCGACCGCGATTCTCAAGAGGAAGAAACCCACCGAAATCTTTACAAAACAGATTGCGAAGAGAAATATGGGCTGAGAAATGAGGTTTAGCCTGAGGCCCGCTATGAAGTCCTCAGGCTTGATGTAATCGACATGCTTTCCTGCTCCATAGTGGACTTGGGGTACGACGAGGCATTGACCAGCAACGCACTACAAAGCTGTCAGCAACTATACCAGAAGTAAATACTCTACTGTTTCATACCAACATCATAGCCAACAGCATCACATAGTCCTGATGGCAGATAGATGTCAGTGGAGATCACCCATGTTCACTGCCGAGCACTCACGTCCCAACCAACATTCCTGATCATCCTAATCCTAACGTAAAACCTCGCAATCGTAGTAAGCACGGCCACGATGGTGACGGTTAGCGTAGTTCCGAGGATGGTTGGGCCCTCATTCTCGTAGGGACGCATCGGCGGCATCGCTGCGCCGCTCTGCTGCATCGTAGAGCGTACGTCGATTGGGAGTAAAGGATTTCAGAACACGCGATTTTCTCAAAGAACCAGCAAGATGCTTGTAATATAACACCAGCGATCGGGAAATGGAGACGGACGTCAGGGGTTTCACATGGCTTTCGTGTTCTGAGACCAGCAGCTCCTGTCTGCGGTTCCTCAACGCGCCACGCGGAAAAGCCGAGAGAATATAGTTAACGGCAAACCTTGTTTTCATATCACCCATTACTTAAAGAGTAGATGGAGGATGAGCTATCGAGACTGGTACCGGGCAGGAACAACATAGCCTGCCGAGAAAGCACTTGGACTAGTCTCGCTAACAAGAAAGGTGGCTGTAAATGACTGATTCGAGACGAAAGCATACCTCGGCAGGACGAACTGACGGCGCGGGAGATGGTATGATGTGACAGACATATGTCCCTGCAGACGATAAAGTCTCATGTGCAGGGTCTCGAGCAAGGTGCTGGGTACGGTAACCTCCGTGTAATATGGGAATCCGTGTGTTTGGTAACACTGGCTGTAGCTCGCACAACCAATGTAGTGATATTATATCGCAGTATTCCATCAATCAAGAAACCTTTCAGTTGTTCTGCGCTCGATCGTTCGGCTAACACGCTGATACCATCGATGAGCTGACTCGAGTTCATAGCTGAGTCGCTAGCCACGTGGGTATCGACGTTACCAAGATGTAATAGGAGTGTATGAGATCTGAGCTGCCGCATGAACCGTACCCTCAATATCGTTAAAGCAGGTGATCGAGACTAGTAGCCCGCATGTTATACCGTTTACTGCACGTCTTTGAAACTAAAAACACTGAAGGGTGCTAGTCGTGCAGCACAGGTTCTTGGAAGGTGAGCTTGTCAAGTCGAACAAGTGCCGACAGGAGCAGAAGGGGGTCTGCGGCCCGTCTAAGTACATAGACGTGACATGGCGATGGATACGAGACTCAATTCGACTTCTACAGTCGTGTAGATATTGGTAGAATCTATCACAAACCTATTCCTAAGGGCTCACCTTACTCATAAGCTTCAGAACACTCTGTAGAATATTCCTAATATGCTTCTCCCACATGCCGAGGAATATGTGGCAACCGCTGAAGAATCGGTTAATCTCCTATACGCTTGTCGCTTCCCAGCACCTCATCCGGAAGGTCGCAATGCCCGGTAGGCCTCTCGGGACTCAGAAGATGGTGCTTAAGCCAATGGTAACCCTAGAATGGGTGTTTCGGTGCGACTGGACGTTACTGTCGTGATCGATATTATCCGGTAGCTTGGAGGCCTTGCTCTCGGCGCGGTTCATGGAGTTGAGGAGGCGGGACGGGGACGCGGCAAGACGGATCTCAGCCTTAGCGGAGCTTAGCGCTTCGGCATGATTTGCGCCACCAATGTCCAGCCGCATCGGATGCTTCCCATTCTTCACTCAACTCGCACGATATCCGAGAAGCCAATCCCAATGCAGAGCCCTGAATCATGGAAGGATGAGTATGCTTTCAAGGAGGTTTTCTAGACTTGAACTGCCGCCTGTAAGAAAAAATGTTCCTTTCTTCCTGCACGTTGGTGGACCGCGGCTCAACATGCAGGGCAGTGGTGTGATTGCCTGCAGACGTGGAACAGGTTGGTATCAAGGCATCCCGACATAATATCACACGTTCAAAAAGGTGGTTGGGGTACAATCTCAGAGTTATATGTTGCACAGGACCTCAGGGACCACCTAGCTAAAATCATTACTCGCATACCGCATGGATCAGATCGCCTTTCGCTCATCATGTTCCCGCGCACGGAAACATACTGGGGCTCTTTAGCCAAACGATATTGGGCCAGCGGGGTCGCCCAAAGATCCGGCAAAGCTCCACTTGACATTGTAGTGCGATGTGAGTTGTCCGGCAGACTACATCCGGGTCTTCCATGTACATGTCGCCGAACGATAGCTCTGTATACGGCACGCTTGCGGCAAAGGCGCGCTTGATAGATAGTCCGCCAATCTAGCCTTGAGGTCCTTGCGTTCAGGGCATAACGTCTGCTCGGAGATGCGTATACACATGCGCCAGGCACCGAAATATTATGGCCCCACACGTGGCATTACCTTGCCTCGATGCTTGGACGTCAGCTTGAGAGACAGTAAGACTAGCTGCGGTGCACTACACAGTTCTAGCAAAGATCAAGTGGCTCTGGGAGGTTCTCGCCCCTAAATCCCGGCACTGAGGCGTGGCAGGCCTATTTTTGAAGCGGTGTAAGACTATCCTATGATATATATGTGTAAGAAAACGCCTTTTTCTTTTTGCACCACAGCACAAGGCCTCATCTTCCGATCAAGCAACCACGCCCATATCTTCCATTCACTTGGTCAGAATACAACATGCGTTTCAACTCCCCTCTAGCGCTGGCTGTTCTTGCTGGAACACTGTCGAATGCACTACCAGCTCCTCAAAATGCGCCTGTAGATCCGTCTTCGCTACCCACTTCGGCATCGACCGATCCGACGATTGCTAGCGAGCAACTTGATCAACTGTTTGCGTTCGCTCAACAACAAGCGAACGAAGACCTAGCAGCAAGTTCGTCGAAGAGAGCCACCTGCAACAAGAACACTGTTGCGGTGCGCAAAGAATGGAACGCCCTATCGAACACAGAACGGAAAGCCTATACCGATGCAGTGCTTTGTCTTCAGGCGAAGAAAGCAAACACGCCTGCCTCACTCATCCCTGGAGCAAAGTCACGATTCGATGACTTTGTCGGTAACCATATCCTAAAGACTATGGAGATCCACTACACCGGCACTTTCCTCGCATGGCACCGGTACTTTACCTGGCAGTACGAGCAGGCTCTTCGTAACGAATGTGGATACAAGGGTTACCAACCCTACTGGAACTGGGCAAAGACCGCTGTCAGCGGTCTTGACAAAGCGCCAATGCTCGATGGATCTGCGTATTCCATGTCAGGCAACGGAGAGAAGATCGCTGGCCAGGGCAATGTCGTCATTGCTGGCAGAGGCGAACCAATCATCACTATCCCACCCGGTACCGGAGGTGGCTGTGTAAAGAGCGGTCCGTTCAAGAACATGAGTGAGTATTTCCATTACTACAGCGCACTCTCATCGACATAAACTGACTGTGATTATAGAGGTTAACCTTGGCCCTGTCGCCTTGAGCACAACCAACGGTACCGAAATCGCCAACGGAGATGGCCTTTCATACAACCCGAGATGTCTGACGCGGGACTTGACCGACTACAGCAACAAGAAGTGGGCTAATGCGGCTGCCATTGCCGACTTGATCATCAACAAGAAGGACATCTGGCAGTTCGAGATGGTAATGCAGGGTGTACCAGGAACAGACAGTCTGGGTGTACATGGTGGCGGTCACTACTCCATGGGCGGCGACCCTGGCCGCGACTTCTTCGTATCTCCTGGTGACCCACTGTTCTACCTTCACCACGGTATGATCGACAAGGTGTGGTGGACTTGGCAGCAGCTTGACACCAAGACCCGTGTGGAGAGCGAGAAGGGAGGTGTTTCCGGTACCGGCACGTTTTTGAACAACCCACCTTCGGCTAACACGACCTTCGATACTGTCATTGATCTTGGATACGCTGCGAGTGGATCACAAAGGATGGAGGATTTGATGAGCACGACCGAGGGACCGTTCTGCTACATCTACGTGTAAACACGAATGTTTGGTCATGAAATATCTAATGAGAATTTAAATAGACATTAATCAATAATACTACACATCTGAAGACCTGACGAGTGCTTGAAAGCGTTTCATCCACCGAATTTAGTGCACTACACAGCATAGAACGCGGCTTTCCACCTCCACCGCCACATCCTCGCAAAACCAATCAACACACCACCACCGATCATACAAGCACCTGCTACCTTGATCACAACCTTCTCTCCGTTCTTGTTTCCTTCAAGCAACGCTGCCGCTCCAACAACACCACCAAAGGCACCCAGTCCAGCCAGCGCCATGATGATAGCCACACGCGCAGGCATATCATCCTCCCACTTCCCCTCCACTTTCTTGCTGAGAAACATCGCCACAACAATCATATGGAGAGACAGTACCGCACCAAGCGCGACACCATATGCTCCAGCAAGTAGAACAACAACGTGGAGCCGCGGATACAGCACTGGTGTAAGGCAAATCGCACCAGCGAGTACCGAAGCAGCGACAAAAATATTGACAGCTCCAACCTTTTTCAAACTCCTCAAGTTTGCCACCACCGATCCCGAAACAGCCGCAACACCCAGCATACCGAGTATCCCATACGCCGCCGTATCGGGAAAGAAAAGCCCAGGCACCTGCGTCACTAAAACGACGTTGAAGACCGGATATACCAACACGCCCGCAAAAACAAGGACATAGCCCAGTATGAACCACATCCCACCCCCTCTTGCGTCTTCAAGAAACCCCTTTGGCATACAAAGATGGAGTCTATACCTCTGCGTCCAAAGTTCCTCATCCTCAGGCTTCAGTCCTACTAGGAGCAGGAACGCAGAAAGTAGTGTAGCGCCCATGACGCCTCCATTGTACACATACGCCAGCCCGCCGCCGCTGTTGACGCCGCCAAGACCAGCATCTTGGAAAGCAAAGCGTGCGATGACCGTATACACAACCGCGCCAGCAAACGCGGCAAAACCCGACTGTACAGAAACCAAGGGTACATCGTTCCGGTAATGACTTGCAAGGACCAACGTACTGATCGTAAAACATGTCCCTAGTGCTCCTCCTAGAACTAGTCCACGTACGAGTAGAATAACAATGTAGTTCTTCTGAACCGTGTAGCTGAGAAACTCAGAGGTAGTTGCTACAACGATGGCTACGCCGAAGAGTAGTTTCCAACCCCAACTCGACCACCGATATCCGTGTTTCCGATTTGCTAGCGCGTTGTAGAGATGGCCGACAGGCAGCGGTGAGGCGAGCAATATGAAGATTTGCAGGCCGATGACCACAGCGAGGGAAGCAAGCGACTTGGTGGGAAATACGCTGGTGAAATCGTGTTCTAGCCTTGAAGCTGATGAGAGAGGAATACCGAGGACGTTGAAGAGAACAAGCGCTTGGGCGTAAATTCTGTGATTGGTAGGTTAGCTCGTATTGCACTGCGATACCAAGAGAGGGGATTGAGTACGATCGGTTTCGGTGTCTATGAGCTCGCTCGGGCGACGAGGGTACGGCATGAAGTGGGTTGCCAGCGACGCTGCCTGGGTTCCATTTGTTCCTTGCAGCGGGCTCACCGAAGTTGCCTTGTCGAACGGCGGATATGTTGGGTGGTTCGGGAGTTGATTGGTGTGGCATTCCGAGGGGTGTCAAAGATGGATGTGGAGCTATAAACGTTGTATGGTGAGTGATGTGGTTGGTGTTCCAATTCGAGGATTCTCTGGGAACGAAGGACAGAGAGGGAGAGAAAGAGAAGATGTGATCAATGTGCAAACGAAATGGAGTACAAGCCATAATTGACTGATATAGAGTGTTATCGTGGTGGCCTGTCAAACGCATCAATTATACGTCAATGCCCTCAGTAATGTCGATTTGTAAATGTACCATGACAAGAAAAACCTCAGTACATGATTTCGACAATGGTAGAAATGTCATTCAGTCTCCCTATATCGCCATTAGTTTTGCCAGCTACCTTGACCAAAGAAAATTCCCAACAGCAATCCACACACGGTGATAGCAGAACCCATGAAACAGCCCAGAACGCCAAAAGCAAAGTTAGCTTTTCCCATGCACAGAGTCGACCTAGAAGATGGAGTTGACAATGTTACCACCAATCGTCGCACCAGCACCGAAGATGGCAGCGTTACCCAGCTTCTTTCCAAACTTCTTGCCGTTGGCCTCCATCTTGCTCGGCTCAGCAGGCGGCGCCGCTTGCGCACTGCTCGCAACATCGAGGGGCATGTTACCGTAATTGCTGGGAGCAGGCGCCGAGGGAGTGTAGGCAGGCATGACGCTCTTCTCCTCCTTGCGGACGTAGCTGGCGGGGAAGATGCCCTCCATGCCGGTGCGCTCGTTGCGTCCCTTCCACCACTCGTTGTTCATGTACTCGGTAACGTGGACCTTGTCGTTGGGCATGAGGGCCAGGTCGCCGGCGTCTTGGGCGTTGTACTGGTACATTGCTGAGGCATAGGCGAGGACTGGGGGACCGGCGGGGGTAGCGGGGACCGAGGGGTAGGCAGGCGGCGGGGCGTTGGCGGTGTTGTCGGCATAGTATCCAATGTTTGTGTTCTTCTTCTCCGGGGGAGGCGTGGGCTCGCTCTTGATGGCTAGCGACGAGAGTTGTGCGGTTGGCACGGCGGGGAGCGCGCGCGAGCTGTTTTCGGCGCTGACGGGCAGTTGCGAGGCGATGGTGTCGTGCTGGGCCGAGGTGATGACGTTGGATTCGACGAGGAACTCGAGGTTCTGCGCACATGGTCAGCTCGACGTGGCAGTCAGGAGTTCGGGCAGCTTACGTTCTTGATGTCGCGCAGCGATCGGTTGATCATCGCATTTCTGAAGCTGTCCGCCATGATGGGTGTGGGCTGGAGATGTAGATTACGTGGAACGCGCAAAAGCCAATCGTGAGTCGGCGATCAACTGGATTGTACAGGGAGGAATGGGTCAGAGAATGCAGCGACGGGAGTTGTGAGTTGGGTGACTTGATACGAGTAGGAGCAGACTAGCGGCGCACCACCTCGGAACATGTGCGCCGCAATGGGGCTGTGCTCATGTTGGCTGCGCAACCCGTGCAGCCTGCCGACTTTACTTCTTCACCGAAACCGCCATTGAACCTAACCTGACATTGATCGTTGAGACATGTTGCTTTTCCCATGGCTTCTCACTAAACATCGGCTCTACACTGACATTCTTTCCACGCGCGTTCCTCAGGGTCTAAACGTGGCTTGACTACTCAGGTACCAGAATGGCCCCACTCATCCGCCGTCTATTTTTACATGTTTACTATCTGCACTCAATGCTTACGACTGCGACAAGAAGATCTGCTTGTACATCTCCTGTCTCTTGTTCTCAAACGCATCAAAAGCCTTTCCGACAAATCCCACCGGAATCTGATCCTTGCCCTCCACCAATCCTTTCCAAGCCTCATCCGTAAACTCAGTCAGCGGCATGCCAATGTTGCCCCCATCTTTAATATCTGGCTGGTGTTTCGCATCGTGCAACTCCGTCTGCACAGCTGGCGGGAAGATCTCAATCACCTTGATGTTTCCGGGTCCGTTTGCTAGTTGATGGCGGAGAACAAGGATCATGTGATGCAGCGCCGCTTTCGAAGCGCAGTAGTTCGGACAACGCGGAAGTGGCATGAGCGCAAGTCCAGACGTCGTGTAGATGAGCGAAGTTTCCTTGTCCTGCTTCTGCAGGAACGGGATGAATGCCGTGGTAAGATGCATGTACGACAGGTAATTCGTCCTAAACTCCATCTCCAGCATATCTAGATCCACCGTCTCGGGCTTGGAAAAGTCGAAACCGCGCTGGATGCCCGAGTTGAGGAAGACGGAATCGAGGTCTGGATGCTTGCTCGTTACATCTTTGACAAACTTGGGGATCTCGTCGAGCTTTGTAATGTCAAAAACGATGCTCGAGACTTTGTCGCTGCCGTGCTTCTTCTGGAATTCGTCGAGCTTTTCTTGTCGCCGTCCAACGATGATGGCGTGTTTGCCGTCTTCTACAATCTTCTCTGCGAGTGCCCAGCCAATGCCGGATGTCGCGCCTAGCACGAGAACCTTGTTGTATTTGAGAGACATGCTGTAAATTGGAATTGAGTTGCGTATTGATATCTAAGTACACAAGGCACGTCTGGGACTCGAGCGGTTTTGTAGTGGCGTCCAAGTTATCATGAACACATCATTAACGCCGCTGCCACGCAATCTCTACCCTGTTTGATATGCACTACGAACCCCACCATAGCTGCATCTCGGTGGTAACGGACTTTACAAAACAAAAGTCAGTGATGCCATGGTGCGCGTGGGAGATCTAGAACCGATACGTCATGGTGAAGATGTGGATCGGGCTCTCGGCAGTTGCAATGTACCCAGGTACCTCGCCTTCGGCCATCGCATTCTCCGACTCAACACCACCAAGACTCAAAACTTCACAGACAAGAATCATGTCATGATTAACGAGTGTATTGCGCTGCTACTTTCTAGCAAAGCGGGGTATCAAATTATATTATTAACTAAGGCCATCACATCCGCCGCGCGCAAACATTATGCGCACAGCAACTTCCTCATGAAAGCATTGCCCTTCTCCTCATCCTCGTCCTTGCTCAACTGACTGTTGGCGCGCGAAACGTTGACAAACTTGGGCCATGTGTTTGTGAGAACAAGATACTTGATCTCGCTCTCTGCGGCATCGAACACCAACTCGTTAAACGAGTCCGGAACGTCAACGTCTATGACTGACTCGTCCCCGTAGAGCTCGCCCAATCGGGATACAGCCTTCAAGTTCGCACGTCCAAGTTTATCAAGACTGATAGCGTTCGCCGAGATGTGGGCGTTGCTCTTGTCGTTGATGGGCGAGTCCGATGCATCATCGGGCATGACATTGTCAAAGGGTGTAGCGTCGCTCGACGAAGAGGAGTCGGAACTTAGACGACGGCCGAAGAGAAGTTTTGCTGTCCTCTCGAAAACGATGTGAAGGCGCTTCATCTCCTTTGATGAGATGTTGATAGGAAATTCGGAAAACTCGAGGGAAATGAAGTGAGCGTAGATGCGCGTGGCAGCAAGGAACTGCTTGCGGCGGTGGTCGGCAATGGATGACTTGGGTGAGAACCAGTAGAGGCGCCAGTCTGAGACGTGGGTTAGGAAACTAACATTCTCGCCTGTTGGTGTAAAGTTAGTATATCTATCTGCATAACGGTATGCGAAAGACTTACCAGAAAAGTCCTTCAAGGCAGCAAATTGGAGCAGTGGCATGGCGTTGGACCTGAGTGCGTTCTCCAGGGCAGTCATGGTCAAAATGTCAGACTTCTGCGAGTCGAATGAGCGGTCGCCGACGCTGATCTCACCACCAGACTTGAGTGTCGTCGTACTGGAGAATTCGCTAGGGCTCTTGAGAGGTGCATCGGTAGACACGACTTCCAGGTTTGCAGTCGCCTGACGAGCTTCCCAGTTGGCAATGGCATCAAGAGTCTCTTGACGCAATCTGTTGCTCCTGAGCACATCGACGATTGGGAACGCGATGGTGCAAATCTCCATGATGCAGAAGCAGACAGCGAACCACACTGGTGGCGGAAAGACGGCGTTCATGGGAGCAAACGAAGGAGTGTAAAGGCCGAGGAGCCAAAGCGGAGATGCTGGAAGTCTACAAAAGTCAGCGATGAAGACAGACCCACGGCAATGGTAACATACCCAGCAATGCAACAGATGATGGTTTGGAGACGCCAGCCGTGAACATCGCGAATGCCGCGCGACTTGAAGAGGATCCATGGGGCGTAAATCCAAGACCAGAATAGCTGCCATACGATCGACAGCCACCACTCCCAGCCCTTGCTGCAGTTTGCGCGCACTTCCCCGCCAGTACCTTGTACGGTATAGTTGATGATACCGTAGCCGTGGTGGAACTTTTCTGAAGCGAAAAAGACGAAGAGAACGAGGGCGAGCTGGTTCGGGGGTTAACTACAGTCGCATGACCAGTGCAGAGTTTACTTACTTGAACAGCCATGCCGATTCCAATGAAGATCAATGTTCGCTCGATATTGTCTGCCCGCTCAACCCCGTTCATGATCCTCTTCCACCGGCTGTTGACGACTTCTTGAGCCTTTTTCTCGTCGATAGGCTCGTGGTCTTTCAAAGAGCTCATACGAGCAAACTGCTTCTGACGACTGGCGAGGTGCAAGAACTGACTGTTCGAGGCGTGGAACAAAGCCATGCCCAACGGGACTGTGATGGACATCTACTCATGTTAGCAAAGACTCATGTTCATGTCATCGAATGACATACCATCCAGAATTCAAGAGAGCATGGGACCGCTGGGCCAATCGGGTAGGCTAAACAGCAGAGGGAGCCATAGATGTGGAGTACACCAATACCGGCAAACAAGACTGGCAGCCTTCGCATCCGAACAGAGGGGTGCTTGCGATGAGCCCATAGGAAGCTGACACCAGTGAAGGTTAGGATGTTCCAAATGATGAAAATGGTAATGTAGGTCCATCCGACACGATCGAGAGGAAGTGTGTAACCCATGGTGTCCTGTAAAGAAAGTGATTAAAGGAACGTATTGAGTACTGCGACTTGCTCAGCGAGACTGATGTCGTGATAAATGCGGACAGCCTCGACCTTATACAGGCAGTGTCAGTCAACGGAAGTTTAATGAGAGTATTGTCGGCGAGACGATAGGTGAAAGGGTTCACGGCATGGTGCAGGGTACGAAGATCGACATCTTGTCCCGAAGATTCATCTTGGACGCGGGAGATGTTCAAGGGTGCGCAATGCTGATAGAGTTGACAGTGCTGAACCTGTCAGCCAACGATGTGCCGCTGGTGGACACCGGATCGTAGTGCTAGAGTCGGATGTGGCTCCGTCTTGTGTAAAACCGGTTAGTGCAAGATCTGGCAGCTGGCTATCCCGGCCAAATTGCTGATCCTCATTTAATCGCACGATACCCCAGGGTCACATCCTTCAGCGATGATGCGTCCTTGCTTTTACACGTTGGGCGCGAAACACATGGTTGGTGTACCTGAGAAATGTTTTGTTTTCACCGGAAGGCGATTTTCTCGGAGACATAACACCCTGAAAATCCTCAAAGATTGGTTTTGCCGATGCGCAGCGAAGGCGCAGCGAAGGCACAAAGGCAGATTCCGTCGTCGCTTCTTGGTTCTGCACTGCGCGGTCTCGTCGATCTCATGTCTCTCAGAACATGAGTTCGCCGACCTCCTTCCGATTCGACACACCAATGTTTCCTAACGGCCTATGCCGCCTCGCCGACAGTACTTGCCATCGTCATGTGTATGACTCGGCGATTGTCACATGGTTGTCTGCCCTATACCCGGGTGCGCGGAAGTCCGGGGGGCCATGTCTCTCACTACGAACCTCCTGTTAGCCTGGTCCGAGCGTCCGATTATGCCGGAACCGTGGTGGCGTGGATATGTTCTGCTGTAGTTCTGAAGATCATGAAGAATCCGATAAACATTGTAAGAGCCTATGTCGAATAAGGCTGACAAGTAAACTTTCCCAATAGTCGATATGAGCAGGCGACTGTCAAAACGCCACAACTGACCTAAATGATCGTCATGACATGCCGATAGAACACTCCCTTAAGCACGTCACGTAACTAGACCGACCTCCTGTCACCATGCATAGCGGCACTTGTATGACTGCGCGTACAGTTATCCTAGGTGGAGATATTGCACAATGCCATCGGGACGATAGGGATCGGAGAAGCACCGAGCCGCCGGCTCGAACCAGGTATATTGATTGATTGAGGCGAGAAGGATGATGGCTACACAGTAACCGGAGAACCTTCAGATTCCAAGCATTCGATCCTTTACCCCAGGCACACAATGGCATGGCACACCTCAAGGTACATGGGTCACGGGCCTCAAGGTGTGCCAAGCGGTCGAGACTCGTATGCTCACAGGCCAGGCGGGCAGTTTGGGCTCAGCCTCGCGCTCGTGCTCCGGGAGTATTCGATTGCGAAGACTGCAATTAGGAAGGTGCTTTGGTTCATCTGTTCTGTTCTGCTATTAGAAGTCCGATGTTCTTCGGAAGCATTCATGTCCACAACCATGACTGCTGTGTTGCCCTGGCTTGACTTGACATGACGATGGATAGGGTTAAGGCGTTCCGTCGTACCACAGTATGCGTTGCGCGCTACCATGGCAGTCGATAGGCTACATGGTGCATGGTGCTATAAAGCGAACTTTACCACACCGTCGCGCATCACGTTTACCAGAATTGCGGGGTAGGAGCGCACAGCTTGACCGGACAGGCGAAAACAGAGTTTTCAGGACATGGCAGCTCGGTGCTTTGGTGTTTCGTTGAGAGGGGGGAGGTCAGGAAGGTGGAGATTGGGTACGAGGTCTGAAGATGAGAGGCGGCTGTTTCAGCTGCCGAATGCATGACGGTGATCCTGCCCCACGCGCACATGGGTAATGACTCGCGCACAATTTCTTTCTCCCCGCAGCCCACTCAGCCATCCTCGCGTCACCGTTCTGCAACAACCATACCCAAAAATGCCGCCTTCACCCTGCGCCCTGTGCAAGGTGAACCGGGCGCTTATCCTCCGACCCAAGGATCACTCCAAGTTGTGCAAGACATGCTTCATATCCGTGTTTGAGACAGAAATTCACCATACCATCACCACAAATTCGCTTTTCCAGCGCGGAGAAAAAGTCGCCATCGGTGCTTCGGGTGGTAAAGACAGCACTGTCCTCGCCTCTGTTCTCAAGACTCTCAACGAGCGCTATGACTATGGCCTTGATCTCATCCTGCTATCCATCGATGAGGGAATCAAGGGCTACCGGGACGATAGTTTGGAGACGGTAAGAAGAAATGCGGAGCAGTATGAAATGGACTTGACGATTTTGGGATACGCGGAACTATATGGATGGACGATGGACCAAGTGGTGGAGCAGGTGGGCAAGAAAGGCAATTGCACGTATTGTGGCGTTTTCAGAAGACAAGCGCTTGATCGCGGAGCGTCACGGCTGGGAGTCAAGCATGTGGTGACAGGACACAACGCCGATGATGTCGCCGAGACAGTCTTGATGAACTGTAAGTATTATAGTTTCGGCGTCTGATTGTGGAGTATGCTGACAGGAATAGTGCTCAGAGGTGACCTCCCCCGCCTGTCGCGCACAACTTCCATCATCACGTCTACCCCCGCAGCCTCTTCTGACCCTGCCTCGAATACGAACATCAAGCGTAGCAAGCCTCTCAAGTACGCGTACGAGAAGGAGATTGTTCTCTACGCCCATCACAAGAACCTGGACTACTTTAGCACTGAATGCATATACTCGCCCGAAGCCTTTCGCGGCAGCGCACGAGCTCTTATCAAGAATCTTGAGAGAGTACGGCCCAGTGCTATCCTTGACGTTGTCAGGAGCGGCGAGGACATGGCAAAGCTTGTACCCGGTAGCGATGAAGGATGCGGGGGTGCTTGTGCTAGCAGTATGCCTGTTGCCGAAGAAGAGGAAGGCGGATGTGGAAGTGCCCAAGGGCGCAGCACAGGCGGCGAGATGGCGAGTGTAGAGGCACAGCTCAGACAAAACGAAGCCGCAGTTGACGGCAACCTTGAAACCGAGATCACGATCAAGAGCGTTAACCGCAACGGCGCAGTACCGCTAGCGAACGGAAAGAAAGCTAAGAAAGGTTTCACACCCAGGAAGACGGCAAAGCAAGTCATGGGTCAGTGCAAGAAGTGTGGATACCTTTCGAGTCAAGAAGTCTGCAAGGCCTGCGTTCTGCTTGAAGGACTCAACAAGGCGCGACCAAAGAACAAGATCGAGGTCGGTTACGAGGTCCAAGATGTAAGCATGAACAGTGTTCGCGATGAGCTCGAGGCTACGACGATCGGATGAGAATGAAACCACAACCAAAAGAGATCCTTTTACGACTGCCCGTAATGCGCAAGGCACCGCTACGGCCTTGCTTAGATTACCAACCGTTTCGCGTGTTCTCAGGTATAGCGACAAGCCTGCACGACAGTCTGTGGGAAACACATCTGTTTGATATTACTGCACAACACCAACGCCGTATTTGCAGCAGCTTGTCTGTTCAAACGTACCGGACCGCCCCGAATCACATCTAGACGGGTCGGTGGCTTGATATAGTCGGTGTGCGCTACAAGGCTCGTGGCTGACAGACTCGTGTGACGAGGCGTGAGCGTGACCTGTCAGAGCAAGACAAGCGTCTCAGTCACACGAGAGTCAACACTCCACTACCCCGCACGAATGATCTTACGCCCTCATGTCTCACTTGGAGCTGTGACCATAGCTAATTCGCACTGCATCGGTGCTATCGCACTTAGCGGGAGAGCGGTACGTACCGAGTTGCCCTTGTGTCCTGGTACTTTTGTGTTGTAGCATCTAGGAGACTTAACGTGTTGGTTGTATATTCCCGGGTGAAGCGTTGACAGCATAGTGACAGTGTCAAACATCACAGGAAACCAGGAAAAGGTTTATGAAGAAAGAATGGGTGCTATTCATAACAGTGGAGGTATAGAGCATCGTTGTAAAACGCCTCCCATGGTATCTTAGAAATCCACCACACCACGCGTTTACCCGTTTCCAATCAATATCCGTGAACGCCATCTCTATGCAATGCTTCCCATAAATCCAACACAACATGCAAAGACAATAAGGAAAGCAGCCTTAGTCTGAACCATCGAAGTGTGGCCGGCTCCACTCTGAGCAAGTCTTAAGCCGGGTGAACGTCATAGCTGGAAATTAAACTCTTTATCCATCTTCCACGGCCCATCGACCGTGACAGCACCCTTATCAGCGTCAAAGTTGCCGGTAGCGCCAGCCTGGCTCTGGCCCAGCACAACGACTTGGCCAACGGTGATGCTCTCCCCATCGGCGCCCGAGTATCCGAATGTACCTGTCGCGCTGAACTTGCCACTGTCAAACGAGAAGGAGATTTCACTGGTACCAGACTGCTGAATGCTCTCTCCATCATCGAGGTACAGACGGCCAGTCGCCTTGCCATCCGTATCAGGCGCAACAATGACGAGGAAGTCCTGTTGACGCACAGCCTTGGTCGTGTTGGCGCTGGCGACACGTTGCGGGACGATGGAACCACCGCGGATGTGGACGGGAATGTCGCTGTAGCCCAGGTTGCTGACAGTGACGTTCTTACCCTCACCCTCGACCTTTGCGTAGGTCCAGTAGTCGTAGAAAGTGTCCTCTGGCAGATAGTACGTGACAGTGTCGGAGTACTCAGTTACGACGGGTGTGATCAACAGCGCGTCGCCGTAGAACCACTGCTGGTCGAGACCGAACGTATTCGTGTCCTCTGGGTAAAGGAAGAACATTGGGTTGATCATAGGTGTACCCTCCTTGCCCTGGTAGTAAAGGCCAGTGTAGATGTAGTCGAGGAGCTTGTAACGAGTATCAATAGCCTTCTTAGCAGCCTCAGCGACAACGGGCCACTGGTAGAACTCCTGCTGGGCGGCGTCATTTGCTGCATGATTACGGTAGAAAGGCTGGAAGGCTCCCATGACAGCCCAGCGAGCGCACATGTACTGGTCTGCTTGGCCGTTGAAACCGCAGACGTCAGAGCCAACCATGGGCATCTGATGCATCGAGACGAAAGACAGCATCTGACGGATGGAAATCCGGTAGTCGTCCCAGGCTGAGAAGTTGTCACCGAACCAATGAGCAACCTTGCTACCAGATCCGGCGAAGGTGGAGCGCGTCAGCACAAAGGGACGGAGCGCGGGACGGCGGGCCAACATCGCTTCACGGGTTGTTCCTGCCATCATGTGGCCGTACATGTTGTGCGTGTCGTACTGGTAGGTACCGTCGTAGTTTGTAGTGTTCATGGGAATGGTCTGACGAGAAACGTCGCCCAGATGGCTGTTGATATGGTACGCGGGCTTGAACCATTCACGGTCAGGGAAGCCCTTCATGTTGCCATTGGAAGATTGGCGGGGGAAGACAGACTTTGAGGCACGAACTTCAACAACAGGTGCACTACGCTCCGAGAGATCATAAGAATCACGAGCCTTGAGCGTGCTTCCTGGTTGGAACGAAGCCGGGAACCCAGGAATGGGACGGCCAGTGTTGGGTCGTGGCGCGTTCGCAGGTGGTGGTGGAATGTTCTGATCGATCGCTTGCTGGCGGGGGTTGCAGGTAGTAACATCCTGGCAGAAGTTGGAGGCTTCGTTCATGTCGACCCAGAGACCGTCCAGATCGATACCGTTCTCTGGGTTGAAGTTTGCTTGAATCTCACCAGCCCACCACTTCTCTGTGTTGGGCGCGAACCAATCAGGCCATGCGACTTCACCGGGCCACTGTACGCCAAGTAGATCGGTACCGTCTGCGGCCTTGAGGAAAACCTCCATGTCGTGACCCTTCTGATAAGTGACGTACTGACCGCCAACAGCGTGAATACCAGGGTCGAGAATCAGAATGTAACGCTGGTCGCGAGAGTGAAGCGTCTGTACAAGCTCGCGCATCTTCGAGAGAGGGAAGCGCTCGCGATCAGTCGTGAAATCCTCGCGAAGGTACATGTAGTCGATGTCAGTCCACATGACTTCGAGGGGAATTCCAGCAGTCGAATAGTTGCCAACGACCTCAGCGACCATGTTGACGTCCCAGTATCCATACTTGCACTGGTGGAAACCAAAGGTCCAATATGGGTACATGGCGGAGTAGCCGGCGATGTCAGCGTATTGCTTGGAGACCTCGGCGGGCTTGCTACCAGCCATGAAGTACAAATCGATGACGCCACCGATGGTGTTGTACTCAAGGTACTGGTAGCCGTCGGCCTTTTTGATCTCAACTTGCATTGGGCTGGAATTGAGCATGAAGACGCCGTGGGTCCCCTTGTCACCGCGGTGGTCAAAGTAGACGGGATGCGTTCCGTACAGGTTAGCATTCCTGGGAATGTTGGGCGATTCCGCGTTCAGCAAGACGCGCTCGTAGTTGTCCGTGGCGAAACGGAAAGAGTCGCTGTGCTCACCAAGACCGTAGAGATTGGGATTGTCGGGCAACTTAGTACGCAGGCGAACATACTGCTTCTCGAAGACCAGAGGAACAGTTCCGGTATCAAACAGAACCTCGCCATTGTCCCTACGCTTCACAGCAAACGAGAATGGGCTCGTTTTGATACCAAATTGAAGTGCAGCACTTCCAGCGGACGCCTTCTCGTGCTTGGGGCGGGGAAACACTTCCTCCTGAACCTGGTAGACTTGTTCGTCGGCGTCATAAATCTTGACGTGAAGACGGTCGTCTGTTGAGTATCAGTAAACATATCAAGTAAAGGTAAAAGACTGTTGACTTACCAGTCTGGTATTCAACGAGTAATTTCAAGTCCTTGATATCATCACTGTAAGCGTTGCACGCCGCGCCAGAAAGAGTAAGGTCGGCGGTCAACCCTGAGTCGCTCTCAACAACGTTGGAAGCAGTGTAGCCAGGGCAGGCATCGACTACTGCACGGCGGTTGAGGATACTCGCGACATCGGCAGATTGCTGCGCTATAGGAATCGCGTGGGTGAGGCTCGAGCAGGCGAGAAGCCCGAGCATAAGAATATTGACCATTATGTCGAGTTGCCAATATTATCCAAAAGTTGAGGAGCGCTCGTAGGTAGGAAAAGAAGAGCAAAGGCTCGTTTGCTCGGGAATATATACGTTGAGGAGGGCCTGCAATGGAAGGGCCCGTGCAGACATTCACGATATCGGTAGGTGTCGGTAGCCAAGGTCAAGTCTGAGACTCACAGTATCCGCTTGACCCACAATCCTGCTCTTTCCGGTCTGTCTCGTTCGTCCACCTGACGTCTATCTGGGGAAAATGCTCATAACTAAAGCGCAATGACGCAGTGAACTGTAACAATATTCCACCCGCGGTGTGAATGTGGGGAACAACAGTTGTCATGCAGAGGACCGGTCTCGAAGACGTACCTGCAGGATAGACCCATATATAATGCAGCGAGTCCATATTCCCGCCGAGGGTTGTACACCGGCGCGTACACGATACAAAAAAGCATGTAGTTGTTTGGATACTAGCATCTGGCTAGGAAATGAGGGATCAACAAGTCACATCCAATACCGGAAAGGCGGCAGCTTCCCCTAGAATTCCGGGGTAGTGCTCAGATGGGCGAGTACCAATCCCGGCATGCATCGCCACACTTTCCACTACGTGCACACATGCCTGCCAATAGATGCGCGGTTAACAAGCAAAGATCCCGGGTGCGATCGTCATAGGTGCTGGTGTCTTGGCTTAGCAGAATGTACCCGTGACGGCCAAGCCGACCTTGGGTATAACAACAGGAAGGACGCAAGAGATTTGCTAATCAAGGAAGTGTCGCGAGGCCCGCATTTCATGCATCTGAGATGTCTTCGTGACGTCGGGGAGTCTTGGTCGGATCAGTCGCTGAGTTCGCGTGAACTGCGGGGACGCCGCTCCCGCGCTAAGCTTTTTAGCGTGATGTCCATTGCCGTGTCACCTGGACTCGAAGTTGGAATGATAGCATCTTGACCTTCCATCCGCGAGTTTCAGTGTGGCTGTAGGCTCCCTCCTTCTTTTTCGCACTTCCATCCACGATACACACCGCTATGTCGAATGCCTGAAGCTACACACTATCGCAATCTCATGTGATCGGATACCCGATCCAATTCCCGAACACCCGACCTAACCGCTTCTTTTTCGACATCATCACTATGAGAGCTATCCATCGAAGCCTAGTCTAGTTATGACACTTGCATCTAGTTAAAAGATATACTTGCAAAAGAGTTCGGAATGTCACGGATATACGGCACATGGAAAGATCTAATGAAAGCTTAAGTGTAGAAGGCTTTCTTTGCAGCCCAAACTTAAAGCCGGTTGTATCCTCGTCTACGATCATGCGCCTCTGACAACACAGCGCCCCTTAGGCGTCAGGCGTTCGACTGTACACACTCCAAGGCTCCTCCTTCCTCGTTTCGCCCAACCACCGATCCATCGCTGACATGCTACCACCTTCGCGACCGGTATCATTCGCCATGCAACCCAAACTCTCGTCTGTGACTTTCGGGCGCTGACCTCCGTCTCTCTGTATGGTAAACTCTGTTAGCCGCTGAGTACTGGAGAAGACGATGTGAGCGGACGTACCGGCTGTTCCCCATCTACCGATGCGGTCTTCGGCCCTGCCATTTTATCCGTTCCGATGTTCAAAGATGCAAGACTACGACAATATGTATCGGACCCGCAGGTTGCGAGGGTACTACCAGATGAGAATACGGCTTTCTTTGAGCTCTTGGACGATGTGTGATATGTGATGAGGCAGCTTTGACTTACCGTCGGATGTTGGTTTCTCATCGGTAGAAGTAAAGAGCTACAGTCTGAAGTATCTGCATTGGGGTGTAGATACATCTACGTCGCGAGTAGGGTCTCATCTTAATAGCATCTAGCTCTGGGGCCTGTTGGATGAGAAGAATGGCCGCAATCTGGTAGGATTGGTTCATCTGATTCGAGGCCGCAAGATCATTTTGCCCCCATCACGGATAGTTGGATGTTGCTGGAGGCCGCAAAGCAGGCGCACGATATGTTATGTGGACATATAGCGAAACGTTCTCTCTAATCTCTAGAGGCAATTTGCTAGTGCTATTGGGTCGACCTAGGATTGGTGGCCACGTCTGCTGCGATGACAAAACAGCGTGTGATGTTGTCTTCTATGATTTCCATTCCATAACCAGAGAAGCATGACATCTACACGTCCCGCTATTGGTGGCCACATGTCCAGTACAGCCTCATCAGAAGAATATCATTGCGTTGACGCATCACGTCGTTTCACGATTACTGGAGGCCACGAAGGACATGTGCTAACCCGATTGGGTACCGACTAGCGATTGGTTGTGAAGCAAGGCCGCGGAGTAACATCTCAGCCACGTTGCGATAAGCTCGAAACTACCATGTGTTGACCTGTTCGCTTCTACAAAATATCATCAGAATAAAGCAGGCTTTGAATCTTCCCAGTTCAACTTGGGAAGCTTATCGACAAAAATCGTAATGTCAAACACCAGGTTACTTCAGCGAATACACCCTCGGAGGACCCAAATTGAGGCACGCCTGCCTATCTTTTACAAGATCTTGCAAAGAAACCACTTTCACCGCACACACCCCCTACACTACCCTAAACACACGCACATATACCCCACCATCAGAGATAAATATGTCTGTAATAGGTGCTGACTTGGGAACGCTCAACAGCGTTATTGCTGCTGCTGTGCGGAATCGAGCGCCGGCAAGAAATCATCCTACTTCTCCCGCCAAAAATCACCATGAGCTCCTTGGCCCTAACTTTTCTGTATGGAATAAGGATTCCTCCAGCAAAGGCAGAAGTCACTACGAGAGCCTTGATCCTAGTTATGATGTTCGGAATGTGGATTTCTTCAAGAAAGGCAAGGTGTTCAGTGTTCTTTTTACTGAAAGCGTCGGGTTCGTCGCCAATGTTTATCGCAATTAACGTTCGACACCAAAGTATGATAATCATGTTCACTCTCAGATAAGACGGTTTATTGTTGTCTACTTTCCAATGAAATGGGCCACTATTCCCTCTCAAGACCTTACTGGTCTCGATGAAAATAAAACGATCATTCAGCAAAGCAGGCAAAATACAACGGACACCAATACCCACATACCTGAATTTCAGAATCTTGGGGAGATTTTCAGCAGCTACCCACGGCTTCGAAGCTGCTTTGTGCCAGGAAAAGTTAGCGCAAGACAGAACCAGATTTCGCAAAGCTTTTCATTCGAGAAAAGTGCCGCTAGTGGATGCGTTCCGATTCTCCACGCATCGAATAAGGCTCGAACAATAGGAAGGAGAGCTCTTACCGCCTGGAAGGATGGAGCTGGCTCAAACAAATCTTGGAGACGATGTCTCAAAATTATGACATCGGAACTGAAGGTGCTAGTCCGTCTCAGGGATGGTGATCAGTGCTTCTTTATATCACCAATGTATCTGCCTCTTGCTTTCGTCCGACATCGAACGCAAGACGGAAACGCGCATCGAAACGAAAAGCTCAGACAGCTAGCCCGTTGTCATAAAGCCGTCAAGCAAGGGAAGTCGTCTCAGCGACAGTTCGACGATGTTTCGAGCACTGAGAACTTACATATCTTGCTGGACGACAAACCCTTGCTTGATATCTACCAAGAAACACGAGCGCGAGATCATCGTGAATTGGACGATACAGGATTGCCTACGGCGTACATGAGGCTCTCTTGGAGTCAGGAGGGAACCCTCGCTGGGCAACTAGATCGCTTTCTGGTCAAGGGTTTAGTCCTCCAATCGTGCTGGCGCATCCTATCTTTTCTGCGAAACGATTCGCTCGCTGATATCTATGCTGTCGTAGATATTCATGATCAATATGCAACAAGCGCAGAACTGGAGCTTCACCATTTCTTGGCTGAGTATCGTGGTAACTCGACAATATATGCCAAAAGAAAGCAAAAGCGTATGTACAATGGCGGAAATTGCCTGGCACGCTTCTGGGATGGCGATAGAAGTATACTTGTATTACGGGTTCCAAGACTCGAAACACCGTTTCGGATCGACCTGAAAGACTTTCCAGCTTTGACGGGAAGTGCGAGTAGGCCAGCGTTACAGTCCCGACGCACATGCCGATTTTCAGATATACCCACATACGCTGCGGTGCTTCGAACATCCAGAGGCGACTCATGGTTACCACCTTTACACCAGAGGCTGAAAGAGGAAAAGACTCGACGAGCTGAGGACATTATAGAGACGGTGCGGGAGAAGAAATCTAAGAAGCAGAGGGACAGGCGGATTAGGCAAAGACTCGCTACAAGACAGGGACGAGCACCAGGGGACGAAGGAACCTGTGTCTTGTCAGACGCCTGTGAATAGGCTTGCCTTGATAAGCTATATCCTACACTCTAGGTAGAAGCATATATTACGTCATGTACTCTGGTTTTCAAGACTACAGCACTATGAACACCTTTGAAGCGACTTCGACACGACATTGAGATCTTCGCACCATGTCTAACTTCTGCTTTGTCACGATTTTGCAAGAGAAAATGTTTTAGGCCTTTGGGTTTTTATTTTGTTTAATATGTACAACGAATACAAGGGGGTGTGCATCGAGGCACGAAAGGAGAATAGAAGTCAACATCGTCTCAACTGCCAGTGAATGGGCAGGCCTTATACCAAAGGCAGTATTCTCCAAAGAATACGCACGTAAATGACCGAAATATCCTGGCTCATGGTGAAGTGAGCCCTCTGGTGCGCTTTTGTGGCGATGAAGAGTAGGTTCGATAAAAGATGACAAAATGAGCAAATAAACGAGTGACTGGACGCAAATTAAAAGGCAAACAAAGCGCGCGCATACCCCCTGTGCCAGATAGTCCTTTTTACCTCTTGAGTGCGTTGGAAACGGTTTACTACTCCGCTTCCCCATCAATAGAAGCCAGAGATGACCACATGCGCCTCTGCAAGCAAACATGTGTTGACGGTCGCACCAAAGAGGCTCTGGCACAGTCCCCAAGATATCCTTACGCACCTCCAACCGTGGAGGATTTCGAGAGCTAGTATTCCCCCAACGCAAGAATTGAGAGGACCCCACGCGAATCAGCCAAGGATCGCGTGGGGATGATTCATCTCTCGCGTCGGGGGTGAACCATGATCATGCTGACATGGTCGTGTCCATATGGCAGCAACAGTATCCTGAGCGTTGGTACAAGGCCCCGTACTCTTTCCTAATAAGACGAGATCGCTTCGATCTCCAATCGTAACGTGCAGAACTTGTGATGATGATGGCAGTACGGTGTCAGAGAGGAAAATCGAACCCCCGCGCTGCTGGCTGCATAGCGCGGGAGCTAGATTTTCCTCTCTGACGCCGTGGTAGGGCGGTGAAAGTGAGAGCGTGGCCATGGTTGGCGTCCATGAGTTTAGCTGTTTTTGTTCAAGTGCGTCTCCCGTACATGACGCTCTAACGTGTCTTTCCGTAGATACTTGGAACCGCAGTCGCTGCACGTGAAAGATTCCTTAACGATCCGTGCAGGGCAGGAACGTATCTGGTGTCGTTTGAGATCTTTCGGTAACGTGAAGACAGGCTTCTTTGGACATGCGCTGCATTGAAGTATTGATGAGGGAGCGGCGCACTTGCGGTGGCGTCGGTGTCGGGTGTAGAGTGCTTCTTTCGTGAATTTTTCTTTGCAGGTCGGACATGAACGAACAACATAGGCTGAGCTGATCTCTCTCTTGTCCCCGATAGCGTCGTCCGAGCCAAGGCCGCTATTAGGAGGGCTCTTCGAAGACGATGACCTTAGCTCGAGCGATAGGGGGGTTGAGCTGCTTGAAGATTGTTCTACATTCTGCTCTGAACTAACACTCGGGGTCGACGTGTCGGAGAAGGGAATCATGGCGACAGAGGGGGCATCTGGAGATATGAAGTTCTGAGGGGGTTGCGATTGGAGATTTTCGGCTATAGCGCCGTCAGCCGATGGACTAATTCCTGATGGAAGGAAGATTTGAGGTTCGGGATCATGCCAGATTAACAAATCGATGTCAATGAACTGTCCGTAGTCGAAAGACTCAGAAGTGGAGGCCAATTCCTCAACACTCGAACATCCCACTGAACCATCCATTTGCCATGAGGCATACCCTTCTGAACACTCATTGTAATCTTCCCAAGCACCGGGTATCCGTAAATTGGCAAACGAGGCTGATCCGTATATTGGGGCATCAGGATTGATTTGCAGAGCTCCTGCTGTACATGATGGACAGTAACCGAACTGTTCTAAGCGATGATCACTGACACATAATCAGCATCGCCGCTTCCGCGCAAAGAGCTAGATACGTACTAGTGAGAGCAGTTGATGGCGTAAGCGGCCTAGTACTAGGCCGCTACTACTCTCAACGTCTTGTCAATGAATTAGGTGAGAGACAACCTCAGACTTCGCTGAGGTCTTCGGTGAGTGCGTGTACGAATGTGCTATCGGCCGTAAGACTGATTCGAGCAAGGTCTAGGGCGGCTTCGAAGCCGCCCTATGTTCTTGGGTTGGTGGAGGACAACCTCAACAATAAGAAGATTGATTTGGCGTAGGATGGTTTGACGAGAAGGAACAAGGGAGGAGCGCGGCTGCGCGCTCGATATATGACAGCTGAGATATCGTGCTGGCAAGGCTGACGCAGATATCCGTGAACGTCACGCAAATGTTGATTGGTGGCCGCCATCTGAGGTTTGCCTGAAACCGGGCAAGGCCAGCACAAGGTAGCTCGATTGAGAATAGTCTATGGTCCTCCACCTGGCGACTTAATTTGTTGTAGCCGACAGATTTGCGGGGACAAAATGGCGCAAAGTTCTTCCAAGGTTGGCTTAAGAAACGGCAGTATCCAACGTGAGCTCTACCGAAGACGTCATTCAGTCGAACGACAAGTGCTGTGAGTCGCGCATAGGGTCAGCTATGCTCATTCTCGGGTATCTTTGTCAGTTACGCCAATACACCTGGTCAGGTGCTCGTAGAAGAGGTCATAGCCTGTTTCTACCTGCACGGTATTGTAGGGACTCAGAAGGGACTTCGCCTGGGCCAACTTCCAACCATCGTCCACGCTTGCTCATTATGCTCGTCACTTTCATTATGAGGCGAGGAAATCTTTCCGTGGAGTACCCAGGCAGCTCAGCGTTCCCTGCCCTGGCATTGACCGGTGGGAGCCCAAATTTTCCTGCTCAATGAGAATGAGGTACCGAAACCGCATGAGCCTCACCGGCCCGCGTATCATGACGTTCCCAGTATCAGGACGGACGCAATCGAGAGAGGCAGCCACAGTTCGTCATTGGCATCATTGCTAGACGCGATCCTCACATCTCATAAAACCACAGCGATGGAAACAGCCTGTCATCCACATCATGTGAATTATTTGGCTATACGGGACTGTGCTCACGGTCGGGTCAGTCGGCAGCGGAGCCGGGCCGCCGGGAAGTGGGTAGATAAGCGGCATGTCGCGAAATAGAACCCCAGCGATGATTGAGGGCCCAGTGTGAAGACATAGCGAGGTTCTTGGTTGTAGAGCGCGGAACGCGTTGATGGAGCCTGAGGCTGGCAGCCAGGGTTACACTAGATCTAACCGCTGATCTAAACCAGCCTGGTGCCTGGCCGCGTAGTCCATCGGACCGCCAAACAGCGCAGTACGGACGCGTACCAGCTATCCACGAACTCACCGTACTGCACTCGAAAGCTCGCCGCATGGTCAATACGAAACTTCAATCCCTGTAAACCCTGGTTTTGGTGCGCAGTGGTCTGTGCCACGACTCACGCGACACTGGTGGGACTAATTGCCGCCAACGATGATCTTTCATGGCCCCCAGTCGCTCAGGTATCAGCAGCATCTTCATGCAAGGCGTGATCGCTAAAGATCTTTTGGATACTGAGAAACGCATCTGGTAGATACGAAAGTCGAATCGGACGCATAACGCTGCGACACCATCAGACATTGACTAGTCGCCAATAGACACACCAGGGGCCGAGACAAGACACGACGCGACACGGCGCGATATCTACAAACTCAGCGCGAAGTTCATGTACCCCAATCCACACAGTCGCGCCGCTACGAGCGATGACCATGGAGGACAACAAGAAGGTCAGAGACAACATTGTGGTATAGTGTGAAGGTAAGCATACAACGAGGCACACAACCAATCTGGCAGAAGTCTCGGGGTAAGCTTGAGAATACAGAGTAGACCAGATTCGGGTCAACAACACGATTGATCAGCTGAATGCAGCGTCATCAATATGTAGATTTACACAAATCCGACAACCGAAGCCCACCAAGTATCGAGGTTCTCTTAGCGCTTTACGGACAACTTTGATCGGTAACAATACTGTTTCGCTGTTGTGATACTCCATTACATGTTACAGGTTATTTCAGAATTGCGGTCGTATTTTTCCATTGCCGTGCCTCACTCCGCAGGCCATAGTAAGCAGACGCCGTGCTGGATTGGTCATCAACCGCCTCTTCGTACAACACTTTGAAGAGTCGCGTTACTACAGTTGCACAATAACGAAATATTTAATACTTGATCTCGGTCCTTTTTCGGTTCAGACATAGTCAAACTTTATTTGCATACCTCGACCTCGAACAAATCAGCCGTCTTTACCATGTCTTCAACCACTGTCCTCATTACTGGTGCCAACCGTGGTCTTGGCCTAGGCTTATTGCAGAGATACCTCGCACAACCCAACCACACGGTCATTGCTGGAAACCGTAATCCCGCGCACCCTTCGTCACAGGCACTAGCTGAATTGCCTAGGGGTGAGGGCAGCAAGCTCATTGTTGTCAAGATCGACGCTTCGGTTGAAGAGGACGCCTTGATCGCGATCAAGGAGTTACAAGACCATCACGCCATTGACCATCTGGACATAGTCATTGCCAATGCAGGTGTCGCATATACCTATCCTTCTGTAGCCGAGCTGAAGCTCGATGACCTCCGCGGTCACATGGGGCCAAACGTTTATGGCTTCGTCACTCTCTATCAAGCCACGCGGGCGCTGCTCCAGAAATCACAGAGACAGCCCATCTTCACACCCATTGGATCAAGTGCTGGCTGTATTGTGTACGCTTACCCTCATGATCTCCCTCTATACGTTCACCGTGTAAGCTAATTGCAAGCAGCAACCAACTCCCACTCCATAACGCGGCTTATGCTCCTACCAAAGTGATGGTCCACTGGCTCACGATCCGCATCAATAGCGAGGATCCCTGGCTAAACGCTTTCGTTCTGGACCCTGGCTGGGTGCAGACGGATATGGGTAACGCGGCAGCATATTTGTACAACCTCAAGGAAGCGGACATAACTACTGATGCGTCTTGCGACGGCATGTTCAAGGTTCTCAGCGAATCGACCAAAGAAAAGGATGGTGGCAAGATGATTGGCTGGGATGGCGGTGTCAGAGTTTGGTAGTAGTGATATACAGCTACGATAACCTTCCTATTAAACAAGGGCGCAGTAAAGACCTCATTAGCTGTGAGACATGAACTTGAGGTCAAAAGATACCCTAAAGGTAGTCAAATGAGTTTTAAACTTATACAGACCATGCCAATGAATACTGTAAACTGCTACCTGAGGTGCTGGACATGTGGCATTATCGAAAACGCTGTTATCCTCCGTGTCGAACTGTTTGAATCCGCTCACGGCCCGAACAGCTCACTTGTTCTCTTTGCATTTCTCCAGACTCTTGGTCACAACTCCCTCAAGAATTCTCCGCGCCTCGTCAACCAGCTCATGCAGCTCCTTGCGGAACTGCTGGCCCTCGGGGGTGTCCTGTTCTTTCCTGTTCTTCTGACGCTGGAAAGCGGCGCGAATTGTCTTGAGCATCTCGACCACTTCCTTGCGCAACTTATCGCAGGTATTTTTGATGAGTTTCTTTACATCCTCTTCAACTCCTTCGGCGATCGCAGCGAAAGGGCCATCAAGGCCAATGACATTCTCCTCAAGATAAGCGTGGCGGACGTCTTTCAGCTTTTTGCCTAAAAACGTGTGTCAGTGGATGGGTATTAGCGTATGAAAATGCATGTCGTTACCTTTGCCCGGCCTCTCATCAAGAGCCGCCCCGTAGATCTTATCCATTGCTTTGAAGAAATAGCCTTTGTCTCCGGGCTTGACGGCCTTTTCTTGTATAGCGATCAGTCCTTGGTGAAGTTCTTTCCTTGCGTTTTCGACCTTGAGAGTGATCTCCTCGTCGTAGCCGACACGATTCTTGCCGAAGCACAGCTGGTAAGCGTCACCAGCCAAAGCCTGGGGGTCGTCTAAGACATGTGTCAGTACAAAAGAAGATGATGAAATATCAGTGAACGTACCCTTCAGTTGCCTGTTCAAATCGTTAATAACGGTCTTGATCGTCTGTGCCATTTGAGCCTTGAGCGCTGCAGGTGCGGTATCGAGTGCGGTTCGGAACGCGGCATCCATCGTGGTTTTCGCAGGTGCCAACAGCGAAGCGTTCAGATTGTGATCGATCTTTAACTTCTTCTGTTGGTATGTGCCTAGACATCGTTAGCGAAGAATTCAGCATTTTAAATTTGGCCCAGACTCACCTCTCTTGTTCACCAATGCCTTATGCGAGGCCGCATTTATAGTGGCCAGTTCTTCGAGCTTTTTCTCGGCGTTTCGGTCAAACCTGTCTTGCAGTTCATGGCTTGAGAGTGCGCTTGTAAGTTCATTGGAAAACGCCTTGACCCATCTATTCATGACACCACGAACCCGTCCTTCGGTGCCCTTTATGGTTTTATCGATGATCTTGGTAATATGTTCTATCCTGGCTTCAGTGCTCTTACTGCAGCTCACCTGGACAATGCTCAACAACATTGGTACCTTGAAGAGCACAAAATGCTCTAGAACAGCAAGGCGTCCTTGTGAGGGTATTCCCGCAATATATCTGCATGCAGCTGGGATTTGAGTGTCTTCGAGCTTCATCGTTGGTGCCTTCTCTACATTGGATGCATTGTAGCCACGTCGATGCCGCATATACATCCGATTGGAGACGCAGAACGACGCAGCGCCCGCATCATCGCCAGTGTTGTGACTGTACATGCGACTCATGCCCGCGGCTACAAGCCTATTGCGGCATGCAATACGTACATCTCTACGCCTGACAGAGTTAGCTTGGCCAAATGCCAATGTAGAGCAGTGCTTACTCTTTCTCCAGGGAAGCGACGAGTGGCATTGTAGCCTTCTTGCGACTAGCCAAACCCTTATTTGCTGCCTTGAGGGCGTCATGCTGGGTGCGCTGCTCTGCAGTGGCGCTTCCAAGATGAACACTGGACTTCAGTCTTTTCATATCACGCTTGTTGGCTTCAACCTCGTTCTCGATAGCTTGCAGTTCGCTGGTAAGATCTGCGAGCTTCTCCTCGATAGGCGCAAGGTTTTCCTCTGCGACAGGATCTAGCTGAAGCGTACTGCCGCCATCGTCATTCAATTCCTGCAAGACATGAAGTAAGTATGAGTATAACAAACGATACAACAGGTGCACTTACATCAGCTCTAGTCGCTAACAGGATGACACTGCCATGATGCCGCCTGCTATGCGCATCGAGGTAATGCTGGCGGAAAGACTGATCGCTTGTCGCACGCTTGATGTCTACAACTACTATAGTCATTTCACATTGCTGGAGGTATGCGATGGCAGCAGTGAGGCGGTATATGTTGATGTCTTTCGTGCCAGGAACATCGGCCAAGCAGACACTATCCCGTAACAACGGACTATCGACATAGTATCTGTGTTTGTTATCAGCGGCATAACTTGCACGTGGAAAAGTGTCAATCTCTACCGTATAATCTCGACGAACGGCCATGGACTGAACTGAAGCACCTTCCCTTTGTAGCGTGCATTGGGAGCTCGCATTCGAAAGGGTCGAAGTTGCTCACGCATATCGTTGTGCGTACTAGATTCGAAGCGGACGGACAGCTCTCCATCTGACACAAACAGGCTGTGTATGTCAACCGTCCACTGCAGAAATTTCTCCAACAATAAGTCGACTTTCAGAGCTTTACTGGAAGACATAAAGTCCTCAACAGACTCTGGAGCGACACGGAAAGCGAAAAGATGCTCCAAGCACTCCAATGCAGCATCTTTGCGCGTTCGGTCTCTGTCGTCGACACTGTCCTCGTCTTCTATAAGTCTCTGTCTCGTGTCAAGCCACACCCTGACCCAGCCCGTTACTAGGTCAATGCAATACTCGAGGCTGTAGAATTGAACTTCGGCTTGCACTGCGCCAATATTGGTAGACAGAGTCTTCTGCCGGAACTCTGTAACGACATTTGTACATGCTGCACCATTGTCACCCTATAGGTTCGTGTTAGTGAAAGCTGCTTATGTTTGGCAGTGCAACAAACTTACCTCTGGTGTCAGGTCTTCACCAAGAAGAGCGTTCGTTGTAGCGGACTTTCCAGTACCAGTGTCCCCAGTCACAGCGATCCGGATCTCCTTCTGATATAGGATATCTCGATTCTTAAGAATCTCATTCCAAAGGTAGGTAGCCTCTTCACCAGAGACTCCGCGGTTCTTGGCAGCCTTGAGAAAGTCTAGGAAGACCTGCAATATAGCTTGAGTATCTTCCTCAGCTTGTTTGAAGCCGGGGTGGTACATCGGTAGCTTCGGAGGACGCTGTTGAGCTGGATCGTACGGAGGGACTTGCGAAGAGTCTTTCTCGTCGTCGCTGTCTTCATCGTCGCTGTCAGAGAATGTGTCGGAATCTGACAAAGGTTAGTGTAATTTGCGGCAAGTGCAAGGTGCATACTCTTTCGCTTTGCAGGTATAGCTGATTCTGCACCACCGGAACCCCAGCTAAGGATAGCACGATTGGCATCAGCTTCGATGTCTCGAAGCCTCTGCATGTGTGGTGAAATGATGTGAGCATCTAGGGTAGAATTCTTCGTAGTGCTTGAGGCGGAGAGTGGAAGCATTGTAGCGACCGGTACGGATTGAGCTGGGCATTGTGGCTCGAAGATAGGACTCTGCGTGCTCTCAGGTGTCTGTTGTTGTAGGCCCTCCATACGAGTGACATCTGCAGACATCGCTGATGATTAGCCAAAGGCTGTGACTGGAAGGATAACAAGCTGAAGTCAAAACCAGGCCTAGATGGGGTAGATTTAGAGCAACCGATGTTGTTCGCCGTGAGCAAAAGTAAGTAGGTCGAGAGAAAGAAGACTGAGAGTGGAAAGACAGGAGAAAGATGCTTATGAAGGCCTACAACGGCCCGTACTGGCACCATCTGCCGCCTTCAGGTGAGAGAGCGGATTTAAAGTCGAAGCCGCTCCGCTTTCGGCAAGGTAATAGAGTGACAGCCTCTTCTGATATCAAACTCATCGCTCCTGTTGTCAAAAGTATGGCAAGCTCCAGCAGAAGATCTCAACATGTAGCTTTTAACAGACAGTCTTGCTACAAAGAGGTGCTATACCCTTAAGGTTTACAAGATGCTGTGCTTTGTAATATGCTAGTGCAACATACCTGGCCAACAATTTGGTATGCTGTGAAGCCATGACCCATGGTGAGCTCTACCTTTATCTCTCCGTTTGCTCAATCTGGAAAAGTCACCTTGAACAAAATACGAGCAAAAAGCAGAAAAGTCTGCCAGAGAGCTACTGGTTCCTAAGTTTTGTATTGCGACGGTCGCTGGACTTGTGCTTCAGTAGGTAGTTGTCATTGCCTAGCTTGCGTTTCGTTGACGGTCAATGCGAGGATCCAGACGTCAACCCATTGCGGATCTAAACAGCTAGCACCTGGATACCGCCGGCGGAGGTTGTAGCGATACACCATCTATTGTATTCATGTTATTTGTTCCTCCAAGGGTTAGTGGATGTTGAGGCTCATGGGTAACAACGCAGGTCAGCACGCTAGTCGCTGACCTCTGGTCGTACCAGCCACAGGTACCGGCGGACGCTATGGACCCTGCCATTTATCGTGAACTGCCACACTTGTGCAATGTAGCTCTCCCCAACTCTTTCTCCGGATCTCTCGACGACGTCTTGGTTGTCGTACGCCGCCATGGCAATCCCACAATTGCGATACGCGTCAGCGCCAAGGAGATGGTGCCGATTGCCGCCCCCTTAGCCCCTTCGGTCGTCCCGTCGGGCCAGGATAAGGAAACTTGCAGACATGGATGCTTGGAAGGATTGCGACAACGCGGGAGGCCACACTCACCATCTCCCTGAATAGCGTCTTCTCTTCTGGCTCCTGAGTTTCGTATACAGGACGCAGATGCAGATGCAGACTTCGACGGTCTCATAACAAACTTCCGCCGCCTTGACGCGACGCCACATTCTTTTGCAACTCCCAACATCTGCCCACCATGGCAATCCGTCCCCTCAACTCGAGTCTTATCTTCGACAGGCGCGTTATACTCGGTCTGACAGCAGCTGTCATTCTCGCCTTTACATTTGCCTTCCTCTATTCGCCCGACCTACGCCCCAGCTCAGAATGGCTACCACCTCTTAGCTCGAAACCTACGTCTACCTTCTCCGCGCCGTTGAAGAACACCGAAGACCCCAATATCGTTGAGCTAGACTACCTAGCCATCAAGCCCAATGTCACGGACAAAGTCAGGTCTTACTGGAACATCCCATATGCCGCAGATGCAGGAGGCAAAAACAGGTTTCGGGGACCACAACCGGTGAACAGGACGTATGGCATCGGCAGGGGCGAGAAGCCGTTGGTGTGGGATGGATCGCTGGGAATGTGCCCAAGAATCCAGAAGATTGATCCAGCTCAGAGGAACAGGGACGATATCTCAGGACCGGATGTCTTGGGTATCAAGACTCGTTCTACCGAAGACTGTCTGAGCTTGAACGTCTTCACGCCGTTCGATGCTGAGCCGGGTGACGACCTGCCAGTGTTGGTCAACATCCCTGGTGGCGGCTTCCACCTTCCAGGACGCAGCAACGGAGGCGAGATGGTAGAAAAGGCACGACGCGAAAAGGGCGTAGATGGCAAACTCGACAAGGGCATTGTCGTGGTCACCATGTACTACCGCAACGGCATCTACGGTTTCCTCCCTGGCGAACAGATCGCAAAGGACGGCGACTACAACAACGCGCTTCGCGACCAGAGAGCGGCGCTGGAGTGGGTCCAGAAGTACATCAGGTACTTTGGAGGCAACCCAGACCACGTAGTCATCATGGGTACAAGCGCAGGCGGTGCGTCTGTGATGCTGCAACTCACCGCCAATGAGGGTGACAATTACTACCCTGTCCCCGGCACAGGTCGCAAACAACTCTTCCACGGCGCCATCGCCCAATCTCCCGCGAGTCCGACCTTCTTCACGCCTGAGCAAGCTGAGAAGTTTTACAACGAAGTCGCAGACGGACTGAATTGCACAGACATCGCTTGCATACGCGACGCCGCCACAGGCGATCTCTACTACCAGAACTACCCCATGAACTTCCCTGGCCGCGACACTCCACCCCGCTGGATGTGGGCCCCAACGACCGAGCCAGCTGGCGGTATGTTCACTGAACCTGCCCCAGCAGCCATAATGAACAACCGATACGCAAAGGTCCCAACCATCATCGGCTTCACATCCAACGAAGGGTCAGACCAAGTCAAGAAGGCCACCGATAATGAGGGTGAATTTAAGTCCTACCTCAAAGACCATTACCCCCTCCTCACCGACGAAGACCTGAGCACACTCGTCAGCACGTACCCTAATGACCGACACTGGCCCGACAGTGGCGCATGGTGGGACGCCGTAGCGAAAGCCCAGGGCGACATCCGCTATATTTGCCCTACATACCTCGCATCCAACGCCATGTCTGAACACAACCCCGAAAACGTGCCTACATACCAATACCAATGGGACGTGATGTGGGGTGTTGACATCGAGAACGGATACGGTACTAAGCACGCCGGTACCGTCGGACAGGTCATGGTACGTCGCCAGAACGAGATTTCAGATTACTTCATCAGCTTCATCAAGTTCCTCGATCCCAACCGCGAACACCAGGTCATTCCTAGGAAGGATGTTAAGACTGGGAAGGATGTTGAGATCGCCAAGTGGGAGCCGCTGGACAACACGGGTCGCAGGATGTTCTTCACAAACATCAAAGAAGGTGGTCACAGGGGTGACGGCACGAATATGCTGGGCAAGATGCGCACAGAGATGCGAACCAGAGATGACGAAAGGGAGAAGAACTGTGGTGTCATCCGTGGCATGTTCAGAAGACTACAGTTTGAAGGTGTTCCAGCACTCAAGCTGGACTGAGTGTTTTTCGTCGTATACTATTGCATTTGTAGGGGTTCCGGAGTACCATTGTGATAGAGAGTTTCGCTGTTCCTCTCAGTTGTATGAATACCATATCCTTTTCACGTTCAATGTCAGTTCAGAAGTGCAATAATGTTTCCATTCGCTTGGCATACTCATTAGTTGGTATCAAAAACTGTGCTACAAGCCAAGTACATGATGCTACAGTGAACCCCAGCCACAGTCTAGATCTTCTCGTATTCTACCCAGATCCACACACCCACATCGCTTAGCTTCCGCGCGTCTCCACGGATTCCGCACGATACGATAAATACAATCCGACTGCCATGTCTCCGAGCCGCAATTTAAGCAAAAAGAAAGTTCGAAGAATCCTGAGAATATACTCAGGCACGTTGTCCCCTTCGTGGATCGAACACGATACCTCCAGATTTAGTGACTGAGACTTCAGTCTGGCGCTCTCCCAATTGAGCTAAGGAGACGGGTTTTTGAATTTCTCCTGTAGATTCCTCCCTAAATCTCAAGCAACATCTCTCAGATCTTCTTTACGTGTGCGATCAGGTCTTGCACATCGCTGTGGCTCAGACTCTCATCATCATGACTCATGCCTAGCTCTTGTTTCTTCTCGTCTAGACTTCCTCTCTGCCCGTCTAGATCGCGCTGGGAGTCACGGTCTGGGTTAACCGCTTTTGTCTTTTCGTCCCTTAGTACTCGCAAATCGCCGGTTTCGACTGCAAATGGGCCTGTTGGTGGAGAATTAGTGGGACCACCGCTCGTCTTTCGCGCATGTTCGACAACATCCGGTAGGTCAGCTTGGGAGAGACTGCCATCATCGACACTCATGCCGATTTGTTGCTGCTTCGCTTCCTCTTCCCGCTTTAGACAGCCAATTGGATTATCGCCTTCTAGCACGGGTGGTTCCTGCTGTTTGGAATCTTTCCTGCTCACCCAGCGGACAAGTTCGTCGACGTCGTCGTCTGTAATATGCCTCTTTTCCTTGATTGGTTCAGTTTCCTCGCGGCTTCTTGGGCGACCACGCTGCTCCTCTTCGTCAAACTCGTCAAAAGTCTCCTTGACGGGCGTAGACGCTGCAGACTCGCCGCTAGTGCCGTCGTGGCGCTTGAACCAGCGACCTAGTTCTGGTACATCAGACTCGTAGTGTTCTCCTACATCAGAGTCCAGTTCCGCTCGTTGTAAGTTCCTACGCACTGGGCCTGCTTTAGGTCCGTCGCGATGCGATATCCAGCGTACGAGGTCATCTGCGTCCTCTTCTTCATCTGAAGATACTTCTCTGAGTTCGCTGTCAGACTCAGTGGACGCATCGCTATACCCCGAATGTCCGTCGTTGATCGAGCGAGTCTCTTTGGCGTCAGATTTTCTGCTGGCGAAACGAACCAGTTCATCAACATCCGACGGCCCAAGGCTCTCGTGGCCACTATCCTCTTTAGCCTCCACCACACTGTTGTCTTTTCGTCTTTCACCGTCACTGGGTGGATCCCGTCGACTGACCCAACGTACTAATTCTTCCACGTCGGAATGATCGATGCTCTCTCCATCACTCTCGTATGGATTCCTTTGTTCTCCTTCCACGTCTGAAGAGGCCGTTGATGCCCGATCATTGAATTCGACTGGTGCGCCATCTTCCCTGATCTTCTCCATATTCCCCGCATCTTTTGTTGTCATCCTTCTTACCGTCATTCTCAGTCTGCTTCCAATTCCACTCTTCCCTGATGAGTCCTTCTCGAGTGTCCCCGTGCGGTGCATCTGGCGTTCTTCGTGTTGCTTATGCCACTTGTCTGCCGCGTTTTGTTCATTCTGACAGTCTTCCTGTGTGACAGTCTTCATTTGGTCTTCAATTCTCTGTTGGAAAAGCATGCTGCGAAGAGAGTGGAATCGCGCCATGTGAGGCTGTTTTTGTCTGAGCTTTGCGGAGTTTTCTCCGCTGCCACGTGCCGAAGAAGTTTTAGAGTGAATTGAACTTTTGCCGGTACCCGATTTCCGAGAACTTCTGCTTGGTGACAATGATGAAGGTCGAGGGTTCTGGCCAGCGATATGCTTTTGTTTGTCTTGGCTCAGCCGCTGAGGCTCGAGTGATTTATTGGTATGTCGAGTGGAACGTTGCTCTTCTTGTTCAGATATGTCCCCTTCGCTGCTATCGCTGTCTGAGTGGTCGTCGCCTAGTCCTTCCAATATCTGTGTAACTGCAGGGGACATTAAGCTGTTCATGCGACCTAATTGTTTGCGCTGGTCCTGAGGTATTTGATCTAGACTCGCAGCTGGCGCGGCCTTCTGCGACGGCGGGAGATCGAAGTATGACGCCATGACTTCTAGGATAGTTTTCTCCTCTCCAGTAAAGATGAGGCGTCTTTGGGTTCCGATGAGTGTGCGTACGTATCGATGCGCCAGATGTGGAGCGGGATGAGAAAGGTCTCAGGTGAGAGGCAGTGCTCTTGGGAGGCTTGGTGAGCTGCAATGTGTTAGGGTTGCAGTCCAGGCTAAGCCCAATGCTGCAAGTCTATACCCCGCAATTCTGTGATGTCACGGCTTGTGGTTGGCCCACAGTGCTGAATCAGCTGGCCTAGTGAAGTGACGATCGGCGTGCGTGCTTGGGCGACATCACCGTCTTGGAGTTTGAGATCTAGCGCTAACTCCCTGGTGCAACAGCTGCGACAGCCGTTGAGATCGGAGGCTCTTACTGGTAGTGACTAATCGCGATAGGTGGAAGAGCCTACCGATGCTGCGACAGGTGAGGTGAGACGGCACGGCAGGTGAGGTCGCATGCATCTTCCCGCCTATCGATGACCGGTGCTGTCATGTACGGCTCGATCCGCACGATCTATGAGCAAGCGCTAAGAACAACAAACTGGACGAAAATACTTTCTCCATTACAACCCCTTCCTATTGGCAAGACTAGAGTAGCCAAGTGCATTGGGCTGGCTTTGAACGTAATGTCCGAGCTGACAATGAACGTCTCGAATATTCTACGCGACCTGGCCAATACGTCTACCGTAATGCTTAATTTCCTCCGCCTGGTTATATGCCAGAGCGTTAGGTGTACCCTCATGGAGCGTCCTGTCATCGATCGCACCCTTCGTCGCGGTACTAGCAAGATGTTCGCACAAACCTTCTACCCGTGCTCCCAGACCCGCGAAATACGCAGCTATGCCAACCACATGCGGAGTGGCCATACTCTGAATATATTGAAGATCGTTAGCGCATGTAGCATTACCGCATCTCTTCGGAAGGTCACTTACGGTTCCAGATATAGTGTTGATGCCTCCACCAATCCAAGTGCTGGTGATCTCAACACCAGGTGCCAGAATATCGACTCGGGGACCATAATTGGACCATTCGATGAGCGTATCGTTGTTTGCTGTAGCGGCCACGGTACATACAGTAGGTTCAGATGATGGAGATGAGTAATCAGCCAACGTGCCCTCATTGCCTGCGGCGACACCAAGGAAGATACCTGCCGCAACGATAGCAGCAGCCTGAATTGGTATTAACGCATCGATTGTGAATGCTGCGGACTTGTCACTTACAGCATCATTCATGACTTGAGATTTTCTTCCCCCAAGGCTCATATTGGCCAAGGCTCCTTTCGGGCAATCTCCAGCGTCCATACGTTCTTTTGCATCCGTGATAACGAACTGCATACCGGCAAGGACGCCAGCATTTGTACCGGTACCGAAAGAGTCCAGCACTCGGACTGCGAAAAGAGTCGTCTTCTTTGCCACACCCCATGTGAGGGAACCAATTGTGCCAGCAACATGAGTACCATGTCCCGCACCGTCAATCTGGTCTCCCTCTTCGCTAAAATCTGCAAGAAAGTAGGCGCCTAATAGAGCGTCAATGCTTTTTCATCGAGTTATACTGCTCATACATACGGCCCTCGAATTCTGGATGAGTGGTCTCGATACCGGTATCGACGACATATCTATGTTCGCTGTATAAGCAAAGATCAGAGAATCCTAAGATGGCTGGCGACATACACACATGTACCCTCGCCAGCTGTGGAATCGTAAAGGTAATTATTCTGACCAGGCTCAATGTGCGAGATTCGACCCAAGCCCCACGTAGCGTTCAGCTGTGTCTTCGTTTCGCACACGTACACCTTCGCATCTTGTTGGATATAGTCAACCTAGTCATGTTAGTATGTACATGTCAATATAGATGTGTATCTTGCATGCTCAGAAGCCTGTAGTCGAGTAAGTTCCTGATCCGAGATGCTGCCAGCGAAACCCCTGAAGCCAGACATAGTGTATTTGAAATCGATATTAGCAGCGATTGAAGCTGTCAAGTCCTCCTCAGCTTGTGTTGTAACATCCCCTTTGAGCTTCACAATGTATTTTCCAGCAACAGCATTTTTACTATCGACCTCGATCAATGGAGCAGCAAATGCCGAAGAAAGCAGAACGAGAATCAGCGGTGTATACATGTTTCAATATGATTTGGATAGAGGTGTTGGGACAAGTGGAAAAGACTTTGAAGAGAGGGCGAAGGATCGGATGTTTCTGGTTGAGTTGTACCTGCATCAGCGGCAGAACTGCGTTTTAAACACCAACGTTGTAGAACATGCCCAAGTGCCAGAGGCGACAGACTTCTTTGATAGCCAATGACGTGGTTCGGCAGATCACGTATAACGAACAGAGCGCGTGCACCTACGTAGTGGGACGTTCCACGAACCACGTTTGAGCATGCTGTTCGACGAGCCCACTTAACGTTACAACACCAACAACGGTGCGGGAGATACGGTTATCTGATGGTATGTATGCTTGTGGTTCTTTGGTGTCGTGATATTGCCACATTCTCTACTGCTTGGTCGGTTTGTCTTGTGATGATCATCTTGCAAGTTGTTCAGTCGGTCATCTTTTAGATTTAATGTTCTCCAAGGAAGGTACGATGTCACTCGGAGGGGCATAAAACACCAAGATAACTAGAGGGATAGACTTTGGGAGACAACACGCAATCGAAACTACGGTACTGTATGGTGCCGAAGAAACCTTTTTGTTGACGACATGGTCTCCAATGCGCCAAGATGTGAGCTTAGCATCCCATAAAAGGGACACGAATCACGAAAGAAGGCCTTTGTGATTCTCCTAGATCCATGTCTTATTACATGGTATACGCGGGCGGGTAAGTCTGAAGTCGAACAGAATTCGATAAAGAACAGGTATCGGTAGTACCACCACAGTCAGAGCGTTGTGGAACATAACCTGCTTTGTTGTGATTTCCTACATGTTATCTTTGTCGTACCCGATGGGTGCTAGAATGTCGCTTCTCATCGTAGGTGGAAATGATTGGTCGGGGACGAGCAATCTAATCACCAGCGTCACAAGTGCTCGTCAAGAAGTTAACTCGCGGAACAACATCAAGCAGCTGATAAAAGTGTTATTCAGTGCAAGGTGAAGAATGATGCATGTGCAAGGCACCCACGTCAGGTTGTCAGATATGCGCCACTGCATCGTCAGACTATGCACCCGTAGGCTCGCATGTTGGTACGACAGGTATCGTTGGAGTTTCGCAAGAGTTTGCTATTCCCGTTGACAATTCACTCGTTCGGGCAGAAACATAGTAGTCAAACCATGCTGTCAGGAGCATGAGCATGCGGGGTTTTTCGTTCCACGGAGGAGTTTTGACAGGGAACAAAGACTAGTCATTCGTATGATGTTGTTTTTGACGCGATCATGTGACCCAGACTCAGTGTAGTTGTAAGACTAGATGATGGAGCGACGGTCTTTAAAATCGCCTTCGGAAGACATGCATCATGGAGCACTGGCTATGGTTCCTTGAGGTGTATACCGCACGAGGTCCTTTAAGCGAATTTGTACACATGCTTTCTCTGGATACAACCGAGTATAGCGGGTCCTGAGTGTAAGACACAACGCATACTATCGGCGAATAACACAACGTGCCTTCTTTACCGTCCCAGCCAGTCAATGGGTTCCGTCGATGCCTGAGCTGCGATGATGATATTTTCGGTCGACAGTAGAGGACCCTCCGAGGGTTTCCTAATTGGCAATTCGTGTCCGAATAAGACACGGAGTGACAGGGTTATCTTGCGAAATGAGGTATCTTCATGAAACAGCAAGTCGATCCGGAAACTGTAATGCTATGGTGTCGACAAGCTAATTTCTAGGGTGGCGTTCGAAGCGCAGCATATGATCTACTAGGTGTGAGCAGATGGGGGCAAAATGGACAGCTCGATGGATGGAAGGCCCACTTGCTGAGCATGTATAAAACAACAACCTCCATGCCATCCATTCCTGTACGACTTGGCACTTGTTGGCTTTGCTTGGCAGGGCGGTGCCGCACGGCGTAGCCGTAAATCAGCTGGCGAGAGCCAACGATCGCGCGCTTACTCCGCTATACGAGAAGCTCTCCCATCGCGCATTCCGATCGATACATGTCATGTGTGAAGTACTTTGCGGAAATCTAGTGCTGTTTATTTTTTCGTTGTTCTTTGTTTTGTTCGTTGACAATCAGGATTGCGGCTGGATCTAAAGGAGTAGTTGCGCACCAGGTACGTCATCCAAATCCAGATCCGCTGACGCGCGTTATTCAAAGTCGGGTACAGTTATACTCCGTCGCGATCATCGGATGCTGTCTACAGTCAGGCTATTCAGCCGTGTTCAAGATCGTATCGTTGTGTAAGTAGTTATGCGCAAGTAGAGCGGCAGTTGGGATACAGAGTTGGTGGCGCTCGATCGTACGGAAGTCTCCACCCACCTAGGCCCGTGCATCACAGCGGAAGGATGACGGCAGCTGCAGCCTCAGCCGCAATATCTCCTTTTTGGAAATGTGGGGCAAGATTGAATATTCCGATAACCACGCTGATCAACCTTGGGCCAACATAGCAGCGAGAAGGCAGGAAGGGTCAAAGCCCCGTGGTCGTATGCAGCTAGCTAAGTGTGATCTTGTGTGGTACTTGTGGAAGCTTCTGTTGACAACGGTCAAACAAAGAACAAATAGTACCAGATCTCGGGAGATATCCGTCTGGTGCAAGATCGCAATGACTTGCATCCTAAACCTACCCAGGATTTACATTAAGATCGCTGGACGCCAGATCATTTGTGGGATAGATTGAAAGTATTTGATTAGGTACCTTCTTAGTCGACAAGGATGCATCTATCAGCAGACCCTGCATAAAGCCATCTGAGGGGATGTTGATGGGGCGCCGTTATACTAGTGCACCGGGCTGCGCCTTCGGAAGCCACCTAGGCCGCAGCATAGTCAACTGTACTCCCTCAAAGTAATTGATGACAAGAGGAAACACATGAGAATCAGCAGTAGCTTGAAGCCTGGTTCGTGGCTGAAGCCACTAGTGCAAGTATGTTAGTCGCGGTGTCACAAACTCTGCTTTCGTCACATCAGTCTCCGCATTCGAAAACCGCGGTAACGGGATTGTACTCGTGTCTTCGTCATCAGGACTTTGTCAGAACAATCATGATCCAGGTCATCAGCATCTAAGGCGGGGCATGCACAGCATCTGAGAATGGCCTGAACGATTTGACTTAACAACTTGATTATGCACTGATGCTACTAGCTGCGAGAGCTGGAAGAATCTCTGCCACATTTACAGCAACCACCATCATAAGTTCGTAAGAAAAGAAGGAGGGAAATCATCAACCTCTATCAATGCGCAAATGCCTCAGATAACAATGCAAAATGCTCATGAGAACCCGCTATGAAAGCAACAGCTTAACCGCTGGGGTTGCCGTTGAAGGCAAGGTAGTTCTTGGTGCTGGAGGGAAGACCAGTGATCTTGTTCCTCAGCGAAAGAGCAGTGAGGCGGGAAGAGAGAGCGGCAGGGGTCTTCTTGCCCTCGAGACCTAGGATATAGGCACCGAGACCAGCAACGTGGGGAGTGGCCATGGAGGTACCGGAGATGGTGTTCTTTGTGATATTAGCTTTTGATTTAAACGTCCACATAAATGGTTGAACTTACAGTGCCGCCGTTGAGCCAGGTGGAGAGAATGGATACACCGGGAGCAAGGATGTCAACAATGGAACCGTAGTTGGAGAAGGAGGCGAGACGGTCTGAGCTGTCGGTGGCACCAACAGTGTAGACAGTGGGTTCCGATGCAGGCGAGGAGTTGGCAGCATCTTGAGCCTCGTTACCGGCAGCAACAGCCATGAAGACACCAGCGGTGACAGCGTTGGCTGCAGCAGTGTTGACAGCGGTAGAACGGGATCCACCAAGAGACATGTTAGCAACAGCACCGTTGGGGCAGCTGCGGGTCTTGACATCATTGGCGACGTAGTTGATTCCGGCAATGACACCTGAGTTGGTACCCTTCAAATGGTTAGCAAGGCATTTGCACTGTGAAACGCATATCTACTTACAGAACCACTAGCGTCGAGGACCTTGACAGCGTAAAGCTTAGTCTTCTTGGCTACACCGTAGGTCTTGGATCCAATGGTACCGGCGCAGTGGGTGCCGTGACCGTTGCCATCGGTGTTTGAGCCATCGCCAGCGTAGTTGGCGAGGAAAGTAGCACGGCCCTCAAACTCGGGGTGGGTAGTGGAAATACCAGTGTCAATGACATAGGCGCAAGTACCAGCGCCGGCAGAGTCATCGTAGGTGTAGGAGCTGATACCCCTGGCCTGGTGGGAGATACGACCAAGACCCCAGGTAGAAGAAGACTGAGTTACGTAGGCCTTCTTCTCGAGGTGCACCTCGCCCAGGTTGGCCTTAACAACGGCATCCTGCTCTATGTAGTCAACCTATATCATGTCAGTACTCTGAAAGTCATTTCCAGGGCCGATGAACTTACACCGGGCAGGTTCTGAAGCAGCTCAACAATGTCATCAGCGATATCAGCAGTGAAACCGCCGAAGCCGGCGAACTTGTAGACATGGACAGGGTCCTTCTTGAGAACCTTCAAGGCAGCATCGATCAGTGCCTGGAGGTTCTCATTCTTCATCTTGACGATGTATCTCCCGGGAATAGGACTGCCAGCACGGGGAACGATGACCGGGGCGGGAAGGGCAAGAGCCACGGGCAGAAGTGCGAGAAGAAGTGAGAGCTTCATGTTGGCGGATTGATCGAAGAATGAGATCGTTGGAGCGAAAGACGAAGAAGACTGCTGATGATGGGCTGAGTGTTGCTGTGCTCGTGGCCTGGTGATATGGAAGGGCGTCTGATACCTCTTATATAGATCCCTTTGACAGCCTGGTGTTGAGACGAAATGGCAGCAGGCAAATGCACCTTCCAATTAGGATTAGCAACCACCGACCAAGCGATCTCGTGCCATGCCGACATACCTAGAGCAACGGTACAAGGTGTTGTTGGTCGCTAGAATGGCTTGAGATGGCGTTTGTACACGTTCGATACCTTATTGGGTAGGTGCTACAGTGTGTTCCGGCACTACTACCAAGGTTGCTTCCAAGACACCGGAGTAGTGGTAATGGAACGGGCGGAAAGTCTTAGAGAAGGAGGAGGATACTGTGAGGAGCGGGTCAGATGCGCAGCTCTTGGCATGATGCACTTTAGATTAACATGCTTACTAGTTTAGGGATGTGAATAACGTCGCGTAGAGATTCAACGTAGAAAGCCTGCACGATGGCGCGATTGGACGAGGGTGGATTGATCTGCAGCCCCTTGTGAGAATCCTGATAACGGCGTAGACGCGATGAGAGGGCTGGTGTCGAGCCAAATGTCAAATGAAGCTGTTTCATGCAGTATCGATGCCCGGGATTCATCAGGTGTGTCCTACAGGATTTGTCTGTGGGTCGCAGTTCCACAGGTCCTATTCGACTCGGGCATCGCTCGCTTACCCATCTCGGATCAAGTGAGCCAGCATGATCTGTGTTCCTTTGGTATCCCTGGGCCTCTGTCCCAAGGGTACGGGACGAGCCGCCACTGTGTTGGTAGGCTGTATGTATGTGCACTCATATGCCGACGCAACCTACAATTAGTTACTGTACAAACAGCAATAATACAGAGGGATCATCGAACTGGATCTACGATTGGCGGGAGCCAGAATTGGTCGACACAACGACATGGACGAGAAGAGTGGGTTAGGGATATTGTCGGAAAGCATTTGGGTATATCGTTACCTTCAGCCTTGTATCCTTTCCCATAGCTGCATGGATGTCCAATCTCCCTAAAGTGGATCACCAATAGAACTAGGCCCAATTACAACGAAGTTGTTTGCGTCTTTGACTTCTCGGCAGCTGGGTGAATTGCTCCTATACCGATTCCATCTCAGGCGGCAAAGGGACGTGATTTTGATCCAAACCAATCAGATACGCGATCTTAACTTTATTTAGCGGGCTTGGCGTGACCGGCAGTGTAGCCATCCTATCACGGCGCTATCCGGCAGCACTGCATCGTGGCATCATGCTTTTTTCTAGTCCTGGAATGCCTAAACGTATTGAACATGCAGTGCTCAACTGTTGTGATCTGCAACAGCGACAGCGCCCCCATCCGCTGGCTATCCAAGGCCCGCTAGTAGTGAGCTTAAAATCACGTAGCTGCTGAAACCACCTCCTTCTTTAGGAATTAGCACGACGCAGACCAATATAGTCAACCTGGTCCTTAGCCACACCTCAGATAAGACGACAACAGGATAGGAGAAATGGGCGAATGGTGAGCCACGATATGTTGGGTAGCGTTCTTGCATGCGGAATGATGCGATCGCCTTGGAAAGTTGTCATGTCCCACGCTGGTCGCGTGCAAGGCCCTTGTTCGTTCCGAGCGGGTTTAGGCCAGAGCCAGAAACAGTAGAGGCACGAGGTCTAGACAGCCAGCCCACATAACGGTGAGACTACGAGTCCAAGGAAAGTACGGCGGAGAGGCGAGATTCCAAGCCCCTTCATAGCGACCGCGGGCCTTTGCTGAGCTGGCGCCTCTGGCTGTGTCGATCACGATGTGGCCGGCGAATGTGGGCGAGGCGAAGCGTCTCCTGCCTTTTGCGTATGGTCTCCGCTCACTAAGATGACCTACCAGCCGTCTTCGCGGCTGGCAGAACCATGAGAGGCAAAGGGGTGTGGTGTAGTGTTTTGAAGTGGTTCCCCTAAGGAACAATCGGCACCCTTCCATTCAAAGCCCGGAGGTTGATCGGTGCCGAGGTGCTGCCGTGCGCACGTGTCTCACGCACGGTTCAGGCCGAACTCGCTTTCAATCTCACGGCATTCGCTGTGGTCACAACACATCACCAGCCGCCTTCGGGCAAGCCTTTCTGTCTTGCCCATCTCAGTTCGAGCACCATGGAATGGCCCATCCTTCGACGATTCGCCATGACCTTCTCTCAATAGGGAACAGCTTACTGCCCAGATGACTACTGACCATCGGGTACTGCACCACGGATGGTTAATCACATGCGAGTACATTGGAGTTCCTCATGATGCATTGGTAGCCGACCGCATGTCTGCACTTGAATGCAGTGACAAGACTCTCGAACAAATGTGGTGACAATAAGCATGTACTAACTATTGGACAACTCACCGCAAGCATGCCTAGGGACGCCAGACAATGCTCATCGAGCTGTTGGTCTACAAGCTTGGAAGATGCAAATTCACAAGTTACCCCAGCTTATGAAAATAATACGGTTGCTTTCAATCCCCGCTTAACGTATTGTGCATAGGCCACGCGATCATATCTTTGGACCGCCTTCGCACCCTTCACGATACATAGCAATTCGTACAGATGCGCACCACGTTTGATCTCCAATACTCGCTGTTCCTTCCGCCGCCCTAGTCACTCGAGCGGTTAGCCCCCCAAGCATGATCTCCCGTGATCTCCTCGTATCTCAGACCCTGCGACGATCTCATGCGGGAGATATGGACCTTCCTTGAGCGTCAAAACTCCATCCGATGCCAAGAACGTAATCGCACCCAGCGCTTACTTCAGACCATGACCCCACGCCTCCGCCATGGAGTTGCTGCATGGTATTCGTTAGCTGCACGCGCGAGGAATGCTGGCTTGTGTTAGCTTACATCTTCTATATCTAAGGCGCTAAGCTATTTTCTTGGCTCAGGGATTACCTCTTATCCAGCTATCATGCAGGTACACCTGCTGACAACGCGGGCTTTACTGCTGATCGACTGTACAGCCAGCTCCTGGCCATTTCGCCGACCACACCCACAGCAACAAGCCCTCGCCTCGAAGTCCAAGGTCACCTTCCTTATCCGTCTGAATCAATAGTCGACACTCAAGAGCACCTTGTTGAGGTCAGTGTTGCGATGGCGCGATACTCGCCACATCCCAGCCATTTCTAGGTAGCTGTTCCTCTAGGCAAAGGTGAAATTTGCAAGTGATTACCTACAAGGGAGCTTGATCGAGCTGTTCAGTATTCGCAGCTGGAGGGTAATGTATGCTCCTTTTACGCTCGTCATCACAGGTTGTAGTAAAATCTGTAGGTATCGTTGCAAACTCAACGCCACGCCATCAGCATGACTGGCCACAGAACGTCCTATGTTCCGGATGTATCAATCATAGATTCTGCGCGCACGGAGAGCATGGTAGCTATTTGGTAGGATTCAAGCCTTACCTTAACTGGCGATGTGAACCGGTGGTAGCAGAAGGTGTGTCCTCCATTACGTTGGAGCCGCCCACCTCCCCATATTTTCGGTCAGGAATCGAAAGAAACGTTCCGCTCAGTTCCTAGTCGGCCAAATATACTTTTCGAGCTTCCAACTCGGGATTCATACCACTGGTGATCGGTAAGTATCGTTTTAGCCTCTCGGAGGCCATACACGTACGGTCTCTGGAAGCTCCATTGGGTTGTATAGCCACGTTCAAGGCTATACAGTGGCTGAGTTGCTCACTATATCATTGGTGGGATTAATCAACTACTTAGGCACAGCTCAGGCACGACTTGCCATCAAGTACATGGTTTGTTTGCAAGAAGCCCACACTTGTGACAGTTGTACGATGTTCTAGTCCTTTCTTACCCCGAAGCAATACTTGCGCCGATCAACGGTCATCAATTTCCTGTTCCTCATCGCCAATCCCTACCAATCTGCTTCCTCGTCTCCTCATACCTGTCTCTGCATCTCGCCTCTTCGTACCCCCAGTCTCTCGCTATTCTGATCGTCCCGGAGCACGACCTACATACTCCACCCTGCATCATGCAAGCAAGCAACCCTCTAGCGGATGCGTGTGAGCGCATATAGCGCCACCAACACAGGTCTACCTCCGTTCCTGACACGGGCCGGCCCATGTTTCTGGAAGGAGCAAAGAACCATGCTCACGTACATTATCGAAACACCTTTGCATCATGCAGAATAAGCCTCAATGAGTGCTGGACAAGCCTTGATAAGAAGGCAGATGCGGTCTTGGCGGGGTTGGCGACCTTCCGCTCCTGGAATGCATCAGCGGCTACATGTTTGAGGTACTCCAGTGTCCAGAGCACATGGTATTCAATCTGGCTGAATCAACATGAGCGGCGGCAAGCCGTACAAAGAGCAGTATCGGATTCGTAATAGTTCGAGAAGTCCTTGGATTGCAACTCACGACATCAGAAGTCAAGTAGAAGGATATTGTCATAGTCATCCAAGCTCACGCTACTTGTCCAAATAGTCTGACATTCTGGTATGCTGTACCAGCCCAGTTCTGAGTCAGACTCTCAAGCTTGGTATGTGCATACTTCTCTCGCAAGGATAGTGCGACGACAGTGTTATTATCAACATCTTCACCGACCTTCTCTCGGTCTACCTTCAAACACAAGCGCCCAATTTAGTTGTTCCAGTATACCGAACGCTCTTCTTGAACGATGTAGAGCCTCTCAACATTGCAACGCACATCTGTGGCATGGACGGTAAAGTGAGGCACTTGTTTGTTACATAGATGATTAGTGGTACTACCAGACCGGCGAAGCTCATATCATGGTGGATTTACACGCCGAACCTTTGACATGCGCCATGAGTAAAAAGGTTTCGTTATTTCCTTTATGAGTAGCCTATCTTTGAACCATGTATACTTGCTAGTCATCGTTGTGTTACTGTAAGAAGAAGGTGTAGTTTGGTCGATCGCTATGAAAAAAGAATGTCCACTTAGCGGTGCCTTTCTAGCCTAGAGTTAACACAAGGCTACGTGCTGCATATTCAAAGTCTACTTGAGTAGACGATACGGTATGGCCGAGGCGCATGTGTTGCCAAAGCATCCCCGCATCATATGAGGTCGATCGTTGTTTCTTGTGTTTTATGGTATCCGTCAAGAATACTACGCAATATGGGCGTCTTCTTATCGAAATCTGTATAGATGAGCATTCTAGAGTCTGACTCGATGGCAAAAGAACCGACGCGTTCGTAGCTCCCGCTTTGAGTCCGGCTTGGTGTAATTAAGATGGCCTGTACATATCCTTCTCCCACTGATCCGTAGCAGCAGTGGCGAAGGACAACCAGACTGGCCTCGCAACCTAGATCATCCAGGTCCCATTTTGTGGTATCGTCAAAGACCATAGTATTGTCGTATGGCTCCGACTCTGGCGGAAATATCAAGATCGGGCGACATTTCAATGTCATGGAAGCGTGAACGAGCTCGCCAGAAGGCCTTTGGTCTACAAGTAGAGTTTCAATCACAGCCATGTCGTAAACTGGTTCTGACTTTCTATTAACACGATGCTCATTGTCCATGGTGTTGAGGTTGCGCGTCCCCAGAGATGACGGGACCCACTTCCCCTTAGCCTAAGCCAGGGTCCAGCGTGACCGGGCCTTCGTACCTGCCTGTGCTCAACTTTTACGAATAGCCAAACAAACCTCAGCATGCAGTCGCTTCCTTCTCTTTCCGCCATGAAGCGGACACAATGAACTCGTCACGCGCATTCACACGGACGACGCAAAACACGTTCCGCAAACCCCTCGACTTCCTCAGCAACCTCTCGCGGAACCCGGTACAGCTCCCAAAGGACAGAAAGAGAAAGGACAGCAACGTCCACCGGCGGAACCCCAGCGTCAGCTCAATCGACGACACGGATCACTCTGACGTCGAGCTGTACGCGCAGATGGAGACGTCACGGCGGAGTCACTCGACGCAAAACTCGCAGTCGGAGCTGCAGCCTGCGGTTCCATTGATCGATATTGGGAGTCGCAGCAACAGCCCATACCCACGCATTCGAAGCGCCGCACAAAGCGAAGACGAAGACGATGAATACGAGCCCGCGAGCAGCATACGGCCGTTGGTCAGCCATGACGTGGGCAGAGGAAGCCATGCCTTTCGCGGCTTCTGGCAACAAGGCGGGCCTGGGGCTTTCTTTTTCAGCACATGGATGGGCTGGCAGGTCTGGGTCGGACTGCTCGTCTTTTGGGTTGGCGCATGTAGTTTTGGCCTACTGCTGATGAATCGCTTCATCATGTTGACGGGTGTCTACAAGTGAGGAAACCGTTGAACTGCGGGCTGGGTGGTTGCTAACAGCACTAGATTCCCATTCCCCCTCACTCAATCCTACGCCCAGCTCATCATCACGCACATCCTTCTGATCCTTGTTTCGAGCCTTCTACGCTTCTCTAGCAATCCTCTACACTTCATAGGCTTTGGTGCCGCTGTGCCGCCTTCACAGCCAGCCGCGCCCCAGGGAGGAGCATTCAGAGGCAACAAGAAGCCTGGCATATATGCCTTTGCAACATGGCTGTCGAATGGATCGGGAGGCATTGCTGGTGGAGGCCTGTTTGAGTTTGACTGGCAAATCGCGAAACAGGTGCTCCCACTTGCAGTAGTCTTTGTTGTCAAGGTGCTGCTCAGCAACTTCTCGTTTGCGTATGACACCTGCAACTCCACCACATTACTCGATACTGACATGGCATAGCTACGCGCCTCTACCAACCTACCAACTCGCCCGCATCGGCATAACCCCCCTCGCCATAGTCTTCTCCTGCATCCTCCAAAAAGAAAATGTCAACGGCAGCATCCTTTCCTCCGCCCTCGTTGCAACTCTCAACCTCTTCTTCGCCTCCTACCGCTCAAACGTCCGCGTCACCTGGGAGTCCGTCGTAGCTGGCGTCTTCTCATCCATCTTCGTCGCCCTCTATCCTATCCTCCTTCTTCGCACATACCGCAAGATTGTTGCTGGTTTGGTACCTGTAGGCGATGTGCTCACCGGATACCCCAGTGGCTCAGAAGAGCCAGGCAACAGGGAGGAGACTCGCGCTTTTTACCGCACGTTACACTACACCTCACTGGTATCCCTCATGCTCCTCACACCCATTGTGATCCTCTCCGGTGAGGTTCCTCATATCTACCACAACATTCCCTTCCTCGACGTACCTTTCTTCTGGGCCATGATGCTGTTCGGCGGCATGGGCTCGTGGGCTGTCTTCTCAGGCACATTATTGCTTGTCAAGGCAACGTCTCCCTTGACAGCGACGTTTGTGGCCGTTCCACGAAGCGCTTTCCAGCTCGTTGCTATCACTTTGTTTAAGAGCCCATCACAGACTTGGATTGGTGTTATACTATGCTGGATCAGCAGTCTGTGGTTCCTTGTTGCGAGACGGGATGAAGGGAGAAGTAGGGATCGCTTGAGATTGGAGGGCCGGTAACAGGTGCATGATGTTGGCTTGGCACATACGATCTCTTGCCGACCTTCGTGGTTCGTTTCCTCGTTTCTAGTACATAGCCTTCATACATTCATCTTGCATAGCGTAGCATCTGATACCATTATCGATTGTACCTTTTACCACATTCTCATCTTCCTATAAGCATCGTAGCTCGATATGTCAAGCTTGGTAGTCGAGGCGTGAGGTGACGCGGTTCCAGGAAGCGCTATGCTGGGTATGGATGACCATATTGAAAACGAAAGACCTATATAACAATCCCAGTGTTGCATTCTTCAACCAGTAAATGTAAGCTTGTTCATTTCCTGCTACCTTCTAGTCTATCAAAATAAGGATACCATAGTTAGCATCAAACGATCTACTGAATTTTGAGAGCTGAGCCAACACCACCATCACCCTCACCGCCACCCACACCTCCCCCTCGCCCCATCCATCCTCCTCTTCGCCTCACCAAACCGTCTCCTCGCCTCCTCAAATGCCCTCTGTGCCTCAATCACTTCTATTCTTCGTACATTGAACTCGTGTGTCGCTCTTTGCGCTGCCTGTATCCGAGGATCTATTATTCTAGGTGCTTCGTACTTGCCTCCCATGAAGTTGTCCCATACGCTGCTATTGTCAAACTGTTGGTATGTACTCGGTCGGTTCGGACACGGTGTATCTGGATCGCCGAACTCTTGTTTCAAACTGTTGAAGAGTGGGGTAAAGGAAACATTTTGAGAAGAAGTCGGCGTAGGAGTATTTATTTGAGTTGTGCGAATTGGGGGAAGACGGGCGCGGCGTTGGGTTCGGGGAGTGTTTGGGATCGTTGAGGGGGTTATAGTTTTTCGCGAATCTGGGGGCGTGAGTAATTCAGGGAAGTTGATGGAGAGTGGTGTGACGGGCTCATTGTCGTTTTCTGGAACGATATTAAGCTCTTCCTTGAAACGTTTTGCTAACTTTTCAGAGTGTTTGTCATCGTCCCTATTGCTAGTATCCATCTCGTGTCTAATCGAGTATTTCCTCTTCCTTGCCTCCTCTTCCTTGACTGGAACAGGGCCTTGCATCTCGCGGCCTCGACTCATTCTCCTTAAACTCTCACAAGCTTTTTCTGCATCGCCAACCTCCAGTATAGCAAAGATGTTTTTACTCTTGCCGCTGTGTGATCCTTCGCGGATGCGCGCCTGGAAGTAGGTATTCAAAAGGCTATGCGCACGATCTCGTTGGCCGATCGTTAGTGTGGAAAGCTCATGGACAGCTTCGAGAATTCTTGCTGGGAGACAGTTGACTGGTACCCCAGCAAGGAGCGAAGGGGGGAGAATGTCCCCGTCATGAGAGCCGTTTTGAATGAACCAGTTCTTTTGAATAGCTTGAATACGGGTGCTGATATCCAAATGGCGTTCGAAACCGGTCGAATTTGCAAGGTTCGCTAACTCCATCTTGAGTTTGGGAATGCTGGACCTTAGTCGAGGACAGATGCTGGGATGTAGATGCAGTTCACAGTGCAACGTCACGACCAGAAACACAACTTAATGGTGACTGCTAGCGAACTGCTATGCAACAAAGAGTCAGTAGCTACAAAGGTTGCGCGGTCGTTCTCGGCTTTGTCCCGAACCAGCTCTAAAGACCGGTTTCTGGTGGCTGGTGGCGCTTTGTCTCTCAGCTTCAGAACAGTGTGACATCGCTCTTGTTGTAACACAGGTCGTACCGGAGGCGAGTGTCCTTCCGTTAGAGACTTGAGACGTGTTTCGGGTTGCTCGACCGGTAGGACTGCATGCTGGATATGAAGTAGAAAGGATGCTTGTGGAATTGTAAAAGTATACGAGACCGCTGTAGAGTTTGGACAAAGGTAGGAACTCGATTTGTACACCAGCGAAAAGCTAGGTCCGCATGGAGGCTTCGAGTATATTTGCTAGGGTATTCTTCGCAAGTGGGAGGACCGCGGTGTTGCCCATACTGCTTATTCACTGCTGCTGGTCGATACTGCTCTATTGAGAAAGGTCTCAACGTGCGTAGGAAGCCATGGGAAATCTGAGAGCCCATGCGACGCAGGAAACACGATGTTCTTCATATGAATGTAACGCTCTCTGTGCGATAAGATGCTGCACGATGAAGGAAAGTCGGCGGCGAGGGGGCTGGAGTGATGACGAAGGGCAAGTGGGCTTGAGACGCGTCACGTCAGGCGCGACGTGGAAAGCACTATCAATGGCACAAACGTTAAGAGGAACAAGCTCAGACAAATTTCCAATCAGTTGACTTTCGCAATTAGAATGGCATCTCCAATCATGTGAGCACTGTTCCGCAGCTCGAAATACAAAACGCGCTTGATGGAGACAAACAACAGTAAAGAGACGACTACTGAATACTAGCAATATGACGTAGCATTCTAGACATAGCATCCTGGTGCCATTGGAAAAGCCTGCAGTATGCTGCAGGATCATGTATCTCCCTGAACTCCCAACGAGCAGCCCCTCAATGGAAGCCTGCTGGCTCCCACGCAGTCCTTATTGTCTGTTACCACGAAGTATACTTCCAATCGAGCTGAAAAGGTTAGGTATACCAAACGTGCCTCGTGAAGCTTTCGGGTCGGACGTCTTTCGTGAATCGTGTTTGTATGGACAGCTGCCATTCGTACAACCGCCTTGGGTCTTCTCCCATCTACATGGAGTTTCCGATTGAGGCAGTCTTGCCTGGTTCTCTCTACCTCGTCCGGCCGTCTTGATTATGTCATCGAGAGATTGCTCAAGACGATCTTGAGAACGTTGGTTTCGAATTGGTGATTGTACTTGAAACGGCTTTCCATATTTCTCTTTCTTGTCTCTTCCTTTTGCCTGGAGGATCTCGTCGAGTGACTTTTCGATCCGGGTTTGGGAAGGCTGCTGCCCAGTGGGTGACTTTGAAGACTGCTGTGCACTGTTGCTGGAAGAACCTTGACGAAGAAAGAGAGGATCATGACTCCTCCTACACTGATCATCAGCAAAACAAGTGCCCTTCATGAAGCGCGGACATGGCTCATGAGCGTACTGGCAGTTGAGACCCTTGTTGCATCGGCCCTTGAGATTATTTTTACACGCAACTTTCTTCGATCCAATCGTAGCGCGAGGTCCCTGAATTGCATCAGATAGGATACCTTGCTGACGATTGGTGTTACCAGCCTTGATGGAAGCAATGTTGGACCCATACGATATGATGGGTTGACCGTCTTTTATAATCCTACCCATGATCGAAGGGCGTTCATGAGGACCGGTTGGTAAGGCTTCGTGATCGGGTAGGCTCATGATGTTGCTAGCTTGAGAGGCCTGGGCGCGACTCTGCCGTCCGCATTGAAACGGATTTTCCTGGGAGAGAGTGCTGGATCGTGGAGTAGGGTCAGAATCGACAATCATTTGGTCAACTTGTGAAGACTGTCGCTGCTGACCCCGTGATGTAGTATCTGTCAGAAAGAAAGGATCGTGACTGCGGATGCAATTCCCACCATATCTACAATTGCCTTTCAGCCAGAACTTGCATGCACTGTGAGGCATCATACAGCTTTTGCCCGCTGGGCAATGACCGTTCTTGTACGCTGGGCAAGCCGACTTGAAATTGCTATTTGACAACTCAAGCAATTGTGAGACGGCACCACTGCTGATATGAGCACCAAAGGTATTCGGCTGCCCTGCGATGCGTATTTCAGAGCCAGAAAAGCTGACCTGGTCGGATTTTGTCGGGTGTTGCTGTGATGAGCCAATTCCTTGGACGTCTTCCATTTGTACGCCGTTGTCTTTCGGTGCACGCTGAGGTAAAGTTTGTTCAAAAGACCCCGACTGGGCAAAAGAACTGCCAAGCGATGTGACCAATGAGCTCTGAGGCTGGTAAATACTACTGTTGGCGGTCTGGTTACTACTGAGCGACGAGTCCATTGACGCGCTGAGCTGCACAGAATCGATTGGTAACAATGGTGTCGAGGCAAGTTTCGGCTGCGTTTTCTGTGCCTGAAGGCCAGCTAGACCGTCTATTCTGGCGTTTAGTCTTTTTATATCAGTCGTGTTGAGTGAGATTTGGTCCTGATACGATTTCTCGCGCTCAGCTAGGGCTGCGGCCTCTGAATGTTTCTTCGCAATTTCCTGAGCGCGTTCCTTCATGACGGCCAACTCGAGCGATTTGACGTCCTTCTTCATTTTTGTCTGCTCGGCTTCGATCTTTTGTAGCTTTTCAGCGCGGACTTGCTCCTGCTGACGAGCTTGTTCTTCCTTCTCCAGATGCTGTCGTCTGGCCTTTTGCTCTCGGTACTCTGCCATTTCCTGTGCGTTAGGACCGATGCTGGTCTTGACAACTTTATCCTCGGTTACTTGCTGCAGAGTTTCTTTCACTGCGTTGACAAGTTCAGAAGGAAAAATCGAGGTGTCAAGGCTTGCGGGAAGGAATGTAAGCCAACCCTCGATGTCGTCAATTTCGGTGACAAGATGGCGGAGGAAATGGTAAGGTCGTGAGTATTCTATCAGATTGCGGAGGGCCCGGAGGCGATGCAGTGGCAACGGTAGTGGTAGGTACGGCAAGATCGTGCGCCATCTTTCTCCTTCAGCGAGAGCTTTATGTAAACCATAGAGACACTCGCGGACCTCAGCAATGGAGTCTTCGTCTCTACTGAGCATGATCTTGTCGATGACCATCATGTCGCGTCGTACGTGCTCGTAGTGCTTCGCGAAATCCTTGACAAGCTCTTTTTTCTCTTCGTTGTTTCGCGGGAGAAGCAGTACAAGACGAGGAACCATGTGACGGGCTACTGCGTCTTGCTTGATGGCTCCTTTCAACGCGGCGTGACTGAACATCTCGACCAAATCCTCTCGCCAGTCGTTCGCAACGTCGATTGTATATTGTTGAAGGCCAGCCTCGTGTAAGCGCACCTTGTACGCGCTGAAACACATCTCTGCCATGTACTGGTAGATGTTAGAGATAAGAAGAGCAGTCGTATCGACAGATCTACCTTGGGGTTATATTTGTCCTTATTGTCGCGGCTCTTTATTGAGCGCACTGATGAGGAAGTCACATCACGTTCAGCCTAAGCATCGGCATCAGTGAACGAGAACGTAGGAGAATATACGATCGTGAGTAACTTACGGATTCTACATCGTTGCTTGTGGATATTCGCTTCCTTTTTCCACCAGCTAGGGGACGAGCGTAGGTCTGGTAGCTGGCGCGATTGGCAGTGTGGAAGTGAGCCATTACGATAGTCGAGAAGGAGTAGTTGGATGGATCCGATTGTGTCGTTCCGTTTATGGATTGATATCTTTCGTGCCAAGACACATGAGGACCTAGTCTGGAGGACAGAGATGATCGATAGAAAAGGATCAGGTACGTAGCAGTGGGTTGGGTGTCTGAGTTTTGTTGGTTTGCATACTCTCTTCTTGTTCAACAAGTTTGGGCTATTTGACAAGTCGCTAGGCCACATTGAGGAGTCAAGTGAGCGTTCTGAATAGTTTTGCGTGTAGAGGGAAAGGCTGATCAGTACCTACGAGTAGTGTGGGGTCTGTGCAAAGTGAATGTGGATGATGTCGAGACAAAGACGCAGGTTGAAAGACAATGACAAGGGGCAATCGAGAACAACAGATCAAGGGGAGGTACCAGCGATTCATCTTGCCCTACAGTGTCCATAAGGCAGATGCTCCAGCCTAAGTCATGGTGCACCGAAGCAGCAAGATTGGTGACGGCTGTGCTGTACGTACAGCCCATCGTGACGAAGCTCAAACATTACGACACAGGAAAGTACGCAGGGTAGTTGTTTATTTCCGGTGATAGTAGAAGCAGATGAGAAGACTTTGAGTTGATCAAGATGATGGAAAATAAACAAGATATAGCAACCTGAAAGATATGAGCCGCAAAGAAACAGATTTCCTGGCTACACCTGAGTAGTGCGGCCCACATGTCTATCTCATAGGTGTTGCATAGCACGGTTATTTGCATGAAGCGGCTGCAATGGCCTGATGCCGGTTATTCCCATTATTCCCGAGTCTTGTTTCTTTTTCTGTGGTTTCGTCACGATAGGCGTTGTGGCAAAAACGCATACCTATGCTCTCAAGACAGCAAAACACAGTAAAATGAAATGAAGGGAGAGAACAAGCAGATGGCGAGAATGGTGAGCAAAGAGACGGCCCGGATGAGCTTACGATGAATAGTGACAGAGTTTGGAAAGAGACATGGTCATGGTATTCGGATGGCTTGGCGATGCGATGCTGGTCTAGCGCGAAATGACAGGCACGGGATGCGGAGAGCTGACCGCGACGGCAAGGGCGACTGAGGCAGGTCGCTCATTCTTCAGTCGATGTTTGGACACATGCATCGCGACAATGCGCAATCCTGTCGCGTGTGTTTCTTGTCGGTCAGCCAAGCAAAAGTGCATCCACGAAGATAGGCCGCCGTGCGACAGGTGCAAGCAGAGTGGACGCGCGGACCGCTGCGAATTCCCAGGTGCGTGGAGCTTCTGCCATCCCCTACAGCGGCGTATTGACGGCTGTGATAGCACCAGGAACGAGTGCGATACACCGCAAGCCTAAGCGACCACGGCCATCCGAAGATGTAGGAGAGACGCCGACATCGAATAACTCGAGTACTACGGTTGTAGCGCCCCATCAGGGCCGCAATGACGCACATCTGCCGAACGGCAACAATGCCGCACAACAGACGTCGCCGAATACGGCATCGTCACTACTCGACGGCCTAGATCCATTCGAGCTCCTGACAGACGAGGTCAAGAACAGCTACCTGCGATGCAGTTACAAATGGAGTTTCCACCATACGCCGACCTTGCTGCGCCGGATACGCGATCGCACCTTGGAGCCATGGATGGCCTGGGCGATACTTGCGCTGGCCATCAGGTATGCTATGGCCTTGCTCATCATACACACAATCGCCAAGCTGACATCGCTTAGATTCGTCCAGAACCCGCCGTCGCCCTTCACGTCGCAGACCGAGGCCAGCAATGCGTATGCTGCCCACGCTCGCCAGATCTTGCAACAAGACCTTGAGACGCCCTCAATTAGTCGCGTGCAGGCCTTGTTGATGCTGACAGGCCACGACTGGGGAGCCGGAAACGGAAGAAGGGCATGGATATATCTAGGCATGGCAATACGCCTGGTTGAGGTTATGGACCTGACGCGTGAGACTGGCATACCGCGAAATCGCGTGCCAACACGTGAGGAGTTTATTGAGGCTGAAGTGCGTCGACGGACTGCCTGGACGTGCTTTTTAATGGACTCCCTGCTCAGTGGCGGTAAAGGGCGCAAGAGGTCATTGACTGCGGCAGACATGAAGATTCAACTACCCTGCGAGCGCGAGGACTTTGTCTTTGGAGAGCCAGTATGCACGCCGCAGCTGGACAATACACAGCGCATGCCGCCCGTGGCATTGCCCTTGGGAGAGCTTGGCATCATCGGCTATAGCATGCGTGCTGCTAACATCTGGGGTAAAGTTGCGCGTTGGGCTTGCTCTGATGAACTCAAGAGCGAACTGCCATGGGCATCCTCTTCACAATTCCAGCAGCTCATCTACGAGCTTGAGGGCTGGAAGGCCTCGCTTCCTCAGCGCTTGCAGTACGACCTCTTCACATTGCATAGTCATAATGCTGTCGAACAGGGTCAGGCGTACTGCTACATGCACTGCATACACTTCATGAGTTACATGTTCCTGCATCGCGCTTATCTACCAGTCCTTGGCCCTCAGCAAAATGGAGCGAATCCTGAGGAGACACCAAATTCCTACGATGAGCACCGGGACATGTGGAGGAAGTGGGAGAAGACTTCGCGCAAGGAGCTGTTCAAAGACTCAGTCATGGTCCTGGACATGCTAGAGGAGATGCGCACGTTCGGTGTGTATTTCCTGAGGGGCTTGGTGCCATGGATAGGCTTCACCATTTACACAGCAGTCGGCGCAATGCTGTACAGTTTCAACTTCCCAAGCGGCGACGACGATCCTCGCTGGCGGGAAAAGGCGCGTAAGAGCGTGATACAGGGCTGCAACTTTCTCAGAGAGATGAAGACACAGTGGCCTATGGCAGAAACTTGGGTGAGTGACTACAAAAGATCGAGATGAGACATGCTGACAATCCCAGTACGATACCATCCGACGCATGCAAGCGTACTATCGCTCTGTACTTGGTCAGGACGGACCGGCATCACCTGAAGAACGACAGGCCTTGCGACATGCCATGATAGACTATGGCGCGTTACAGCCTTCACCTGTACAAAAACCAGCAGGCTCACCAAGAGATGTCATCATGTCCAGCAGGTCCCCTTCGCAACAACACAACGACGTAAATTCCCAATGCCGCATCCACGAGACTCTGCTAACACACTGCAAGCGCAAACCTATGATCGTCAACCTCACCAATCCGCCCGTCACAAGCCCGTTGCCAGCCACAGCGCCCACGCCTAACAGCTACACTTCCAACTTCTCATGGAACACCCCTCCAGCGGTGGCCCCATTGGAAGCTGACGAGACTTTTAACCTTGACTCGTTCGACCTGACAAACGAGGAACTGGAGGCCATGATGATAAATGCGACACAAGACTTTTGGGCAAGCTTCCCGGGCGAAGTGGGTGTCGGGTATCAGTAATAAGTGGGATAGGGTTGGTATGGCGTTATGGTAGGGAAAAAAACGGCGAAGGGGCATGTATCATATGTAATGTATGCGATTAATTTTAATGGTTCAAGGCGAGTTTTTCGTTGCTGGTCATGACCTGCGTTGCAAACGGATCGTCGTGGCCTACCGAGCTTGACTTCTATCCTTGCCACTTCGCAGATCGATCACTTCCATTACCACCAAGAGAGGTGATCGGAAATGAGGAGCGGCATGCGACGATTGAGAAAGGCAAGATAAGGAAGATCTAGAAATGGACTGAGGCTTCCCAATCTATCATTAAAATTCCACTGAGTTATACGTACTAGGCCACCATCGAATCCTAAAAGCATTCCAAATCTTAGCAGGAAAGCTTAGCACCCATCCTAGACGGTGGTAGATGTGTACCTGACTTGTCATTTCTTTGGTCAACCTGATGCGGTGTGTACAGGGCGAAGACGGAAGTCGGCACACTGGTGGCTCGTCATGTGGGATTATAGGCAGAGGGGGATCCACGAGCTTAAATTGACGACATCTCACATCTTTTAAACGCGCTCTCCTGCTGAGAATTTCATTTATCGATGAACATCGCAAGTTACGACCTAAATGTTGTTGTTGATACAGTTGTCCTTCGGGCCTTCTTCATCTCATGGTGGCGATGTACTTATCCGGGCTAGCGCGACTCCTGGATTTGAAGAGAAGGGATTTCACGAGACCGAAAGGTTGCATCGCTGACGCTGCGCTCTCGACGTGTAGCACTTCCTATACAGCCTCTTGAGAACGCTGGGAACGCATCTTTAGCCTACGGGCGGCTCAAGTGCATCTATCGCCGGGGTGGTCTAGAGTAACCCAAGGTTTCAATTCCCGGATCATGGTCGTCGCTCACCAACATGGCACTTTCGCTCATGCCTTCTTCCAAATGGCTCAACCCTATGAAATTAAGAGTCGGATCTGCTTATGCCTGGTGATTGGATGTTGAGTATCGCAATAGCGTTGCATGTGTTTCGATTACATTGACGAAGAACACTATCACATCTTGCTTACGAGTTCACAGCAGACAAGCTTGGTGCTGTCAAGACGGCATTTGTGGCCATTCATGCCTCAGACGTTATCGTGGCGATTGCTCTGGGACCAATCTTGGCCGGCGGAACCACCGAGACATCCTCCTAATCGCTAATGCGTCGTCACCATCATCAGATATTTCCAGCGGCAAAGTCATCCACAGCTACCGTGCACTGCTTCTCCGAATACTTCCCGCTGGATCATCCATGTACATATGCCAAGGGACCGAACTTGCTGATAGTCTCATGGCAAGCATGAGATCGTCTATTCCATTGACGAAGACAACAAGGAGGTATTACCTTATCGCGACTGGCGGGCCAAGAGACTAGCTATGCTAGTACACGGAATCCAACTTGTGGATCGTACCACCAAGGCATACCCGCTCATGCAAAGAGGTTGGCCCGCAAGGTGGAAACGGCTCTGGGGATATCATCCCAAAGTTTGCAACTGCCCACTGTGCAGGACTAACTGTACCAAACAACCGGCAATCGTACCAGAGCTTGTACTTCAGGTGTTTCTATGTGGAAGTCGCTTACAGCCACAGATATCCGTCGGTCACCAATATCGTAAGGTGGCACCATTTCCCTTGCAGATCGAAACCCAACAACCTCTAGTCCTCACAACACCATTGAGCTACATTTACATCATTCTCCAAGAGCAGGTGTCTTGATACAGGCTCACTGTTGGTCAGAATGGCGACCTCGGCCTTCGCGAAGTGTGTGCTCGGAAATCGCGAAGGAGTTTGTCCCACTAGACGACATCCACAACTCGCGATATCAGTCGCAGAGATCCACCGGCGTTAATTTGGTTTGGCTTGCATGCTAGAAGTGCCAAGGTCGTTTCTTTCGAATTTCTAGGCCTGTCCGTCAGCTCTCGTGTACTGTTCTGGAAGGTGTATCAATGCACGAGCAAATTACAGGCATGGGAGAAAGGTCAGGACCCGACGCAGTGGGAAGAACTGGTTCAGCTCGTAGGTGAATATCGACGTCTGACAACCGTTGAAGTTACCCACGTTCAGGCGTGCGATGATCCTATTGGCCGACCATCCCACACACGACCACTCCACGCCCCAGCGCCACGAGGAATGCCAAGGTGAGGCCAAGAAACATAGCAATTGTCGGCATCGGCTTGATGTCTTCTTAGAGAGGTCGAGCACCAGTAGCGCTAAGCTCCGCCATCCATCACCAAGTTGCTTGAGTACGCTAGCGGGGAGATCCTGATGGCCTTGGCAGAGAATCTGCCTTCCTCCCTCTGCCTATCCAATCACAACTTCATTTCGAGCACACGTTCTCTTGGCAGGACTTCTCACGTTGCGGCCTCTGAGTGGTGGCTGCATTTTAGCTGGAGATGCAGGCTGTCGCATGTCACCCACCGGTCTGGATCTTGTCACAGATGTGAAAGGCTTTGACGCCAATACGGGCCTAATTCGCTGCAAAGGGCTACGCAAAGGGCCTATATGAATATATATATATACGTCTTACAGATGCCCTCTCTTGATATCAGCATCCCAGCTCCAGCTTCGGACCATCACTCTTTCTTACTGAGCCTACTGAGCCCCCGGAGCGTCAGTCAAGATGGCACGTCTTACACAGTACAACTATGTTTTCGCCATCGGCACATTCTTTGCCATGCTCGATGCCTACAACAACGGTGCTAGTATGTACAGACTGATACCACTACCTTGCCCTCGCACTAACACTACCCAGACGATGTTGCCAACGCATGGGCTACCTCAGTCTCTTCCCGCTCGGTTTCTTACCGCCAGGCCATGATTCTCGGTACCATCTTCGAGATGGTTGGCGCCATTACCGTTGGTGCCCGTACCGCTGAAACCATCAAGAACGGTATCATTCCTCCTACTGCCTTCAGGGGCGATGCTGGTGTTCAGATGCTCGCCTTCACCTGTGCTCTGGCTGGTGCATCCATGTGGGTCATGTGGTGCACCAAGCACTCTGCTCACGTCTCGTCCTCATACTCGCTCATCTCTTCCGTCGCTGGTGTCGGTGTCGCTGTTGCCGGCGCTGCCAACGTACAATGGGGCTGGAACAAGGGCAAGGGTCTTGGTGCCATCTTCGCTGGTCTTGGAATGGCTCCCGCTGCCTCTGCTTGCTTCGGTGCCATCATCTTCATGTTGATCAAGATGACCGTACACGTCCGCAAGAACCCCATTCCTTGGGCTATTTGGACTGCCCCCTTCTTCTTCCTCATCGCCGGAACTATCTGCACGCTCTCCATCGTCTACAAGGGATCGCCCAACCTCGGTCTGAACAAGAAGCCAGCGTGGTTTGTCGCGACCGTGACCATGTCTTGCGGTGTTGGTCTCGCTGCTCTGTCCTTCATCTTCTTCGTTCCTTACCTATACACCAAGGTTGTCAAGCGTGATCACACCGTTCGCTGGTACCACGTTTTCCAAGGCCCTCTTCTCTTTAAACGTCCTACCCCCGAAGGTGCTGAGGCTGCTGTTGTCCCTGACTACGCCGTTGTACAGGAAGACGAAGAGATGAAGAAGCCTGAGCACGGCAGCGACTCTGAAGTTGGTGTCATTAGCCACGACGGTGAGAAGGGCGCCATCAGTGCCGATGTTGCCGAGCACCAACAGCTCAGCTACAAGCAGCTCGTCGAGCAAGGCCAAGAACGCTTTCACGCTAAGCTCAGACAAAAGCGTGGACCTCTTGGCTGGGCTATGCGATACCTTCACGAGAACAAGATCCAGTCTGGTGAAATTTACGAGAAGAAGAACATGCTCATTACCCTCAAGCGCATCCCCGCCATGATCACCGTCGGCGCTCTCTACGGTGTCAACTACGATATTCACGCCGCCCAGACTGGTATCCACGGTACTCCTGAAGGCCGCCGCATGGAGCGTGTCTACAGCCACGCTAAGAAGTACTCCAACGAGGTCGAGCACACCTACTCATTCGTCCAAGTTCTCACTGCCTGCACTGCCTCATTCGCTCACGGCGCCAACGATATCGGTAACGCTGTCGGTCCCTGGGCTGTCATCTACGGTGCCTGGAACACTGGCAAGGCCGCTTCATCCAAAGCTCCCGTTCCCGTCTGGCAACTCGCTGTTCTCTCCGCTACTCTTTCTCTCGGTCTCATCACCTACGGCTACAACATCATGAAGGTCATGGGTAACAAGATCACCTACCACTCTCCCAGCAGAGGTTGCTCCATGGAGATGGGTGCCGCGCTTACTGTCCTCATCTTTTCGCAATACTCTCTGCCTGTCTCCACATCCATGTGCATTACTGGTGCCACCGTTGGTGTCGGTCTTTGCAACGGTACTCTCAAGGCGGTCAACTGGCAACGAGTTGGTCTCTTGGTCTTCTCCTGGATCATGACAATTCCCATCGCTGGTACCATTGGTGGTGTCTCCTGCGCCATTGTGCTCAACGCTCCCCACTTTGGTTAAGCGCCCATATTGGTGAAGGATGATGATACTCGTGTCCATCGGAGGTGGATGTTAGTTTGCTTGAATACCCCTGTTTCTTCTTATAGCCATAGCGATTGCGATCATGAGTTAGCATGCAATAGACTATCTTTTTGCCTTTGACGTCAATGTCCCTCGTGCTTTCATCGTTTCGATAGCGAAAGTTGAACATTTGCATGATCCTACCGAATCAGTACTTTGCTCGATCTATTCTCAATTTCCTTACGTCTACGCGACCGTCTAGGAAAAAGAAGAAGAGAAGCACATGAGTATTCGCTGTGCGCGCATTCTGAGTGCTGACCATAGCAAAAGATGCTATTTCATCCACAACTAACGCCTAACTTTTGCAAAACGACAAGATTGCTGTAAGCTAAGTACTACTCCCAGGCTTCTGGAAAACGGAATCAGTATGGAAGAAGTGCAGTAACACTTTAACCTCATTAAAGTGCCTCGTCGCGCGACAAGCCACCAAATCCATCCGGACGATTTCCACGACTACTGCCACGGCTATGGTCTCCTTGACCATCACCTCGACCGCAACCGCGACCACGACCACGAGCATCACCCCGACCTCGACCACGGTTCTGAGAGCTATGACTACGACTGCGAGCATCTTCAGGGCTTACCTGATCAGCGGCCGCATCCTATTCTTCAGCACGCTCGCGAGTGACATGATGCAAGTTATTCCTGCGGTCCTGAGAAGTCAAAACTACGCCCTAGTTGCCAGCCGCAATCTGGTCTCGTCGGCCCCAGGTATCTTCATGAGTCCGATCAGAGGCTGCTTGAGGCGATTGCTGATTCAGAGTCTTGTCTCCGATAATGGATGCTATGGTCGAAGGCTTTGGGGTAGCCGAAGCGGCTGGAAGAGGGTTTGAAGATCCGAACGGTAAGTATGGAGTTGATAGGGCTGAGGCAACCGGTGCTTGAGCAGGTGGAGACCCGAAAGGCACGTACAGAGCCTTCGCAGTTAGAGGAACTGTCGATCTGGCGATTCTAGGTCGCTCCGGAGAGTTGGCGTTGGCATCTGGCACAGAAGCTTCTGGATTCATGATACGATCGAGAACGTCTACTTAGCGTTAGTAAACATAGAATATATCAATCATGAATGTAGCTGACAAGCCCGACAAGCACAAACGCGTCTGTGATCTTCAAGGTACTCAAAGTTGTCTTGACTTACCTTGGGTCAGATTTCTGAAGATTTGCACAGTTACACTCTGTCCCTGGATTATCCCGCCACTCAAATTCTTAACAGCCCAACCACGGCCCTTAGTATTTTGCATGAGAACAAGCGCAGAAATCATCCAGTTACCTCCAATCTGGGTTCGATCAATACTCGGGACAATACTTTTGGAGAAATGTCATGACAGCATCGTTGTCGGCCTCAGTCGGCAGATCTGTGATCAACAGCACGCGGTTTCGTGGGTCTTGCCTTTTCCGAAGATCAGGAGCAGGGACAAGATGCTTGATAGAGGCTCGGTCTGAAGGCTGCTTCCGCCGATCATGGTCTTTGTAACGTGGTCGAGAGGCCCTCATGCGCTCCATGAGAACTAGACGAATAACCTGCTCATTGGTGTAATCTACGCGAGAGCGTTCTTCTCAGGTGCTTTCTTGTTGCTCTTGTTGGAGGCGTGCTCCTTCTTCGCGAGCGGTACCGAGAGCTAGAATATTCGAAATCATGCTATTCAGGGCTATGGAGGGGAATTCGGCCGCGGCGGAAGCAGTACCAGTATCCCTAGGCCGGGCGAAGCCTTCCTGATTGGCGTTGACTAGATCAATAGATCAGCAAAGCCCTGGCGAAGGGCTTGACCAGATATTGAACTTACAGTCGTAGTTACCAATAGGCGCGTGCCTTATGTTGACTCGGCGACCACCAATGTAGAGGTCCCTGAACTTCTCAACAACAGCTTTTCTATCCTGAACGGTTGAGAAGAGAACGTAGATTCTTGGGTTTGTCCCCAATGATGGATCGATGGTGCGAATCTGGTCGATGATGGTGTAGCCTTAGAAGAGCTGGCGAATGTCTTCCTCAGTCATGTCATAGTGTACGTCGTGCAGACACACCACGCGAGCCTTCGGAGGGGTCATATCGTAGGTGGAGTTCTCAATCTTTGCGAAGTCTCTCTAGTTGTCAATGAGTTGTCAAGAATACCGCGATACCACGTGAGAAATAGCAATAATGGAGTAACAAATCGCGGCTTCTGTAGATGTAAATAGCGCGGAGTATCTGAACGGGGAACTAAAAAGGTGTACCAGAAAAGGGTGTGTGCGAGGAGCGCAACTGACTCTTTACGTCAAGTAGTGAAAGAGTCCCTACGGCACTTGTTTCTGGTGCCAATTCGAAGCTTCCCATCGGTTCTTGACGTGAGAGAATGTACGACGGTAAGAGAGCAATAATGAGGTGAAGCAAACCACAAAGAAGGAGTGGCGACTGGTAATATAGCGTCAAGCTTATCATCCATCCTGTATGCTGTATTCGAAGTTATTTTGCGTGCTTTCATTGAACCGAAAGGTGAAGTATAAAGGGATTGCGGGCATCTAGGAACTTTATCCCCATAGCCGCCATTCCAGAAGACTTTGAGAGTTTGACATAACAGAGATAGTGATTCAGTTATGAGAGGAAATGGGTTGGACATTAGCACACAAAGTTGTAAGAAGCTACGCATGACCGAAAAAGTGAGAGAAACCATTTAGAGCTGTACGGAAAGATATGTACACAGTGTGCTGCAATCGAAGATGAAGCTAATGTGATCTTGAGAAATGCAAGAGCGTCCGAGCCGTGGAAGTTCGTAGATCCTGCTGGTCGAGAGGCAGACTAGCGCCAGGCTCGTGCACACGTGCTGACGACGCATCAGTTTCGCGTTTGACATCATTTTCAACGTGTTGGATCTACGCGTTCCAAGCTCCGTGTATCAATCGCATGCGAAATTCTTCTATTGAGTTATTGTATCTATATAACAAACGTCTACTGCGCTCCGTGTACAAACAGCCTCTTGCCTTGCACCTCCTGGTACTGCTTCTCGCCAGGCTCTCCCGCGCGTCCACCAAAGACCAACTGGCCCCTGAGCTTCCATCCAAGAGGGATGTCCCACTCCTGTGAGGCCTTCTGGTCGATGATGGGGTTGTAGTGCTGGAGGTTGGCACCGAAACCCTCAGCCTCTAGAGCTACCCAAAGAGCGTACTGGTGCATGGCGTTGGTGTGTTCAGACCAGTCACCGAAGTGGTGGGCGTAAAGAGCTGCGATGAATATAAGCATGAGCTGAGGAAACGTGCTCGGGGTTACTCACGGAAAGCTTTGCGGAGGCCCTCGACGGGTTCAGGGTCCTCGTAGCACAGAATCTGCAAATATGTTTTAGATGGCGCCCGACAAACACAAGGTGTGCACTTACGGTTCCCTTAGCAGCTCCGAATCCCTTGACCTTTTGCTCGGTCTTGGGGAACTGGTCCTCAGGAGTAAGAGGCTTCAAGACCTCAAGGACGAAGTCCCAGAACTTTTCATGGTCCTTGTTAAGGAGCACAACCAGACGGGTGCTCTGTGAGTTGAAGGATGAAGGGACGTGGAGGAGAGCCTTCTCGGCGATCTCAGCGATCTGCTTGTCGGAGATGGGTGACTCCTTGTTGAGCTGGTAGTAGGTGCGACGCTCCTTGACAGCGTCCATGAAAGACTTTTGGGAAGACATCGTGTGCGGTGTGGTTGAGAAAGTTGCAGAGTTGTGAAAGGCAGGCGTTGGAATTGGAGTTGGGGCACGTAGCGACGATGTGCTTTTGTACCCACCACCGACCCACGCACGATGCCTAGCAGCGCGGAGGCTATTTTTTACCACTTGCGCCATCGACTCGGATAGGGATAGTGTCGTAGACGTTGGAAACGTGTCGTGATTCTGGATGGCCGGCAAATGGAATACAGGCACCATCTGCTGCATCAACCAGGCAAGAAATAGGCCCATTACGAGACCCATCAATACAGAGCGTGGGACAAGGATAGCCATGACGATGACGTGATGACAACGTCGGAAATACCAACAAGTTGCGAACACCGAAATAGCTTAATCATGGTGAGTTTGCAGTCCTTAGAATTGTTTGCACGTACTCCCAAAGTGGATACGGTGTGCGGGAGTTGTATTTGCCGGGGATTTTCAATCCATCAGTCAGCCGCGCATTGTGGCGCGCATGAATTCCGCATGTGGGGTCCCGATCAGATCATATCGCTCATCCGACATCCGAATTGCAAAGCTACGTGACAACGAAAGACGAAACAATATAGCAGGAGCACTATTCCATTATTACTGATGCTTCTTCCTCTAGGTGATGCACTCTAGATAAGACACATTGAATAGCATCAAGGTGAAGCTTCAAACCTGTAGCATCCATACCGCAAGCCATGCGATACCATCGGTCACAATGCTTGGTCAATCTTCTATCATATTAGCAGCCGAAGGGCTCCTACCGAAAGAAGCAAACATGGCTATGCGAAGGCACGAAAGTGATTATACCTTTACATAGGATAAGCCAACAGCATCAGCTTAGATATCGCGATGTTCGCGATGCGCAATCGGCTCGCGACTGTTCATCTTCTCCGCCGTGTCTAGTGAGGATACACCAGCGCGGTCTTCAAACAGGCTATGTGGAACCCATTTCTTCGATGTGCGTGGGGTCGTCTCCTCAAGCATGCGATCGACTTGCTCGAGGGATAAACCCTTAGTCTCAGGCACCAAGAAGTACGCAAAGAGAACGCAGACAGTGCATGTAGCACCCCAAACGAAGAAAACTTTAGCCTTCATATTCCCGTAGGTCTCGTCAACCATATAGGGGGTGATGAAGCCGATGACAAAGTTCCAGAACCACTGCTAAGTTAGCAACCAATTGGTAATTGTTAGGGGATCTGCGTTACCTACATTGCTGACTGTTGAAAGAGCGACGCCCTTGGCACGTATGGGGACAGGAAAGATTTCGCCTATCAGAACCCAAGCACCTGGACCCCAGGTCGATGCAAAGGAGAAGATGTAGATGCAGGTAAAGACGATGAGGCACAACCCAGCCGCCTTGCTGCCTTCGTCAACCGTACCGACAATGGCGATAATGAATTCACAGACGAGCATACCGACAGCGCCATAGATTAGGAGCGCGCGCCGGCCGAACTTCTCGATGGTCCAAAATGAGATGGGTGTGGAGCAAACATTGACGGCGGTCGTGATCATAGAAACCAGGAAGGCATTCTGTATGCCGACTGTCTTGAAGAAAGTAGAGCCGTAGTAGAAGACTATTGCGATATGTTAGTGCTGGAAAAGTATGCTTGTAGATGTGTAAGTCACTTACCGAAATTCACGCCAGTCCACTGCTGCATCATTTGGAGTGCCATTCCGAGGACTACACGGCGGAGATTGCTAGATGGCTTCCATCCACCACAAAAGCAATCGGCCCAGTCCGCTTGCATATGCCTCTCGTATTCATGATTAGCGATGAGCTCATTAAGCTCATCCCTGACATATTCCGAGTTGGCAGCCTGCCCACGTAAGGTACCAAGAGCACGAGCCGCATCTTCACGGCGACCTTTCTTGACATACCAACGGGGTGATTCAGGTAGTAAGAAGAGGCCAACGCCGAGGACAGTCGCAAATAGCCACTGCAATCCAATAGGGGTACGATACGCACTAGAGTCCATGCGGTCCTTGGTTCTGTTATCAACCACCGATGCTAGGAGCAGGCCGATGGTGATGCAGAACTGATATCCTGATACGATGGCTCCACGAAAGCGCTTAGGTGCAACCTCAGACATATATAGGATGATGACAGCGGAGACAAATCCGATTCAAAAACCTGCGATCAGACGACCCGGAACCAAGACGCCTACGCTCGAAGCAGCCACCTGTAATACGACACCAAGCGAGAAGATGGCGCACCCGGTGATGATAGTGGCGCGACGGCCGATCCAGTCTGCTATGGACCCCGCGGTAAGAGCTCCGAAGAAAGTACCAGCAGAGAGAATAGACACGATGAGAGACTTCTCCCATGTTTTGTAAAGGTGGCCGTTATAAGCTTCTTCACTGGCGGAAGGTCCTAGTGGTGACGTTAATGTCAAAGCACGAGAGTCTGCGTGAGGTCGACTTTACCTCCAAACTGCTGCTTAAAGTAGTCCATGCCTAATATTCCATTGATATAGCCCGAGTCATAGCCGACAAGGATACCACCAAACGCGGCGAAGACGCACATGAGGTAACCTCGTACTGTGATCGGCGCTTCGATTCGGTCGTGCGCAGCAGCGCCTTTGCTGGAGGAAGTCCAGGGAGCCATATCTTGCGGTTCCCTAGCTGTCTCTGATGGGTTCAGAGATTATATTGTGATAGAATGTAGTTGCATGGAAGTTGGAGTGAGAATGAGCGTGCAAGAGCTGGACAGGAATCATATCCGTGCGCAGAGCGTTTGTATCGTGACGAAGATCGATGAGCAGACGAAAAGTGGCCAATGTTCATGCTAGCAGGTGTACGCGTGAGCCAAGTGAAGGTGCAGTGCCAACGTTCGTGGACTACCGCATTTGGCGAACGAAGAACACTTTCTTCGCAGTAACTAGTGGCTATTACAAAATGAAATTCGAGACATTATGATAATCTACACTGGAATCTCGCACACATACTAGACCAATCACACGATTTGACGACTCAAGAACGCCTCACTCCATGACGTGTGGCATCTTCGTAACTCGGCGGCGGCTCTTCTGTACCGACCCTCTCTGCATCCATACTTGGGCGTCTGATTTCATATTGTGGAACGCTTGGTTGCTCTCGACGAGCTTCATCAAGCGCCCGCTGAGCCTCTTCGCGTTTGTTCTGGGTCTTATTTTGCCGCTCTCGGGTCGTCATTGGCGGCGGTGGAGCAGATGACGAAGAGCCATATATAGCTTCGTGTTGCTACAACAGCTGGTCAGCTGGCAGTATGGCGTTTCATACAGATAGGAAACATACAGCAATAGCCTTCTTCTCCTTTCTTTCGAGCCTCTTCTCGGAGATAGTACGTCCCAGTTTCTCAGCACCAAGGCCAATACTGACTGCGATGAGACCAGCCTGTACCACGTCAGTTGTTTGTCTAGCACCACTGGTGCCTTGTAATCATACCATGGTGGACCGTTGAGATGAACTATACGTGCCGATGGTGTTCGACTGAGCCTGTACGGGACGTGTTTTACAACAGGTTCGTCTTGGTGGCGAATACAACAGTTGTTGTTCAGAACGTTGCTGGCGGTTCTTTCTGCAACACATTGTAAGCGGTGTGTATTCGAAAACGTTTGCAACTTTGAAAGCCAAATTGTATTATAAAGCTTCGGGGAGGTGATGCTCCTTTCCCATCGTGGTTTACTTACCTTTATAGACTTCTTTACAGTGCAGCCTTGATACAAACGAGTATCTGACGTAGTTGTCGGAAGAATGGCCTTTTCGGGGTGCTTGCAGCAGGAAGTAGCGCTTTTGGTTCGGTTCTCTTGATTGATGGTGTTGTTTCGCCAGAGCAATCACTTAGATTGTGCCGATGTGGTGGTAATGTTCCACTTACGGCCGCAACACAGTGACGTATGCCAGGCGTGGCGTAGCCTACATCGTTCTAATTGGTCATGGACCCTACCACGAGGCGAACCTGTTCTTAGGCGAATGCGAAACGCTGCGGTACAAACTACAATTACCGACTCTAGCGTGTCTCCGAATAATGCGACGAGACAGCAAGATAGTCTCGCTCAGAGCTGTAGCCTACCTCCAAGTTGCGCGATCTCAGTCCATCAGGCTAATCGCTGCAACGGTCTTAGCGATCTCGGGGAAGTGGCGTACATGATAGATCTGACTAGTCAGGCGTTGATCGAGACCTCGGAACATCCCCACAACGTGCTCTACTCCAGCCACACCGGCGGTGTCTATCTTGCGTTATACCGCACTGACAGTCAGTGCCAAAGCGCCATCTCCTTGGGCATGTCTGCAAGAAATTGTCGAGCGACGATAGCTCTCTGATACATGTAACAAGGCCTAGTCGTGAGGGGTGGCCATTCTGACCGGAAAGATAGCGCATAAATGGACGGGACGACGGACGTCTGATTGGGCGAACAAAGCAAAGAAGCATGGAACATGGCCTGAGTGATGAGCGAATCAGTGTCTTTCCACGTCCCAAGTGCACGGGAGATGGGTTTCTTCGGACCCCTTGGGCAGCCCCGCAACATGAATAAAGGGTCAAGATAAAGGATGGCTATTTGATGGAACTTGCTTTTGATCGAGATGTGCACCGGCATGCCGAGTGTAGATTCAGAGACGGTGATTGGCAGAGAAAGCCGACAGCGCGTCTCTGCCTGATGTAGCAGATGGCACGGATAAGCACCGTGGACAGATGTCGAGGGTCGGATAGCGTTGGGCTCACGCGCTCAGCACACAGTCGGAGCAGTGTCAGCGTTCCAAGGTTGTTGGCCCGCAGATAGGGGCCCGTCCATGAACCGTAGTTCCGTGGATCAAGCGCTGCATCTTGGGGCCGATCTCTCCCATAGGGCCCAACGCACGGCGATGATGAGGAGGAGGAGAGGCTAAACTCAGCCCTGGTTATACTCGCGGCCGCTAAGACGCGAGGGGCCAACGAGACTGCAAGCAGCCCAACGACAGCCGTGCTGCCATGGGAATCGAGTGCTGTGGGTAGCGCAGCGCGGCGTCGAGTGGTTGGAATGGGGTACCTGTGTGACGGGCGAATCCAGGACTCGCACAGTAATCAAATTAGCTCCGACGCGCCTTCCCTGGGCTCATCATCAGAGTCGTCGTCCTAGAGGCAGTCGCGCCCCGTCAACGCTATGCCGGGGGGGTTTCACTCGCCCTTCTGCCGCTTCTCCTCCCCTCCCACTGCCGCCCCATCATCGCCTGCGTCTGCCTAATGCCCACCCTCTCTGCTTGCAAATACTAGATCGCCCGCTACTGTAGTCTCCCAGGCTCGCTTCTGCCACAATTGCACCCAGATTTGGCTGCGGTTCCTGCCTCAAGCCCATTGGCCCAGTGCCAGAGCCTCGACAGCGCGCATTGCCCAGGCCCGCCGCCCGCCGCCCGCCCACGCCCACGCCCTCGACCGCTGCGGCCTGCCATCAACACTGCTGTCGACGCCCGTCCATCTGCCCTGGTCCTGCTGCCGCCTTCGCTATTACCCTCGCTACCTTCACCATCACCACCGCCATCTTCACACCTGCCGACGCGCAATTCTCTTGCGCCGCCCGCGTCCAGGCTGCCGTCGCTGCCGCGTCCTTTGTCTCTGCCACACGCCCGCCGCAACGCCTGGTAGACAAAGGCCGACATGGCCGCCCGCCCGAGTCCCAGCAGCACAAGCCCCTCGAACTTGTCCAACAGCCCATTCCCCCACGGCTCCCACGGCTCTCACAGCAGCTCCACGTCGTCGTCGCCGCCAAAGCCGTTTGCATCGCACAACACCATGACGGCCGACGTATTCGCACCATCCATGTACGCCATGCCGGGCGCCGTCGGAGAGCGCAGGCCTCTCGAGAAGGGCCCCACAAACAACGCGCGTTACTCTATTCTATTGCGCAGGCTTCCGAGCAGCAGCGATCGCGATGCCGTGCGCAACATTCTGCTATTCGCAAAAGACCTCATCGACTGCGAAATCCTCCCACCACCCAGGAATGCCGACGACAAGGGATTCGCCTCTGCCATTGCGCACTTCCAGACGCTCGAAGGCGCCAAAGAAGCGCGTCAGCTCCTCGACGGAAAGCGCAATGCCACCAATGACGCGACGCTGGTCGTCGAGTTGACTCAGGACGCTTCGCCTGGCGCAATCGGCTCGCGCCGCAACACAGTTGACAGCACACCTGCGCGGCAAGCGACAGGCAACGGCATCATGACCGGCGCTACAACCAACGCCCGGCAATCATCGCGATACAACGGTACCTTCCAAAACATGGAGAACATGTCCCCACCCAACGGGACCCCAGGTCTTGGCAACGGAGAGTTCCCGGTCAACAACCTTTTCTCGCCGACATCCCCCGTCAACACCTCATTCACGAGCCGCAATCTGGGCAAGTCAGTAATCAATGAAGACGCTGACGACGACGACGGCTTGCTCAACGAGTCAATTGGATACGCCACGGGCGGTCCGCCAATGCACTCCGGCATGCAGCGTCGCGCAACGAACCCTCACACCCCTTCCATTCCTATTCAGCGCTTCGGATCTCTTTCCTTGAACACAAACGGAGTGCCCAATGCCACATCCCCACCTCTATCTAACTTTGCTTCTCCACGCTCCGGATCCAATATGCAGTCGCCTGGTCCGGCCTTATCAGCCTTGTCACCACACAGCATTCCATCCGCCTTGAGCAGTGGTCCCAATACTGGCTACCAGCAATACACGCAGCACTTTGCGCGGCCAACATATCCTCCAGTGAATCCTGCTGATCAGAACCCCCCATGCAACACCCTCTATGTGGGCAATCTCCCCATGGACACGTCCGAAGACGAACTCAAGGCTGTCTTTTCCAAGCAGCGCGGGTACAAGCGACTTTGTTTCCGTACCAAGCAAAACGGTCCCATGTGCTTTGTCGAGTTTGAGGACACTTCATTTGCTACCAAGGCTCTCAACGAGCTTTATGGGTATATGCTTCACAACAGCGTCAAGGGAGGCATTCGCTTGAGCTTCTCTAAGAACCCCTTGGGTGTTCGCAGTGGCCAGAACTCAGCAATGGGCCCGCAATCTGCCATCGCCCCATCCACCCCCCTCTCGGGTTTCGGTAGTAGTGCCGCAGGTCCCCCAGGCTTCTCTACGGCCACTGGACCACCACCAGGATTGTCCGTTCCTCCAGGCCTATCGACTCCTGTGCACACCAACAATAGTTCTGGGTTTGGCATGTATTCTAACGGTGGCTTCGGGATGAGCCATAACGACATGGCCGGTGCTATGCGCCAGCCACTCGCATCCAGTGGTGCTGGGAACGGCTTCTCGGGCTATTCTACCTATATGATGGGGCGCTAGAGACACCCACCTCCATGATTGAGCGCGCGAGACACCAACCTATATCTGTTATGCCATTATGAGTAATGATTGAGGAGTTGGGGGTGCTCATCACGGAGCGTTTGCATATCCGGCCTTCATTTGTTGTTGCCACTATATCCTGTCTTTTCAATCATGGCGAGGTGTTGAGTCGTTTGGGTTGTATTTGGCTTCATTAACGCAAGGGCATGGGTACTGGCGTGGGGTGATTAGGGCTTTCATGCCCAGTGGGCGTGGCTCTCTTTGCAGCATACAGCGATGATTCCCCCTTGTGCGATTTGCTTGTTTGATCATTACACCGGAGTCTGGAGAATGGAGTGTCTCATCGTTACCATCGTACGCATTTGCTTTGGCTGTGCGCCGACCTTTACCGCTTCTTTATTTGGAACATTTGGGAACTATTCATACCGTGGTGTATGGCGAAAGTTTTGAGAACTTACTCGTCTTACCACGTGCCTTGAGATGTTCATGCAAGACGCAGGACTACGATTGTGGACCTTCAGAATGCGTTGCATGGCTAGCTGATGGGTCAAGGTTGTTAGTAGAGGGAACCTTCTATGGCGGCTCGCCGCATGTTCTTTTTGAGCTTACATTCTGTTATAGTTGGGACTTGATGCATACTGGAGTATGCATTATTCGGTCTTGACGGCATATTCCATGATAATCGTGGCTTTGTTGCTTGATATTTTTGCGTCTGCCTGGGCATTTATGTAACGGCCTCATAGTTTTGAATACCATTTTTCGGCGCAAGATATGGCGTTAAGTGTGTGGCCTTCCAATAGCATTGGTAAAAGTCAACCCTAATTACCCATTGAGTATTCTCCAGCATTCGACCACTGAACAGTGATACCAAAAAGGCATCCTGTCTAGGTGATGTTCGTGGTCTTCATGTGTGCCAAGGCGCTAACTGCCATCGCGCCTCACTAAGAATTTCCTGCGCGGTCCCCATTCTTCCTCACTCAACTCTACTACTTCCTCCGTCTAGACTCACTCACGTGTCCACGCCCCCTCTTCCCTTCCCTTTCTTTTCATCTTTGATACCCGGCGCCAATGCGGTAGCCCCTCACATTTTCAACATGCCCCCTCGGTTACGGTGTTCAAACTTTTCTACACCTGCCGCTCCATCACAAGTCACTCAGTGCTTCGCTACACGGCCACAACCCGTCTCGAGTTCTTCACGGCATTCGCGGCAATTCTCACAGACACCATGCCCACAAATAACATTGCGGCGGCGGAAGTTCTATGAGTGGCTCAATGGGCCTGGTCGGAACCTCAAGGAGCCTATACCAGACTCGACAAACTACCTAGGAGCTTACGACAAGTATGGCAATCTAGTGCGTGCTGGCCCTGGGTGGAAAAGGGACGGGGGCGCAAAGGCTGCGGCCTCGACAAAGCCAGAGCAAGCCGGCATAGAAGCCAAGGCAGAAGGGACCACAGAGGCGACTCCTGCAGGACAGGAGAACTTGGACGATCTCGAAGCAGCAATACAGTCTGGTGCAGCTGAACAAAAGGAAAACAAGAAGCCAAGTCCAAAGGAAGACGACAGTAAGCTTCCGCCTGAAACGGCAGAAGACTTACGGCCTTTCCCGCTCAATCAGTACTTCCGCAGCCAGCCAGTGCTAAGCGAAGACCTGAGGGAAGCTATTTGGCGGAGAGTTAAGAAAGACGGCGCCACAGTATCCCTTGCCAGTGTCGAGTTCGGCGTCAGCAACGAGCGTGTCGGCGCGGTGGTGCGATTGAAGCAAATGGAGAAGGAGTGGGTTGCCCAGGTATGTTTTCTCTCTTGCATCTATCCCACACAACACGACATGATGAGCTTCTTAAAAAATCGATTAGTCTTTAAGACATCCACATGGTTACAAAACTTAAGTCATGCTCTTGCTGAACGTCGTTGACTTGTTCACTCAAATATCGAGAAAGCACTGTTATACAAGCGCTAACACATGTTCAGGGCAAAACACTTGCACTTCCCTACTCCAAGGCAGTGCTCTCCATGCTTCCAACAACCCCCCACATCGACCCCTCCCTCCCTCAGAACAGAAACGTACGGCCGATTGTCCACGAGCCCATCAATGACCTGGCGGTACATCCCGCAACACGTCAGCAGCTGTTCGTGCCTGTTGCCGAGTCACGGCGCTTCACTCGAGAAGATGCTGGTAAGGCTTTTGACAACACGCTCTTGCCTGCCGATGCTCGCATTCCACACCCGGAACTTGTGCAGGCAGAACGCGAAGCTGAGATGGGGCTTTCACTAGAAAAGCGCAGAAAGCTCGCAGAGCAGCGCTTTGAATTAGAACAGGAAAAGAAGAAGAAGGAAGAGAAGCGAAAGGAAGAAGAGCTTAGGGCCATGAAAGTGGTGCCTCAGCGGAGGTGGGATTTCGTCTTCAAGGACGTCAGCGTAGAGGCTGCCGGCAGAGACGGAAGAGGAGCGGCTGCAGCTGGATGGCGGTATGGTGTGCCGCACCAGGACCGCAAGCGAGGCATTCCCAAGATTCCCACGCGGGTCGAGGCATAGTGTAGTTTTATGTGTAATGATGTATAATACATGCCTAACGAAGCCAATTCTTCAGCGGTATTGCATCTTCTGTCCACCACGCTTCTCCATCTTGGCCTGCCTCTTGCTTGCTTGTGGTTGGGGTACACCAGCTGCGTCCTGATATCCACCCCTCATGCCAGTGTACATGCCCCAAGCGGCATAGCCGCTGTAGGCGGGGATGACTGCCCACAACCACCAGGCGTAGTCGCCAAGAATAGCCGACATGGTGATGCAGCCATAGGTCCAGTAAACAACATCCCACATGTACTCGGTCAAGCCCTTTGCATCGAGGTCCTCGCCAGCTCGCTGCACGCCGCCATCGGCAGTAAGGGTGGGGCGGGAGAGTCGCTCGAAGTAGAGCTCGATGAGGAGCTGGGGAGCCGAGAGGAGAACATAGACGAGCAGCGATTTACGTGATAGAGAGGCACGGAAAATCAGCGCACGCAGGAGCCACCAGAGGCCGTGGACGGCAAGCGTTGTGTAAAGGGTTTGGTTGAGGCGCTTGGTGTTGGAGGCGGCCAACGTCTTGGTAGCTTTCTAAGAGGAATCGTCAGTGAGTGGTGCATGCAGATGGCGGGTAGGCGGGACTACGAACCTTTGCCATGGTGAAGGTGGGATCGATGGATGGCTGGCTGTCGGGGCTGGGCTAGCTGGCTGGCTGCAGATGTGTACAAAAGACGTAGGTGGAGCATTGTTTTGCTGCATTGCTTGGCGTCGATAGCGCGTAAACCAACAACCTTGACCGCGTTGCCCTCGCCTGCCCGCAACACCATCACAACCCCAGCCCCAGCCGCCATAGCCAACGCCGCATGGACTATGAGCGCACCGTATTGAGGATCCGTTTTCTGTCGTCGCCGTCGTCAAGCAAGCATGTCAGCACCCCCAGGCGTCAATGCCCAACTGCGCCAGCTCGTACACTACCACCTGGACAACGGCTTCACTGAAAACGCTCTGTTCCTTGCCGGCCGCCTGCACGCCCTCGATCCCCGCAGCCCAGACGCCGCCCACCTACTTGCCCTTTGTAACCTCCGTCTGGGACGATACAAGCAGGCCTTGGACGATGCGCGGTCAAAGAATGCCCATACACAACATCTGGGATGCGCCTACATCTTCGCCCAAGCCTGTCTTGCCCTCGGTCGCTATGAGCAGGGAGCCCAAGCCTTGGACAAGGTGCGCGGCCTGTGGGCAGGACGCAACCACTGGAGTAAGGAGTTACCGTAGTCGTCGCCAGTGCCCTTCACTAACAACAGCCCAGACAAGCATTCCGAGACATCGAGACGACATGTGCCCGACGCCGCCGCTTGTTACTGCATGCTGGGCAAGCTGTACGCAGCACACGGCGACTCCAAAAAGGCCATTGATTATTTTGTCGACGCGCTCAAGATCAACTCTTTCATGTGGGACGCCTTTACCGGCCTCTGCGATATTGGCGCCGTCGTCCGCCCCCACAACGTTTTCAAGATCACGCCCGATATGCTTCCCCCCGTTTCTGCCTCAAACACCTTCCAGTCCAGGTTGAACGGCCGCAGCGCACAGCAAAACTCCTACCAAGATTCCGAAAACCCCTTTGGCAACGGCCAGAACATCCGCGATGATCCTGCTATCATGGGAGAGGCTGGCGGTCCAGTTCAGTCACGCCCCGTCACGTCGAGAGCCCGCACCAAGACGAACCCCGAGGTCGACCAAACGGATATCCCGCGGCCTGTGTACCAGAACGGCCATAAGAGAACCGTGTCTGGACATTCTCTGCAGCAACCGCAGCCGCAATCGCAATCGCAATCCCACCCACAACCACCATCACAATCCCACCCGCAATCTCAATCTCAGTCACAACTGTTCGATCCGACGGCAGCGCCCCCACGACGCAGTGTACGGCTGTTGAACTCCATTACTCAGATTCGGCCCACCCGGCCAGGAACTACATCAAGCAGAGAAACCAGGGAAATGGAGTCGAAAGAGCGACGTGAGTTACGGAAAGCCAGAGCAGCGGCTCCTAAGCCCCGCTCAACGACTGGCTCGACTGTAGGCAGGGTTGTTAGTGGCAACAGGAAACCGCAGGTCGATACTTCCGAGCCCTCAAAGCCGCAGAGCAGGCCGACAAGTATGATCGAAACAGCTGTTGCGCCGCCGCCCAAGATGGCCGCTCCGCCCATAGACACTTCTCGCGATAAGGAGCGGGAACGGGACGCCTTGATCTGGCTGCTTGATCTCCTCCTCAAGATAGGTTCTGGCTACCGCCATCTTAGTCGCTATGACGCAACAAAGGCACTGGAAGCCTTTGGAGTCGTGCCCAAACCACAACGGGAGACGCCTTGGGTCCTGGCGCACATTGGCAAGGCCCACTACGAGCGAACTCATTACGCAGAGGCAGCCAGCACGTTTCGAAAGATCCGAGAAATGGTTCCAGCCTCTCCAGAGCACATGGAAGTATATTCTAACACGCTCTGGCAGCTCAGAGACGAGGTGGCCCTGGGCCATCTTGCGCACACGCTGATGGACCAAGACCGCCTTTCCCCACAGGCTTGGTGTGCACTGGGCAACGCGAGTTCCATAAACGGGCAACATGACGAGGCTGTCAAGTGCTTTTCCCGAGCTACCCAACTGGATCCAAAGTTTGCCTATGCTTTCACCCTTCAAGGTCATGAGCATGTTGCGAATGAAGAATTTGACAAGGCAATGGCGGCCTATCGAAACGCAATCAGCGCGGACAACAGGCACTACAATGGCTGGTATGGTCTGGGGAATGTTTACGAGCGTCTGGGCAAGTATGAAGTGGCTGAGAAGCACTATCGAGCGGCAGCGGAGATCAATCAGAACAACGCCATGCTGCTTGTTCGAGTAGGATTGGTAAGCCTTCTACTCTACCTCTTTTTCTATTGGAAACTAACAATGTTGTGCAGGTCCTGGATCGCATGAAGAAGACCGAGCCCGCGTTGCTGCAGTTCGAAAACGCAATCAAAATCGAGCCGCGTTCCGTCATGGCACGTTTCCGCAAATCCCAGGTTCTGCTCAAGTTGAATGCGCCACAAGAGGCTCTACACGAGCTGCTTTATCTTAAAGATGCTGCACCAGACGACCCGAACATCCACTTCCTGCTTGGTAGGTGTTACAAGAAACTGCGAGACCGTGCGAGCGCGATCCGGCACCTTACGATTGCTATGAACTTGGACCCGAAGAGTCACGGAGTCATCAAAGAGGTCATGGAGAGTATCGATCAGGAAGACGATGGTGGTTGGAGCAGCGAGGATGAGAACTAATGTCCTTCTCTCCTTGGATCGAAACCCCTTTACGAACTGTACCCGAAATGACTCTTATCTCTACGACGCCCACCATCCTCATCCTCGTCTTTTAGCGCATACCCTTTGGTTTCTACATGTACCTTTTTTTCTTCTATACCCATCATCATGGACTCTTGCATCGTGGGCGCATTGGGAGGTACGAACAGCAAAATTATGCATTTTGGGTGGCGTTTTGGAGAGACTGACGACTTGAACGCTGCCTAATTGGGTGAGCGTGGAGATTGCATTTGTGTAGTTTTGAACGAAAGCGACCACGATGATCATACCCTGGATGACCGTTGCTGTTTTCGGTAATCACCGTCTAACCTTCTTAGAGCCGAAACACGATTTGCGTACTGTACTATATATCAAAATGCATTGGGATATTTTTACCTCTACATGCTGTTTCATCGCTCGTGTCTTTTCTGGTACTCACGTACAATCGTTTGCTCTTCTCACTTTAGCACAGCGACCAATCGCCCTCCGCTGACCTCCCTCCTCCTCATTCGATCAAGACCCGCGTTGATGCCTTCCAACCCATCAACCGTATCCACAACATCCGGTGGTACCAACAAGCCCTTGGCTAGTAACCGCTCACACCACGCACTGAGCGCTTCACCCACTTGCGGAACCTCGTGATATAGCTTGATAGGAACGCTATGCAGCACGACTCCTTTTGGTGCATCCCCTTTCGGCAGACCAGTCAAACCCACGAGATGAGATTTCTGGCCTGCGGAAGAAGCATCAAAGGGTGTGGATGGAGGGGTGGGTAGTTTGCTATCCCGTCGCTCAGAAGCTTTTATACCCTTTGTTGATTCCACCTCTGCAAGAGACGATGGTGGCGATTGTGGTGCAGGTGTTGCAAGAGCGTCGAGCAAATGCCTCGCTGTGTCCTTGCCCATGGTATCGAATCCAAAACGTGCGCCTCCTTTGCCAGTGTTTGCCTTGATGACTTGAATCGCTCTTTGTGGGTCGTATGAGTCGACAACTAGATCTGGTACGATGGCTTTGGTCAAAGACAGCCTAGACCCATGTTTCGCTGCATCGACGACCGAGATGATCTTGATACCTGCAAGACGCGCTATTTGCGTCGTGATGTTCGCACAGACTGAGCTTGCGCCCCAGATAACTAGGTAGTCTCCAGCCCCAACACGTTCTTTCAGATTAATGCCGTGCAGACACTCTTGTTGTATATCAGTTGGAAGACTACTGGGATCGAGGTTGCGTACAATATTGAGAAGATCAGGTCCGGATTCTATAACGGAAAAGTCGAGGCCCATGCATATGCCTAGTGTGAGAGCGGCGGATACAAAGGCTACGCCTAGTATACTGCCTGAGTTGAGAGATATGGCTGGAGGAAGACGGATAGTGTTGAAAGAGGATGCGACGCTGTATTCTTGAAATGCAGCTTTGCGTAGGTCGCGGTAGTCTGTTGAGGGGATGAGGACGAGGTCTCCGACTTTGATAGGGCGAGATGGTGACGAGGTGGAAGGGACTTGGACTACTGTACCAGCATATTCGCGGCCGGATATGTATGGTAAGGTAGGGATACCGAAGTTGTAGTCACTGGTTATTTGTCAATGGAAGTAGGAATAAGATGCAAGGTTTGTGCTACGTACGGCGCCTTCCAGTCGATTGGGTTAAGTCCTACTGCTTGCACTTTAACCAACAGTTCGGAATCTTGTTGGATCATCGGAACAGCGTGGTCAGTAGCGACATCGTATGGTTGACGTATCGCATGGAGCTTTAATGCTGACTGTACTGCAGGCAACTTATCATCTCCCTCTCTTTGTTGGACGTCGTCAAGTGTTTTGCGTCTTTTCGATACGGTATCTGTTGGAAACACTCCTGTAGTGCTGCACGCTCGCTTGGTCCGCAACTTCATTGTGTCTTAGTAATTTGAGTTGATTAAAGGTGACGACTTTGGTTTTGATGACAGGTGAATGCAAGACGGAGCAGAGCTGCCTTGGATGCAGATGCTTGACGTGATTTCCTCCCTCCAACTTTCTAATCTCCAACTCGCCGACCTCCAACTCCCGGATTTCCAGGTTTGCACCTTCCGGGAATACGCGCGTCGATCTTCCAAATGGGCTAGAAAACCTCCATTAATCCGCGCTTGTTGTGTAAGGCGGAGCAATGCCAGTCGCCATTGTGGGTTCGGATGGCACAATACAAGTGGTCGGCAAGTTCCCAGGTCCACCGCCCCAACATACCGTAGCGTACTGTAGTCGTGTGGAGCATAGACAGAAGGCCCTACATCGGAGATAAATATGTAGTGAGTATAGTACTTTGGGTATGGTATGATGACATCCCGCAGATAAGCGATCACGTTTGAAATCGTTCAAAGCACATCATCGCCTCTCAGAACCACGACACTTCTTCCGCACGACGCCATTCGATACAACGCGAAGATACAATCTACAGCGACAATGGCAAAAAGAGTTCGAGAAAATGGCAATGGGGATGCGAAAAATGCAAGGCCGAAAATTGGTGTGGGCAAGAAGCTAATCATCAATGCCTTCGTTGAGATGTGTAAGTCCACGTGACAACCCCTCAAGAAGCCAATAGTCCTGTGTCAATAGCAGTTCAACTGGTTAAACCTCGTCACTGGCTGATAAGTAAACTCGAATAGGTAGTGGTCATCAGTCGCCAGGCTTGTGGAGACACCCTGACGATCATTCGCATGAGTTCAACGATGTCGAGCACTGGGTAGAGCTTGCGAAGCTGCTCGAGAAAGCCAAGATCCATGGCATCTTTGTGGCCGACGTGCTTGGTGGATATGATGTTTACAACGGCAATCTTGATGCTGCAAAAACATCAGGAGCACAATGGCCAGTCAACGAGCCTTTGGCTGTTGTAAGCGCAATGGCTGCAGTGACCAAGAGCATTGGGTTCGGTGTGACTGTTTCGACAACATATGAACAGCCATACCATCTTGCTCGGAGGCTATCGACTATCGATCATCTTTCCAAGGGGAGGTAAGACAACCACGATTCCGGTCCTCTCCAGGAACTGACATTGTCTAGACTAGGTTGGAATGTAAGGAAGACTTGCTTTCTTGGCGAGTTCATAATTGACAGTGCTTACAGATCGTGACAAGCTATCTTGACTCCGCCGCACGTAATATGGGTATGAGAGAGCAATTACCGGTTAGTACCGTAACTTGATTGGAGACATGCCGCTGACAATACTCAGCACGACGAGCGCTACGCCCAGGCTGAGGAATACGTAAAGGTCATGTACAAGCTTCTGGAATCATCCTGGAGAGACGATGCGGTTGTTTTGGATCGGAAGAAGGGCGTATATACGGTGCCTGATCGAGTGCGCGAGATCAACCACGAAGGGAAGTATTTCAGTGTGCCCGGTCCTCATATTTGCCAACCTAGCCCACAACGCACACCTCTGATTCTCCAGGCGGGTGCATCGAAAGCAGGTAAGAGCTTTGCAGCTCAGAATGCAGAAGCAATCTTTGTTTCCGCTCATGCGCCGGAGGTCTGTGCAAAGAATGTCGCAGAAATTCGGCAGATTGCTTCATCACAATTCGGTCGGGATGGAAAGAACATCAAATTCCTTGCTCTTGTAACTCCTATCATCGGTCGCACCGAAGAAGAGGCCCAGGCCAAGCTTGCAGATTATCGAAAGTATGCGTCTTTGGACGGTGCGCTGGCACTATTTTGTGGTTGGACTGGGATTGACCTTGGGAAGTATGGAGACGACGAGGAACTGCGACACGTGGAGAGCAATGCTGTGCGGTCTACTGTTGAGGGCTATGCTCGCTTTTCCCCTGGAACCTCCAAATGGACGAAACACACAGTTGCAGAACACGTGAGCATCGGCGGAAATGGACCTATTCTTGTTGGTACACCATCGCAGGTGGCAGATGGACTGCAAATTTGGATTGACGAAGCTGACATCGACGGTTTTAACATGGTGAGTTATGTCCGATTCCCATGTCATAATTGACACTGATGGACACAGGCATACGCTCTCTTCCCAGGGTCCTTCAAGGACGTCATTGAGTTGTTACTTCCAGAGCTCAAAAAGCGGGGGTTATTCTGGGATGATTACGCTGTGCCCGGTGGCACTTATCGGGAAAATTTCTATGCGAAGAAGGGACAGAAGGGTCCGCTCGAGGAGCATGTGGCATCGACGTACCGCTGGAAGGCTGGAGTTGATGCTGAAGACCATATTATTCCAAAGTAAAAGTCCAATGCCATCTATACATCGTATCCACGCAAAGGTTTCAAGAAAAAGAAGAAGCCTGTCAGAAGTTCTATAGTTTCGCGTTAATAAGTAATGCACACCACAGATATACGCGACGGCTTTGGAACATGTGTTACAACATCCCATAATCTTGGGAGATGTCTTGCGCTGGGAACAAATGCCGCGGAAGCTGTATAGTCTTGGACCTACCTCGGTTTTCTTAGCTGCTACTCCAATTCCAAGGGCGGGATGTAGCGTCAACGCAGGGGAGTGATCACGACATCCATGGCGATTGACACCGCGCGATTCCGACAACGAGTGGAGAAAAGACGTGCTTACACTTCCACACGACCGGCTCTGCGGGACTGGAACAGATAGCGGATCTAATGGCGTCTTACGGCTTCGGGGTCATCAGGAGACTTAGCGATAACGAGACAGCTTACATCAGGGCTTTAAAGTCGCCATGCGGAGAAGACTTTGTGTAGTGAGAGAGTATCATTACAGAAGAGGCGAAGAACACATCCCGCAGATTACATGATGGCGCCAAGCCCTGTCTTACCCAACTCGGTCAAACCAACCCCTGCTGGGCCGGAATTAACACCATCACGACGCGTAGCACAGCTTACGGAACACCTCGTGCCATCGGGAGGCATCGAACAGGCTGGAGCTCAGACTGCCACGCCAATTCCATACCCATCTTCGAAGTTGAAGTTGAACCCGACCCGCTGCATCGATAATATAAGGAAGGTCAGCGTCGCAGTCATCGGTGCCGGCATATCTGGTCTCAATGCTGGCATCCTTTTGCCTGCCAAAGTACCGGGTATTGAATTAACCATTTTCGAGAAAAACAACGATGTCGTAAGTGTATTGCGACATTCATCTCATGAGTGAACTAACGACATACAGAGCGGCACGTGGCTTGAAAATGTCTATCCTGGTGTGCGATGTGACATTCCAGCCCATGTATACCAAGCAACATACTCACCCAATACTCAGTGGTCCGAAATCTTTGCACGAGGTGCCGAGATTCGCGACTATTGGCAGGCACAGGCTAGAAAACACGACGTCTACAGATACGTCAAGCTTCAGCATCGCGTTGACGAAGCAGAATGGGATGATACGCATTCCAATTGGCGGGTGACAGTACACAATCTCAAAGATGGGACTACATCAACGCACAGTTTTGATTTCGTCATCACCGCCATTGGCCGATTCAACCAGTGGAAGTTGCCCGATTATCCGGGCCTGGACGACTACCAAGGCCATTTGAGGCACACATCGAACTGGGATGTCTCGTTTGATCCGACAGATAAGAAAGTTGCTGTGATCGGAAATGGAGCAAGTGGTATACAGGTCGTGCCGAATCTGCAGCCCGTTGCAAAACACGTCACTCACTTCGTTCGCAATCCAACGTGGATCGCAACATCGTGGGCAGGCGACGAGCGAACTTTTGAACCTCAGCCATACACCGAGGAGCAGCGCAAAGCTTTGGAAGATCCCGAGACATATTTAGCCTTCCGGAAAGATATGGAAGATAGATACTGGAGACGATTTCGAGCCATGATCCGTGGGACGACTGAGAACCAAGGCATGCGGGAGCAATTCATTGAAGTTATGAAAAAGCGGGTAGCGAAGAAGCCCGAATTGCTTGACGGATTAATACCAGATTTCGCACCCCACTGTAGGCGACTGACACCGGGCCCTGGCTACTTGGAGTCTCTCACTGAAGACAATGTGGAACTTGTCAAGACATCCATCAAGCGTTTTACACCTGGAGGCATTGAAACGGTCGATGGCAGGACATTCGATTTTGACGCGATATTCTGCGCGACTGGTGCCAACACCGACCTCGTTCCACCATTCTCGATCAAGGCGCGAGGGATAGATCTACACGAAGCCTGGAAGCCTGGGGGTAAATGGGGATTCCCATATACATATTTTGGTCTGGCTGCGCCTGGTTTCCCCAATTTATTCTTCCTAGCTGGACCGCACGCTACTGGTCCTTCGGGTACAGTACCGCATGGCGTGGAGACTTCGCTCGCATACTTCGCGCAAGTCTTTCGCAAGGTTTCTTCGCAAGGTTACAAGTCTATAGTGCCATCTAAGGAGGCGACAGACGACTTTGTCGATTATAGTGATGCTTTCTTCCCAACTACAGTCTTGACTGACAGATGCTCGTCTTGGAACAACGGTGGAGTTGCTGGACAGCGCATCCATGGCTTGTGGCCTGGTTCAGCTGCGCATTTCACCATTGCCAGACGTGAGCCACGTTGGGAGGACTTTGAGTTCGAACGTGAACATAAGGGCAATCGCTTTGCCTACTTTGGCAATGGTTACACTGAAGCAGAGCTAGACGATTCGACTGACTTAACCTCATATCTCAGGGCTCCTGGCCAAGAAGTAGATCTTAGAGATTTGCATGAACGCTGGTGGGATGTTCCAGGTGCAGAAAAGAAGCCATAGATACTCGTCCCATATTTTAGATCAACTGAGTTTGTATCTGCTCATCTTGAGATACCCTGCTCGCGCAATAACTCGATAAGAAAGCTCCTTGGCCCACTAGCTCTCCAAACGATGATTGTATCTGTGTCAGGAATGACAGCATTAGGTTCTTAAGACAGCCTACGCTATCTGTCGCTACAGGGCACACTCATCTTCATTGCTGAACCTGTTGCTTATGGCTCACAATTCTGGAAGCCGATTGCGTGATCCCGCTATTGTTCTTATCAGGTTTCTGCGCCTGTCAACTAGGCCTTACTTCGCGCTTACGCACCAGTTCCCCACTGTTGGAGCACTTGTCCCGCAATGCATCGTCAAGTAGCTCCAAGATTGCGTGCTATCCTACCATCATGCCGCTATACGCCATGTCCGAAGTGAGACCGGGATAACATGCGATGGTGCTTCTCGTTGGGTCTGGAGCCTCTCTCAACGGCCTAGCATGATGTTTTGGGAATTCTGGGACGCGGCTCACCAGGCTTTCCGTCTGTTTGGGTTCGGGTCTTCTTGCGTGCAGGGTATACGCACATGGGTAGTTGTACTAATGCAACATAGTACGAGATAATGTTGTGCCGTGTAGTCGGTATATCTATACATCGCTTGGTAGACACATACATTCGAAAGAGCCGTGGATTCTATTCTTTCAGTATTATCGTATTACAGCAGCAAAGAGTATGGCAAACTCAGAGAACTCCATCGAGTATGGCAGCGATGAAGGAGTCGAAAAGCGAGACTACCCAGGTAAGCTCTCAGAAAGTCAGGCACGCCAATATCACTAACTCACTAAAACCAGTCAAGTGGTATCGGTCTACTTTCTTCAACATGACCATTCTTGGACTTTGCAACTTCAGTGCACCGGGTATTTGGGGAGCCATGAATAGTCTTGGTGCGGGTGGAGCGCAATCGCCACACCTTGTCAATGCAGGCAATGCGCTCACATTCTGTCTTATGGTTTTGAGCTGCTATTTTAGTAGTGTGATGGTACATTACATTGGTATCAAAGGAGCATTGATATTCGGAACGTAAGTAGAGACACCTTATGTGTGAACAACAGTTCTGATATCAGCAATAGCATCGGCTACGCTCCCTACGCGGCAGCACTTTATACGAACAACCGTTTCGGAACCGAGTGGTTTATATATCTTGGTTCCTCACTCTGCGGCATCTCAGCAGGTGTCTTTTGGATGGCCGAAGCTGCGATCGCCATTGCGTACCCGGAGCCTTGGAATAAAGGAAAGGCACTTGGCTATTGGCTCACATACCGTCTTGCTGGCCAGATACTTGGAGGGGCTATCAATCTTGGCCTTAATGCTGATCGCGATCAAGCCGGCAAAGTTACGTACACAGTGTACTTGATCTTCATCGCTCTGCAGTGCATTGGTCCGGTAGTAGGGCTATTCTTGAATCGTCCCAGTCAGGTTCAGAGAAAAGATGGCAAGAAAGTTAGCCTCGCGATCTTGGAGAATCCTTGGTTTGAAATCAAAGAGACTGGCAGGCTCTTCTTCACCAAGCGCTTCTTGCTCATCCTCCTTTGGATCGGCCAAGCTGTCTTTTCTGAAGCAGTATTCTTCACTTATCTCGCCTGTAAGTAATGGTGTATATCATCAGGAAGTATCAAGGCCGTTCATCACTGACTCGCAAACAGTATGGTTCTCCGTCCGTGCCCGCGCCCTCGGATCTTTGCTTTCCGGTATCATTGCGGTGACGACAGGAAACATACTCGGCCAGTATCTCGACCGCACCAAGATACCCCTGCGAACTCGTGCACGCAGTACCTTTTGGGTCATTGTCATTCTGCAAGGCGCCTGGTGGCTCTGGGCTACAGTGCTCGTCACTGAGTTCCGCGATTCAAGACCAACATACGACTGGCTCTCCCCTGGCTTTGGCCGCGCTTTTGCCGTCTTTATATTCTTGACTGCGGGTTTCCAGATGAACTACCTCTTCCTATACTTCATGATAGGCCAGATAGCGGTAGACGAACCCGAAGTCATTCGCTACGCCGCGTTGTTGAGAGGAACTGAGAGCGCCTGGCAAGCTGTTAGTTACGGAATCACGAGTGTGACGGTGTTTGCTGAGGTTGGAGCCGTGTACTGGAACTTCGCGCTATGGGGTGTGGCGGTCTTGCCAGCATGGTTGGTCATAAAGGAGTTTGGCACTGGAAAGGTATCAGGGGCGCAGACTGTCGAGAGCGGGTCAGAGAGCTACGATCAGCACGAAGTGGAAGAGCCTACGAAAGGTGTATTGAGTTGATGGCCGTAGTGAGTACACTAAGACATGTCAGGCCGGCTGAAGACGAAGATGGAGACTGTAGCCCTTTCGTCAGTCAAAGAGAGAAGAATAAACATAGAGTTCCGAGCTTTATGCTTTTCGCAAATGAGTTGTGAGGTTTCGCCCGGTGAGGGATGGCGAGTCCTCATACTTGTAGCACAGTACACCACCACCCTCTCTGTTCATCGTATCCAGAATCGCACAGACCTTGGCATCGTCTCCGACAAAGCCTATCCACACCGGTGTGTCTGCTGTAGTCTGTTCAACAGCATCGCGACCGGGGCCTAAGCCTTCCATGGTTCTTGGGCCGCTGATATCGGTCAGGCGGGTAGGATCGCGAAATTGCCAAAGCGTCCACATGTAGTCGAGTTGGGTATGGTGTAGCCAGAGAAGTGAATCATTAGGAGAGGAACAGATGTCTCTAATCTACGTCTTTGTCTCAGTCTGAGAGTATCGAATAGATATACGAGAGTAGTGTGAGTGTGAAGTGGCCTAGGTGGGTAGATAGATCAGAGTGAATAGCGAGCGGAGGGATACGTACATCGCCACCAACACCCATATGTCCTAGACCGTGCGGGTTGATACCTGCACTAGTGGGCATCTTATCCGCCTCATGGACAAAACTCAATCCGTCGATAAAATTCTGGAGCTGATAATAATTCTTCGCCTGCATGGTCGGCGGGTAGACTTCATCCCAATTAGCACCCCTGTCGAACATATCGACATCAACAGCGCACGTCAAGCAGCGCGGATTATCTGCCATTGACTCGACAGTTTCGATATTCAGAGGATCATCTCCGCAGAACGGGCCCCTTTGGATGCAGCCCGATGGTTCGAGACCATTGCCGCCGAAAGCCTCCAACACGGGTGAGGTCAGGATGGAGCCGTTGCCCGTCGATGCGTTATCGAGAGTCCAGTCCCAATAGGGTTGTGCGCCAGTGTAGTTGCATTCCGAGCGAAGCACAGATTCGAAGATCCAGATGGCGTAGCGGTGCCACGGAAGGAAGACACCAACCGTATGGACACCATAGAGCCCAACGTTCAGACGCGCGTTGTTAGTGGTGCAGCGCATTGGGCTCCCATGTTTCTCGCATCGTAGAGAAAATTAGCTATGCCTACACGAGCCCTCTAGATATAATGTTTCCGTTTTGGGAAAGACTTGGCAAGCATTGATGTAACCGTTTCGGAGGTTTTCTGGGTCATTGGCTTCCAAGGCCGAGGATAATTGGAGCTCTAGTTCAGGGGCGACGTTATGTGACTAGCCAAGACGTCCAGGCTCGCATGATTGCGGACCAGGTATATGATGGAACTGGTCGGGCTGTGTAAACAGTGCGTAGAGGTTTGCAAGTACATGCGGTTGTATAGATTTACTGGCAGAAGACATGCATTCTGGGTGTGATTCCCTAATGCGCGCATGCGATGCGATGCGCGGCGGGTGAACCCTGCCAAGTCTCGTCTCATCAACCAATCGGGAGGGTCGGTGGTCGCGGAATTGTCACGTCGGCCTCTGTCAGTTCTCCAGAGCTCCCCACCTCTTTCCTTCCTTATCCCTCTCCCCCACCTTTTGCTTTTACTATAAACTTCGCTACATCTCGTCCAGGCCGACAATGCCATCCCTCATGGAGCTGCTGCCTTTGGCTGTGGCGTTCGCCGCCGTAATCGGCGGCTTTCTCTGGTACAGCAGCAACAGCGGTGGAAGCCGCAAGGTGCTAAAGCCGACTGAGTTCCAAGAATTCAAGCTTTCAGAGAAGACAGTCCTCTCGCACAATACCGCCATCTACCGCCTTGAACTTCCACGCCCTACCGACATCCTTGGCCTCCCCATTGGCCAGCACATTTCTCTTGCCGCTACTATCGAGGGTCAGCCGAAAGAAGTTGTACGCTCATACACTCCCATTACATCCGACGAAGACAAGGGCCATGTCGACCTCCTCATTAAGTCATACTCCACCGGTAACATCTCTAAGCACGTCGCGGGCTTGAAGATCGGAGACACAATCAAAGTCAAGGGCCCCAAGGGCGCCATGGTCTACACACCCAACATGGTCAGGCACTTCGGTATGATTGCTGGTGGTACTGGTATTACGCCTATGCTACAAGTTGCCAAGGCTATCATGCGTGGACGCTCTACAGGTGATAAGACAGCCGTCGACCTCATTTTCGCCAACGTCAACCCCGAAGACATCCTACTCAAGGACGAGCTTGACTCGCTAGCGGCCAAGGATCCCAAGTTCAATGTCCACTACGTTCTGAACAACCCACCCGAGAACTGGACTGGTGGTACTGGCTTCGTCACTGCCGATATGATCAAGGAGAAGCTGCCATCACCTGCCAACGATGTCAAGATCCTCATTTGTGGACCGCCTCCTATGGTCGCGGCCATGAAGAAGGCGACTGAGAGTCTGGGCTACGCCAAAGCAAGGCCAGTCAGCAAGCTGGAAGATCAGGTCTTCTGCTTCTAGATGTCAGGGTTGTTACGTCACCAGGAGTATAATCTAGGAATCTACATTCCCACGAATTGATGCTGGAACAATATACCAAATTATACCTCGAATAGGCCTCGTGTTTGAAATTGCTGCAAGTCCGATGCTTTGTAGTGGTAGCCGTCTACCGCCTCGGCTATGCTGATAGGATTGCAAAACGTTGCCTCAGGCAAGTACGGTGGCCTTCGTAAGATGTGCAGTATACGCTGATGCCTGGGACCTATTCGCTTGATCACACAGATCTCATACCACTACTATAGTTTGACCGGTCCTTCACAGAAGATGGCTGTGGTGAAGTAGAAAAGTAATTCACCAATTATTATATATATGTAAACTTCTCAAGCCCAATGCAACGTCCAAAAGGTATAAACGTCCAGAGGTGTATAATCCCGACCCGGAACGCCTTGCGAAAAACAACGACAACAACAGAGACGAGTAAGAACCGGACCCGGGGTATCAAGTCCATCAGTCCTATATAAACGCCCTGGACCTGATCACAACACGAATAGTCCTCTTCCGTTTAATACCGACACCGCCCACAGCACTATCCCCATCATCTCCAGCCTTACTCTCGTCATCCGTAATTTCCACATCCATCTCTTCAACATCATGCTCATGCGGGCTACCTGCGCCTTTCTTCCCACTAAGAGCCCGTGCCAGTGTATGAAATTCCTGCTCACCCAACTCCACTGTTCCAGTAACGACAGGACGTTGTGCAAAATGCTCACTATCAACAACTCTCGTTGCAAAGTCCTCTTCTTCTTCTAACGGCGGACTCAGCTTCATGATTGGATACCGGGACCTCCATGCACCCCTCCCCTCAGAGGCCCCATCTACTACAAAAAACCCTTCTGACCACTGACACGACGGAGACCAGAGCGTAGACTGCCGAACTTGCCCTTGTCATTTGGACCGACTTCGCCCATCTCGCCCATCAGCAAGCCGATTGAACTGCCTCGTCGCGAACGCGTTTCACCGCCTGCTTCACTGCCTGGTGCACGAGGAACGCCAAGGGCGCTGTGGCGCTCGACACGTAGGTTCTTCCATCCCTCCAGCTCACGCTCAAGACGCAGGTTCTTTTCTCGTTCTTCGCGGAGTTCGCGCTCGGCACGCTTAGCGGCGAGTTGGTTCGTCGAGTCGGAGGATTGAAGATCGTCGATCGTGGCGAGGAGGTTGGAAATCTTGTCGCGTGACTTGTTGAGGTCGTCCATGACCTGGGCGTTTTGCTTGTCACGACGCTCGATTTGTGTTTGTAGGTCCTTTACGGTGCGGTCGACGTTTCGGACGCTACGAGATTCGGAGAGACGAGTGGATTCGCTGTTTTCGAGAGCTTGTTCGAGCTGGTAAGAGACGTTAGTGCTGAAAATTGAGAATTTAACATAGGGGAGTGTCAACATACTTCTTGAATACGTCCATGGAGGAACCGGACGTCCTTGCCAGCTGATCCGCTGTAGCCCTTTGTCTCAAGATCTACTAAGCGAAGCTGTAGATCCTTCAGTCCCTTCTCAACAGCTGCCTTATCCTTGTGAAGCTTCACGTTCGCTTCACGTTCAGCTACGATATCCTTTTGCAGTTCTTGAGCAAGGGCCTCTGCGCGACGCATCTTGCCTACTGCAGCGGCAGTGATGTCCTCCTGCTGTGCCAAGCCGGACTTGAGCTCCAGTAAGTCACGATCGTAAGCAGCCGCATTACGCATGGCAGGAGATTCTGAGCGAGACAGTTCGTCGAGGGCGTCTGCAGCTTCTTGGAGACGCGATTCGAGACGCTTCTTCTCCTCGATGGCAGAATCGCGCTCAGCTGCAAGGTCGTCGACGTTGGTCCGCAGGTTACGGACTTGTGACAACAGACTAACGATCTTGGACTGCGCTTCATTGTGTGCATTGGCGGCCTCGTCGCGCGAGTTGGAGATAGTTTGCAGCGTCATCTCAAGACGGCTCTTCTCCTTCGCCCAGGTTGACGAGTTGAGCAGTTCGTCATCCCACTTATTCCTCAACTCTTCAATCTCTTCCCGTAGTCGACCATTCTCTTCGCGTACGTGAATGACATTCTCGCGCTCTTGGTCGATTTCCTGGGTAAGAGATGCCAGCTCGGACTGGTACTTCTTTCGTGTCTGCTCCAGCGAAGTTTCGCTGTCCTCAACATCATGAGCGTGCTGACTTCTGTAATCTTCAAGCTCATTCTGTAGTCGTTTCTTGGCTTGCAGGGCTGTCTCCAAGTCTGTTGAGAGGTCTTCAACACGTTCGTCGTACCGCTGGACTGTTCGCTGCAGGTCCTCGACCATGCCGTCCATCTCTTTCCGCTCAGCCATGATCGTTGCGCACGTTTCTTCAGCTTCCCGAGCTTGCGACTTTGCAAATTGCTCTGCACGGGATGCTCTCAGTACGGAAATCTCTGCTTGTTCCAACTTGCTGAAGTAGTCGTCGGCCCTGCTCTTGTACAAGTTTAAGCTTGACTGTACATCAACCAAGGCCGATGTCTCGTTGTCCAATCGGATCTGGAGATCGGCAAATTCTTGGAGAAGCTGATTGTGATTTGCGTGCTCTAGCTCTCGTTCCTGAGTGATGTCTTCGAGCTCGGCGTGCATCTCGCGAAGTTCAGATTCCAATGAGAGCTTGGCCTGCTTGATGTCGTCAAAGGCGGTCTTGGCGTCGGCGAGTTCGTTGATAGCAGTGTTGTGGGCCTGTACGACCGACTTACGTGACTGCTCTTGCGCGGTCAAAAGATCGAAAAGTTGCTCGTGGGACTTCGTCTGAACCTCTTGGTACGAGAGTTGACCAGAATGAAGGCTACGCTCAAGTGAGGTAACCTTTGTGGCAGAATCATCCAGCATATCGTGTAGACGGTAGTTCTCACGCTCCAACTTCTGCACCCTTCTGACAGACGGGCTGTCTTCCTGCCAATCGTTGTTGCGCACGGGCGAGCGTCCAAGCTGATCTTGAAGGTGTTTGTTTTGCATTTCTGACATCTGCAACTGGTTTTGTACCAACTCGAGCTCGGCAGCGATGTCCATACGGTTGTTGAAAGCGACAGTATCAACTGTCCTATCAGAACGTGCGGAATCGTTCGTCGCATTGCTGATGTGGCGCTGGTTTTGGGGAGTATTTGTGATCGAGAACGGTCGCTTGTTCTCGCTGTCTTTCCGGTTGTGTGTAGGTGTTCCGCGTTGATTGACTTGGTTGCCGTTCATCTCCTCCAACAGTGCACGCTTTGAGTTGGTGTGGCGTGTATCCAGATCATGAAGCTCGCCCTCGTGCCTTTCTCGGAGCTCGTCGAGTTGAGCCTCAGCACGCGAGTATCGCTCTGATGCTACACGCAAGGCTTGGTTAGCAGCCTCGAGACGCTCAGCAATGTCCACGGTCTTCACAATGTCAGGCTTAGCGGCTTCGTAAGTAATCGCAACATCTGCCGAGTCTGGGTCAAAGACCTTGCGAAGAAGCATAAGCTGCCGATGGCACTCCTCTAACTCAGTGTTTGTGTTGTCAAGCGTTGTTTGAACAGCACGTGCACTGGCTTGAGCTTGTGTACGCAACTGGCGCTCGGTCTCAAGCTGACGGTTGACGTCTGCCAGTTGTAGATTGATGGTGGACGAGGCCTGCTCCGCATTGCGGCTTGTCTTGTGCTCCCTTGCAAGTTCGTGGTTGAGGTCTTCAAGACTTAGCGACAACTTCTCTTTCTGCTTTTCCAAAGACGCAATCGTGAGCTGCGAGTCTTCGAGCTGACGGAAGAGGCGCTTGTTCTCTTCCTCAGCTTTAGACTTCTCGTGAGTCAACTGAGTGAGTTTTACACGATGCGTGTCACTAGCTCGGGAGTTTGTTCGCGCAATGTCTAAGTTCTTTTGTTGCAGCTTGTTGAGAAGTGCCCGGTTGTCGTTCTCGGATGCCGTGAGTCTTCCTTTGATAGTGACAATCTCACGTTCTAGGCGCTCTTTTTGCTGGTCATTGCGCTCCTTGAACGAGTCTGAGTCGGCGAGCATCTGCGTCAAGTTATGAACTTGCTCAGCTAGGTCGTCACGCTCCGCCTCAAGTTGATCAAGCTGTTGGTCCTTTGCCTCCAGCTCAAGTTGTTGTACGGCTTGTCGCTCTGTAGCCAGTTTTGACTGCGCACGTTCTGCCTGAGCATCAGCGTCCAGCTTCTCTTCCTCCAACTTCAGGTACTTTTCACGAAGGGTGCGAAGTTCAGTCTGATACTCCTTGCGCTCCTTCTCATGGGCTGTGCGACTCTCCGTAGCTCGTCGAAGAACGTCCTGCTGAGCGTACATCTCTTTCTCAATGGTGATCTTCGATTCGTTCAACGCATCGTAGTCACGCTTGAGCGTGTCGTATTTGTGCTCCCCGAGCATCTCCACATCGTCACGCGATTGCCTTTCCCGACTGAGCTCCTTTTGTACGGCAAAAAGCTCGGCCTTGAGAGCGTTCGTTTGTTCTTCCAGCAGTTTCCGGCTTTCTGTGTATTCGTTGTCTTCGGAAATCTTTTCCTCGAGTAGGCGTTTTGCGTCTGCAGCCTCGCGTTCCAATTGTTGCTTTTGGGAGCGCACGGCATCCAGCTCAGCCTTCGCATCTCGAAGGCGGCTTTGAAGATCGTCATGCTTGGACGCCAGGGTTCGCTTCTCATCGTCAAACAACCGGCGATCATTTTCATAGTTCTTGAGGTCGGTCTTTAAGATCGCCAGCTCGCTCTCTTTCCGTCTGATGAGATCTTCGTAACTGGTAGACGTCGAGGACAAATCTGTTATCTGTTGACGGATCTGCCGGTTCTCGTCGAGAAGTTCTTTGATCTGGTTCTTGCCGGCCTGTACCTCCTTCTGGGAAGCCGCCAACTTGATGTCAAGGTCTTGATCTGTCTTGAGGAGCTTGGCTTGAAGGTCCTCCAGTTTCCGTTCTTTCAAGCTCAGGTGGCTCGTGAGCATCTTGATCTCCTGGCTCAATGATTCCTCGGCCTGACTTCGCTGAGAATGCTGAACTTCAAGCTCCTTGAGTTGCTGGTCTAGTCGGGCGTTCTGCTCCTCTAGCTCCTGTGTTTCTGTCTCAAGTTTGCTGATGATCTGCCCAGCTTGTTCGAGCTCTTTGCGCAAATGCTCAGCCTCTTCCTCAGTCCTCTTCTTTGCTTCCATGAGAGCGTCCAACTGATCTTCGAGTTCATCTTGATCTTCGATAGCGCCAGCAAGCTTCTCTGAGAGCTCAGTTTCACGGAGTTGGAGACGCTTGAAGATCTCTTCCTTATCCAGCGCAAGCGCACGTTCGCTCTCGAGCGTCTGCTGAATGCGTTGGATATCCATTTCTGCGCGTCTTCGCTCGTCTTCGACCCGTTGTCTCTCTTCAGCTTCTTGTTGCATTTTCGTCTCGAGTTGGTGAATCATCTCATCGCGCTTCTTGACCTCTGCTGCTTGACGTGTGGCTCCAAGCATGGGCCTCATCCGCGCGTAAAGCCTCCACCATGGGTTCGATTGTAGATCAAGGTAGACCTGAAAATTACGCTGGATGATGCGAGTGGCTTCGGCTCGATAAAGACGCTTGTTGGCTAGGCGGCGTTGCACAAATCCGCGAGCTACAGACTGGAAACGGATCATAATATCCCGAATGAGTGCATCACGTTGATCTTCTAGTTCGGCAAGAACACCAGCCCGGAAGAAGACTTTGGTGATTCCGACACGGTACAGCGACCTGTCAAGGTTGATCTTTTCGAGGATCATGCTCGCCGCCACTTGCCCTTCGATATAGCCTTTGGGGAGATCTCTACAAAGCACCTCGTATCTTTGGCGGAACTCCACAAAAGGAAGTCGGTTGGGAAAGCCGGTACGTGCGATACGAATACCTTCCAGGACACCGTTGCATCGTAGTTGGTCAAGAACAAGAGGAGCGCTAAACTGCTTTGGTCGTTTCTTGTGATTTGGCAGAATGCATCGGACGAAATGGGGGTGCGTGGAATGGAGTTGGGTCATCAATGTTGACAGATGCTCTTTATGGCGCTGAGCGACGGTACGGAAGAGGCCCTTCTTGACGCGGCTGCGGGTTCCGCCCATGCCATCGTCCGGATCAGCACAATCCACAAAGAGGTTGGCGATTTGCTTGTCAGTAGAACTAGCCAAGAGACGCGTGACGTTGTCATTCAATGGGTCCTTATTCTTTTCTAGCCAGTTTTCTGTAGAGTACTCTACTTCGGCAGCGTAATGTGTAAGAACGAAACCTTGGGTCAGCATTGAGCGCTTGTACTTGGTGCTCTTGCGGTCCCATAGTGAATGCAGCTTCTCTGTAAAGCTCTTGTCGGTCGCTTTGGGCATAACACTGTCCTCGTCCAGGCAGGAGAAAATACCAATGGGGTTTGGTAACTCAATCAGGTCGATTGTCGGCTGGAGATCGCGGCCAAAGTCGATGAATTTCCATTCTATCTGTTCGCGTGCGTATTCCTCTTGTTCCAGGACGAACATGTGGTGATTGAAGAATTGTTGCAGCTTCTCGTTAGTGTAGTTGATGCAGAGTTGTTCGAAGCTATTCTCATCAAAAATTTCGAATCCGGCAATATCAAGGACACCGATAAAATGTGAGTCGTCTGCGCCAGCACCAGTCTGGTCAAGCTGGCGATTGATGCGGTCGACGAGGTCGCCAAAACCCCGCTCATAAATACCCTTGGCAAGGGCGTCAATGGAGAGATTGACTTGCTCTGGTGTCTGAACCTTCTCAACCCATTCTCTTCCAGCCTTGACACGAGGATGTAGAAGGGCCTTGATGAAGCCTTCGGCGGGGATGCCGAGTAGTTGGGCAACTATCTGAGCTTGCTGCTCGGCCGCAAGGTTCAGTGTAGCCTGGTCTGCCCGTCGGCTCTCCTTGACGGCTCGGATGTTGCCCAAGTGTAGAACCGCGGCGATAGTTTTTATGATACCCGATTGCTCCTTCTCGGTAAAACCCATGACATGGAAGGCCTCAATCAAGCCATTCCATTCATCACGGTCGTCGACTCCGGAAATTACATCGTTGCCATGCCTGGTGTAGTCAAAGTCATCGGTGTCTTTGCCGTCCAAGAAAAAGTCCTGCTTCATTTGGCTCTGTGCGCCGCGCAGCAGCTGATAGAAAACATGATAATTACGCTCGTTCGAGTTGAGACGCACAACTCTGGACTTCTCCAATAGATACCAGTCTATGTGCGCACCAGCGATGTGACCTTGGCGGGAGAATTGGATCCTGATGAACTTTCCAAAACGAGACGAGTTGTTATTCCGTACCGTTTGCGCGTTACCAAAGGCTTCGAGGATAGGGTTCGCGCGTAGGATCTGCTCGGAGAGGTTGGAGAGGTTGCGTCCGCCCGACTTTGGGCGTGGAGTATCCGAGTTCGCGACGGCAGCTAGATACTGGATGACCTTCTTGGTATTCTCAGTCTTACCAGCACCGGATTCTCCGCTACGGAATGTCAGTTACAGTTGTTCTAGAGTTGGACTGACTCACGTCACGAGGATGCTCTGGTTGGTGCCCTCCTCTATGAGGTTCCGAAAAGCATGGTCAGCCATGGCGAAGATATGTGGCTTGGTCTCCTCTCTGCTCCGCCCCCGGTACATGTTGATATACTCTCTTGAGTAGATGGGCAGTGGACAGTAAGGGTTCACGGTGACCAGAAACAGTCCGGAGTAGGTGTATATGAGATCGGCCTGGTATCGCATATGGAGATTATGGATGACTGAGGGCTCGTTCAAATGCGTAAGTTCAGCCATGTCGTCGGCCTTGTCGAATTTGGCGGGATTGACCTTGTCAATGGCATCGGCTTCGACATCTTGCTGGGTGCCATTGTCGCATTGGACCAGGATTCGTCCTCCTGGCAGGTCCTCGACGACCCATCCGCGGACGAAGGCGGTGGTGGGGTCTCTGAGCCAGACATAGCGCTTGCCAGAGAAGTCGTTCTCGCCCTCTACGATGCCGCCCAGACGCGGGGCCTCGTTCTCCTCTTCCGAGATGAACTGCGGGGCAAAGGTGCCGACGGGGGTGCTGTTGCGGTGCGAGTTGGAGCGGAGGCGCGATTCGCTGCGGCCCAGCCCGGTCGGGCTGGTGAGGTTTGTGAGGGAGCGGTTGCGCAGGTGGCCTGGCATGCCAGAGTCTCCGTTCTCATTCAGCGGCGATGAGACCATCTGCGATGTGTTCCTGGCAAAGGGAGTGTTGCGCGAGTTGCGGGCGAAGGGGCGGCCATTTGGCGCGGGCCCGGGCGCACTCATGGTGGTGGGTGATGTTGGTGTCGTCCTGTCCGGGGTGGTGATGTTGTCGTATCCGAATGGTTCATTTGGGCCTAGTCTATTGACATTGTATGTACAGTGGTATGCGGGGACGCGGGTGCAGGCAGGTGCAAAAGAAACCCTATGGATGGTTTCCTGGTACAGACTCGCTGCACGTAAACAATGACAGCCGCCCGCGGCCCCTAGCAACAGCCACACATGACGTGATTGGCTGCGGTGCGCTATCACGTGCCGCTTGCATTAGCCCGGGCAGCTCTGTCGCGATTCGCGATATTATCTCGTGAACCACCCACTTTCTCCATCGCGCGTCATGGCGAACAACTACGCGCATCCCCCGCCGATGCAACAGCTCCCGGGCATAAACCTCGCCCCGTATGCGCCAAACGGCCAACAGCCTCCGTTCCCCGCCTTCCCTCCTCCCGATCCTGCCCTCTGGGCCCTGTTCCAGAATGGCTCTTTCCCGCCAGGTGCTCCCAACCTTCCGCCGCCGCCGCCATTCCCCAACATGGCTTTCCCCCCATCTCACTTCCCTCCGCCATCTTCGCTGCCTCCGCCGCCCTCACTACCTCCACCCCCAGAGCGCATACAAGAAGTCATGGATAGCGATCGCGAAGATGGCGAGTTGAGTGAGGGCGGAGGCGACAGTCCACCCTCCATCATGGACAAGCTACAGCAGGATCGCGACGCGGCCAAACACTTCATCAAGCTCCTGCATAGCAACAATGTCACCTATCGCGCCCTAGCTCACGAACAGCTTGATCCCGAGCTGCTGAGAGGCCTGTACCAGAGCGCAAACCTGCCGTCGGAACCTGCGCCCATTCTGCCACCTAAGAGCAATGGTGCTGCTTCCAAGGCTCCTGCTGTGCAGCCACTAACGCCTGTTGCGCAAGACATGCCCAAGTCTGCCGCGTCGCCAGTAGGCCGTCAAGATTACATAGCACGCCTTCAGGCCGCAAAGGCTGCGAAACAGGCCACCGCCAAAACCACTACTCCCGCGCCGGCTACCAAGACATCCCAGCCTGCGACCCCACCTACTTCTAAACCGCCTGTGACAGACGAACAGAGAGCTCGTAATACCGAGTTGATTAAGCAGCGCTTGGAAGCGATCAAGGCGAGACAGAAGCCGTCGGTTGCGCCAGTTGCGCCAGTTACCCCAGGGTCGCAAACACCTACAAGTACCGCCCATGTGCCATCATTCTCTGCCATTCCGGGTCTCTTCATGAACGCATCTTCAACGTCTAATACACCTGCACCAGCCGCATCTCAACCACAGTCCTTTCCACTCGCTGTCACTCCTCACACACGGCCTCTAGGCCAGTCTCCACACGCTGATCAACAAGATGATTCAATGATAATAGACGTCAGCGAAGACGAGTCCAACGGTAGCGACATGGACATCGACGACGATCAACCTTCTCTCCAAGCCAGCCAGAATTCGCGCCAGACTGTTGGAAATCTCCCCAACTTTCCTTCTGGTGCGCCACCTGCGACCCCGTCAAACGCCACTGTTGGTACGTCTGGTTCGCAGACCCCCAATACGGTTATGCGTGAGAAGGAGTTGGTAGACAAGGAGAAGCAGCTGGTGGCCATGCGAGAGACACTCAAAAAGAAACTTGCTGAAAAGCGAGAGCGAGATAGGTTGGCAGCAGCCATTACCACTGTTGCATCACCATTCTCGAGCCAAAAACCTTCGACGCCAGGTTCATCTCTTCAAACATCCACATCATTACCGACACGTTCGCACGATGGCAACGACTCACGCCGAATCCGCCGAGCGGAGATCCAGTCCAGACTGCCTACGTTGGATGCCGAGATTGCAAGCAACACGAGTAGGATGGCTCAACTGACCAAAGAGCTGGAGCAGTTGACGGCGCAGAACGAGAAGATCGCAAGGGACAAGGAGCAGCTGAGCAAAGAGCTGGAGGATCTCGGTGTTGACACCGAGGGCATGTCTCATGCACAACTACGTGCCAAGAAAGATGAAATTGAGGGCGAACAGTCTTCAGACTCTAACGAATCACTCCAACAAACCCGTCCCGTGGTACAGACCACATTCGACAACTCTCCTCCAGCTTGGAATCTTCCTCAGAACACCTTCCCTGGACTTGGGCAGAATTCAGCGGAGCCTGATTACTTAACTGGATCAGATAATCTGGGTCACACCCAAGTCTCAGGAAAGATCTCGCAGGAAGACGTCACTCTTCAGCCAGCTGGTGCATTGCAGGTGTCGTCTCAACAAGACGACATCTACTCGGAAGCATCTCAGAAGCGCACTGAACCGCAAGATTTGCCAGCCAATGTCCATGTTGTTCCAGCCACAGCGAATGAGGTAGTGCAGGCCAGTGCCGACGCTCCTGTGGACCAAGCGATTCAGCAGCCCACCAACGCGCCCTCGCCATCGGAAGAAGGAGAGGAGGTCGACATGTCCGTCAGTGAGGGAGATGATGACGAGGAAGAGTACGAACCAGAATATGAGCCCGAAGAACCCGTCGTCGTCCCAGAAGCCCCTGTGGCAGAGGAAGTTGAGGCCCAGACCAAACCTGAATTTTCGCTTGCAACCTCGCCAGCTGGTACACAAGAGGAAGAAGCCTATGAACCGCCCGACGTCGACGAAGATATCTCGGAGGTTCAGGGCGGCGATGATGCCTCCACACACCTCGATGCCCCCACAGGTCAGGCTGAGGCGGAAGATGGTGCTATGGACATCGCTACGTCGTCGTCTGATGAAAGCTCAGATGACAGCGAATCAGATGATGAATCTACTCCAGAGCCCGACGTGGAGACTATATCAGCAAAGAACCCGTCGCATCAGGACGCCGAAATGGCCGATGATCTGGCGCCCGAGCTGCAACCACTTCGAGAGGTAACATCAACGGTGGCCGCTGGCGAACCTGTACGTCAATCACCATTTGGGAGGCTTAGCTAATCTAGATCAGGTGCCTGTGCCCGCTGAGATCGAAGAACCACAGCCACCCAAGTTCACTCCGTACGAGAGCCCGCTACGGATGTTCAAATCTTACCGTTACCATCCTTCTTATGCTCAAGATGTGCAAGGTGGCTTCCTATCCTTGACGTTCAGTCATCAGATAAACCCAGAGAAGCCTCTCTGCCAGTACGAGTCAACTGGTGGCGTATGCAACGACCCTGAATGTCCTGATCAGCACTTCAGGGAAGTTGCCATTACTGGTGCGTTGTAGAGGAGTTTTTTTCCTTTGTTTCAGAGTTTCATTTTTCTTTTACTACTACAGTTTTCACGACTGTACATATGCGCAAATACTAACTTGTATTTTCAACAGGTGACAGACTGCTTGTTCAGCTCGGAACCGCCAACCCCGGTAAGACGTCCGAGGAGAAGCAACGCTGGAATGACGGTCTCCGTGGCGTGCTCAAAGACCTTCGCCAGAGGAACATCAAGGATCCCAACGGTATTGCCGCGGAAATTGCGAGGTTTCGCCGTGAATTTCTCAAGGACGATACTCGTGTCGTCAACATGTAATAACTATCCCGCTCCCCCTGTTCTATTCTAGTGCTCGCTAGGACGGGGGCGGTGGCTTGTACCTCTTTCTAATATTTCGCTAAGTGGTATTTACATACCTCTGATTTCGTACTGACCTTGATCACTACAGTAGTCCACTTCTTCTGCATGTCGGACTCCACTGTTATGGGAAAGAATTTTGTTCCCAGTATATACGGAATGAGAGCGTTCGTCGAGAGCGGGAAGCGGAACAAAGAAGAGTTCACCAAAAGCAGGAACTTTATGAACCAGAAAGAGTTCGCCGCGAGCTGGAACTCGACAAGCAACGGATACGTCAACAGCTACTGGAACTCAAAAAGAATCGTTACCGTGATTGCCGGGAGTTCCTTCGAGCCTACAAAAAAAGCTCTGAGCTCTAGCGTAACATGCGACTGTGGGCGCTTGGGGGCGCGCATTCCCTCTCGACTGTAAGCATCGATACCCTTCTGCATTGGCGTGGAGTTTGGCTCTGGTCTTGTTCCTATCGCTCTAGTGTCTGGACATTGGTACAACACTCTTATCAACATTCCTACCCTCACTGCAATCGCCCACGTATGCTGCTAGCTGCGCTCGATCACATGAGATTCGGTCATCTCCAACAGAGCGAGTTGATGCAGCTGCGGGGACGTGATTGTAGTCAGGGCAAATAGCCAGTCTAAATAGGCAACAAATAAATAAAATCTCATATGTTAACAGCACGACTATCACATGTGTACAGTATATATGTTGTGAGAGGCATAGATAGATTGATTTGGCTATACTACGACTACTCGCTCGCTAGATTTTTTTTCAATGACACATCTAGTTGGAGATGCCAATAACACCGCAAGCGGGACGAGCGCCGGCGTTACCAGTCTTCTTCGACTCCTCGTGTCCGCCCTTGCCGAGGTCATCAGTTCCAGCGTGGACGACAATGGTACGGCCAATGACGCTCTCGGAGCCGATCAACTTGATCAACTTGTCTGTGACACTTCCCTGCGCATTGCCCTGACCATCAGTCTTGAAGTTGCCCAAGTCACCGACGTGGCGCTCCTCGTCCTCGGGGGCACCGTGTGTCTTGTTATGGGGGTTGAAGTGAGGACCGGCGGATGTGCAGCCGTTTGTGTTGTCGCCAAAGGCGTGGACGTGCATACCACGCTCAGCGTTGGCGTCGTGGCCGGTGATGTTCCATGAGATGGTGGTGTTGGAGGACTCGTCGGCCTGCTCAAAGGTGACGGTACCCTTGATGTTTGAGTCTCCACGGAGGACGGCGACTGGAATCTTGCGTTAGTATAACGTTGTTTTAAGCTTCTGTAACGTAGGTATGCCTGAGCACGTAGTAGAAGGCCATCAAGGTGTCTCGCGTAAGGAGAGCTGATTGGAGACCCCCCGGAAGACCCAAGAATGGTCCACGCTGCGGGAATGACAGCAGGGTCCTCATAACGGCTCCAAAGCTGTCCAATTGTCCTCTTTGCAGCGTTTTGATACCGCTGAGTACCGCGTCTTCGAGTTAATCTGCTCAATCTTACGCACCCCGACGACCCCACCATGCCGCAATGGGGAAAGCTTGTGAAGCTACTGAACATGGACATACCAGCTTTGACCATTTTGACGGTTATGTGATTCGTATTGATGGTATTGATGTGTGTTTTGGGATTGTGATTGTATAGGCGTTGACGGAGAGGAAGAGAGAAGCTATCGGACAGCTGTCTCTCGGTGAGCTTTGAAAGCCGAATGCGGGGCTGTCCAAATGTAGTGACGCAACTCCACTAATGGCGGGCCAGAACCGACGAATGATTAATGCCTACCATGCCCACGACTTGACGTGATTCCGCATACATTCACGTGTAATCTTGAGTAATGTTTACATTCATGGTTTTACAGGGGGGCAGTTTATCATTTTACATCTGATGTCAATTTTACTATCTATTTACGAAAGCGTTAAGAGTCTTCAGATGCTCATTGCACGGCCGTTATCGGACTAAGCAATTTATGCGGCCTGGATCTTCTTGCGAAGGATGTCCTTGAGGGTGATGGCATCAGCAGCGAATTTTGAGATACCCTCACGGAGCTTCTCGACGGCCATCTGGTCCTCGTTGAAGTAGAAGCGGAACTCAGCCTCGTCGTTGATGAAGGTCTTCTTCTCAAGGTCGAGCTTGCTGGCATCCTCGGCGACGAGCTTCTTGGGGACGTCGTCTTGTGAGTTGTAAAGCTCCTCAAGTAGGTTGGGCTGGGTCCGTTAGTCAAATGTATAAGAGAACAGTTTATCGGCAAAACTTACAGCGATGGTCAGGTAGTCGCAACCAGCAAGCTCGGTGACCTCACCGACGCTACGGAAAGATGCGCCCATGACAATGGTCTTGTAGCCGTGCTTCTTGTAGTAGTTGAAGATTTGCACGACGGACTTGACACCGGGGTCCTCCTCCTTTGTGTACTCCTTCTTGTGTGCGGCCTTGTACCAGTCAAGGATACGGCCAACGAAGGGAGAGATGAGGTAGGCACCGGCCTCGGCGGCGGCAATGGCCTGGACCTGTGAGAACATGAGGGTCAAGTTGCAGTTGACGCCGTGCTTGGACTGCAGGATCTCAGCAGCCTTGATACCCTCCCATGTGGATGCGAGCTTGATGAGGACACGCTCCTTGTCGATGCCAATCTCCTTGTAAAGATCGATGATGTGCAGCGCCTTGTTTACAGACTGCTCTGTGGAGAAAGAGAAGCGCGCATCAACTTCTGTTGAGACCTTGCCGGGGACAATCTGGAGGATCTCCTTGCCAAACTGTACCAGCAGGTTGTCAAGTGTGGTGTCGACCTGGTTCTCGAGGTCTGTGCCGTTCTTCTTGCCGTATGCGACGGCCGCGTCGATGAGCTTCTCGTACTCGGGCTTCTTAGACGCGGCGAGAATCAACGAGGGGTTGGTGGTCGCATCCTGGGGCTGGTACTTCTTGATGGTAGCGAAGTCACCAGAGTCGGCGACGACGGTCTGTAGGGCGAATTGATTAGATATAATTCTTCCGCGCGCCTGGTGTTGCGACTGTGGAGATACTTACGGTGCCAGAGGCCTTGAGTTGGTCGAGGGAGCTAGGCATTGTGGGTGGGTATATGTGTGTGGATGGGGAATGTAAAGAGGAATGCAAGTGTCTATGTGTGCACTTGATGTTACAGGTGATGTGAGTGTCTTATGAAGTGGTATGAGGTTGGAGAGTAAAAGTGTCTGTTGGGACAGCTGCAGCGGTGGGGCTCTTTCATACGTAGCGCCCCTCATCCTTCCGGGCCCCTCCATGGAAAAACAGCGTCACACTGGGTCACCAAGTGGCAATCACGGCAGAAGGCGCTCGCTCAGTCAGCCCTCTCACCGCATCTGGTAACCACTAGCGACAGAAATTTTGGCGCATCGGAGCACTGTCGTCCGAGCCATCCACGTGCAGTTCATCATTATGAAGAAGCTTGTTTGTCCTGAGTTCTAGCCAACACTCTACAGCACACCGGAGCAAAGGCATTCACTGTATCGTATGTTTTTAGCCGCGGGCTGCAAATTCCCGCGAATGCCTCCAGGGCAGCATCGGCCAAAAGTCCGATCCGGAGAAAACGATCCTCTTCTTCTGACTTCCGCGCTCGAGCCATGTTGGACCTATCACGATGGTCTTGGTAGCATACTGTGGATGAAGCAATTTCTTCATACTACGATAACAGTCGAGCATTACAACTTCGACTTGCCAATCCCCCCACCCCATCCATCTTGCTGCAGCCACCCGTACACCTCGCTATACTGCTCCTGAAGATTGCTAACTGTATGCCCTGCTCCACTCGGTCCCGGATCATTCTACATCACCAGCTGTTAGCATACATACACAATTCAACACGGTCAGTGAATACGTACGAATGCCTCTACTAGCCTCGTCTGCTTTGCGCCTACCTCAAGGATCTTGCCTCCGCCCAGCTCAGTTTCTTCCAACAATCTTAACATGGCTTCGGCCACTTCCTCGGGCGTTGCCCACGCGTCCTTGGTCTCATCGATAAACGTCATTTTCTCTGGATGTTCTGTCCACAGGGGTGTTTTGATGACACCAGGTGCCACGCCGTTGACGCGAATTCCCATCTCTGCCTCGAGCGTTCCTAAGGAGCGTACAAAGCCGTTCATGGCGTGCTTAGCGGCCGTGTAGATGGGCGCATGCAAATTGGGATTTTGGCCGGCAATGCTGGAGATGATGACGACTCTCTTTGGATTTTGCGCACTCACTTTCTCTACGCCGGGAGGTGGGTTAAGAAAGTGTGAGATGGCGAGCTGCGTCGTACGGATCGGGTGGGTAATATTGATGTCAATACTTGCATATCGTCCTCCGCCGACCTGGTCTCTACTTGCGCTGCCGGTAACGCCTGGAGGATGCCAGAAATTACTCCAATGGGGCTCGTAGACACCTGCCCCCGGACACACGATATCGATCTTTCCGAACTCTTGGACGCCGACCTCAAACATGCGCTTCAACTGCGGCCAGTCCGTCACATCGGTCTTCTGAAAGACAGCTCGTGGTTTATCCTGTTCTTTGGTACTGTATTCTTGAACCAACTTCTCCGCTTCGGGTCGAAGTGAAAGATCGGCAATGAGGACAGAGCAGCCATGGCTGAGAAGCAGAGCTGCAAAAGAAAAGTTGATACCTGAACCAGCTCCTGTGATTATAGCACTTTGTCCTTTGACACTGAACGCCTGTCCGACTCTTGTCTCATTGACTAAACCCGGTTGTCTTGCTGCCATGGCTTTCTCGAATCTTGCTCTTGACTTTGCTCAGATGGATGATCACAATAAGGCAATAGTTGAGTGGCCGCCAGAGCATATTTATATGTGCTAATATGCAAGTACACGATGTCCTACATTCACGCGTCTAGCCAGAACGGAATGCCTCATTGGGTAATGGGAGGGGTAGCCGTGGGGTAGCTCACTCCGAGCATTCCTGTATGCGGGGAAAGTTTGCCGAGCTTCAACCCTTCTGCACTTCCATAAAGCTCGTATCCATTTAGTTATATCTTACATACACGGTCCGTCCTAGAGATTTTCCTTCGTGCTACAAAAGTAGTGGTTTAACAAAAACTTTGGCGACTGTTTCAGTGCATTACCAGTGCAACTTTGAGAATACAAACGTTTTTTTTATCGGTGTGACTTGCCAGATTTCAAGTCATCATGCTAACGAGATGAGGCAACGAGCTTCTGGAGAACATTCTGTCGCATTATGTTGGACTAGAATCGCTTTTCGTTTACTCAAAACAAGATTATGTACGTGTCACTCAGTCCGACATCATCGTCTTTGGGATATCAATGTGTATATCAAGCATCACCCAACGCCGTATGCGCCAAGTGTGCAAATGTTAATTCCGTTTCCTGAGCTCACTACGCTCCTGTCCATCGACTCCACTGGATCTCGGGAGCGGCTCGCCATTTCCCGTACCTGAGACGTGACTCAATCGAATCAGCTCGTCCATCATGGCATCTCTTGTCTTCTTGACCAGGCCATCTACGTGCTCTGCCGTCAAACCCTTCGTTTGTATTGGCGGCAAGACGGTAACATCCACCACACCTGGGGAAAATCTCTTGCCCTTGACGTCCAGAACGTGGTAGTAGTTACCACAGACGACGGGCACAATGGGAACTTGTGCTTGTACTGCAAGATGGAACGCGCCTTTCTTGAAGGGTAAGAGATCAGGTTTTGAGGCATATGATCGCGTGCCTTCAGGGAAGATGAAGACGTTTTGGCGTGTTGTTTTCATCGTGTGAGCAGCCGTGTCGAATGCAGCGCGAGATGAGGTGCGGTTTGCGCGGTCGATGAAGACGGTTTTGGAGAGCGCCATGAACCAGCCCAGTAGAGGCACAAACTTGAGCGACTTCTTGGCCGTCACGGAGGTGTATTTTGGGAACATGCAGCCGAGCATGAGGACATCGAGTTCGCTATAAAGAATGTCAGCACCGCGGTCGAGGCTTGGTCTGGCAAGAGAGCCTTGGAAACCCACGTCTGATGATTGCCCACGAATACTGCTGGACGGTCCTTGAGGGCGTCTTCTCCACTAAGACCTCCCTCTTTCTTCATGCTCCCGGTCACTCGGAACGTCACGCCAGTGCCCAACCACATGCACCACTTGAACGCTCGCGCAACCGTCCATTGAATGAGTCCACCATAGCCCACCATGCGCAGAGGTATAGCCACAAGTGTGCCGTACAGGGCGCAGCTCAACATGAGTGTAAAGGAGCTTATTGCGAAGGCGTAGTATGACACCAGCTGGGCGGGCTTCGCGGGCAGCACGAGCGAGAGCAGGCGCATGGCTATAACAAGCACGGCGGGCATGGCGAGGTAGGTGAGCCAGCCCATGGCGTAGCCTCTTGTCCGAGAGAGAGAGAGAAGGAGAAGGCGCGCGTATGTGAAGGTGCAGGTGTAGGTGCAGTTGTGTTCGTGTGTCTTGAAGCGAGTTGAAGCTTGGTGGGGGACTTTTTTGTCACGCGCCGAGGTTCGCACCTGCCTTGCTAACTCGCTAAAATTGGAGTGTGACACCGCCATGTGCAATCAACCCATGTACCTATTCATCGAGCTCCTGTCTTCTCCACAGAACCAGCAGAGCTTGCCCGTACTGTCGTATTCCTCCGCTGCCGTAACCAAGTCGTTACTACAATGTACGATGTAGTTATATACACAAGCACAAGGGGAAGCAAAATCCACCGCCACGCTTCCATGTTTCTAACCCTGCGTTTGATTTGACTATGTTGCGCTCCATCGGCTAGGGGAAGATCGAGCATAGCCCTGAACCACGTCTCAGGTGTCCATTTCTCAGCCGGGTAGTTGAGGCCGACTGCGTTGATGGTGATGGGCTCGCGGATCCGCTGGCCAGTCGTCTGGTATGTGACTACGAAGACGAAGATGAAGGCTGATAGGCTGAACATGGTACCGATCAGCAGCAAGGTGGTGAGAGCAGTAAGGCTCCTTGGGGCCTGCTTACAACGATCAGCATGCTGTCCGAGTAGGTGGGAAGAGTTTCGTTCGACATACCTGGCCAGCCTTCCTCATCCTCCATGCCGTCAACATGCCAAAGATGCTCAAGAAGAATCCATACACTGCTAGGCCGTTGCTTTCATGCCCTTGGTCGGTCCACAGATTCTTGGGCTCAACGTTGATTTGGGTGGGATTTCCAGGCCAGTCCACTTGATATATGTGCACATGATGCTTCTGGTCCAGCAGCCATGCTACCATGGAACTGACCAAACTGAAAACGACGATGGAAAGAGCGCAGAGCAGGGCGCTGGAAGCGAAAAGTGGCCAATGGATACCATGTTGTCTAGCCACCGATACCTGAGAGGTGGGCGCTGCCCGAGAAGATTGTTGAAATATGCCCATACTTGTCGAATTTTCTGTTAGAAGTTGGTATATCGATCGAGAGTGAACGACGAACACGTTTCCCCACGGTTCATCGTCAGATGTTATACGCTTCACACCTGGGGCTGAGCCTTTTCTCCCGTCATTGTGGCACACATTCGGGGCCGATTGATGAGATCAGCACCACTCAAGCTTAGTTGTCGCACAGCCTTGGACGCTTCAGGCAAGCTACTTCTCTCATATGTCCTAATATTAGCAGAAAGCATGGTATCGTCAGCAAGCATGTGGACATCTTGATGCCTAGACTCCTAACTGTTCAGCTTGGCATGTTTAGAATCTCATCGATTGACGCCAGGGTTACCATGTACGTCAGCTGTATCAAAGCAACAGACACGCACAATCTAGTATAAAATCCTGAAGATTGTCTGTCTTCGAAACAATGGTGAGATGACGCTGGTGCATTGTTTCTTGTTTCGAAACAGGGCAATTTTTACGAAACCTGACGGGTTCCGCGTCCACTCTGGGATTTGAACAACTTCTGATAAAAGCAGGGCTGAACTCGTTGTGCCTCAGGAAAGGTAACGCAGTCGCGCAATTTGAACATGTTTCCTTCCTTACTCTAGAGAGCTGGACAGTGAACACATAGGATGTCATTGGATGCTCATGAGGACGATGGCCGGGTCCTGTCGCGCTTCGGGTCGATCCTGCCCGCTCGGGAACGCTAACCCAACCACCCACATAATTTAACAGAACGCGTCCCTGTACTTTGCATTCTATGACAGAAGCCAACAAATTACAAGACCAAGTTCGCGTTGCAACTATTCAAAATTAGCGCCATATTGCAAGAGAGCAAAACAGATGCAGGTTGATAACGTAGCTCCGTTCGTGGCCCTCGAAGCGACCTACGTCACGTCTGGGCAGCGGCTACCCGTCACACACACACACGCCCTCGCGCGTGGTCACACACACACAAACGCGCAGTAAAACGCTTCTCTCTGCTTGTTCAAACGATCATCCAGGCCGGGATTCCACACGTAGGGTCTGTATTGGAACAGACCATCATTGCGCGGAAGATACTGACGATGCTTTAAATGCAAAATCGTTGGCAGGCGCCATACTTGCAGATTGCGCAGAAGCCATTCGACTTTTCATGATTCCACTTTATCGCGGCAGCCGTTCGTAATTGGACTAGAGGCTGACTCTACAGACGTGAAAGCCGTTTTAACGACCGACGTGAGTATGGGCGGCTATTGCACGGCCCACCTACAGCCCTTATGGAAAGCGTAGAGCCAATGTCTAAAATCGACATCGAATACACTTTCAGCCTCTTTACTCAATCCGTCCTTAATTTTATAGCAAAGATGCACCGGCTACCAATCAGCCTTAGATGTAATAGGCCTGCGATTGGATGTCGAGCTTTGGTATGAGTACGGCGTAGTCAAAGCGATATGCAAGCTCGGCACATTGAGTTCAACAGCTTGATGGTCTAGGGACGAAGCTTTATATGTTCTATGTCGAGCTGAAATTTGGGTATGTACAAGTTGTTATTTTCGTCCGCTCTTTGTTCCATCATTCGCTTTTTACTATTCTGAGTGTCTGGCTGGTCCGACAACGTGGATACTCTCTATTAATATCAACCCAAAATCTCTTGGTTGCATTCATGCGGCTGCCTCACCGGTCTATCAACAGTATCCAACCACTTCCGAGTATCTATACAACTTTTCCATCCAATTACGATAGCTCTCAGTCCACAGACACACCTGGAGTTAACTCTGGAACATGCCTTCTCAAGAAGATCGAGGATGGAATTGAGATTGTTCCGTTCGAGAGGAGCAATATTCTTTCCGCCCCCATACTCAGCCCAGATCAAAATGAGAAAGAGGTTTTTGTGCCGTCATGTAGCGCGATTGATGCGCATGAAAAGCCTCTGCCCAATCTTCCAAGATGCATGTGGCATCGAATGTCTCGACAGCAACGCATTCTGGCCCTATTGGCGATACAACTCCTGATGCTTCTTACGATTGGGTTGAGTCTTTTAGCTGTAAAAGATCGATCTCCAATCAGGTAATTGCTCCAGTGCCCAGTTCTTGGATGCCGTTAACGGCGTATCTATAGGGATCAAAGCGCCGCTGTATACACTGCTAGCGATGGCTCTCCAAGTGACAACTACACCAGCGGTATTCGCCGTGGTATTTTTGCGCTACCGATTCAACTTCCACAACGACAGGATTCGGCATGCCTAGCAAGCGACAATCAGTTGAGTCCGTGGAAGTGCGCATCCAACTCAACCTTTCAACTCAGTGTACTACCTGCCCCGGCAGGCAACGAAACTTCAACTATGATAGCGGTAGGGTCGCCATCCAACGACGCCAGCGTTCGCCACGGCGAAGGCATACCGAACATCCCGCCCTTGGAATTGTCAGTGGTTGGAGGTGCTAGGAACGAAGATGGGTCTACCTATCATTTTCGAACTACCTACAACAAAGTCGTGTTGCTCGCGGAGGATGAGTTCCCCGTCGATGGGGAGTTACAAGCCCATCCTTCGGCGCTGGGTGATCCGTTCCAGCCTGGGAGTAACCTGTGGCAGTGCGTCTTCAACGAGACCCTGCTTGAAGGTTACATATACGTCACTAGGGTGACAAGCACTGCACCGAATACTGCCAAAACTAAGATTGCAGGACTTTCGGACTTCCCTTACTCTATGAGATTATTTGAAGAGTGGGCGCCAGGTGGTAAGACGCCTTATTGTCAGAAGGTGACTATGGGATCGGACGGCACACTGGCTCCACTCGCAGAAGAGATAGCGTTGCGCCTGGAAGACCCTCAGGGTAATGTTGCAGCCTCCATGTCACGATCCACAAAACGAACCGGAGATCGAGAGCAAAGACAAGAGGTGCGCGCAGATCACTGTCAGTGTCAATGGCTGGTTGACGGGTAACTGTATCGTACTATGTATATCGAAAGCAGGTTCGCGACCACGTTAAACCCCCATCTTCTGCGCTGTCACTGCACCTTTATCACATTTTTCACGCGTCTATAATTTTAGCCAGAGTTGATCGATCAACCATATCGGGGTGCGCGATACCGAGAGATGACAGGTTCTCAAACCTACAGAGACTTGATTGGACTCTGAACACACGACTCCACTCAGTACCGTGTATCATTCGTGCACGCACACACCATGTTCAGTAGATGAACAAAAAACCCCAGAGGCTTCTCAACCTTACAAAGCCAGCTGCAACTAATGCACTCCTTAAGCTTTATCGCCGCTCGATCACTATTCAAGTGTGCATACAAAAAATTATATCCTCACTGATCCATCAAGCCTTCGTGTTCTGGAATCTGTATCATACGCCACATTCCGTTCTCCGAATCTCTGATATCGTCAGGAAATTCGCGAGCACTCAATCTAGAGACCGAAGTTAAGGAGCGGCACAATGCAACACCAAGGAACATCTTCACGTATACCAATCCGCATCGAGACTGAAGATGGTGCTCCACTTGCAGCCAGTCTTGAGATACCACGACGCCAGACTTCCCGTGTGAGATCGCCATCTCAAACTCCAGTTAAAGTCAAGGTCGAAGATGTCGAAGAAGATATCGACGAAGATGCTGAAGAAGATGTAGTACCAGTAATAGTTAATACCGAAACACCGCGACGCTTCCCTTCCTTCTCCGAATTTCAAGAGGCATGGTCTCGATCGCCACTCCGTGTGCCAACTCCACTTGCTCGGGAGTTTTACCGGTGTATGATAGTCAAAAGAGAGAGCGATGAACTTTTGGGAAGTGAGGATGGCATGCCGCTTCTATGCCATGATTGTGATCGATCTGCTGGCATACACACGAAGAAGCCGCCCACTGAGACCTCTTGCGATCTGTGTTCGCCTTCACCACGATCGGTCGTGAAGTTTAAAGAGGAAGCAGAACTATTGTCTGGACGCCACATTCCTGCAGGAGCGTACAAAGCTGAGACTATATCACCATCCGCCTCCCCGAAAATCCAACACCAAACTCACCCTGCCACAAACCAGTCAAGGCTATACCACGAAGCGCGTTTTTCAGGCCGCAACACTGCCACGTCACCTCCAACATGTCGCCCAGATACTGAATTCTCTTACCTGCTTCCCGTCACGCCAACACCGTTCAGCACACCAAATGCTCCCATCAACCCCTACAATCGCCCGGCACATCTACATTGCATCCCCGGTTCATTACTTGAGGGAATGCATCGGCGAACAAGATGGGGTAGGAGGGATATTTGGGACAAGCAGGACGACAAGGAACGACGAAAACGACGGGTAAAGCATGAGAAACGAGCCAAGCAGCGAGAACAGGCAAACCAAGACAAGCCGGTGAAGCAAACAGCGCGGATACCAACACGAGTACTGCAGTCGTCACCTGCACGTCTAGCCGAGTACGTCGCTCAGGATGAGCATGAGATCTCCCACGAAACTTCGCACGAAGAAGCAGAGTCAGGACATGAACAAACCTGCGCATGGTACAAAATCCCCTTCTGTAAATGCTGTGCATGTATCATGGTCGTCGGAACAAAGCTTCTACGTAGCATCTTCATCCCGTCACTAGTCGTTGTTCCCCGTCCTTGTCAAACCAAATCCATGATACCAAAATCAAAGGGATGGGCTAGGAAGAGGAAATGGTGCCATCTGCAGAAGAGCAGCAAAAGGCGCGACGTACAGGAGATGATAGATGATGAATTGCATGCTGCAAGGCAGCATGAGTGTTCTATACCGGGTAGGGTGGTAGTAGTTCGGGAGATTTGAATGGCGCGTGAGAGGTCATGGATGGGACGGTGATAGTGAACGATTGCCGTGGAGTGAGTTGAAGAGCACTCTTAATCATCTCGGAGCGAAGCTTTCATGCTTTCCTCTGCATTGCCATGAATTGGAACAAAAGTAAGAGATTGAAGGCAAAAAAGTGATATCAAAATGGGTTTGATAGATGTACGAGACTTTCATATTTGAACATGATGTTTTCATTCATTGACATCAACGAAGCGTTATGTACTATTTTGTACCGTTTTGTGCCATCCATATAGCTATGCATTGTCTACGTGAGAGAAGAAAAAGAAGACGAAGAAGTGGAGGAAGAAAGAAGTTAAGACGAGAATATTTCTTCATCGTCATGAATGTGGCATGCGTATCTAACGCCTGACCACTTGAAAGTATTTACACCAACACAATCTCACTACAATCCCAATGCGACTCTAACGTTTCATCTCATCGAAACTCCATCAAGTGACTCTAGAAGGCCAACAAGACAGCTCCTACAACAGCACCGACAAGACCACTGGCCTTCATGTGGCTTGCAGCACCAGTGAACTCTGCTGGAGGTGCAGAGAAGGTGGCGTTGCCAGATGGCTGGGGTAGGGCACCGGTGGGCGCTGAGGGTACGACGACACCAGGTGCAGACCTAGTGTCAATCTCAATGCCGGACTCAGTTGGGTAGGGAGGAGACGAAGGTGCTGCAGAAGTGACAATAGGTGTCTGAGCAGTGCTGGCCAATGGTGTCTCTGCAACAGATGAAGCGACATCCGAAGGGAGGACGGCAGAGTATTCAGTCGAGAAAGTGGCGGGTGGTGCGTCGGTGATAGCAGGAGGAGCATCGGTGACGGTAACGGTGGCGGTGCCACACTCGCATGGCTCATCTCCGTTATCGCTGCCAGAGGGAGAATCGCCGGAGGGAGAGTCAGGGCTGCCTGACTTTTGAGGAACAGCTGCACCACCAGTGGGGTAGTTGAAGTTAGACTTGCCGCCAGCGCCGTCAACTGGAGCAGGTGTCGCACCTGACTGCTCGCTCTCAGTGCAGGTGGTGGATGCGTTAGAACCGTTTCCAGCATCGCCAGTAGCAGATGGTGCGTCGACACCAGACTCGAGCGGAGCGGCAGGAGCAGTAGCGGAGGCCTCGATAGCTACCGAGTTGACAGGAGCACCCTCTGTGTTACCGGCATCGATGACCTTGATAGACTTGAAGTCGCCAGTCTTGTCTGTCCACTCATACTCCTTTCCGGGCGAGTAGTTGATAACCTTGATCGACTTCACGGTCATGGTAAAAGGCGCATCGTCGTAAGTGACGTTGCCACCCGCCCACTGGCGAGTACCTTCATCTTTGGAGTCACCACCTGGCCAGTTTCCAAGGCGTACATTACAAGGCGTCTGCGGGTAGTTCTTGCCGCCATTGGCATCAGCAAAGTTCAAAGTCCGCGTGGGCTTGTCATCAACAATCCAGGTAAGTGACTCAGCAGTCCAGTTGAGAGCGTACTTGTGGAACTCGTTCTGGTTGTTGGGAGCATCAGCCTCGATCATGCGATCATAGGTAGTAGTGTTGCCCTGATTCTTATGTTAGCCTAAAGATGAAACCAGTTGACTTTCTTTTCATACCTTTCCAAAGTAGTTTTGCTGGACGCGGCTGTCTACGCCTCCAATCCATTCCCAATCAACTTCATCTAAGTTGTCGGACTGGAGAACAATGGAGGAGACGATACCAACGCCAGGGGCTGCCTTCATGACAACTTCGACGTATCCAAAGTGAAGATAGGCCTCAGATCCGATGGTAGGGGCATCGCCCTTCTTGGCAACAGTAAATTCAGCACCCTCGGGTACATAGTTAAGAGTTCCAGCTGTCTGCTTCCAGCCCTTGATAGCATCCTTGCCAGCAGTGAAGTCTGTTTCCCAGGTCTGAGGCATGGCGGGGTCGTTGGGGCACTTCTTCTCCATGGGGTTGCAATCGGTGAAGGTCTGAGCTGTGGCCAAAGCAGCCAGCACGCTCGCTGTAGTGTATGTAGAGAAATGCATTTTGTTGAGTTTGGACGCGTTTGAGAAGGTCGGAGATCAAGTTGCTAATGCGCAAAAGAAAGACTTTTGAGCTCGAGAGAATGTAGTCTTCACAGAAAAGCCCGTTACTGTGATGGGGAGTTCACACGCAAAGACACAATGTCAACAATGCGTACGGTGCGGTAGTAGTGAAAGAATGTAAAGCTCTGCAAAGAGAGTGTGGAAAAGGAATGTAATGAATGCGGTCGTCCTGGCGTCCAGACGTCTGACTGAGAGAGTGTGAGGTATAAAAAGGTCGGATAAAGAATGCAAAGCAATACTGCGTGTCAGAGGAGCTCCAACTATTAAAAGTCGCGAAATGGTTTGCGAAGCAATCTCGGTACCCACCGGGATAAGCACAGTGACCATGGGACGAGTCCATGCGGCATCAGCAGCCCTTCCATGGTGTGTCCAATTCTGGTGCTGCGCAGACCTGAGTGGTCGTGATGGCACTCCTGAAGTGTTTCACAAGCCGGCGGTGGAGACTAGGGTGTGTCAGAATAGTCCAGCCGCCTTGCCCGTTATGACGGCGACTCCGTCTAGGCCTATCAGAGCGAAGATGTGCCTGGCCTGTGTTTCTTCTGACAAGCCACTAATCATTTTGCTTTGGGCTGAGTTGGACACGCCTGTTCGCTGTGGCTGTGTTGCTGCGCACTCGAAGTGGAACAGACTGACAGTCCCCAGATTGCGATGAGCAGCGATACGCGTTCCTATCTTATCCTGTAGACGTCGATCACCCGAGCATGACATCACCTCAGGTCGGATAGCGACGTGCCATTCTTGGCTCGGTGTTGATGCGTTACCTCACATTTTCAGGGGTTTTGTGACATCCCTTGGTTGGGACCGGTTGCAATCGTCTCGCCGCAGACGCGCGTGAATACGAAGAGCGCGCGTCGAGACCGGCTAGTCTTTCGATGGAGTTCACCGCCTTAGGCAGAACCGCGGGGCTTCGTGGGGCAAATCGTGAATCATTCACATGACGAGACCCTGCCTAACTTTTTTTTGCGTCGAAAGAATATACCACACAACCAACCATGGCCACCACCGACGGAGGAGTTGAGCTGCCAACGCAACAGCCCGAACAAGTCGAGCAAGCGAACCAAATCGATCAAGTCGAAGAATCTGCACCAGCAGAGACGACAACCAACGATGAAGATAATGAAATTGACGACTTATTTGATGACGACGATGAAATAGTGCCTGAACTGATATCGGGCGACCACCACGACTTCACCAAAGCATACAACCGGCAGCGAAAGCTCAACGATACAAACATACCAGACGATCACAAGCCCAAGTCGAACCCACAGAAGCCTTCAGCCAACACAAATGCCTCCATCGATGATCAAGTCGCATCGCTATCAAAGCATGCCGGCAAGATTCGCCTCACGGGGAACATGACGGGCGCGTCGGGGGGCAATGCAAGGAACAAGGACAAGGCAGACCGCGCGACAACTGAACAAGTGTTGGACCGAAGGACTCAGATGATCCTGCTCCAGCTCATAAACCGCGGCGCAATCTCAGAGATTCACGGTGTCATCTCCACAGGCAAGGAAGCCAACGTCTACCATGCCATGGTAGAAGCTACGGATGATGATGCCGAATCTATCCACCGCGCCGTCAAGGTATACAAAACGTCCATCCTCGTCTTCAAGGATCGCGCCAAGTACGTCGAAGGCGAGTTCCGCTTCAGACAGGGATACAACAAGAGCAACAACCGTGCCATGGTACGCATGTGGGCAGACAAGGAGCGCAGGAATCTGGCCAGAATACACGATGCAGGTATCCCGTCACCAATGGCTCATGCGCTGCGCAACCACGTTCTTGTCATGGGCTTTGTGGGCGACCGCAAGGGCAAGGCCGCGCCTCGTCTAAAGGATGTGCGCTTCGAGGGTCTTACAGCAGAGGAAGAAGACGCGAAATGGACCAGTCTCTATCTCGAGATGCTGGCCTACATGCGCATAATGTACCAGACATGTCGCCTCGTCCATGCCGACTTGAGCGAATACAACGTCCTGTACCACCAAGGCAAGCAATGGATCATCGATGTCTCGCAAGCCGTCGAACACGACCATCCCCGCTCTCTTGAGTTTCTGCGTATGGACATCAAGAACGTATCCGATTTCTTCCGCTCACGCAATGTTGAAACGCTTAGTGAGCGCAAGGCTTATGCCTACATCACAAGTGAATCAGGTGCCAAGACTGTTCAAGAGCAGTCACAGATGGAAGACAGCATCCGCAGCTTGTTGAACAAGAAGCCGTTGACCGAGGAGGAAAGGAAGAAGGAAGAGGAAGACGACGATGTCTTCCGCAACCAATACATCCCACAAACACTCGAACAAGTCTACGATATTGAACGCGATGCTGAGCTTGTCAATGCCGGTGCTGGCTCCGATCTTCCATACCAAGCCCTCCTTGCTGACAAGGTCGTTAACAACGAATCTGAAGCCGAGGATTCAGACGATGGCTCGGATGATGGTAGCTCGTCTGAGGTTGATCAAAGTATCTTCGACAAGGGCCCAAGTCGTGGGAAGAAACACGTGGATCACGACGAGAAGGTCGCACACAAGAAAGCCGTTAAGGAAGAGAAGCGTGAGAAGAGGAAGGAGAAGATGCCGAAACACATGAAGAAGAAGCTGACCAGTCAAGGTGGTGGCCGTAAGAAGTGAGCTTGGATGTCAACCGACCTTTGAGTCTTTCAGCGATTGCAGGGAACACCTACAGCGCGCAAGTATACGCGCTTGCTCGCATGCGATTGTGGGAGAAGCATGAAGAGAAGCCCAGCCAAACTCAGGTTACCGCAGTATTGTGGTTGTCATTCAGAAAGCTTCGAGTCCTTTCTTTCCAAGTCGTATCTTGGATTACAAACTACCGTAGAGGTGCACACTACGGTGTGTCCTATAAGCCTCTGAGCTTGGCTCAGAAAGAGAGCTTCGTTGTAGCACACCTGTGTAGACCACAAGTACTGGGGCTTTGCTCCGGTATAGTAGATAGATGCGATTGCCGCTTCTGAAGTGGTAGAATCAAAAATTGTTCCGCCATTTGGCGAAGTGTCTTGTTTAAATTCATAGCATGTTCTTTCTCCACGCTCTCGTGCCCAGCTTCTCAATCTCTGGTACTTCGACCGGCCCTCTGACCTCCTCATCTTCCAGTGCTTCCACGACTGCCTCACCCACCAAATCCGCTTTCAAAGGCTTGATGCCTCCTGCTCCCATTAGCCACGTCAACCGTCCTCCGACTGCACTGTTTATCATGGCTGCTACGCCACCCGCTGCCGCAATGGGGAGAGTGAATGTGCGGCTGCTGTCGTACATGAAAGGCGCGCGAATGAAGATGGATCGCATGGTAGGGAAGGTGGAGGCGATGAGAGACTCGGCCTCGCGTTTCGTCGTGATATAGCGTGCTGGGAGGACGGGTGTGCCTGCTGCAGCGGAGATGTAGAGGTAGGTCGGAACTTTGCGTGTGGAGGCTTCTTTGGCTAGGGATACGGCTGTTTGAGCAACATGATTAGTCGTACGTACTGACAAAGGACTTTGAAAGAATGCAACATACCAGTGTCGCGATTCATAATTTCGTATGTGAGTTGTCCATCACTCTCCTGCGGCTGCAACTTCTCCCCTTCCTTCCGCGTCAGCGGGTTTTGGGTTCCAGCCTTGGTCTTGCTAAATGCCCGTTGCAGACCCTTGATGGGACTCTCCCGTCCGCTGACAACGCCTTTGTAATCTGCTTCCAGTAATATGCCCATGCTATGTATCACCGCATCTGCGCCTTCGAGGTGTTTGGTATACGACTCAGGGTCGAGGATGTCGCCTTTTTGCCATGAAACCTTGTCTGACCAGTCCGGTGGTGTTTGTGAGGAAGAGACGGAGGACCAATGTGGAGTGCCTGAACGCCTAGGATCTTGTCAGCAGAGGCTCAAGATAGTTTGAAAGAGGGATGCAATAGACGTACGAGATTGAGGTGACGCTCCAGCCCCTATGCGCTGCGGCTCTACATATTCGGCTACCTGTGTGCCATGTTAGCTAGCTGATATGCTGGCGTGGAGCTGTCACTCCAATTATCTAGTAGTCTTTCTGGGTTACATACCCAAGAAGCCATTGCCACCGCATACTACGAGTTTCTTCTTTGCAGCCTGGGCTGTTGTCGAGGCCATTGTTGTGCTATATGATGGTTGGTGGGTGAGCAATTGGAGTCAGACAATTGTTTGGTAGGAAAGTGATGGGAAGCTCCGAATGTTGATGTCACTCCACCGCCTAAGATCGAGCAGGGATGCGCGGAGATGCGGTAGACTTCCGCGTCTTGCATACAGGGCCACTTCATATTCAAACATGTACTGTCAATGAGATATATCTGTGTATCAGACAACGTGAACCAGTTAAAGGTATCATGGCGTTGTAATGCGCGTCGCGCTCAAAATTCTACCTATCAGAAGAAAGTCGATGTCGTCATGATGCTTTATATTAGTGTCGAGTAACCGTCTTCAAAGGGCCTGATGCCATTCGATATTGTGTCTGCTGTATTGCATCGTACCTCTATCCAGACAACAGCAAGCTCCGCCAATCGAACCATGCAGGCAATCCGGAACCTTTTCAAGAACGACCTCGTTCTGGTCGGCACAAACCTCACCGTAGTAGCCGGCGTTGCGACTTATCTAGGTATCACGCCATCTTTCATGTTTCCTTCTATCATGCAATCGTCATCTTTCGATTCTAACATCTGGATGCTACAGGCTCTCGGGTGGAGAAGAAACTGGACCGCATGGAAGAGGAACAGGAGGCGCGCATGGACGAGATTGAAGGAACACTACGCGGTCACATCGGCTTGATTGAAGACTCGTTGGACAGGATTGAAGGCAAGCCTAATGCTGGGAAGCAAGACAAATTGTACAACGAGAGGACAAGAGACGCGAAGGGAGGTGGTACCGGACAGAGCAAATAAGGTGGAGCCTGGGGCTGACAAGGATCAGCTGCTAGCTTCCGTTCCTGCATACCAGCGCGAGTTGTAGTTTGACCTTTGACAAAATACACGACACCACCACTTGCACGAATCACTTTGCACATTCTCTTTGTGCATAGTATAACATTGCGCCTGTTGGCAATACATTCACGCGACTGCGCCAAAATGCCTGCGCCAGCCTCCAATAAGCGCGTCAAGGCAAGTCGACCGCTTTGATATAGCTGTACGCGCATACTGATGATGGGCAGAACAAGCGCATCAGCCGGAACCTCAGTAAGACATGACGCTGCTCATGTGCCTATATATATATATATACATATACTCATTTACGCAGTAATCGGTTCCGAAGCCTGGCAGTTGCCCCCAGTAGGCCACCCCGACCGCCCCAAGGGCGTGCCAGACGACCACACCAAGCGCTGGACCGTATACGTGCGAGTACCCGACGGCGATCCCGATATCAGAGCATGGCTCAACAAAGTCTCGTTCAAGATTTTCAACACATACGAAAACCCGCTGCGCATGGTCGAGAAGCCGCCGTTTGAGGTGACCGAGACAGGATGGGGAGGCTTCAACATCGATATAAGACTGCACTTCCAGCCCATCTCAGGCGAGAAGGCGCAATACCGACAGCACTTCTTGCAGCTGGAAAAGTATGGTGACGACAAAATGCAAGCTGAGCAGGAACGGTCAGGTTGCGTGCGCTCCGAATTCCTCGAAGTTGTGCAGTTCAACGAGCCCACCGAAGCCCTCTTCGACGCCCTCACATCGGAAGACCAGTGGAACTACCTCATACCTGCCGGTAAGGGCGGCTCGAAGAAGGCATCGCTGGGCGCAAACGGAAGACTTAGGCGCGGCCTGCCCAATGGCGAGCGGAGCGCTCAGCTGCCAGAGAAGGGAGGCGATGAAGTTCCCTTCAGTCAGGAACAAGAGCAGGCACTACAAGATTTCTTAAAGCAAAAGATGGAGGATGTAGAGAAGCAGTTGGACAAAGAGGCCAAGAAGAAGGAAGAGGTAGAGGCTAAGCTCAAAGCATTACGCAGTGAGCTGGGGCACGAGGCTGCTCAGCAGGCAGCGCAGCAGGCTAGTGGAGACAGGAGCCGGCGCAGGTGAGGATATGTGGCACAAGCTCACGATGTTGATATCATGAGCCATGAATACCATGGATGCTACATCTCAGTTGGCATTGAACAACTGACGTGGTACAAGGGAGCGTGTTCGATAACTGCACTCATGCGCAACGACATACGCCTGTGAGCTGCAAACAAGATCATGGGTGGCGTCCTTCAGTCACCCTTCTCGGGCGAAAACGCCGTGCGGCTCCGAACAAAACTCGAGTTGCCGGACAATGACCAAGAAGAATCTGGAACAGCTATCTGTTGGTCCAAGTCAGGTCATAATTCGGGCATAAATGCATAGATGAGAGTCAAATCCCGAGCTTCAGGCTTTGTGTCGGCTTACCACCTGTACGGTACGTTGAAGCGACCATGGAGTCACGACTTTGTATAGTTCGTAATACGATCATAAGCAAGTCTCTTTCTCCGAAGAGATACGAGTACGAAAAAAATAATTCTAGACTTGGACCTTTTCCGATTGGTACCCTGTGGCATGACAGATGGATGTGCTGTGTCATATGTATGAGTGTATTGGGTATCGTATCTCTGCTCGTGTCGTCCGTAACCCATCCAAGTAATTCTCGATATTTCCAAAGTCGTGAACGCCCTCAAATGCCAAATGTGCCTTCCATAGCCAAAACACCTTCAATGCAAACACACCCTCGCTTATAGTCCCTCACATGTCGGCTTCTACTTCCATATCTTTCGGCTCCTTGGGCTCTTGCGATTCGTGGAACTGGATAGCGTCGTCGATATAGCTTAGCACGGCGCCCAGACTGTCCTCGTCCTGGACATCCAGCTTGAGAAAAGAGACCATGCTAAACCCATCAATAAGCTCGGCAACAGCCTTGTTCAGCTTGTGGAAAGATGATCCGCTCATCAGGCTCTCGGTCGACGCTGGGTCTCTGTATTTCCTCTCTTCCTCGGGTGTTGTCTTCTTGCGCGCCGGATCATCCTCGATCAAATCTGCATCGACATCAACGAATCGTTTGAGGTCGCGCTTCGCTATTTGTCCCTTCACCAGGTCCATCTTGCTCAGAATGTTGATGTGCGGCATTTCCAGCATCATCATGGCGCTCATGGCGGAGAGTGTGCCAGAGAAGAACTTGGGTCGGTCGACGACAAAGGTCGCTTCGAGGAGGTAGGCAGCGCACATGCGTATGTTAAGTGAACCCGTCATGAGGTGCTTCACCAGGTTTGGTAATATCGGTACGTGGGTGTACAACTCGATCTGGCCTGGCATGTCGAACACGATGAGGTACTCCTCAGTAACCTCCTCAAGCGGGTCCGTCAGCCAATCGAGGTTCTCCATGAGGAACTCAAAGCAGTATATCAGGCCGCCGTTGGGCCCCAAGCTCATCTCTTCCATGACATCTTCCAGGCTGATCAGATCCTTGATATCTAGATCGGGCTCGAATGCGAATTCTTCGGCGGCGGGATCCAGGTTCACGTAGAAACATGGACGTTTGCTGTTCTGGAGGTGCTGGATGAGGGCTGTACAAAAGGTCGACTTGCCAGCGCCTTAAAGGTACGTCAATGTATGTCTCGCGAATAATTCGTATAAGGACATTTCTCACCTGCTGGCCCCTATTCTTGTTAGTCTGCGATGATAGCGGTGAAAGAGCGATTAACATACCATAACCAGGGTTCCATATTTAGACATGTTCGCGGATGGTTTCTCAGATGATGCGGCGCGTCATTCGGCTACACAAATTCAGTGAAGGGTTCTGCCCGAGGCGGTGAGATGGGGGGGGAGTCCGTGGGATGTGGGGAGGCCGTTTGATTGGTTTGACTGGGCTGATAGGGCCTAACAACCGTGGAGGTACCTGGGTTTGAATAGCGTGATTTTAGCTTTTTTCGAAGGGTTCGGCAATTTGAGAGACGCCAAATCTGCGACGTGCATAAATCATCCACTCCCCCAAGTCGACCCCTCCTTTCCTCACCAACTCATTCTTCCGTCTATAAGAACGCCGTCGAAAGTCGTAAACTACTTCTCTTCGAAATCAACCGCCAAAATGACTGTCCCCAACGGAAACGGCAAGGTATGTCTAATGTACCCCTCCAGGATGAATTGCATCATTTTAACACAAAATCCAGAGCACCTTCCTCTTCACCTCAGAGTCGGTTGGCGAGGGTCATCCGGTGAGTTATGACTGTACGAAATACATGTGAGACATACACTGACTTCGCATCTCCACAACTGTAGGATAAGATCTGGTTCGTATCTTATTCTCTTTCTCCAATTGCTTTGGGAATCGTCTTACTTTTGAGCGATAAGACACGTATACGTTCGGCGTAATGTGATGGACGGCGTTCCCCACTTCCTGAAACTGCGACTTTCTCCACCGCCGAACACGGACGCTGACTGTAACCCAGCGATCAAGTCTCGGACGCCATCCTCGATGCCTGCCTCAAGGAGGACCCCCTCTCCAAGGTCGCTTGCGAGACCGCAGCCAAGACCGGTATGATCATGGTCTTCGGTGAGATTACCACCAAGGCCCACCTCGACTACCAGAAAATCATTCGTGGTGCCATCAAAGACATCGGTTACGACTCCTCCGAGAAGGGCTTCGACTACAAGACATGCAACGTCCTCGTTGCTATTGAGCAGCAATCGCCCGACATTGCTCAGGGTCTCCACTACGAGGAGGCACTCGAGAAGCTCGGTGCTGGTGACCAGGGTATCATGTTCGGATATGCCACCGACGAGACTCCCGAGCTCCTTCCTCTGACCGTCCTCCTCTCCCACAAGCTGAACTCGGCCATGACCAAGGCCCGCAAGGATGGTACTCTGCCATGGCTGCGACCCGACACCAAGACTCAGGTCACTGTCGAGTACGCCCACGATGGCGGTGCCGTCGTCCCTCTCCGTGTTGACACCGTCGTTGTCTCTGCCCAGCACAGCGAGGACATCACTACCGAGAAGCTCCGTGAGGAGATCAAGGAGAAGATCATTAAGCAGGTCATCCCCGAGAAGATGCTTGATGACAAGACCGTCTACCACGTAGGTTCTTCACAAACACAATTCGACTGTATACTGACAGATACCAGATTCAACCTTCCGGTCTTTTCATCATCGGTGGTCCCCAGGGTGACGCAGGTCTTACTGGACGTAAGATCATCGTTGACACCTACGGTGGTTGGGGTGCCCACGGTGGTGGTGCTTTCTCCGGAAAGGACTACTCCAAGGTCGACCGTTCCGCTGCCTACCTTGCGCGCTGGATCGCCAAGTCGCTCGTGAACGCCAAGCTGGCCCGCCGCGCACTCGTGCAGCTGTCATACGCCATCGGTGTCGCCGAGCCCCTCTCTCTCTTCGTTGAGACATACGGTACCTCCGACAAGTCCTCGGACGAGCTCGTCGAGATTGTCAAGAACAACTTCGACCTCCGCCCCGGTGTCATTGTCAAGGAGCTTAACCTCATCAACCCCATCTACTTCCAGACCGCTAAGAACGGTCACTTCACCAACCAGGAATTCACCTGGGAGAAGCCCAAGGAGCTCAAGTTCTAATTTTAATGCCTTTTGCATACAGTGCGCATGAATCAACTTCATCGCACATCAAGATTTAACGACGACATGGATCGCGAATGAGAAAGATTTGCATATCTTTGGGAGGCGGGTAAAGAGCCTTTTCAACAAGTGTTTCAACGGCGTCCAAGGGCATTTTTATACCCCATGATACCAGCCCGTTCTGTATCTTCCAAAAGTTTCATTTGCAGATTTCCTTTTCATATAGAGACGGCCTAGGGCAGGCTGTAGATACAAAGAGCTTCAACAATGGGGCCGCAGTACGTTGTCAACACGTACGTGAGATTTTTCGTGCGACAAGCGCGAATTGGTGGTGGCTGGGGTCGGCAGGGCAATGGAGAAATCAATCAAGAACCAGTTCGACTGCGCTGGAGGATCAAACCTTCAGCACAGTCAAGAGCGCTTCATCGACGCAACAATGTCTTTGTTCCAACTGCCGTGATGCGGGATTATGCGCTACATGATAACACTGGGTCCGGGACAAGGACAATGCATCATGACGCGACTTTGGTGCGTGAATTCGTAATACCTGGCTATCCTTTTCCGCATATCGTCGGTATAAAACCAGACCCCAAGATGAGCCGTTTCGGACTGCTATCGAAAGCGAGAGTCCTATGTTATCTTGCCAAGTAGGCATGTGACCTTGCGACTCATGATCCACTCCGACAATCGGCCTATCCGCAGCAGACATCGCGTCGAGGACGGGACCCGAGACATGCTGTAGGAAGAGTAGTAAATATATTTATACATACAAGAAAGTAATGGAAAACATCTAAATATTGGTGTTCTGATTTGATGCCCAATAGTGAAAGAGTAGAAATGCGCTTGTCGTGGCTTTATCCAAAGCCGGTATCCCGTCCATCCAACTCCTATAACCTATGCTCATGCTATGCGTAATGTCGTCTGTGCGTTCTAATGCCAAAAGTGATAAATGACGATGACCGTTCAATCGTCCAACCATGTCTCTTCTTCCCCTCTAGTTTCAAGGTATGTCGACCTAGCCGACTACACTTCCACTGCCTACGCTACCACCAAGGTCCCAGTAATTCCTTTGTGAGTTGCTACTCCTCTTGCTCTTCTTGGTGCTTTGACTAGCGCAGCTTGAGCTACTCCTCAGCTTTGTCTTGTCCTTCAAGCCACTGGCTGGAGGTGTGTAGTAAGTAGCGAAGCGACGTGACTCCCTCGAGTGAGGGGCGGACGACGTGGGGAGTCTACTATCTGACGTCGTCCGATTTACCAAAGGGTGGTGTTGGCGGATAATGGCTGCTCGGCGGGCGGAGCTAAGATTGTTGTCGTTTGTAGCTGTAGAAGGGGCGCTAGCGGTACGGATGGGTTGGGTTGGGAGGACAGGTTGCGAAGAGGAGATGCTGGGTCGGCGCGACGAGAAGCGTTTCATGAGAAAGTTGAAGATCATCTTTACGTCAATTTCGCGTTCCCAGTACTCGCGCTCTCGGGCTAGGTCATCGGCGATGGTTGTGGTGGGAACGGAAGGGTTGTGGATGTGAGAGGAGGCCGTTGCTTCAGTATCGGTTTCGGTGGGCTCTTCTTCGATACCCCAAAGTGATGCTTCGCTGTAGGTGTTTGAGGTTTGCGCGGGGAAGGTAGGTGCGAATTGAGCAGAGGAAGGTGTTGTGGTAGGTTGTGAACTTGGTATCGAGGACAGGGGCTCAGATACGACTGTCGTGTTGGATATTACTGGCGTAAGACCCGCGTACTCTGGTGTTAATTGTGTTCGCTGGTATGTTGAGAAAGCTCCAGGATGCTCAGAAAGCTGATTGACTAGTGATCCCAGTTCCTGGGCTACTCTTTCGAGCAGCTTTGTCTGCCAGGTATCATCGGAAAAACGGGAGGCGTCGATGCCTGCGTCTTGTAGAGCCTTGTCTGCTGAGAACTCGATGGCGGGTGATCCTGGTGTGGGTGTTGCGGCCTCGTCAGGTAGAGCCTCTCCAAAGATGACCGAAAGAGTGTCTTCATCCAGGCCGATAAGATCCCTGATGACCCGTCGCGTGATCCGTTGCCAGAAGGAGAGATTCTCGGTGCCTTCCTCTGAAGAGTCGCTCGCATCTGACACGGATTGCGCAGTGTGTGGTTTTGTGCTCGTTGTCGCCTTTTGCGCATCAGCCCGACTCGCTCCATTGCTGACCATGCTCATTCGCCGCCTCCGCCTTGTCTCCTTCTCGATCTCTTCCAGCAATGCTTTGCTTTGCTCAAGTCGCCATCTCTCGATGCGCTGTCGCTTCTCCTGCTCTGTGTTGGTCTCCTCGTGGTCATCGAGGACGGAAAGGTGCCGCTGCACGCTGGAACGTCGTCTGGGTGCTCGTCGCCGCTGTCGCTCAAACTGCCACATGTGTTCCTGCATAGTTGCGTCCGGCTTGAACTCGCCCAATCCATCATGGGTCGGTAGTACAGTATCACCGCTTTCCTGCAGCCTGCTTTGTAGTCTGCTCAACGGCGCACCATATTCAGATGGCTCATGGAAGGCATGTAGCCCGTCGTCTAAGCTGTCTAGCTCCTCTTCTGTCCCAAGAAACGAGCCACCTTCTTCATCTTGTTCCGACTGCGCAGCAGTCTCGAGTGAGCCAAACTCGCTGAAGCGTGACAGGCCAGCTGTCCGTGGCGTTCGGTCGGTCGAGGTGGTATGTGTGCGAGTGGTAGCAGAAGGCGCACTCGGGGAGAAGAGGACCCATTCTTCTGACTGGTCCAAGGTTCGTACAGGCTGTAACAATGCCGTCGCGGGTTCGGTGGTGAGTTCTGGTGCGTTGTAGGAGACCTGTCGGCCAACCTGCGGTCGATGTTGCTGTATGGCCGCCATGGCGTAGTAGTCTAAGTTGGGCAGCGATGTAGGTTGTAGTAGTGGCGATGGAGGAGTCAGGTCCTCTTAGGCAAGGCGCGAGGACGTGGCACAGATGATATGTTGATAGGGTATGTTGCGAGGTGATAGTATGGTATAAACGCGTCGCGGTAGGGGCAGCGTGTTCCTTATCGTCTTGTTGGCTTCATGCCTCGTTGCGACGTTGACCACTACCCTAGCGGTGTGAGGGGGATGGCCTGCGGGCAGGTGTACCTATGATGTCCACACAGACGTCGCTAGGGACACGCTAAACGAAACAAGCCGTCTACTGCAGGCGGCGGATGATCAGTCGCAAGACCGGTAGCACAGGACGTGATTAGCCTTATCTAAAGGGGTTTGAAACACGCAGGAAACAGGAGATATGGGAAAGGCAGCAGAAATATAATCTAGCGAAGATGTGTCAGAGGCTGAATCTAGGCTGGGGCGCTGAGGTTTACATACACAATAGGGAGATGCAGGTGAAGGGACCATCCCCCATGCACGCCAGCTCGCAGCTTCCCTGATAAGATAGACTGCTTAGCCCCGCCGCATCAACCTCCCCCACCAATCGCCTACTACAGACGCTCTGAGTGATGATGAGATGAGCCAACAATGACTTATCTCGCGCCATAACACGTATGCCCTGACTCTGCGAAACCGAAGAAGGGCCTGAAACGTTTTCTAGCGACGGCAACTTACCAGCTAGAAAATGATGCGCGTCTGGGAAGTTCGTCAATGGTCACGCCATTACGCATAGCATGCGCTCATAGAGTCGCACCCCTTCACCCCTGCCTCTACAAGCCCGTCAGACTGCATGCGGCAAGGCGCAACCGCATGCTACTCTCATCACCAACAGACCCTCTGCGGCTCCGTATGCAGATGCAGCCGCCGAGCTGACTGTGGCCATGAATCCCGAAAAACCTTGTGAAGCATCGTCATGTACAAAACGTAGTCCGAAAATCCGAAAGTGTTGCGTCACAAACAGCTATTCCCCGAATCTTGCCCTCTCCGATCATCGCCCCGATTCGGCGAGTTGCTGCCCGCTTGACTTACCCAATAGAGGAGTCCAGGTGAATGTATACCAAGCACGGCAAGGAACAACTCTTTGCAGAGTTTGATATGGAGTCGAGTTGCCCCTTGAGTCACGACGGCTACGTCAGACTCAGTTTGTTTTGTGAGCAGCGCCACTGATGTGCGCAAAAGATCTGTAGGATGAATAAACATATGCGCATGCTGTGCTACTTAGGTATCTCCAAACGACGCTAACCAAGTATGGTACGGATACAAGAAAACGCCGTGCAGCTATACAGTGAGTGTCAACAAAACGTCGCTATCGATAATGTCATGTTCTCGTCAATCGCATCTTCAAGACGCCGAATCATACTCGGCACCGAAGATGCGCTTCGCGTCTTCCTCGTTCATCTCCTCACCTTCGCCGACATCAGTCCACCTCTTCGTGATGCGTGATTTCTCTCCGGGTCGTCCTTTGAGCACGCACTCACCGTTGCCTTGACAAATTTCTTGTCGCCCTAGGTTCTTGAAGCGGGGGCCTAGCGGTCCGTTAACGTAATGGTACTGGCCCAAAAAGCGGTATTGTCGAGGGTCGCTAAGTGGGTAAAACTTATCGCCCCAGTGGCCAGCAAAATAGAACCACGAGGTAGGTGCGCGCGGGTTAAGGTTGGATGCAACCAGTCGGTCAGATCGATAGTCGTACTTGTACGAGTACATGTTCATGACGGGATCCCAGAGAGGACCACGGTCAGTCACATCGTGCAGAATGCCACCGGGTAGGACGTATGGATGTACACCTGCTGTCGCGTACATGGCGTGGGTACCGGTGGCAGAGAAGCCGATGGGCTAGACATGTTAGTTTCGCATTATAGCGCTAGGACAATAGACTCACCCTCTGTCCACTCTTCTCTACAGCGTCCCATGTGTACGCTTCACCAAAGCTATGCTCACTGAAGAACACTGCCTTGGGCTCGCCATGCTGAAATCTGACCACTGTGTGTTCCCAGTCACCGACGTGGTTGCCGAAGCGGATGTTGAACACAGCATTTCCAAGGTTGTAGCTGTAGAAGAAGAACCAGAAAGCGTCAACCACACCATCACCCTTGTCTACTACAACCAACGGGACGGGCGCATCACTTCTACCACCAACAACCTTCTTGCCAGTGAAGCTGCGGCGACTGTAACGCAGCTCTGGTCTCCAATTCTTGTCATCGTTGTCATCAACAAGCTCATCGCCTTCATTTGTGTTCGAAGGGACTGGAAGCCCTGGGGCTGTGGGGTCTGGCCGGATACCGCCTCGGTCCCTAGTATCGCCATCACCTACATGCCACCAGCTAGACTTTTTGCCATCCTTGTCCTCTATAAGGTGTCCAGGAGGCCCGCTATGGTAATCGCCATCATTGTCTTCATCGTCGTCATTTCCATCACTTGGCGCATTGGGTATGTTGTAGTCCGCACCCAACCACGACGGACGGTCCTCGACATTGTCATCGCTCTGGAGATATACAAATCGTCCCCACTTGTTAAGGTCTCCAAGATTGCTGATGTTCGGGTGATCACTAGATGCTTGCAGAGGCGTATAATTCAGATGTGGTGTGGTGTGTATCAAGTGTTCTGCCATATCTCCTGGCCAGTACTCCTCTCCCGAGAAGAGATGAATGAGCGGCGCGTGGTCCAAAACATATTGCGGTATCTCGAGTGCCTCGTCCGGCGTATAATCAGCGGGGATGTTCCGCGCATCGTTCCAAAAGTCATTCAAGTTCAACTTGACTTTATCCCTGTCCTCCGTTGTCTTCTGGCTGTGGGCCTTGAATGTCTGCGTAGTCCATTGTGCCTTGTTCAGGTGCGACAGGCCACACATACCGAACCAACCACAAGCCTTCCGGTCTACCCAGGACCGTGACGATGCGACCCATTCCGCCTCGTCTGCGCGTTCGCTCGAGGGGGTCAAGCTTTCAAAAAGAACGTTTTGGTATAGTTGCGAGAACGAGAACAATCCAAAGAAGGTGCCCGCAGCGGCGATGGCGGGTTTCCTGCCCTTCATTTGAACGTCGCCCTCGTTCAACGAGTTGTCGAGGCCAGCGAGAGACGTGGAAGCTTCCGCAGCTGGCTTTGATGGGGAAGAATGCGCTATAGGAATGTCGATGGTAGGTAAGGTCTGGGTTTCAGAAGCGTCCTGCGCAGCGTTTGGTGATTCGGTTGGAGGATATATTGCTATCGGAGCGTACTCAGGTACATTTATTGAAGATATGGATGACGAAGGAAGCGATGACGGAAGGACCGCCTGAAGTGGGACCTGCCCTCCGCCATGTTGAAGGTATGGGACAATGGGCACTGACTGGTTAGCTTTCCATCCAAATCTCGAACAGGCAAGGCAGGGAACGTTTGGCGCGGAGTAGGAATGGCCTGAAGCCGATACTGCCGGATGGCTGACAAAAAGCTGTCAGGTGTGGCAGGTGTGGCTTCGAGATCTGGCAATCGACCATGCGACGCGATGCCGGTGATGGCAAGTGTAGGTAAGAAGCGGCATGATCGGCAGCATGGAGGCCATCGCAAGGTCCACAAACATGTGAATTGAGCTAATGGCATATGCAAAAGTGGGGAGGGCGCGGAGGTGACGGAAAGGTCATGATGACTTGAAGTGCTATAATCTGGCCGGACATGCGCGGAAGCACACTTACTGATGCGGATAGAAGGCCGTAGCCAGCCGATTTGGTACCAAAACGAGACTGGGAGGATTTGAAGCGTTCGATGTGAGCTTACGCACAATGCAACAATAGAAGAGGATGCGCGATGGAAGCTTGAATTGAGGTGGCGCGTATCTTTGGTGTTTGATGCATGTCTGATAGCTGCCGGCTGGGCGCACGTCGTCACCACTAGTCAGAGATGCAGCGGGGACCTCGGCAGCCATGCGGCTCGCAACTTGGCTTCCAGGCACGGGCTGCTGCACACCCATTATCCACACTATGGGGAGGGGTTGAACGGTCTTAGCTGTGGCTTGTTGCATGCTTCTGCCACTCTGTGACGGATTTGGATTGTGGAAGTCCCCAGACAAGGGCTAGATGGGAAGCATGGGGACGAGGTCTGTTTAGCAACGCCCTTGTCGGTTGATCGCGCTATAGAAAAAAGAAGCATGGTAGGCTGAGCGCAATGATATTCATCTTACCACCATCTTACTGGCAAAAGAGAACTCGCAAGAGCCAAAAAAAATAGAACTGTCTCCCCACCATGAGTCGAACAAGGGACCTTCTGATGACAGCAGATATTACAGTCAGACGCTCTGAACCAACTGAGCTACGGGGAGAGTGTTTCGTAACGAAACCGTACTTGGTTTGGATGGAAGAACGATCAGATACGCCGTTGATAATCTCGAGCATCTTGGGCGAACTGCGTCGTGCTGAGGCTAGTTTTCACGCAAATTCGCCATCAATCCGTACACTTTCGTCAAGCAGCCCCACCACTGCTAACCTTGCAATCCTTCAAGCTTGCGCCAACGCACGACGAAGCCGCTAACCATGGCCAGACCCGAAGAGGATGAATGGGAGTACGAGTACGACGACAATGAGACAGAAGATTTTTATATCCCGCTCGACTTGTCCAATGTCCCCTCTGCGCAAATTCCCATGGTCTCGCAGGGTAGACCGGGTCACCCAACTTTACTCAAGAGCAGATTGCGTGCGCTGAATGCAGCGCGAGGTCAACCAGCCGAATTCGCTGCCAACAACAACAACAACGATGTGCAGGAGACGGCTACCATGGGAGAAGTCCAAGTCGTCGGCCTTCACACACCCAATCCACTGATTATGTATAACGGCCAGTTACTAAGTTGCCATTGGACGTCGACCATCGGAACCGACATGTTTTTCGTGAAGCCAGATGCGAACGCTTCGACTCAATCACAGGTCCTGCGGTCTCTGCCATCAGTCGACTTGTTGGCCCTGGGATCCGCAAAGCTGGTAGCAAAGGTTGGACGTCTGCGACCACGCGATGATCTTGTCGACAACGCTGGCGATGCAGGACAGGCAGCTGAGGTCACGCATACTCCAGGCGATAACCAGAACGCTGCGAGGAATATCCCGACCCATGCGAACACCCAGACTGCTACAGGTAACCAGGGCGCATCCGCGTCCTCGAGCTTTCTCGCCAGGCTGAATGAAGCCAAAGCAAAGAGAGGAGAGAAGTCGCGCTTGGCAATCGCGAAAACGTCAGAAGGCTCGCATCTGGTGGCGGAGAAGGCAGTGATAGGCTCTGCTGGCGCAGATTCTAACACGTCGAAAACACATGATGACTCGCCTATGGGTGGCACATGAGGTGCATAGGAAAGCAGAGGCCAAAAGAAGTAGGACCGCTGTATGCTCCTTTGTACGAACGAGTAGTGGCGCAACCTTGAACATGGACAGGAGTATGAAAATTCGAGGCCCGATGACTGCAGATGTTTCGACACGATATGCAGAGCATGGTAGGACAGAGCGTTACGACAGAGTATCTGCAACGAAGTTGCGCCACCATGTATGGCACGAGCCTTCCACGCCATCACCAGTGCGCCTACCACATAGTAAAACGTTTGGAGGTATCTTTGTTCCAGATCGCACATGGCAATTCCTTCTGACGCGGGCTCTATGCACTCGATCGTCTCTTACCTTAACCTATGATATTTTACTTGACTTCCCTTATCTCTTACTTTCTGCACATAATCCACCTCTACCTATTCCCGATGCAGCGATTACCAGGCAAGCTCAGTATCCGCATAACTCCAGAGCAGCCTGTAAACACTCCCGACACTCTCTCCTTACATTGGCTGTTTGGCAAAACCGGTGGATACGTGACCCGCCTCAAGGAGGATTACCGGCAAGATACCCCGAATGAATTGTTCACATCTGCGAAAGCTGAGGCACGAATCATAAGAGAGGTTGCGGATTGGCTGCAGTCGCAAGAATGTGATGAATTCTGGACGCCCAAAGCACGGCAGCCTCGTCGAGTGAGCTACCTGTGTAATCGGCCTGCTTCAGTCCTGACATGCATAGGCGCTTCCTACTGCTACCCAGCTACTCCAACAGTTAGAAAACTACGAATTCCTGTCAGCTACCTCTTCAAGCAAGACGACTGCTTTTGAAACCCTCGTCTGTGTCATTGCTTTGCAATTACTAGCAGCTTCCTATACTCACCTACCCCCTTCGAGCGCAAATCATATTCCTTTGTCCCAGCAGCGCAAGGGGACGAGATTCATTACAGCTCTACGATATCATTCTCATTACCGCTTCTCTCCAGCCGCGGGTCATCAGGCCCGCCCACCTTCCGAAACGGATTCATGGCCCGATCTTTACGCTGGGCCATCGAACGAAGAGAAGTTAGCACATCATGTCAGTCAGAAACGCAAATCACGCAAGCAAAGCAGCGATTGTGTTCTACAATTCGCGGCAAGCGGGTGGACAGACGGGCCGCCAGCCATTGTCGTAGGCGAGGACTCACGAAGCTCCTTATCAAGAGAGTGCTCTAGCTCATCGTCGGAGCCTGGATTCTTCTCACGACTCATATGTCAGGCAGCAGTGCCAAAGAACTATCGTCGTAAGCACAACACCATGTTTCTGAACCGAGCCCGAATTTCTTCGAAGAAAAAGAGGCAAAAGCAGTTGCGCTTTGAACACACGCATGAGAATCGCTATGAGTGTCAAGACATCAGTTCTCAGCCAGTTCAACGTATACCCTCAGTACATCGTCTCCGGCATACCCAGTCGGCTCCGCGAATCGAATTCGAGACGGAAGAGGCGACCCCTGTCGAAAGTCCACAAGACGGAAAACGTCACGGCTCAGACCCGTCCATAGGAAGCCCACTCAACTACTCTTTTGAAATACCTGAAATACATCGTACATCTATTACACCAAATGCAAGTTGGTGTCCAGGGTCTTCTGAGGAAGGTATGATGAGGGCTTGCGGACGAGGCGACCTTATCGCTCCTCAAAAATATTTCGACGATATACCAGACACGCCAGAATTTGAACGCCACCAGCAATCTCAATGGAAGATACCCCTTTGGCGACACAGATACACTGGCCCCGTATCGCCGCCCTCTACTGTCGCATCCTCCCAGTCAGCCGTGTCGAGTCTGATCACATCGGCTGTTGACTACTTCACAGAAGTATACACTGACAAGCACATCACCCATCAGACTGACAACTGTGAATTCGCTGCAGAAGAACACAGCGACGCTGGTCCAGGACTTGAAGATGACCCAAGGCTGCGAAAGATGCTGGGTGGTATCGTGACCACGCCCTGCGAGGATGAATCAAGTGATAGTGACATGGAGAGAAACAAGAAAAGGAAGGGCATCAAAGAATCAGAGGTCACGGTTTGCGAGCTTGCAGAACGTTTCCGAGGCAAAACAGGAGACGGGATCGACCATTCAATGGCCAAAGTCATTTGGTGATACTACATATATGTTACAGAAGAACTGATGGTATGCACGAAGCTGGCTTATCTAGACACCCTGCTCCTACGCGAGACTACCTAGGAAGCTTTGCTTCAGCAGCAGTTCTGTACATCCTGTAAATATAAGTCGACCGTAATCCCAGGACAGGATTGTCAAAATCATTCTCCCTCTTCTCGTGTAGCTTGAAACCAACTTTCTCCAAGACATTCTGACTAGATGCCAGCTCGGTATCGGTATGTGCCTCTGCATAGTCGTATCTCGGCGCAAGCCTGTTCCTGATGATCCTGTCATCGCCTTCTGTATGCTCATCCTTTGTACTTTCATTGTGTGCGGCTCGTCCGAGGACTTCTGGCATGTAATTTGCCAAGTCGCGTCCCGAGTAATGCTCAAAGAACAATGGCATAAATGCGCGCAACGCTTCGGTGGCATACCCATGGCCCCAGTATGAGGCATTGAACATGTAGCCGATCTCTGGGGCCCGGACTGCTCCGACCAGTCCGATGACATCGGGGCCTTCGTGTGGCGCTAGGAGGACGATTGCGAAGTTCCAGTTCCCTTCAACCTGGTGGCACTGCCGATGGTTAGTACATGTATAATTGTAATTGATGGGACGATATGCTTACACCTTGTATCCATGCTTTCGCACCCTCAAGATCATCCGAAGGGAGAATAGAAGTATGCATCATAACCTCCGGATGCTTCCGCATCAACAATATGTCCTCTGCATCTTCGAGGCGCAACGGTCGCAACAGCAGCCGTTCGGTCCTCGCAAACAAATTCGGGTCAACCACCACCATCGTCTCCAGCGTGTGGAATGAGGATTGAAATTCGAGCCATTGTTAGTCGTGTGTTGTGCGCTGATTAAGACTCACATCGTGTCGTGTCGTGTGTCATCAAGCTGGAGCAAGGCCTGAGCTGTACCTCGCAGGAGAACAAACACGCTTAACCCTTCTCAGACACCGACAGCTCCCGTTCCACGACCACAGCTGTTCAAACACACCGCATCCACAACGTCACAACCAATCAAGATGCCGTCCTGAACTTAATTTACATCATTTCCAAAGCTTCCTCGTCATTTCCGGTCAGACCCAGGCTTTACCATGTCGAAGTCAATACTTTCCGCTTCCGCGAAGGGAGCCACCTTTCTCATCCTACTGCAGGTGGCTTCTCGGGCGCTGACGTTTGCCGTCAATCAGGTTCTGTTGAGGTTCCTATCACCAGAGTTATTGGGCGTTTCAGCTCAACTTGAGCTCTTTTCCATCTCCGTGTTGTATTTTGCGCGCGAGAGTCTGCGTGTGGCTTTACAACGGCAGGCACAAGGAACGCAGGCAGTCGTCAACCTTTCATATTTGGCTGTCCTGTTCGGCACGCCTCTGGCGTATCTTCTCGCGCTACTATGGCTGCGATCCGATACGCCGCATGTTCCGTACTTTGTGGAAGCGTTGCTTGTGTATTGTCTGGCCACGTTCTTGGAATTGCTCAGCGAGCCGGCATTTTCGGCTGTACAGCAGAAGCTGCTCTACAAGGTTCGAGCATCGGCTGAGAGCTCTGCTACTTTGCTGCGCTGCATCGGTACATGTGGCTCAGCGATCTTGGCTAGTCGAGCTGGTCTAGACATCGGAGTCTTGCCATTCGCTATCGGACAGTTGGCGTACGCCTTGGCTTTGCTCATCGTGTATTCGTACAAAACGTGGCCTGTTGCGAAGAATGATGGCTTTTCGCTGTTCCCGGAAAGAGTTCCATCAACTCAGGAGAGTCCGACTTTGATAAACTACTTCTCGGCTCCTCTTTTGCGACTGACTGCGTCTCTTAGTCTGCAATCGGCTCTGAAGTACGTTCTCACCCAGGGGGACTCTCTTCTTATAACAACATTGGCATCTCTCGCGGATCAAGGCGCCTATGCGCTTGCCTCGAACTATGGAGGCTTGATCGCACGCATGCTTTTCCAGCCCATCGAAGAAAGTAGCAGGAACATGTTTGCAAAACTATGCGCCAATGTAGGATCGTCGCCTGGAACAGAGAAGAAAGATCCGAAGAAGTCAAATGAACAAAAGGACAACCTTGCGCAAGCTTCTAGAGTCTTGTGTACCATACTTCGTCTTTATGGAATCATCTCCTTGTTTGCAGTCACACTGGGACCTGAACTGGCTCCGGTGCTCCTTTCCATCGTCGCAGGGCAAAAGTGGTCTGCGACCTCGGCTTCAAAGGTGCTGTCAACGTACTGCTACTACATACCTTTCCTCGCTATCAACGGAGTGACTGAGGCTTTTGTAGCCGCGGTGGCCACCAACAAAGAGCTATATGCACAGTCCGTTTCCATGGGCATCTTCTTCGCACTCTTCGCAGGCAGTGCATGGTTCTTTATTGGGAAGCTTGAGATGGGAGGCAATGGCGTGGTGCTTGCAAATACAGTCAACATGGGTCTGCGTATCGTCTGGAATACTTGGTTCATCAGGAGGTTCTTTTGGAGCAACGGCTCCGAGTTCAATGTACTCGAGACGCTGCCTTCCCTTACCGCGGTGGCACCCGCTGCCATCATACCTACATTGATGCGAACAAAACCTGCAATCGGATTTGTTGGAAGGTTCGGCGTCCTTGGAGACCTAATTAGTATGGGTGCAGTGGCCGGTATCTACGTTCTGCATGTTCTTTTCTTCGAGCGGCAGTTTCTTGTTGACTGCTATGGTATGCTTCAGCCGTCGCGTTCTGCTCAGCAATCGAAGAAACCGGATTGAACGAACATGCTAAGAGTCGAGTGCTTTGTAGGGCTCATAAAAGGGCAACACTCGCTTTTAGTTTGAATGATACCTACTATAGGCTTTCAGCCCTTCCCAGCTAGCCGTACGCCCTTCTGCCATGCACAACAGGTAGTCAATCTCATCTCCTCCGTGTTGTATCTGTACTTTCAGTTGTGATTGGTTCAATCAGGTTTGTTGCTGACAACAGCCTTTTTGACGTTCGCTCGATATCTACCAAGCTTCCCTTCCCCAAAGCTGACCGCGATTTGCGAATCATCATAGCAACGATACCTTCCACCACGCTACTTAGCGACTACAGAGCAGGACCGATCTCGCGATCTATTCCTTCACAGACACTTCCGCCTTCGTCACGGCCGCGGGCGTTGAAGGTTCCTTCCCAGGTTCATGGTCATCACCTTGTATGATTGGTCGGGCTGCTAGTGCCGAAGTTTTCCTTCGTGCAAGCAGTGGGACACCCCGCTACGTCACCACGAACACAGGAAGTTCACCCCAGAAAACACTGCGCATCACCGGACACTGTCGCTACAACCTCTCAAGTAATCTGGGGGTAATAGAAACTACGTTCCGAAACCTGGGGGTAATCAATATCACTCTTGCATAAAGCGGGAACACCAAAAACGCCGCTACGAGTTTCCTGGGGGTAAGAGAAACTAAGCCTCGAACTGGAACCCATCAATCACGCCATCGAAATTCTACGGCTCGCACCGTCTCTTCCGCTTACTTCTTGGCTGACATCTGGAGCACCAATAGCAAATCTGGGGAACCTGCGCTACCAAAATGGTCACGACAGACGAGTCAAGACACCTCCATGGGTTGGTTGACATGGGCAGTAATGGCATCCGCTTCTCAATCACCGAACTGACGCCAGGGACACAAAGAATTTTGCCGACTGTGTATCTGGATCGGGCAGCTATTTCATTATATGACGCTCAATACGAAAATGGCCAAGTCGTGCCGATTCCAGAAGCTACGATCAAGCAAGTGGTCAAGTCCCTGTTGCGTTTCAAAGCGACGTGTGAAGACTTCGGCGTACCCGAGAAGCAGATTCGCATTGTAGCTACGGAAGCTACCAGAAAAGCTAGCAATTCTGAGGACTTTCAAAATACGATCAAGGATGCTACTGGCTGGACCGTTCAACTTCTGTCGAAAGAGATGGAAGGCCGGGTCGGAGCGTTCGGTGTAGCAAGCTCATATCATAGGCCAACAGGGCTCATGATGGACCTAGGTGGAGGCTCTACGCAGATCAACTGGATGTCTAGTCGGGTCGGTTACGATGAAATTGAAATGTGCGAGAAAGGAAGTGCAAGCCTTCCGTACGGTGCTGCTGCTCTTACGAAGAGGCTTGAAGAAGCAGGCTCTCCCGACAGCGATGCTTTCAAGACGTTCGAAAGTCAAGTTCTCATGGACCTCAAAGCTGCAGTTCGAGACATAAAGATACCACAGCATCTGCTTGATCGTTCACATTCACCCGAAGGCCTTTCACTCTATCTGTCTGGCGGTGGCTTTCGTGGCTGGGGCTTCGTACTCATGTCGGAGCATGCAATCCAACCATATCCCATACCTATCATTAACGGGTTCCGTACCACCAAGGATGCATTCCTTGATACTCAGGCTATACAAGCTGCCGTTCAAAAAGAGGATACTCCTGAAATCTTCCGTGTATCGGCTCGCAGAGCAAGTCAGGTTCCAGCAGTAGCTTTCCTGGTGAATTGCTTGTCTAAAGCACTACCGAGTATCAGGGACGTATACTTCTGTCAAGGAGGTGTAAGAGAAGGCATGTATTTCGCCGAGATGAACCCAGCAAACTGGTCGGACTGGCCCTTAGTGGCTGCCACAAGATCGCATGCCAAGCCGTCGAGCCATGAGTTTGTGGAAGTTTTGCAAAGAGCCAGTATGTCTATGCCAACAGCGTCGCACCAAGAATTGTTCAGCATCGGTATGACGAGAGCATTCGCCTATACTATGTTTGCACACATGGCTCAAGTCAAGGATCTGCGAGCTGGATCTGCGCTTCGAAGCACTACCACCGGATTGTTTTCCGCCGCACATGGTTTGAGTCACGAAGACCGCGCGATACTTGCCATCTTCCTCTGCGAGCGCTATGGCGGTTACAGTTCAATAAGTCCTACGGAGCAGGACTTCTACCGCCGAATGCTGCAACTCGTGCCAGGACACTTGCAATGGTGGTGCATGTATACTGGTCGCGTTGCTGCAGTTTTGGCCAGCATATATCCTGCGGGTGTGGTTCGGGAGAAGAGAGTGGAACTGACTTCCCAATGGACGACGACAAAGAAAGGAAACGAGAAGTTGTGTGTAGACTTCAAGTTTAGTAAGGAACCGGATGAACTTGACGAAGGGCTCAATGCAGCACTGAGAAAGGTGGAAAAGGCGGGAAAGAAGAAGAGCTGGATAGGAGGACGCGGATACAAAGTGGTTTTGACGATCAATGGCAAGGAATACAGTGAGGATGATTAAGGGGCAGTCTTTGTGCTTTCGGCTCTCCGACAGAGTCGTGGTGGCATAGTCTAGATTCTAGACTCGCACGAGAATAGAACCTTAATTGTTCAGCACAGTGGCGAAGATCGTGAAATCCAGGCCTTTGTAATCGCGGGTGGTACAGCAGCTGACATGGGGAAGCATCGTGACACGGTGGGCGGTGTATAATGACGGCTTCACTGGTCGTGCAATGGCCATGGCTCGGAAGCGACGGGGCATCGTGACCTGCGGCGGGCTGGATGACTCCCCGCCTCATTACCGATCAGCAGCAAATATGGTGCAATGGATCCTGTAATGGCCGGATGGGGACCACGTGCAGCACGCAATCCAGTACCAAGGGGCCACGTACAGTCATGGAAACCGTTTGGAGACTCTGCCAAGGATCGTGAGTTCTGCAGGACGCGTAGTGGGGAGTATGGTATTGAGACACTACTGCAACAGCTGCAGCTCATGCAGGCAAGGCTAGGCTTTCTCGGCATCACTGGGGAAAACTCTGATGCGGCTTTTTTGCAGGTCATGTTCTTTTGAGTACTGAAGCACCGGCTTGGGGGCCCCGTTCTAATTACGTGAAGTCTGGGTGGTACGGTGCAGCGCTAGCGGGCTTACCCATGCACCTCCGCAAATTCGGCTTGCGGCGGGCCAGTTCAGGTACGCCGCCGCCGAGCATCCAACGACCATGAGACGAGACGAGAAGGGTTATAAAGGCAACGGGGTCCGCTCTTGTTGCTGGGTTGGAAGGTACTCTCATCGGCTGCAAGCCTCATTCTCCTGTACTCTATCATCTTATCTTGTTATCATCCACATCCAGGGTTATTGTTTCACCGTCAGGTACCTGGAAGATTGTAGCGTTGTACCGACATACTTCGCTGTCACTCACATCCTGACTGGCATCGGACGTGTTAAACGGGTATACGAGCTACTGCAAGATCTGCCTGTACACAATTTGCTCTCCCGATTCCGCAGACCCATCAAACAAAGAGCGGTGGATCATCTGTCCAATTGCCTCTACTATCCTTATCCGAAGCGGTGATCGACGGCTGCGGCTCGTTGGTTGTACTAGAAGGTAAGCTAACGTTCCTGCATCATAGCATTTTACGAGGCCCGAAATAGCGGTGCATCTGACATTCTTCGTATATCTGTATCGAACGGCCGACTAATTATACGTTTGTAGGCTTGGTTTCGACTGCCCCTCTATTCAAAGCCCCACTATCGCGCGATCGACCAAACTCGTTGCGCTTTCTTACCACGCCTGACGCGTCTCACTAAGCACGCATTTCTACCAGGCTTTGTCTCAATCGCTATACAGCACCTTTTTGGACAACTCACAGTTCAATTGCACACGCCCAGCATGGCTTCCACACCAGTTGATGCCGCAAATGGCCACCCGGCTCAGCACAAGCAGCTCGAGCAGCTCCTTCACACCCCAGACCGCCGCCCTTCACCTCTTCCCACACATCTGAGCGCACCAGGCTCAGGAAGCTCAACGCCGCGAATGATTCCCCAAGAGGGATCGGGCGGTTCCGGCTATGTTGCTCCTGTGTTCGAGGGCAAGGCACAGCAGATGGAGGCCGTCATGGACGGTGTCGAGGAGAAGGGCTTCATGCCCCCAGAGCTCGTAGAATCAGAAACCAAGTGGTTCTACAACGAGCTGGGCATTGACGACATGTACTTTGCTACCGAGACGGTAGATGCGTAAGCACGGCTGCAATTCCTACGGCGACTGCGCTAACAAACGTCACAGAATCATCAGCCACATCCACTCGCTCTACGCCGCAAAGGTCGCCGCATATGCCAGAGACGACAAGCGTCTTGAGATCAGGCTCGACAAGGAAGCTGCCGACCACGCCGTGTACATCGATACCAGCAGGCCCGGCGTGAGTGTCATCGACGGCCCTCAATACGAGCAACGTTTGGGCAAGAAGTATCTGGCTGTATCCAAGCCCGGTCTGGCATACCGTGTAGAGAGCTTCCGCTCCGAGAGCCCGCTGCCAGGAAGCGAAGACCAGCAATTGCGATGCTATTTCGTCTACCAATGCGACTTTGTCGACCCCAACCCCAGCGAGACGGAGACCGACATCGAGAAGATTGGTGACAAGCGTTTCCTGCAGAAGGCGACCAAGAACACCAAGGAGGTTTACCAACAGATTCTCCAAGTCGCTGTAGAGCGGACGGGCCCGGTCATTGACCATTTCGATATCGAAGGCTCAAGAGACAAGCGTCTGGTCGTCGGTTTCAAGCGCGGAAGTGCATTGGGTCTTTTCAGTGCCTTGAGCGATCTGTACCATTACTATGGTCTGACCACCTCGCGAAAGTACGTCGAGCAGTTCTCCAACGGCTACACCGTCATGTCCCTCTACTTGCGCCCGCTTCCAGGAGCTGCCGGTGCCAAGCACCCACCAATCGAAGCCTCAATCCACCAAATCACCAAGGAGGTTTCTCTGCTCTACTGCCTTCCACAAAATAAGTTCCAGACGCTTTTCGCTACCAGCAGACTGAGTTTACAAGAGACCATCTATGCACACTGTGTGTGGGTCTTCATTACTCACTTCCTCAACCGACTGGGAAGCGAGTACACTGCCTTATCAGCAATTCTGGACCCAGAAAACAGCGTACATGCCGAGCTGCTTTCCAAGCTGAAGCGCAGACTTCGTGCCGAGACCTTTACCGCTGACTACATCTACGAGATCATCATGACTTACCCAGAACTCGTCCACACCTTGTATCTTCCATTCGCGAAGACTCACTACGTCCAGACCAGGGGCCAAGAGGACGACTTCCTGCCGACTCTGAGTTATCTCCGTCTCCAGGTTGACAAGGTTCAGACAGACGCGGAGTTGACCGATACCATCAACAAGGCTGTTGCCAACGATCACCATGAGATGGTCATGACCGCCTTCCGTGTCTTCAATCAGTCGGTACTGAAGACGAACTTCTATACTCCTACCAAGGTCGCCATCAGCTTCCGTCTGAACCCCACCTTCCTCCCATCCACAGAGTATCCTCAGCCGTTGTATGGAATGTTCCTTGTCATCGGTTCTGAGTTCCGTGGTTTCCATCTCCGCTTCCGTGACATTGCTCGTGGAGGTATCCGCATTGTCAAATCTAGGAGTCAGGAGGCCTACTCTATCAACGCGCGCTCCATGTTTGATGAGAACTACAACCTTGCAAACACGCAGCAACGTAAGAACAAGGACATTCCGGAAGGTGGTTCCAAGGGCGTCGTGCTCCTTGACTTCAAACACCAGGATAAGGCCCGGGGCGCTTTTGAGAAGTACATTGACAGCATCCTCGATCTACTCCTACCTCCTACCAGTCCTGGTATCAAGGATCCTATTGTCGATCTTCACGGCAAGGAAGAAATCCTCTTCATGGGTCCTGATGAGAACACTGCTGATCTTGTAGACTGGGCCACTGAGCATGCACGCACTCGTGGCGCCCCATGGTGGAAGTCATTCTTCACCGGGAAGAGTCCCAAGTTGGGCGGTATCCCTCACGACCGATACGGCATGACGACATTGTCTGTCCGCGAGTACGTTTTGGGTATCTACCGCAAGCTTAACCTCGACCCCAGCAAGGTTCGCAAGCTGCAGACAGGTGGTCCTGACGGTGATCTTGGTTCGAACGAGATCCTGCTTAGCAATGAGAAGTACGTTGCAATCGTTGACGGTTCCGGTGTCTTGGTCGACAACAATGGTATCAACCACGAGGAGCTTGTGCGCCTAGCCAAGGAGCGCAAGATGATCAACCACTTTGATGCTTCAAAGCTTTCACCAGAAGGCTACCGTATTTTGGTTGATGACACCAACAAGCGACTGCCAAACGGAGACCTTGTCTACAACGGCACAACATTCCGAAACACTTTCCATCTCCGCAGTGACATGCATTACGACTCCTTCGTCCCTTGTGGTGGTCGACCCGAGTCTATCGATCTGTCAACTGCCAACAAGCTCATTGTTGATGGCAAATCGGTAATCCCATACATTGTGGAAGGTGCTAACCTCTTCATCACCCAAGACGCCAAGCTCCGTCTCGAGAAGGCCGGTTGCATTCTATACAAGGATGCTTCAGCCAACAAGGGTGGTGTTACTTCTTCCTCGCTTGAGGTCCTCGCATCGCTGGCATTCGACGACGAGAGCTTCCTCAAGCACATGTGTGTTGGTGGAGATGGCCAGGCTCCAGAGTTCTACAACAACTACGTTCGCCAAGTGCAGAAGACAATCCAGAACAACGCACGTCTTGAGTTTGAGGCCATCTGGAGGGAACACCAGAACACTGGTCAGCCTCGAAGCGTCCTCAGTGACACACTCAGTAACGCGATCACGAAGCTGGACGAGGAACTTCAGAACACCGAGCTGTGGCACAATGTAGAGTTCAGGGAGTCGATCCTCAAGGAGGCGCTGCCAAATATCTTGCTTGAGAAGATTGGTCTAGACAAGATCATTAAGAGAGTAAGTCATGATCAATACCGAGCAAATGAAGCATGGACTAATCAATATGTAGGTACCGGACAACTATCTTCGTGCCATTTTCGGAAGCTACCTCGCCAGTCGCTTCGTTTACGAATACGGTGTATCGGCCAGTCAGTTCGCTTTCTTCGACTTCATGAACAAGCGTATGGCGAAGGGTAGTAAATCAGCTGCGCACTAGGAGGCTTTCACGAGTATCAAGCATGAGCGTCAGGGCTCAAAAGGCGTTATGGAATGGATTCAAAAGTTACCTCAGGAGGGTCAGACCATGGACATGGACGGCGCTTAGGGGATCCCATCGTGTGGGTGCTGAGACGGGCGGCTATTTTGGCTGTACCAACGAACGATAGATGAATACAAGTTATTCAATTCATGATTATGCTATGAAGATACTCAAGAATTCATCCGTGTCTGTAATTAACTGAGTTCTTGTGGTTGTCAGAAAGGACCCCGATAACGTGGTAGGGCCGCAGAGAGCGGTGAATCGCAAGGGAGGCACACAACTTGAGTAGCAAAGGATGCAGAGCTGAGTAGGCTATTCCAAAACGAAACAGCCCGATCGGGAAGCTTGATTTTCGAAACAACATAGTGTGTTCTAGCGGATCTCTCATTGGCTCAGCTGACCTTGCCATGTGTTGTTGTGATGAGACACGTCCTCCGTCTCGCTTGGAAGTTTAAAGTGGGAGCTTCCCCCGCCCATTCTGACCTCGACCGCCCACCTTCAACGACTACAATCTTTGTCGCATTCACGAACCGCGCCTGGAATACTGTCGCCGATAGCTGTGAGTAAGTCGCCTAAGCCTTTTCTGCCACCTTTTTATGTTCCTAGCGCAAAATCCCATATATTCGCCTGCTTTTGTGCGCTTTTGAAAGGCACGTTGGTATCATGCCAGCGGCTTTGCGCGCGCGTTCTGCACAACGCGCTTCTCCTGTCTTATTGCTACGTGTGCAATGGTTGCCTGCATTTCCTGTCTCCCTAGTTCGTCTTTGAAAGAGATTGCTCGTTGACAAGCTTCGCTTTTCGCGCACTGCTTCCACACTATGCGGCACGCGTGCTAACTTCCGTCACGCAGCTTCGACTCATCACTCCACACGCCACAAATCACTTCAAAGACACCCATCCACTATCGAGAAACCTCTAAAACAATTAAGATGGCAGCAACTACGCGCGCGAGAACTGGTAAGTTTCCTCCCCCTTTCACAGACTGCCTTGTACTGCCCCCAACCACGTCTTAGTACCTCGGTTGCCATTCCCGAACATACACAGTAGCATACTGACTTGTCAACGAAGGCAACTCTAAGCCCCGTCTTGTTCAGCAGATTGAGAACGCAATCGCGCCTACAAAACGCAGCACGACCACCAAGGCCAACACATCGAAGCCCCGCACCAGCAAAGTAGCTTCTGGCCGCGTTACTAAACCCAAGGCTACCAGCAGCACAACTACTACCAAGAAGACTACTACGGCCAAGAAACCTGCTGCTGCGCCAAAGAAGACTACGGGTGCGAACGTGAAGACTGTCAAGAAGCCGAGGACAAAGACCGAGAAAATTGTGGATAAGATTGTTGGAAAGGCGGAGCACATCGTTGGTGATGTTGAAGGCAAGCCAGGAAAGAAGGTAAGTCATTCTCACACACCTAGAGTAACAGAAAGCTATGTTAGCTAACACTCCTATCTAGGCCGCAGGTACCGCCAAAGCACGAGGCACAGATTCGACTACCAAGCGTGCCGCACCGCGAACTCGAGGCGTCAAGGCCTGAGAGAATCGTTGCATTTTTTCGTTCCATAGAACGTGATCGTTGCGGTAGCATTTTCTTGCCACATGCCTCGCTTGCATCGTCTGTTTTTACGTAGAGCGAGAGACATGGTATCCACCATATTTCCCCTTGGTTACGAGTCACGATAAGCTCAGTTTCTTCCCTAATTGTCAGCGTTCCTGTTCGGAATGTGTATGATAAGATACCCAGGCGTTTTTGATGCTTTCGTTATTAGACAATAGGACTGTTATCAACCAACGTATCCGAATATGCTTCAATGTGCTCACCTGCTTGTAATTCTGGGAGACGAAGCAATTTTCGTGACAAATTCATGTGGGTTGGGAGAAACTTGCAGCATAGAGGAATGTTTGGGTGCATGGTTGATACAACAAAGTGGTATTCGCTCATACATATTCAATAGGATCAACGTTCAATATACACGCCTGGACCAAATATCCATCCATTCAACCAACCCTGTCTTACTTAAAAGCAACCCTAACCTCCTTTGCAGGTTGCAGCACAATATCAGCATGCATCCCCGGTTCCGTACCGCCCATCCTGTTCTCCACTGACTCGAATCGCTGGAACAGTCTCACGAGCGTATAGCCCATCTCCGTAAGCGCAAACTGCTGACCAATACAGATTCTAGGTCCCCCGTTGAATGGGACATAAGTCCAGCTCTTGGGGGTCCATGAATCCCATCGATCGGGCGCGAAAGCATCGGGAGGAGGGAAAGATCTGGAAGTAGGTGGATACAAATCTGCGCGGCGTTGCATAACGAGGGTCGAGTAACCGATCGGTGTACCGGCGAGGACACCAATGGGTTGCGTGCCGTCTGGACCGCCGCCGGTGGGGAGCGTCGTGTCTTTGAGGGCCATGCGTACGTTGTATGGGACGACGGGGTACAGACGAAGGGTTTCGTTCAAAATGTGTTGGAGATATTTCATGTTTTTCAAGTCCTCATAGGTTGGCTGGCGGTCGGGGCCGACTGTTTGGAGGATTTCTTGACGCAGTTTGGCGGTTATGGTCGGGTCTATGGATAGGTGGTAGATTACCCATGTCAGTGTGCAGGCTGTTGTGTCGCGGCCTGCTAGGAGAACAGAGACAAGTTGGTCGCGCAGCATGTCTCGGTCGCGCGTGTAGCCTGCGATGGCGTGGAGAAACGTGTAGCCTTCATCATGGTTTGTCTTCTTTTCAAGCTCTTCTGGGGACAGTGCGAGGGCTGTGTCGATGAAAGTGGATACGAAATCGTTGATAATCTTGATGGAGTCGTAGAATCCCATGCGCTTTCGCGGGATAAGCCAGTTTAGAGGTCTGATTGATGTTAGTGATAAGTGTCAGGCACGTGAGCAAGTTTGCGTACCCAACTTTAGCTACGAAGCTCTGTACACGCTGAGCGTTATAGAATGCATCTGCGAAGACTGTTTTCGGTTCATCCAGACTTCCTACACTCTGGCCAAGTAGGAAGTGCGTAGCTGCATCCAATGTATACCTGAACATCATGTCAAGAGTATCAATCTCTCCACTCTCAGCGATTTTAGAGATGAGGATTTGGGTATGTTGTTCGAAGATGTCAATATCGCTTAGGCGATCCTTGACAAATTGCGGTCGAATGAGCTGGCGTGAGTTGTGCCATAGTTGTCCATCGGTGGTGAAAATACCTATTTGAAGGTTGTTAGCCATCCATCCATTGAGTCCAAGGCTGTTCAGTTGTCCCGCACAGTGGGGGGCCTAAACTTCTGCCCTCTTATCCACGTACCGTTACCCAAGAAGGTATGCCAGTCTTTCCTAAACTGCTCTCCCTTGCCATAGTCCTTGAATTGCGTCGCAAGAATCGCCTTGATGTTCTCTGGGTCTGCGGTCAGAAGCACGCGCTCGCCGATGCCAGCCTCGATTGTGTATCGCCCTGGTCCACACCATTTCTGGAACATGCCAACCCACATTGCGTATGTCTCATCTTTCAGCGCAAAGGTAATGACTTCATACGCCATGTCGAGGCCATATGGGAAATACGTCTTTCGAACTGGCGCTCGAGCGCCGAGCTTGCGGATTCGCGCATTGATGGAAAATCTTTGTACGATCCTGTAGCCCAGGAGCAGGACGACGGCGGCGCCGAGTAGGTAAGAGGTCGAGAAATTCGTGCTCTTGAATTCGGCCATGACAGGCGGAGATGATTGCTAGAGCCTATAGCGCTTCACAGGTTGTCAGCACACACGCATATATGATAGCATTCACATGAAGATGGTGTGCCAGGCCGAGTAGACTACCGGCGGGTAAACGACGTACTTTAGACTCTCGGGACGACAAGGAAGCCGAGCTTTGACAGCTGCCTTGAGCATGTTAGGAACCAGCAGCCAATTGGTGCCATGGAGTTATCCTTCTGTCGTGGCACATGAGCTTGCCATGGCCTCTTGCATCCATGCCTGGTGCAATCAGAACGTCGTGTGCTCCATTGACACCTCGGTATGACATCTGGGAGCACGCGTCCCGCAAGACTCGCTATTTTCGACGTAGACACTGTATGCTAGAGGCTCGCGTAGCCATGGTGCGCTCATGCACATCCATTCCCAACTCCCTGTAAAAGCGGGGAAGGACGATCGAGATAGCTGGACAAAGTGGGGATGGTGGTGACATGGTGCCGCTCGGACGAAGTCTGGAAGACTTGGGCATCCGAGATCCGTGCTCATGAAGCGATATGTTTATATAGGGCGCATAGCTCAGGAGCTCCCATGTTTGTGGTCTGGAGAGGCTTTAGCTGTTTGCTTGCTAGAGGGCGTGCGCTGCAGATACCTTCCATCAGCACATGGCGGATCGCCCGGACTGCCGAGGCGGCGGCAGCATCAAGCCGTCACTAGAAACCCGCGCCGCGCGGAGACCCCAGAGGATTGGCAGAAATGCAAAGGACGCGACTCAGGGTTGCACATCGCAATGTACTGAAACTTACTTCGAAGCTGATTGAACTTATCTTTTGCTGAAGACGAGGCTGGACTTGAGCGCCCGCACGTCATCGTGCTTCTGCTTAAGACCTCATGCCCCACTAGCTCGCATCCATAACCTTTCGGCTAAGGATACCACCTAAGCTTCGCAGTTCGACAGCCTTAAGCAACGCTATACAGTGTATACCAGGCATTAGTATATTACCCTCTGTGACTACCGGGGGCATCGCGGTAGCTGTGGCTGTGTGAGGCCATTCGGAGCTTACGGATCGGGCCTACCCAGTAACATTTCCTTGCGCCAGTCTTCGTTCCTGTACATAAATTGCACGTCGTCATCAGTTACTCCTATCTTTCGAGGTGCTCTCTATCCCTCTCAATCTCCATCTGATCTCTTTGCAACATGAAACCTGTTGTATTTACCATACAATCTCTTCTCGTCTCTTCAGTAACGGCTATCTGGCCGATACCCGTCTCTCACGAGCACGGCGATACTGTTCTTTTCATCTCCAAAGATGTACCATTCTACTGGTACGAACCTGGCGCAAGAAATGTAGGCTCGAACATACATCAGATTCCCTTTCTCTTTGCATCGAATTCTAACGGCACTCCCGCTGTACAGGACAGCAGCCAGCTCAATTTGCGCAAGAGTTACACTGAACCAGTGCTTAGCGAAGCATCCAAGAACTCAACCCAGGAAGGCGTTACAAGCGACGACATAATTGAGTACGCTATCGGTTCTACGTGGCAAACAGTTTTCAACAACAACTTCTACCCATGGAAATTCCACCCTAGGGACTGGGATGAGCCATCCCCAAGCGCGTCGAACACAACATACGTCTCTCGCATCGATGTCAAATTACTCAAAGCTGATCAACCGGATGTCGCCAAGTCTCTCGCTGGAGAGGTGGACGAATCGTACAGCTTGACTTTAACAGAGCAGGGTGTTGCAAGCATCAGCGCGAACACTAGCATCGGAATAGCACGAGGCTTGACGACATTCACACAGCTCTTCTATGCACACTCGAACAAGCAGGATGTATACACACTTTCGGCCCCTGTGCAGATATTCGACAGTCCGAAATTCCAGCACCGTGGCATTAATCTCGACACCTCACGAAACTACTTCTCTACGGCCGACGTCAAGCGACAAATCGAGGCGGCTGCTTACAACAAGATGAATCGGTTCCATCTCCACGTAACGGATAGTCAGTCCTGGCCTTTGGAGATACCCTCCATGCCCGAACTCTCCGCGAAAGGAGCGTACCGTCCGGACTTAGTCTACACAGCAAACGACTTCAAGGACTTCCAACGCTACGCAGCGATTCAGGGCGTGCAGATGATCACCGAAATTGACATGCCAGGTCATACCTCAAGCATACACCGTAGCTTCCCTGACCTGATAGCAGCATTTGAGCAACAGCCAGATTGGAACACCTACGCCGCCCAGCCGCCAACCGGAACACTGAAGCTCAACTCCACTGCAGTCTACGATTTCGTTGAAAAGCTATTCGATGACTTACTACCAAGGGTATTCCCGTACTCAGCGTACTACCACACCGGCGGCGACGAAGTAAATCGAAATGCGTACCTACTCGATGATACTGTCAGGAGCAACGATTCGGCCGTCCTGCAACCTCTTATGCAGATATTCGTCGATAGAGCTCATGACCAGGTACGCGCCGCAGGGCTCACACCTGTTGTATGGGAAGAGATGCTGTTGGAATGGAACTTGACACTCGGCTCTGACGTGATTGTGCAATCGTGGCAGAGTGACGAAGCAGTTGCACAAATCACCGCAGCAGGACACAAAGCCTTGGTTGGAAATTACAATTATTGGGTAAGTTAGGCTTCTTTTACAAATACTCCAAATAACGCCATTTTCTCGTCCATTCTCTTCTCTTCCAAGAAATGATAGATTGCGCATACTGATAGATGGTAAAAGTACCTCGACTGCGGCAAAGGCCAGTGGCTCAATTTTGATCCTTCGGTCAGCGCCAATTACTGGCCTTACCAGGACTACTGCGCTCCTTTCCATAACTGGCGTCTCATCTACTCCTACGACCCATTGTCTGGCGTTCCAGCTGAGAACCAACATCTCGTACTAGGCGGTGAAGCGCACATGTGGGCCGAACAAACCGACCCTGTCAATGTTGATCGTATGATTTGGCCTCGTGCGGCTGCGGCTGCGGAGGTGCTCTGGTCGGGCGCCAAGGATGGGCAGGGGCAGAACAGAAGTCAGATTGATGCAGCACCTAGGCTGAGTGAGATGAGGGAGAGGCTGGTGGCGAAGGGAATTGGTGCTGAGCCGATCCAGATGCCATATTGTACTATGGAGGGGAACGTTTGTCAATTAGGGTTTACTGGGTGAGGCGGAGTGTGGAACATTGAGGAGAGTGCAGTACTAAGGAACTCGTTTGTCCCCCTGATGTCACTGCTGAAGCAGATGCAATAAACAAGCCCCCTCGCAGTGGCTAACGAATTGAATCATCGGAATGCATCATACATATTTCTCTCTGCGTTTTCTCAACGTCAATCGTCCTCAGAATCCCTAAAACCATGATACTGGGTACTTTATTAGAACTCCATGGCATCAGCGCCCTGCTCCCTCTCCCTCTTGAGCGCTGGCTTTTCCTCATCCACCAAGCCAGCGACGAATCGCCTGAAATAATCTACATATGGCTTCAGGCTTGTCTTCTCCCAATCCTGCATCTTTTTATCCGTTTCTTCGCCTGACCAATCATCGATTTCCTGAAGCAATTGAGTGACTGTAGGTACACTCAACGGATCGAATTCTTCCACCTTCGTCGTGTCGATCGGGACACAGACACGACCTGTTCCAGGATGGATTACGAATGGGGATTTGAGCAAATGGTTTAGCTTCTTGGAGACTTCGGCATCGAGACGGGGGTATGTGTATTCTAAGATGATGTCTTGTTTGGCTTCGCGAAGGTCCTTGGGTGACTTTGACAAGGCACCGGATTTTGCCAACGCGTCGATGTCGGCCCATTTCGATGCACTGGGGCGGGATGGCGCAGAGTCCCACTTCTTCTGTAATGCAGCCTTCAGGGTGGGGTCTGGGATGAGGTTGAGAAGGTGTGCGGCCTTTTCTTCTGTTGCCCACGGATCTTGTTCAGCAAGAATGGTTGTTTGGAAGTGTTCTTTCAGGATGTCCAGACTACGCTCAAGATGTGGGTGTAGTGGTCGCCATGCATGTACTCTTTTGCCGCCTTGATCTCCTCCCTTGAGCAACTCGAGATAGCTGGCCACTGAGCGGCGCTTCTGGTCGTCCATTTCTCGTGCACGCTTGTCGCAAACCCAGGCGTGGGCTCCTCGACGACCGGAGTACACCCAGAGAATGTATTTGAACCCAAAGTCTTCCCGTAGAGCAACGTCGATGGTCTTGATGGCCATTGTGATGAAGCCCCAGCACTTCAGACAGATGTTCGCACCCGTGCAACATGTCCTGATATCATCGTAATCCGTCATATCGATATCAAAAACCAACTCTTTCATCAACGGGCGGAATGAGCTCGCTTTCCGCAGCGTCTTCCTGTCTCGTGGGTTCGTGCTATACATGGGACCGATTTCGAAACGCGAGGGCAGCATATTTATGCATTGCTTCCGTAGCAGATCGGCTGTTGGGAACGATTGGTATCGTAGGTATGCGTCGTTGGGTAGGGTGAAGGCGAATTCGCGGTGTGCAAAGTCATTGGTAGGTGTTGCGGAATGGTTCAGCCATTGGAAGAGAGGGCGAAAAGGGAACAGGCGTTGGTAGAAGGCACGCATGACGTCTGGATCAGAGAAGGATGATTTGGATGTGATCTTGCTATACTGATATCAGCGGTTGCCATGAATGTAACACTTCGACAGGCGGGGCGTACATTGGTGCGGGTTGTGAGGCATCCTCTTGCGACGTAGGTGCCGGCGCACTCGAAGCAAATTCTTCGTCTGAATCTTCATCGTCGAAGAGCTCTTCGAGGCTTCCTTTGGACTTGTCTGCCGCGGCAGGCGTGGGTGCGTCGTCCATTGGGACATCTTGCGTCTCCGGTTCTATTTTAATAGCGTCGCCTTGGGATGGCGTCGCTGAGGACTCCTCAGCAGGCGTAGACTCTGGCGTAATTGAATGTGGCATCTTGGAAGTCATGCGATTAGATTTCGGCGTATATGTTGTGAGGACGCGTACGCTGACGATGAAAGAGTTGGTCGACGCGTTCGCGTATAGTGGTCGCGGGCGCGTTTGGGGTGTAGGGGTACCCTTGTCTAGTGTCCACCATGGCTTCCTCATTTGGGTCACCCTCACTCGTCATATCGCGTCAACTTCCAAGCAAACATTCTCCACCTTGCTCAAACCTCAGGGCATGAACCCCGACAACAAGAACTATTCCGCGACCGATGGCGGAGGAGGAGGACACTGTGTCCGGGGACGGGTGGATAACGGATGACAGCAGCTTCTATGGTGAGTACTTGATATATTCCGTATTGGGACATGTCACAGCCGCACCTGACTAACTATTCGATCAAGGTGATGAAGCTGAGCAACGACATCAGTTAAGGTTATGCAAAAACTTCAAGCATGAACCTTTCTGGCATGCACATCAGAAGGATCTTAATGTGATCACGATGGCAGCCAGAGCACCAATACCACTATCCGATAAGGCGACTTCAGGTACAGAGACTGCAGTGAAAGACACCAGCTTCAACATGTCTGGTGCCGACCGCAAAGCTATGGAACAGGAGCGACTTGCGCGATCAAACAAGCGGAAGCGAAATCGAAACCTCTCACCTATACCGTCACACGAACTGTTCAACCCTCTGGAAGGCCAGGAGGATGCATGGCAACTAGGCGAGCCTGTTGATGAGTTCATCAAACGCCTTCCTCCATACAACACCGTCACCACTACATTCCCTTGGATTTGGGCCGCTAATCCGCATCGCGATCCTCGTGACAAGTCACCTTCGCCTCGTGTTGAAGACTTCACATCGCGTGGCATGGATTTACTTGAGCAGTCGCTTCAGACTCGCCGCAATATTCAGGAGGAAGGGGCCAGAAGACCGAGGGGTGTGGTGACTAAACAGCTCAATCAAGAGAGTAAGGCTCTACAGGGACGGATTTCAAGCCTCGCAAACGAGACAAACGTTCTTTCTGGAAAGGTATAATCAGCTGGATAATCCGTGCAGCCGCCCATCCGTATCACTGACCAAGACTAGTGGATGTTGTTCCCGAAATCAGTAGACGTTACACGGGTTTGGAAGCAAGTCGTTGCAAACGTGATTGACAATCGACTTGGTTGTACTTGCAAGGTCGCTACCGACGATGGCAAAGAGGAGCGACTGAGTGAGTTTCATTTGCAATCTGCAGTGCACAGGTACTGACTCAGAAATATTAGTCTGTGTATACACAAAGGACTTCCAGGACGCTGACGACGTATTGCGAGTACTCCATGAACTTGAGAGCATGGGTCTCCTGAACGGCGGCAAAACCATCTATTACAAACCAGATGCATACACTTATCTGAACCTCGTCCGCGATACAGCCGTAGAATATGGCCTACAAGCGAGTCTTTACAACTCTCGGTCTTTGTTGGCGGCTGACAAGGTGCCGAAGTTAGCACCGCTGGCCCAGAAGAAGTAGTCGACCCTGAGCGGTTTTCTCCAAGTGGGCATTGACGGCTATAGTGTTACTTGGGGACGAGATCAACAGCAACAACCAACTAAGGGATTTTGAAGAAGATACAAGTTTTACGTACTCACTCTAAGGTGTGTTTCAATTGCAGCACAATATCCAGTAATAAATCTTGTTACACTGTTCTCCCCCCGTAGCATTGTCGCCACGATTGGTGGCCGCTACGTCCCCTGATCGGTCTCAAAAAGGCTGTTCACAGACAAACAAGTACGCGTCAGGCATGCGATTATACCTGTCGACGCTGATCTCCGAGCCGCTCCCGGAAGCAACAGCGCATTTGATATGCCAACGAGACTGCAACTAAGACCGTTGCGTACCATGCTGAGCAACATACCCTTCAACCACTCGAAGCAAACGTAAGCAAAATTCATCTCCGGCGTTGCAGCGCAGCTGCATGGTCTTTACCGCTACACTGAATAGCCCGTAGGCGCATGCAGCCAATGTAGAGCCATTTCGGCGCATCGTGTCTGCAAAGCCTACTGGCCGCCAGAGCCAGTTGAGAGTAGTTGTCGTTCTGCGACGTACGTGGTGTTGGCGCGCTACTGAAAATTCCAGAAACCATGAGGCGTCGAGTTTCCGTTACTCGATAGTTACCTTGAGGACAGGGCTTCGACCGCCGTAGTTCGCCGCTTGCGGTGGACGACTTCTACCGACGATCACAACATGTCAGAATATCGGAACACTCCGAAACCACAATCTGACCATCTCTTCACTTTTCTACATATTCGCGTCTTTCGAGATCTCGATACGGTGTCTGAGTATGTTCGTACTTCTGTAAAAGAGATAGGCGGGACAACGGATGCAAAAAAGAGCCGGGCGCATTCGGGTTCTCGGCTGATTATATGGCCATCGGCCAGCCCCGAGAATTGTCAGGGCGTCCATGTTGGACTAGCCTGGCTGGTGTCAGTTCCGGCATGTTGTGTTTCCTTTACTCGATTTAAATCGAGTAATGGGAAGATCGTGTTGGGAGGTACGCTGGCTGACATACGTTTAGCTTCTCCGGACAGAACCGGGCCTTACTCCGATATCCTCAGAACTCGCACCTCTTGTCCACCAACGAGCATCACGAGATCAACAGTACTTCTTACCTATCCTCCAGAATCGAATCTCCAAGGAAGCAGTGAATAATATATGGTAGACGTTCGAGATCCCAGAGGTATGACGCTCAGCCGTTGGCCCTGCGCTAGTTCGGGGGCTCTAATCGCACGATCTACTGTGCGCCTATCGCATGCGCTAAATCCTTGCAGCTGCTTATCAGTAACATATGCACGGTCCCCCAACACCATCTAAGACGTGCAGCAACACGGTGAGGAAGTTTGCCGATTTCCACATTTGACCAGGTTCTCAAGATAATTCTTCATAAGAATATAAGGCTGAACAAAGCAGTTTTCATTACGTGCGATTTACGAGATAATGTGTTACCGATCATGAGAGTAGAACGTAGCACCATGGCCAACAGACTCGTATCTACACTAGATCGACCAACGGGAGACAGGGTCGAGATGCATGGCTAAGGCGGCCACGATAGCCTACCTCCACACTAGTTACTCGATAGAATCGAGCAACGTGTATTTTAGGGTTCGCCGATGCTCCACAGTCCCCTGACGCCATGTTAGCCAGTCCCAGATTCTGGCTACAATGCTCCGAGAGTATCTTTGGCCTGGCCCCTACCAACGGGTAGATAAGAGGCTGTACCCCAGGTTTTGGCGTTTTTGGTAATCAGTCACCCAAATAGTTTCTTCCGTTACACGTCTTCAGTGTTTGAAATTGCCGCTTCCCTTATTCTCTACGAGAGCCGAACCACATTCCTCTTTGACAGCTGTTAGGCGCAACACCAAACGTGCCTTATCAACGCTTATCTGCAGCTCACCCGGAAACGCCCACGCCCTCTTCCCCGCGTTTGCCGAGTTCGGGGCTTGTTACTGTATATAGCTCTTGCTGTTAGCACGGACTTGAGCACTTGAGCACTGCTTTACCTGGTCATTTACGTTCTTCTCGTCTTCTCGCAGTCAAAATCATATACAACTTGTCATCATGGCTCCACACGCAACCACACCTCCACCTGCTTCCCACGAGCAACCCGTTCAAGCTATCACAGTTCTTGCTTCTTCGAGAGCAGTCGTTGCTGGTCGATTGACGGAAGCTACCATCGTTATATCAAACCATACAGGGAAGATCACTTCCATCTTCCATTCAGTACTCCCCCCTACAGACTTCCCCGAAGGCACATCGTATACCGACTACTCGCCAAATATCCTACTACCCGGTCTTGTTGATGCTCATGTTCACCTCAACGAGCCTGGCCGAACGGAGTGGGAAGGCTTCTGGACTGGTACCCGTGCTGCAGCATTCGGTGGTGTCACAACTGTCATTGACATGCCTCTGAACGCTATCCCTCCCACGACTACCGTTGAGAACCTCAAGATCAAATGCGAGGCATCACAAGGAAAATGCTGGGTCGACGTTGGCTTCTATGGCGGTGTTATCCCTGGTAACTCAGGTGATCTGAGAGCTCTAGTAAAAGAAGGTGTTCGTGGCTTCAAGGGCTTCTTGTGCGACAGTGGTGTAAGTATATATATCTCAACATCCCGAAAACACGTGACACTGACACATGTCTAGGTCGAAGAGTTTCCTGCCGTTTCATCAGTAGACATCGAGAAGGCCCTCCTCGAACTCAAAGACTCAGCAACAACACTAATGTTCCACGCCGAAATGATCCCACCCATCTCCGACTCCGTAGGCGACGACATACAACGTTCCAACCCCCCTCTCGCCCCCAAAGGCCGTCTAACCTCATACGACACATTCCTCCAGTCCCGCCCCCCATCCTTTGAGACCTGCGCCGTAGCCGAAATTCTCTCATTAGCGCATCTCGCTCCTGAGCTCCAACTCCACATCGTCCATCTCTCCGCCATTGAAGCCATCCCCATGCTACGCAAAGCACGTGCCGACGGCATTAAAATCACAGCAGAGACTTGTTTCCACTACCTTGCCCTCGCGGCAGAAGGTATTCAAGAAGGCGACACAAGACATAAGTGCTGCCCGCCCATTCGTTCCCAATCGAACCAAGACGGTCTATGGGAGGAACTCCTCCAAGATACAGCTGATGGCGTCATTCAAACAGTCGTCTCAGACCACTCTCCCTGTACTCCAGAGATCAAACTCCTCCCCTCACATCTCGCGCCAAAGAAGCCGTCTCCTCGCAAAGAGGGTCATGCGAAAGACTGTGATTCGTGCGAGAGCAGCGAAGGCGAGATGGAAGGACCGGAAGAGAAGGGTGACTTCTTCGGCGCCTGGGGTGGCATCTCGAGTGTGGGGCTCGGCCTACCCATTCTGTGGACCGAAGGCACAAAGCGTAACCCTGACTTCAGCGTCGAGGAAATTGTTCGCTGGTGCTGTAAAAACACGGCGAAGCAAGTTGGACTCGAGAAGAGCAAGGGTGATATCGGTGTGGGTTTTGATGCTGATATCGTTGTTTTTGACGATGAAGCCGAGTTCTTGGTCGAGCCAAACACCATGCTGTTCCGTAACAAGGTCTCACCATACGAGAACAAGACGCTTAAGGGTGTTGTAAGGGAGACCTGGCTACGTGGTCAGCGTGTCTTCACGAGGGCAGAGGGATTCCAAGAGAAATCTGGTCCGCAAGGCAAGCTGCTGCTTGAACCAAGGAAAACGGGCGCTTAGGTTGAGAAGAATGGCTGAAGGGTAGTCTGTTCGATTTCTCGTTGTCGCTATGGGAAGCATGGTGCATACATATACATGGGACACTGCATAGAGCACGTAGTGCTTGACATCTCTTTTCTCTTCACTGCATAGATGGCGTTTTACTATTGGGGGTATGCTACGACAAATCCTTCATGATTCCACAGATTTTCAATTCGAAACAAGCTGAATAAAGACGACTGCAATTCTTCTCTGTGAACTCCATGTTACACAATACCAGCTAAGCTAGCAACAAGCGGTGTACCCTGAAATGTCCCACGTCCCGACAAGCATGAATATACTGTGAATGACAGCCCACTTCCCATGCATGGTATAACACAAATCCTCCATCTCTTGCATATGTATGTCTTGAAATGAGACCAAGCCACCCGAAAAGATGATTTACAAATACTTCTTGGGAGCACCACCCCGCCTCTTCTTGTACACAATATAAGCACCCACAATCATAATTTGAACAGCGACCGCAATGAAAAGGAATGTAGTCATGCTGGGTCCACTCTTTGTGACAACTGTGATGTTGCGTTAGCTTAATCCCTCTTTTAAATCATAGGAGCCCAGAGGTTTTTACTTACCGTCACCCATCATGCCGGGTAAGCTCTGCATGACATTGCCGTGGTTCCTATCCAGCGCGAGATGGATCTGTTTCATCATGTCCTTGAAGTCCTTGTTCTCCAAGTCTCGCAGTATCTGCATGGTTGTTCGCTCGACCTTTTCTACGTTGCGAATCGTGGCAGCGCCGCGGTCGTCGATGGGTACGATGCGGTGCATGAGCTCGTTCCAGCGCTCGTCGTTCTGCTTTTGGATTCTCTCGACCGTGTCAGCGATTTCGAAGACGCGGCTGTTGATGATCTGGATACGGTTGTGGAGGTCGGCAAATTGGTCTTGCTGCGAGCGGATGCTGCCTGCCAGGACGTCTTCGAGCATCTTTGGGATATCGTTCTGCGAAGTGGAGGAGCCGTAGTTCTGTTGTGCTTGGTTCTGCTTGTGTGTCTGCTGCTCATGACCTTGCTGGACAGCACGATCCTGCTGCTGCTGGTGGTTCTGCTGGGAGTTGATATAGTCCTTCTTCTTCAAGTTGGGCTCTTCGCGCGCGTATGAGTTGGTAGTAGACACGATAAACTTGTGGACTTCGAAAGAGTCGGGGTTCTCGGCGGAGGAGGCGCTTACACCGAAGTAGTAGCCTTCTGGGAGTGCAACCTAGAAAGATAGTCAGTAACGTGTATCTTGGGGGCCGGAGGATGGAAGCATACCTTATCGGTCTTGAAGCATGTCTGCCCGTCTACAATGACCTCGAGGAAGCCCTCTGCGTGATGCAGTTTGATGGGTGTAAGTTCTCCGCGGTTCCTGTATGCGTAGTCGCATTTACCAAAGGCCAACGTGTCTGGATCAGGGTGAGACCTAATATCCTTGGTTCCATCATTCAAGAAACCGCGGACAGAGCCTCCGTGCCCTTCGTACTGGTCTACGAGCAGTACTAGACCATCGAACTTGGGCGCGGTGAATACGCTCGCTGGCGTCTCATGCGCTTGTGAGTCCCTCACATACCACATCTGCAGATTACCACCTCCGCGTTCCATACCCGTGGCCCTAAAGTCCAACTCAGCTGTCCAATCACCCTTGTGGTGTAGCGGGTCCTGGGCCCATATTGAACCGCGCTTGCCTCCTGGGTAAGGAGGTGTAAGGATAACTCTGTCGGAGAGTACCTGTGGCACATAGTCGTCTGCGCCCTGAATGACAAAGTGGGGAACGGAGCGAAGATCGGGCGATATGTAAACACCTGCTTTCTGGCCAAAGCTTAGGTTGTCTATGACATACTGGGCGTATGCTGGGGAGAGAGCGAGGGTGGACCAGGCAATGGTTCGCAGCGATTGCGATGTGATGTGCATGTTGGTGGGGCGCGAGGCGCTGCTCGTGTCGACAATGAGGTTCGAGTCTGGTAGCGATTGATGGTTCGACTATGTGCAGAAGTAGTCTTGTGTCTACCTAAAGTCCTGTTAGGGGTTGCCAAGTTAGGTCCATGATATCGATCGAACGCACCTCGTGCTTGACCACTAGTTCACCTGCGTCGCAATGCTCGACGCGACAAGCGTAATACAATTAGTCGAGATAGAAAGAAACAACCGGGTATCACGAAACGACGACAATGCACAAGAAGAGAAGAACTACCACCAGATGGGCAGGTACGCAACTTAATTAGAGATGGAGGAGCTTATGGACAGCTGTGCTTAAGACGGGACTACCTATGACATTGATTGGGTGGTCTATGCGCGGGCATACTGTGACAACTGTAAGAGCCACCGTCTAACATGAGACGTCAAGCCCACGAAGATAGTCGACCTGTGGATACAGGGACGGCGAAATGTTTCAAGCGATGCACAAAGAACTGAGAATAGAGTCGTCAAAGGGTCTACTGTGCGAGAAACAGCAATGCGGAGGTTTGGCTTGGCAGCTGCTCTGCGTCGGGGATTGTGATTCGCCGGCTACCATTTTCTCCATCGTCGTCTACCTCATCACCGAGCTCTCATCCGCCATTGTCGCCGCCTAGACGTCTCACGCACCCCACGCCAGCCCCTCACCTTCACCGCCAACATGTCTGCACCGGATCCAAAGGAAGCCTGGTCGCGCATCCAGAATGAACTCACACGACGAAGCGCTCGATTCGGCGGCGCGGGCGGCGGCGGACCACCGAAGGGTGTCTTTGGAGGAATCGGAGGGCTGATACTCATCGGTGGTGGAATATGGATGGCCAACAACGCCCTGTTCAACGGTAAGCCTTGCTTTGTCGACCCGTAAGCCCGAATGATACTAACTCACCACAGTCGATGGTGGCCACCGAGCAATCAAGTATACCCGAGTAGGCGGCGTCCAGAAGGAAATCTACAGCGAAGGAACCCACTTCCGAATTCCATGGTTCGAGACCCCCATCACCTACGATGTGCGCGCCAAACCACGAAACGTCGCTTCCCTTACCGGCACCAAGGACTTGCAGATGGTCAACATAACCTGTCGTGTACTCTCAAGACCGCGGGTCGAATCTCTACCACAGATCTACAGGACACTGGGTACCGACTACGATGAGCGTGTCCTGCCATCCATCGTCAACGAGGTCCTCAAGAGCGTGGTGGCGCAATTCAATGCTAGTCAGCTCATCACACAGCGTGAGAACGTCAGTAGGTTGGTACGAGACAACCTGGTCCGGAGAGCAGCGAGGTTCAACATCATGTTGGACGATGTTTCCCTGACAGTAAGCCCTCACCCATACACCCTTCTTACCCCTCATCTTCTGACCATGTTTAGCACCTCGCCTTCTCTCCCGAATTCACCGCCGCCGTAGAAGCCAAGCAAGTCGCACAGCAAGAGGCTCAGCGTGCCGCTTTCGTCGTTGACAAGGCCCGTCAAGAGAAGCAAGCTACCGTCGTTCGCGCCCAGGGTGAGGCCCGCTCCGCCGAGCTGATTGGTGACGCCATCAAGAAGAGCAGGAGTTATGTCGACCTCAGGGAGTTTGAGAACGCAAGGAATATCGCACAGATCCTGCAACAGAGCAGCAATAAGGTCTACCTTGACAGCAAGGGTCTTGGTCTGGACATCAGCCAAACCTCGGCGGACAAGGAGCAGAGAGCGAACAGGAAGTAAGAGCATGTGGCGGACAGTGTCTCCGAAGAATACTTTTCCAAAACCAACATCGTGTATAAATATATTTGGGAAAAGCGAGGTGCAAGCGTGCAAGTGTGTAGCTTTCCACTCATGACGAATAACAACAAAGTACTCTAAACTCAAACCATGATACATTTTGAACAACTTGTCAACGCCCTCTCAGCGCAAAATACAAAGGATGGATACGGTTGGTCATGTGTACAATCCTAGAGCAATAGCAGGATATGGATGAGAGGAAATGTTCAAAGTGATGACATTAATGCGCAAATACTATGTAGGGGTATCTCTATTCTTCCTCTTCCTGTACGGTCTTCCTCTTCTTTTCCATGTGCTCTTCTTCTTCCCCTTCATCAGTACATCTCGTCGCGTCCACACCATCCCCACCCTCGACCTCGTCGATTGCTCTCTTCCTCTTCTCAGTCCTCGTGACCTCCTCGCCAGCCGACTTCTCAGTAACAAACAGCGTACTGGCCGTCTCCTTCACATTACTAATCTGCTCGCTCACTTCCGCCTCCACCTCATCTTCTTCCTCATCGACCAGCCCCAGATCAAATGTATTCTTATCTGGATCCTCGAGCGCAAGCTGAATCTTTTCCAGTCCCATATCGTCACCCTCGAGCGTCTCACTGATCTCCGGATCTATCCACCCCTCTGTATAACTGCCTCCAAAATCAATAATCCAAAGCTCGTCGTGGGCGTCCACCATGAAGTTATCCGCTTTCGCATCACCCCATATAATGTCGTTGTCGTGAAGCAGCGATATGTACTCTGCGCTCTTCTTGCTCCAAACGCGCCGCTTCTCCTCATCTACTGAAGACTTGAGCAGCTTTGTCAATGGCGTCGGTGTCTCGATGTTCTCTAGCAATAGGCCCATGACCTCGGTCTTGCTGTTGCCCAGAGCAACGAAGCCGCGCAGGCGGGGGAACTTGATGTCAAGATTCAGTTTCTCCATTTTCCGTAAGATCTGTATTTCACGCTTCACGGAGTCGGGTTGGTCGGATACCACGGGCTTGAAAAAATATGTTTCGCTGCTCTCGTTGTGCAGAACTTGACCTGGATGGGCGGGTGGAGGCATGCTGACTTCAGATTGGACGGTTAGGTCGTTTGCATTGTGCCAGGGAAGTTTGTAGTCTTGCATGTATTTTGGGACTTTCATGCGAGGTACGAGGTCTTCGATTTTGGCTTCTAGGTCGGTTGTTGTTTCTAGGAGTGTTGGGGAGAGCTCTCCCTTTGTGATCTTCAAAGTGTAGAAATAGGTTGGGCCGTGGTACCATTCGTAGAGTGTTGATTCTTCTGGTTCGCGGTTCGGCGGCGCAGAGGTTTGCGTGATGTCGGACAAGGAGGCGAGGATCCAGTTTCGCAGTTCGACGCCTGCGCTGGCGGAGTCTTGGTCGGCGTCTTCTCCTGCTTCTTCGATGTTTTCTGGTGTGTATTCACCGTCATCTGGTACATAATCGTCGTCGGCCGAGACGTCCACCCCACTGTCCTTTCCCTCCGAGCCTTCTCGGTCTTTACTCTTGTTGTTCTTCTTATCATGCACTTTCGCTTCTCGCTCTTCAGCTAGCTCCTCCTCGCGCTCCTCGGCTTCGCGGAGTGCAGAGACCAATTCGAGATATTTGTAATAAAGAGGCTTCTCACTGGATTTCTGGAGCGTTTTGGGGTCAACAGTGACGTGGAAGCGGACATCGTTGATGAGAGCAGTTAGAGCGCAGCTATCGTCCTCGTCGTAGGAAAAGTGTAGAGTGTAGGCTTTGTTGGCAGTAGTGGTTTGAGCCATTGCTTCAAGGAAAACGAGATTGTAAGTAACAGATGTATCGTAAGAATGGATAGAGATGGTCTATAATGCGAATGTCGGGAGACTACATCTATACCTTCCATGCAACAGCCCACGCCTACAATTCTACCCATGCGCCGACATCATCGCTATTGCAGATCGCCGACCTAATCGCAGAGTAAATGCCATGCCACACTTTAGGGGACTTCATCTGGCCCATGCATCTACATCATAGATGTCGTCCTGATCTGCAGGAACGATCGAGATAGTGGAGCAATAGCATCGTCAGCAAGAGTGCTAAGTGGCTGGAAGGCACGATAGATCTGATCTGAATCGAGTTAAGGGTATCGATCTGAAACTGTATGAAATTGACAAGGTTGGGGTGAAAGGGATCGGGACTGGCGCGTCGCGAACGCGTCCACGCGCGATGTCGTGACGTCAAAGAAAGTGCTGGGACGACTTAGCGCTTCACGTTTCTGCGACGACCATCCCCCGTACGACGCCGGATGAGCGCATTTTGCTTTTGGCCAGGTCGCTCGTTGATACGCCAATCACATGCAAGAACCAAGTTTGAATGATGACATTTCACCATGATGTGTTTTGAATTGAGAAGACGTCCAACATTGTCTCATTGCTACAGAGGCGCTCATCTATCGTGGTGGCGCATCGCTAGCAGACATGCTGCACTCATTCTGACGTTAAACGTCGTGAGATAACCTGACCGTATACGCCTTTTGAAAAAAACAATCCTGCCTGCGAAAGGAGCGTGATCCCACGTCTTGCGGCCCCTACAATGAACAAAAGAACAGAAGCGAAACATCGTCCTCTCGTAAGAATAATCTCAGACCCTGTCCAAGCCCGCTCAAAAAGCGAAAATCGAAAGCAATGCGTTGAAACATCTTCCAGAGATCTTGCGAACGCCAAGTCATTATACGTTCGTAATCCATAACAGTTATCATACAGTCTCACAGTCGAGTCGTGACGTCGGGTAAGAAGATTTACACAGTGAAGTCCAAGAGGTCGTACGAGGAAGAGTCCAGTGAAGTGAAGTCACCCATTGCCTTCATCTCAAGATCGAACTGAGAGTACGAGCTGTCGGGCATCGTGTCAAACAGCTCATCAAGAGCGTCCTTGGACTCGATTGGCGATGTTGGTGGTGTTGTAAACTGATTTGACTGGATCGATGATCGCGATGGAGAGGAAGACACTTTCAAAGGGCTAGACTGGACTGGCTCACTGGAACCGTTGGCAGACCCGGAAGAAGCAGGCCGTACGTCAGCGGGCGACATGGGAGGTGTGTGCGAGTGCTGAGAAAGCTGTTGGAGGATGTTCATGGACGCGGTGTCACTTGGGTAGGTAGCAGATGCAAAGCTCGATTGTGCATCTTCAGCGAAAGGGCTTGATGAGGTCTCGAAGCTGGAGTATGTGTTAGCATTGTGTGAGACGGAACATGACTGGGAGACTGACCTGAAGGGATCCACTGAAGCATTCATGGAGTCGTAGCTTTGCGAATCGGAGAGAAGCTGAGCTGGCTCATATCCCTCAATCGGTGATGAGGATCGAGCCTCTGAGTATGGCGAGCCAGCCGAAGACGGTGGTGCGGATACTATCGCACGTCTTGTTCTGCTGGCCTTCTCGACGCGCTGCTCCATGTCTGGGCGGTTCTTCTTCGGGCGGCCACGCTTGGCTTGTCGTCGGACTGCATCAGGGAATCCACCGACACACATGCCACGCTGACGGTGACGTGTGAGGGCATCTTGTCGAGCGAAGCCTGCGCCGCAGGGGCACTTGTAAGGCTTGTTGCCTGAGTGGATCTTTGCGTGGCGCTTCAGGTCATGCTGTCGGACAAAGCACTTGCCGCATCCATTGCACTTGTATTGACGATCACCAAGATGAGTTTGAACGTGGGATCGGATGTTCTCACGACGTCCGAAGACTTTGCTGCAACCTTCGTAAAGGCAAGTCCACTTGCCGGTTGTGGCATCTTGCTCGCTGATGTAGCGCGCTACTTCTTCTGGTGCAATACCAGTGTACTCATAGCTTGCGTCAACCTCAAGATCATTGAAGATCTGGGGCTGCGAGAATGAGTCCATCATGGGTAGACCACTAATTGACATTGAAGTTTGCGATGTAGGCAGCATAGACTGTGTCTGCGAGAACATCATCTCTTGGTGCTCTTCGATGTTCTCCAAGAAGGATTGTACGTCCCTCTGTCGTGGTGAAGATACTGGCGATGGTGACAAAGCATCGGATGTGTAGTAGGATGACGACTCGTAGCCCATATCGGCGTCCGGGTTGTCAAAGTCGAAAGTCATGGCTCTTGAGGTTGGCTCAAGGTTGATGTCACCCATAGCAGTGAAGCTTGGGTGCTGAGGAGTTGCGCTAAAAGCCTCATGACTGGGTAGCTGCGCAGGCTTTTGTGGTGTCGCAGTGGGTGTTGGGAGGATGTTAATGAAGACTTGTCCACATGAGCCATACACTGACTGTATGTGCTCGTGAAGCTCTTTTAGTTGCTGTTCAGTAGGGGGTTTAGAAGAGGAGGAAGGAGGCTGCTGGGGAGACTGCGCGCGGAGTGTCCTTCGTGGAGTCCGCGGTGTGATGGGAGAGATCTGTACTGGGGATGCCAAAAAGGATTCCTGGGGGCCCGGCTGGGGCTGTCTGTGCGAATGCGCTACTTGCATAGATTGCTGTGGTATTTGTCCTAGATTGTTAGTATTACTTACCGTACTGTCCTCCTGCTGGAAGGATGGTGTGTCGAATGGTCCTGGTTGGTGTGTGTATTCCTGGTTTGTGGCTTGTCGGGCAGCATGGATGGATTCTAGGCTGAGGCCGCGTAGATCCAAGCTCATACCGCTTCGGTTTGGTCGTCGTCGGTGTAGGTTAGCAGGTGGTGCTCGTACTGTGGGTGCGTCAAAAACAGTGGGTGTCGACAGTTGTCGGCGGTGCTGAATTCGTTGGCGCTGGATGCCGGCTGGCATGTTGTTGGACAGCATTTCGTATGCAGGTCGAGTCCGGAGTTGGTTCTTGGGAGGATGGGGAATAGTCCTATGGGTTCCGAAACTGATGTGGTGTTAGCATTGAATGTCATGTGATGGTTCGACTGCGCTGAGATGGAAGTCTCGAGTAACTTACCTCACGCAAAGCAAGCGGCGCTCCGCCGGGCGGTTGGTATCCTTATGAAATCCTCAGTACAGATGCAGTCTCCCAGTAGCCTGCCTCAAGTAAGTATGTGGCCGAGGCCTGTGCTAGTGTATATGAGTGGTGGTGGAGATGTGTTTAGTAGCAGTCGCTAAAGCAGCAGTGGATGTTTGAGATGAACAAAGAGATGTGGATGCGAGGGATGAATAGTGCTGGTGAAGTGGAGGATAAATGCGGAGGAGGAGATGACGATGTATAATACCTTACCGGGACGGGTAAACATAGAGCTCTATCTGGCGTTGCCGCCGCAACGACATGGTTACCCGAAGCCGCCCACGCTTGACGCTGTAGCTAGGCCAAGCCCGGCTAGCGCATCTATGCAGAGCACGGGCCGCTTAGTAACGCGAAGCCCCGCCCACACGCATTTTTGCTACTTCACGATTTCGACTCCGTTTCCTCCCCACCCTTTGCATCTACGTGAGGAAAGCATCTCAGAAGAGAGGCTCAGCGTTCAAGATGCAGATCTTCGTCAAGACCCGTAAGTAGTGTTCGCCAACATCACAGCCTATGCGCCGCCATCGTCGCATCCGTCGCCTCCCAATTTGCCATCGCCATCGCCATCGCCGTCGCAATCGTCGCACACGACATAGCAGCTAACAAGTTCGCAGTCACGGGCAAGACCATCACTCTCGAGGTCGAGAGCTCCGATACCATTGACAATGTCAAGTCCAAGATCCAGGGTACGTAGCCTGACTTCGCTCCAGAAGTCTCGCCTCTAATACCCAGCAGACAAGGAGGGCATTCCCCCGGACCAGCAGCGTCTGATCTTCGCCGGAAAGCAGCTCGAGGATGGCCGCACTCTTTCGGACTACAACATCCAGAAGGAGTCCACCCTCCACTTGGTCCTCCGCCTTCGTGGTGGTATGGCCAAGAAGCGCAAGAAGAAGGTGTACACCACCCCCAAGAAGATCAAGCACAAGCGCAAGAAGACCAAGCTAGCTGTCCTCAAGTACTACAAGGTTGACGGCGATGGCAAGATCGAGCGTCTTCGCCGCGAGTGCCCCCAGCCCGAGTGCGGTGCAGGTGTCTTCATGGCCGCCATGCACAACCGCCAGTACTGCGGAAAGTGCCACCTGACCTACGTCTTCGACGAGGCCAAATAAGCGCATCGCCACCGGGGCACGCGACACGATCGATAACGAGTTACGGCATCAAGGCATATATGGGAGGAGCTGAATAGGTTTCACCACAATGTCGGACATCTAGAATCAATCAAACTTGTCATGGACTTCACACCTCGGTTATCGACCCCAAATCGTGAATTAAATGCTCAGTGCTTGTGGTGCGAGCGTCATACCAGTGATCTCCCGTGTATGCGTAGATCTTCATCTCGCGTAACTAATGTATATGCAGAGCGTCCGTGTCTCGAATACGGATACCATGGTCGCCTTGTCTTCGTGCTTCAACCTGATGAACGTTATCGCCGTAGACTTGGTTCATATATTGAACTATCATGGTCTCATTACAGCTGCAAAGCACTAGCGACTACCTAATTATGGTTATATGGAAATCAACAACCTACCGCTTAGTAAGAAGCGCAGTTTAGATCGAGAACGTAGCAAGGGATAAGAGTAAGGTGGCTGCAATCAGTCGTTACTACCAGCTAACAGACGTGCACATTACTACAACCGCGCCCAACATCCCAATCATCAGGATTGAAAATGACTCTCCCGTCATCTTCACAGCTCCTCCCAGTGCAGCGTTACCACCTTGTCCTGCAATCTCTCCCTGTCCATTCTGGTTGTTGCCGTTTCCTCCTCTCCCACTCGATCCATCATCTGGTCCATTTCCTCCAACTTGGCCACCGTCACTCCTTGCGCTTGTTTCGAGCGGAATATCCTGCATAGGCTGCCCCGGTGGATTGTTGACGCTGTTAACCTGCGTCTGAAAGTCCTCCAACGGGTTCTCGATCATCGCGCAGGGCATTCGGCCTCCGTTTGCGCTGAGTGGACCGGGAGCGGGTTTCGTGGTCAATTGCGAGGCACCTGGAAAGCGCTGAATGCTGTTCGTAACACTGATAGGAAGGTTGAAGATAGTGTATCGTTCCACACCATTCAATCGGTAATTCTGGTGTATGCTAATGTTGTAATCTCCCCTCGCGGTTGAACCCTCATCCTCATTGTTATCCCCGACTAAACACTCGGGCCATTCGAAGTTGATGTGTTTGACTGTTTGGCCACTTTCCTGATCTAGTATGTCTGCGAAAGGTGGGGTGGACGTTGTCAGGTTCGATATCGTGAAGTTTTTCTGCGTAACCGTCGATGTAAGGAAGAGCGTGAAGTTGAAGACTTGTGTGAGCGGATCGGCGATGTTGCGTGGCGGTACGGCGAGTTTGCCGTCGCCTGAGACGTCGAGCGCAATGTGAAGAAAGTCGCCACCCATGGGCGTGAAGGGCTGGGGCTTATCTTTCTGTCAGCGGGAGTATCGCGCATCCTTCGACGCCTGACGTACCGCAAGTATGATTCCTAACCCTGGCGTAAATATTCTTCCATTCACGATAGTGAACGCGCTGGTATCGGGTCCGTTATTCTGACCATTACGATTATTATTGCCATTCTGTCGTCTCTCGAGTGGATCATGATCCGGCGACCACGTTCCCAGCATCTGTGCATTGATGACATTGTGCATTAGACATGACGAAAAGAGAGAAAGCAACGGAAAAAAAGTTGAGAAAATCATTGCTCAACAACAATGCATGCTGACCAGCAGTAACGACAGAAGGAAAGAAGCGTAAAGGACGGCCTGAAGCGGGAAATGTCGTTAGCAGTAAATCAAGGAAGCGCAATCACAGCGACGATTCGCAGCCCGCGATAGCCGGTACAGGTATCGCGTGCCCAGAGGCCTTGCATGATGCTTGGTAGAGGGCGAGAGCTGGCTTTCATGCGATATTGGACGAAATGAGCCTTGTGAGGCTTGAGTATCACGTTCCGAGACGCGTGGTGTCTGAGACGTGATAGTTCGGCTGTGGTTCAGCCGGCGGGGGGCAACTATTCGCTTAGTCAGTTCTGCTGCAACACTTCCAAGGTTTGGTCTTGTTATTCCAACGCGTCGACGCAAATGCACTATTCGCTTCTATAAACTCAGATGCTCGTCGGTTTCTGGAAATGGAGCTTTTATTTGCAATGTCCCCGATGTTCTTCCAGCGTCTCTGGTCTCGAGGGAGTACAGTGTCTATCTCAGCCGCTTATGGAGCCTCATAGGTAGCCGACCGTACTACGAGGGTGCAGATAAGGAAAAGGGAATGGAGAAGACTGAACTCGTGGATAACAGCGAATTCTTCGTACGCGTTCCCGATCCCTTGACATGCATTGCTGTCCGATGCTTAGTGCGTAGCCGAGAGCCGACCACGACATTGTTCGAATACCTCCAGAAGCGTGTTGCGGAAAACACAAAGCTAACTGTAGTCGAAATACGCGCTGATGCCGGAAAGGATAGGCAATTTCAGCGATGAAAACGCCCTCGTTCCACCATCGACCTCGACCCAAGAGTGATGCAGGATATCACCAACGATATCTGGCTTTTTTCTTTCACAAAGACTCCCAGACTTGATACCAAACTAGCAGTCGACCTTATCGCTATAGTCACCTTTTCGCCAGTCCACCCGGTACTAAAGGATTGTCACTCTTAGCCGGCATTGCTTCCCATATAAATGTGCTCTTCTAACTGATAAATTTACAAGGTACAGCTGATAACGACCTAAGTCCAGTTTTTGGCAGGGCCCCCTTCCGGAGCTGCATTGGCATTGAGGACATTGACTGTATCGGTATTGGTGTTAGCGATTGCAGTGCACAGAAGTCAAAACTACAGCCTGTACTAAAGGAATCATCAGAATGTGCTACGTTCACAAATTCTGCGCAAGTGTTTGCATTAGGGGCTCTGTGACGAAAATACTGAAGATGCAAGCTACTGTAGATTACAAGGTTCTGGATCAAGTCGAAGCTATCAACTTGCCTAATCTTGATTGTTTGAGTGAGGGTGACGAAGTCGAGGCCAATAAAGACGAGAAGAACACTGGTTCCCCAAAGAGGCGTGTGACGCTTTCGGATCTACATAATTTTATTGACGGTATAAGTGCCACAGAAGGTTAAACGACCATCATGAGGATAAATCATCCTGAGAAGCTAGATTCGTGGTGAGCGCAGGTTCGAAATCTCGTACGCAAGCAAAGCCAGCTCCATCATGACCTTCAAGCGCCTCTTCGACAACGACGGTTGCGAACGATACACGTCAGGCGCCATCGGTCGTTTCGCTCAAGCTTTCCAGGCTTAACATCCTAGCAGACCCCGTATCCCTACTGTTGAACTTGCCCAATTTTGCGGCCAATACCGTGGGAAGCCGGATATTGCTATTAAGGAGTTCGCCGCCTGGTTACAGCGAAGCACAGACAAGTCCTCTTGTCCTGCTCACTATACCCGCTTGATCCTCGTAAACATCTGCACTACGGACCGTTGTTACAGAAGACTGCTTTGTTGGGCTCAATTCATATCCATTTGGATCTGGCATAACTGTTGAGACGACGGTTGCCACGCTCAAAGCGAGAAACATTTTGCTGGCTTTGACCTTGCAGCTCCAGCACTAGGCTTGCCATCGACACAAAATATGCCACCGGGCTCTGATTTGGTCCCAGATTTCATGGATGCTGGCTTTGGTAAGGATATCGAGCCTTTGCTCAGGAACCACATATCAACTGTTGAGGCTTCACCGACCCAATCGACAGCATCTCTCTGGGACGAAACGTACCATACCCAGGCTAGCCTCCTTCGCTCAATCACCTTGGTCATGTCCACAGAGCCAGGTAAGTTAGCGCTAGCGTCGCCCCACCCCAACGCTGAAGACTTCACTGTACTTGAACAGGAGCGCAACGATTCTGGCTTCGAAGATTTTGGCGTTGACGGCTCCGATACAGACAAATTTGACACGGCTGAAGAATAGTCTGGCCCACCTAGCCCCTCAGACATAACAAGTCAAAAAGTTCAAAGCGTTTGTGCAAGACATCACGGTGCTTGAAGTCGGGACAATTCCGTACTAGGAAGGTGGAATGTCATAGTAACCGGTCTCCGACAGGATCAAGAGTTTATAGGTAACACTTGGACCTTGGCATATATGAAACCCGGCCAGGCGAGGTACTGATCACGAACCAGGTGCATATTCATTAGTCCATTCATAATTCATAAATGAAAACAAAGTAAACTCTATTGGTATCAAAGAAATTCGTAGCAACCGTGTGGCAAAGTGTACACACGGTCTGGTGATTATTGCCATGGCTGGTCGTTATATCTTCCATACTGGTGGTCTGATGACACAGAAGAGGTACTAGTCCCCTGGGTATCATGAGGTGCCGAGTGGGCCAGAATCTCTTCTTTACTCCCTGCCACGCTAATTTTGTCTTCGCTGTCTTCGCGCGCATGGCTCTGGACCGTGAATTCTGTTGTTTTTATAACGCTCGATGGGAACGCCTCATTGTTTGCTTTTCCTCTACTAACGTGCACCTCCCATTGCTCTTGATGATCTGTGGCGGTGGCTAGAACGGAGCGTTGATGGCTCGTTCCCTTCTTTGTTCCCTTCATCGTGCCTAGCGCCACGCCTTGGGATTGAATGGCGCCGTTACTATATGAGCTGGCACACCCACTCCTGGCGTTCCTGGTCAACTGGACGAGGCGGTTGAGAATGCTGAATTCGAGTTTGAGCTTGATGCTGTATACGAGTGGCTTCCACGAGGTCTGGATCTCAAACATATCTGCAAACTCGAGGCCCAGGATGCTGAAGTCAAGGAGGATGACTAGGAAGTTGACGAACATGAGATGGTGAAGTAGGCTTTTCGTGCCAAAGTTGCCGATTGTACGCTCCATGCGGAGGAGTTTTGTGGTTTCGAAAACGTATAGGCCGGAGATGATGAGTTCCTGGGCGATGAAGACACTGAGCTGGATCTTTTCGTAGATCGCATAAGGCTTGACGAATGGGTCCGGGTTGCTTGAGTTGGCGCCGTAGACCAGAACAATGATGGGTATGTGAAGCCACACAGCGTTGGTTATAATCATGATCAGAACGGCTCTGAGTTTCTTCCTGTTATGCATCACGATGTGCAATCGCGAGTAAAGCACAACCGATTGTCCAGTGATCATGGCGCACCATCCTATGAGGATGAATGTGGCGTAAATGTTCTTTTCCGGGATCTCTGCCAGGTGCATGAGCGTGTATCCGGTGGCGTTGAAGACGATACCCCATGTTGAGATGGTAAAGCTCCAAAAGTAGAGCCCGCTCCGTCTCTTGAACAAGGTAAAAATGTAGACATTAAGTTCGAGAAAGTTGTAAAGTGCTATGCTGAGAAACACCGCCGCAATGGTCTTCGATACGACGACGTTGACGGCCATTGCAGGGCAGGTGGGTGTTCGAAGGGAGGGAAAAGCAGTGTTAACGAAGCGAAGAGTGGAGTTCAAAGCGGATCTGGGGATCACCTCCACAACACTTGTTCAGCCAGGCTCGGTGTAACCGGGGTTCCGCCATGGATGTGGGTGGGTAGTCTGAACCTTCCCATGTTCCCTCCCTCCCTCGATATCAGCCGTATCGTATCTGAGCCGCATCTGCAGGGGCACCAAGGACATACCGATCCTGGTACGTGCGGACAGAGCCAGGAAATCCCTCACAAGATCATTCTGTTTCGCTCGGGGACAGCGGAAGACATCTCATGAGACCCTCCTTTTCTTGGCGACACATCATGTTCGCCTACGTGAATACCCCTATTGGTGGGTGTGAATGCCATGCCAGCCACACTAGCTTGAATCGTAATCGAACATCGGTCCGTTCCAGCTAATCCCCAACTCACATCGAGCTTGCGATTCGCTCCTGTATCATCATCTGCTTGCCGTGGCCGCCATGTCCTAGTCGAGTTCTTATTTCCCTGAGAAAAAACCTTGGCTTTAGAAATCAAGCATCGTATGATCTGGACTGTATTTCCTGGACATTATCGCCATGGATGACCAGCAAGTGAGTATAACAGGCCCTTCTCGCATTTGGATATTGCGTACTTTACATGAGGCCCAAGTGATTTCGATAACATGGTCGATGCCGCTCTAGACCCTACAAGGAGGATGGGGAGTTTTCCGGATCGACCAAGAATGAGGCACATGGCTGGAGGCTTCATGCGCTTCTCCGACCCGCACCCGCAAAACGATACTCGGTTCCCGGTGTCACGTAGAACACGTCGGTTTGATCTTTTCTGCATTGACCGGCTCGCTTGCAGCGTACGCGATTTTAACTTTGAAGGTACCTGCAGGTGGCATGATGGAAGCGCGGTTCACGGTTTCTAGCTTCTGTGGCGATGTGCCAAGTAAATGGCGCCTTGGTTCAGGTCGTTCCGCTGGTGCCGCTGAGCGACTTGAGAGTCAGACGCGTTCTTCGTACGCTCTGAGATGCGAAAGTAGCTGCCCGTTGCGGAAAGGCATATGAGTAGCGCTGCATCGCGAGAGAACTCAAATTGCCCAGGAGGAGGCAGTGCTGTATCGCTTCGTGTTTTGCGTTGCGTCGAAGTGGCGTTTAGCAATGAAGGAGCCGAAGGCATCCTTTCCACGGGGTCCGGGGTAACGCCGACTGGTAGTCTACGGCCCTTCTCTCGGGTTCCAGTGGACTTAGCTTCCCCTTATACCTGCTGGAAGCCCAACATCACGTGCACCTGTCGCGAACTACCTTGCGCATTCGTGTTCAACACCCGGTGGCTTTAGACAAATATTTAGTAGACGCCACCATGTAACAGCGGCCTGCAAGACACTAGGTATGGTATAGCTTCGGCATCGCGTACCTGACAAGAGAAGGCGTGTTATCTTGGAATCCTCTTGGGCATCACTATCACTGCAGGATTTCCAGGGTTCTCAAGTCTAGAGCTCTGGTATTTCAAATTACATTACTTATCTAATTGTGCAGTGCAACACATTATGGTATAAGCTCAGTAATCAACTAAGCGGCGACGTTGGAAGTTCCATTGATCACTGAATAGGTGCGCCAGATGCGGCCAAAGTGGCGTAGAACAGCTTGGTCTGTCCGGTAATGACCATGCGCCCCTCTCCCGCGAACTTGAAGTTAGCCGCTGTCACGCCAGTGTAGATCTTGCCGATGAGCTTGCCAGAAGGGTTGTAGACCCATACACCGTCACCGGCACCAGCGTAAACGCGACCCTTGGAATCAGTGTGTACACCTATCAGAACATGTTAGCGACTGCATTCAACAATTAATGCCCGCATCCAAGAACATACCATCAGGGATAAAAGCGGGGACGTAAGCGAAGGTCTTGCGGTTGTCGAAGGTGCCGTCTTCGCAGACATCGTATGAGTAGATCGACGCAGGAGCAGTCAGGTTAAGACCGTAGAATCCGCCTACAACACCAGTATCGGAGACATAGGCCTTCTTGCCATCAGGTGAGATAGTGATTCCGTTGGGGTGGCCAAAACCATCGGCGACAACGGTCAGCGCACCAGTGTCGAAGTTGTAGCGGTACACCTGCTCTCGCATACCGGGGTAAGGACGGAAGTCCTGGAGGTATCCGTAGAGAGTGTCGGTGAAGTACAGATCACCATTGGTTGGGTTGACGACCAAGTCGTTGAGCGAGCTGAACTGGCGACCAAAGTAGTTGTTCACAAGAGCTGTGATGATCAGTATCGTGTTGCACTCTGGAATTACATTTGAGATGCTTACTGGTCGTGTTGTACGGTGGGAGAGGGTTCATAACATACAACGCGGATGGCACGTTGTCACCCTGGCCCTCACCAGCGAAGATAATGTTGCCCTTCCAGTTAGTGCCACCATTGGGGTTGATAACCTGTGGGTTGGAGGTGTTGACCACGGTCACGGGGGCTGCCTCGAGGGTTCCATTCCTCACTTTCTCGGCATCCGAAAGACGGATCTTCTGGATAATGGAAGACTTGTTCAGTCCGGTGCCCGCGGCAGGAGCACCAGCATTCTGGACGAAGAAAACTTCCTCAGTCGGAGGGTACCAGGTGACAGCCTCATGGAAGATGGGGTCCGACTCTGAGGTTGCAATGGTGGTCAACGAAGGGCTGTCACCAATGACATCGTAGAATTCCTCATCATAGATGTGGAAGGGCTTGGCTGATAGAGACTCTTCGGTTACACCGGGCCAAACAAACAGCTATAGCACTGTTAGATATCCCAAGTCAGATGGAGCTGCTCGAGATGCAATACATACCGTTGAAGCATTAGCTCCGGAAGGCGGTGGGACATTTGGCAGAACATTGAAGCTCTTCTGGTCGACGATCTGCGCAGACTCGGGTACAGTCTGCGCGAAAGCACAGCTGACTGCTGCACTAGCAGCCAGGAAGACGGTGGTAGATGGCATCTTGAATTGAGTTTGACCGACTGTAACTCTCCAAACTCTGGGGACAGCCACAGTATAAGAAGTACATGGTTTCCGCACGGATAATCTCTTCACCGTTTGTCTCTAGGCCTGTTGAAAATTAGATTATCTCGGCATGTATCCATATAGCGGTATTTTCGTCATCATGCGGCTCGCTGTCGACTACATTCGGCATGGCATCATGGAAGAGGGCCGATGGCGCTCAATTAGTCAAGGATTAGAAAGGCCGGTGATGAAGCTAGGCGCAATGACCCCGTGGGGTTGGGGATATCGCGACCCCGCCTTGAAGTCGCACATTGAACTCCAATTCCACCCGCGGAGTAACATTCCGATTACCAATGTGATGTGTTCGCGCCATAACACCTTATTCAACAAGGAACGCTGTTCTCGCGCAGATTGTAGGCTAAACAGGTATAGGATACTTTGTATGCAGCTTACCATATGTTCCTTGCTTCCCGATGCGCACCAAGCCGCGGTGCCTTCTTGGCGCGACAGTTTGGCCGGACCGGCTAGGGTATCTCGAGCCGTTTCCGTTGCCGGTATTCTTTGAACAATGCACCAGAAGGCTAGATTCATCTCTTCGTGTTCGAACCCGGGGACGGAGATGCATTGCCGAATGGGGTTGCTGCAGGAATGGCATTCCTGGGTTCCATGCCCATGTCCTGCACATATATTAAAAAGCTTAGCTTATACCTGTCGATAATTGGGAACCATACCTATGGGTTCTACTCGGCTGATCATATGCAAGTCTGGCACCAGAACTCAACATAGTCGAGATGCAAGTGCATACCTAGTGTCATTGTCTTGTCCAAATTTCAGCGACGGCTTCGTGCCTGGTATAATTTCAATAGCAAGTGAGCATAAGCCAAGCAGGCATCTGAGCCAAAAGCTTCTGTTCTTATTCGATGTAATTTCTCGAACGTGGATGACTTTGCTGGCTCATAAAATCCGCCAACCTTGGTTTATTTACATGGATTGGTTCGATCGCAACCACAGCTCTTTCCTGACCCAAATCACAACATTAACTTCTCCCAAAAAATCAGAAACAAAGGGGAAAAGCACAAATAAGAGGGCATAACATAATCTGACGCCAACGCAAAGTAGTTTCACATTGATCTGTAAAACGAGATAGCACTAAAGAAGACAATTATGGAAAGAACCTTTTACTACTCCTTCACATCCATTGATGCAAGTCCGTTGGCCAACATCACATCTTATTGTCAGTCACACTTACGACCCTGTGCCTCTTGCGTTCATAGACATATTTATAAAGCCAAGCTCTAGCAGTTCTTGTTATTTAGATAAAGAGCTCAATCTGCTTCCAACCGTTCAATGCGAATTATCATTCCATCTTACACCTCAAGGCTAGCTCTACCTGCAAGAGCCTGCATCCATACGCGACTATACCTAAGGCCTAGTGCGTCCGCTTCATACAGAAGCGTGTTGGCAATGGCAACTGGTTATGAGGGCGGCTTCATTTTGTTAGTTGATAGCAGTAGCGCCTGATCGCACGGTCCGAAAACCATACAACCATATCAGCATACATACGGCACATCACACGCGTCGCAAGCAAGAGACTTTAAAAATGGGTCATGAAGATCGTGAGTGATATTGCTCTTTGAACATTAACCCCGATGTCCACCTTCCAACCGTCCCACCAACCGCCGCCATAACCCAACCCAGCCATCTCGACTCCAGCCTCCTACGTTGATACAGTAAAAGCCGTACCAGTCGTTCAATGATGCACAAAGACAAAGAAAAAAAAACGCCGATCCCCCATTCGCGCTGTTTTCCAGCTGCGAAGGTATCCTCGTGGGGGGATGCATATGCAACGCAGAGAACTCCAAGTATAATAGCCAAACCCAAAACCCGCCAAGAGGGAGACAGCCCAGTGCCCCAAGATATCATGGCCGTAACGTTCAGAAGCTCGTAATAACAGTGATGAAGAACAAAGGAAAAGGTACAAAGAAACCAAAGACAAAAACAGGCGACTCGTGATACAGCGAATCGTTAAAGCATCAGAAGTGCTTTTTGCCCTTTTTCCGATCTCAAAACGCCAGATCGTGGAAATAGTGTTACAAGGGTGGTGATGTTGATGATGTCGAGGTACAACAGTATCGCAAGACATTCAGAAGATGGCTGCAGATGCATGTCGTAACCAAGACGGTGTTTGTGCGGAGTAAACGGAGCGGAGTTGAACAAGAAAACGATATTGGATGAGCGCTTAGCTCATATCCATCATGTCTTCGAAGACACTGTCCTGGTGATCACCAGTGTAAGTGGCAAGAACTTCGTCGCTGGGCCCGAAGTTGCCCTCATAGATGGTGGCACCAGCTCGGCGTCTTGACTCGACCCACCGGCAACCGTAACATTGGAGTACTTGCTCCGCAGTTGGTCGCATTTCGGGGTCTCGGTTCAGCATGGCGTAGACGACATGGTCCATAGAGTTGGGGTCGTTGCGCTGCACCATGAATGAAGGCGCGCGAGCCAGCTCCTCCTCAGGGTTAGAGGCCGGCTTGACCGTAATGGAGGCCATCGAGTCTTCAGCAGCGTCCGACATGAGGAAGCCATCCATGGAAGGTCTTGCCTGTTCAGAGACTGGGTCGCCATGGACGTCGCGACTGAGGGTGCTGCTGTCGGCGCTCCAAGTAAGGCTGGGAAGTACGCTCTCAAATTCGCCAGATCGCAGCTTTTGCCAGTAGTCGCCATTCTCGGGGATAACACAATTGCCAGCAATTTCAGCGAGCATCATGCCAAGTGCAAAGACATCGGCAGGCTTGTCGAATCGGCCAGAGAGTTGCTCGGGTGCGAGGTAATGACGGTCGCCTTCGCCATCGATACCAGCTGGAGCTGGCCACTGGCTCGCTAGACCAAAGTCTGCGATCTTGAGTCCACCCTCAAAGTCGATGAGGATGTTGGCGGGCTTAAGGTCAAGATGAATATAGCCAGCGTCGTGAATGGCCTTGAGACCCTGCAATAGGATTAGCGGTGTGTTGCGAACAAAGACTATATTTAGACATACCATGGAAAGTTCGAGCAGAATCTTCCAGATGCGGAAGTCATCGAGACGGCTATTAAAGCCAACAGTGTCGAGGTACTTCCTCAAGTTACCGCCCTCACAATACTCGGTCTGGATGTATAGGTGCTGGTCAAACTCCCAGTGGGTTTTGATGTCCAACACATGCTCGTGGCCTTGAAGAGCGTAGAGGATATCGACCTCACGCATCTTCTTCTGGCGGTCGCCTGCACCAATGTACGGCTTCTTCGACTTCTTTACAACCCATACCTGGCTGCCAGCGGGTGACCTTAGCGGCGAGATCTTCACCGGCTGGCTCACACGGTAGACTGTGGAAAACTCGCCCTCTCCGCCATCGAGAGGCTTGATCTCGTGGAACCTTTCACTCAAGGACTCATCCACGTCGTTCTTTGTCAGGCCGATGGGAATTGCGCCCTGGACACTGCCGAAGAAGCCGGAGTCACGTGGTGTCGTCGGTGTGGCAGGCGCGAAAGAGCCAAAGCTGCTGTTGAAAGGGAAAGATCCCCGTCTGTTGCCGGAGATTGATAGCTTGCTCGCGTCGGGGGGAGCGGAAGATTCATGCGCGGGGGTGTGTGGTGATGGCGCGCCAAAGAGACTTCCGGCTGCTGTAGAATATTTAGTGTTGCTCTCGCTATTCAGTGACTGAAGAGGTGTACGGGCAACCCGCCGCGAAAAAGACAAAGGGTGAGCCACAGCATTGGTTTGCCGCAACATCCGACTTTGATTCGCGCTGAGAGCATGCGCAGAAGGGGACTTGTTAACCGTTGACTTGGACTCCTCGTCTTCTGACGAGCTGTCTTCATCCGGAAAATCAACTAGATCTGTATGAGATATGTACTTACTCGTCGGCCGACCGTCATTGTCGGGTACTGCAAACGTATCTTGGCCAATAGAAGGGCGCGAGCGGAACGTCCTACGACGCAGGCTGCTCTCCTTGGAACGACGACTAGATCCATTGCTGGGTTTGGTTGGGGTAGGTGGTGTGTCATCCGCACTCAATTGACTGTCACCCATCCGGTTCGCCGTCGGTGATTGTGTGTCCGGCTGGACATCTTCGTCATTGTCTCCGTCGATACTGACAAAGCTGCCTCGGCGTTGCATGGTACTGCCCATGCCACCGAAGATGCTTGGTCGCTTGCCGAAAGAGTCTGTTGTGAACTTTGATACGTTCGATACACTCGCACTGAATGGCGTGCTAGGTGTACCAAACTGATGCTGTGGTCGAGATTCATTGCCGAAGAGACTGCCACTCCTCTTGACCAAGGGTGTGTCAATGTTGACTGTGCGGTCTCCTGAAGCTGGAGGGAACGACTGGCGCTTCGATGGCGTGTCGGGCATGACATAGACGCCACCTGCTGCTGGCTCGTCCGCATTACGGTTCTTCTTGGACAAGAGACCAGTAGAGAAGGCGACAGGTACCGGCGGCGCAATCTTAAAGGGTGTGTCGAATGAGTCTTGCGACGATTGCTCACCTTCTGGTGCAAATGGGCGCCCGATACCGATCGGTAGTGAGCGGGAGAAATGTGGGTTAGCGGACATCGGAGGCGCGGGGAATGCAGGGCCGCCCCATTGAACGGCTGGAGCTCGGGGAGGGGCCATTGGTGTGCCATGTACGCTCGAGGAAGCAGATGCTGGCGTGTGCGCATGTGATAATGGGTGAGGTTGTGCTGCACCGGCTCCACCACGAGGGAATGGTGTTGGCAAACCCATGCGCCCGGCGTCGAATGTGGACTTGCGGAAGGGCGTCTGCATGGGTGGGGTTTGTATCGATTGGTTCACGGTGCTATCCAGCGACATGCGGTTGCGAGTCTTGGAGGCAGCCGGTCCAGGCATAGCGAACTCACCGTCGTGGCTTGGCTTGCGCGGAGTGTTGGAGCGCTGCGACAGGGTCGACCTCCGCAATGAGGTTGTCCGACGGACGGGCGATGTCGCGCCAGAGATAGGT